CTGGCGAATGGACGTTGTCTGGGACGCAGTGGGGGTATTCCAGTGTGCTATTGCCCTGATTGATCTGCCTACATATTCGCTGCTGCGAAGCATTCAACTCTCAGTCGGTCATTCTCGTAAACGGCTTGGACTAGGTCTACTATTTTTTGTTATGGGCTCTTACATGTAATGGAAAGACATCCGAGTGTTCTTTGGAAAGTCGGGCACCACTCATTGTGCATCAGTTGCCCCATGTCATCTTTCAAATTCGGTATTATCATGTAAGACGGCTACAAGAGCTGCGATCAAACAAATCTTGGTCTTCTGGGACGATACGCGGAGCTAGTCATGTAGGAATGGACCGTTACGCTGTTGCTCTCCAATGCTGAAACTCAGGCAAACTCCGGGCTACAATTGGAGACGCCAAACGATTGTCATCTCGCAAGCTTGTACTTAGGTGCGAGAATAATTCAATATGTAAACGATATTTGATGAACTACCTAGAAACAGGTCTTGAAGCAGTATTTACCCACAAGGTACACCTTTACTTCTTCTTTTCGGGAGTTTCCAACTGAGGAGGTCAACTCTGACTTGGAACAGAGTTAGGGATCCTCCAACTGCCAGAAGTCATCAGCAAGGCCTTTGCTCCTTCCAATCCAGTTCAGTGCCTTTCGATTGCACGAAGTTACTAACACGGAGTTCGCTGTCTGAGTCCCTGGATGTCTTTCAACTACATCTTAGGGAGTACTCAGTTGCTGTCAAGGCAGACTAATTAACATTAATAGTGAGAGCAAAACTTCGCGTGAATTCGCATACTTACAGAAAACGGAGTTAGCAAAGTTCAAATTAATAATATAGGGAGATGGTGTTCAATCCCATCATCTGGAAATTTGACCGACATAGCGACACCACAAGCATCAAAACGGTTCTTTGACAAGTCTTTCGTAAAAGGATTACATTAGAAGCAAAGGTTGCAGTTTGGTTTAGGGCATTCTAGTACATAAAGTACAATCCGTTCTTGAGGTCGTAAGACAATACATGTACCCATCGGGTTCGTGATGACACATCAGTCGTCTGCTGGTAACGAAGTTCGTGATGGTGCCTATAATATATTTGAGGTCTGGATGTGTCCGCTGAGACATGGCGCATGGCTGGCCCGCCAGCCTATAAGCCAAACCTTTCAGCAACGTATCTGCCGCTGCTCAGGCCGTCTGGATAAAATACTACTTGCTGAGCCTTTTTAATGCTCACAGGAAGGAGCAGAGGTGAGTCTCTGAAGATTATGGTGCATGGACGACGGCCTAACTTCATCTTGATCTGTCTTCTGAGACGTATCTGATCGAACAACTCTGGTCGATGGGTCGCGGAGGCATCTTCAAGGAGTCGATCGAGATGACCTTGCTTGTCGTCTCCAAGGGTCTCAATCAGCCGTAATAGCTCTGGTTTTGTTTCAAAGGCATTTCGGAACGCAGAAAATTTGGTGTCTATGAGCTTCTATGGGGCTTTCTGTGAACCCTACTTCGATTATGCTAAGTGTCGTTTTGTAATTATTTAGGAAGATATCAAATTGTCTTTCCAAAGACTGGTGCCGAAGGGACGAGAATAGATGCTATAGTTATCTAAATTCTGAAAATCATTGCTAGTATATATCGTCGTCAGAAACGTACATGTAACAACAATAATCCAATCAAGACTAGGATGACTCAAGATGGACTGGGGTGTGAACACACCGGAGCACCTCTTGGCGTAAGTCATTTCACTTATGACAGAGCACTGAGGAGCAGCGGAGATTTTGCTCACTGTCATATAATACTGCGGACTAGCATGGGCTAGAGGCGCTACCAATGCCTTATACTTAACTTCTTTTCATACTTCATAGATGCAAGAGCTGCGCAAAGTGTCATCCACGCAGTAAACCAAACGGATTCCCAAAGTTACTGCCCGGTACGAAACCGTACAAGCTAGATTGAAAAGATATTTCGCTGCGAATTACACAATTTTCCCACGACCCGGTGGTCTTGTGTGGTTTTGGGTGGGTTTTCCTCTCGTGCGTGAGCCCATCCAGGCCCGCGGCCATACTCAGAATGAGGACGCGTGGCGGATAGGAAACTACTCACTATGTACCGTTTCAAGCTTTTGTTAGATTCCATGAAGCAGATGTAGTTGTTGTTGAAGTATGAAGTTTGTTGTGTTCAAAAATGGTACTGGTGGACATTTCTTCTGTCTGCGATTCTGCTGCATCTGATACGCCCGTAAAAGTCGTGACAATAGTCACCTCCTTCCGCCGGCACCAGTAGAACACCATGAAAACCCTTTCCAAGACCAAGTCATTGTGATATGTAGTAGGAGGACTCCATCTCTCCTCCTCAATTGAAAGCCCATTCTAATACTGCTGAGATTCCAGTCACGGACATTGGTTCTGTTTACATAATAGGGTCGATACGATGACGACTATTGAGTACCCCTGTCGACCTGACCACCTCATCCTCCCAAGCCATTCATGATTTGAACAGCACAGACCAGCAACGCTATGAAGTTTCTAACTCAAATGCTTCTTTCAACAATCATACGCCTCCTCGGGCACTTCAGACAGGCAGCAAGGCACGTGGGGTCTATCTTAAGATCTGGATACCCGAATCCGGGCCCCGGCGTCCGAGATTTCGGGCTCGAAAAGGTGGGTCTGTCCGGCAGATACTCGCGCCCGCGGCCCGACATTGCCGTTTATGACACAGCACTTAATTAATATTCATGCAAAATCCTAGGCATCTCAAACTCACCAGGCTTTTTCTGCTAAAGTCCTAGCTAGGGCAGCAATGTCCACTGGTAGCCTGCGATGCACCCTGCCAGAAGTTCGCGTATGAAAAGCCTAAGTCAAGCGCAGTGTCCGGTTGAAAAAAAGCCCTCGCGTCAGGCTACGGATGCGCCGCAGACTTCCGACTCTCTGGATTTGGCGGAGAGGGGGAATTAATTACGATTGCCATACCATTGGTCGATTAACGAGTCTTCCGGTTGAATGTGAAGGTTTGAAATCAAAGTCCAACAGTCCCCTCGGGTATAATTGCTTTTTGGACTGTTGCAGCCGTGTACCGGATATCTTGCCCCGAATCAGAACACATTAAGCATGGGATGTGTGCGCAGCTGTACCAACACACACGTTGAGCGTTTAAGACAGAATTCCACGTTGCAACCAAACGGGTTACCTCCACCACGATCAAGAGCATGAATGCCTCAAATCTGAGCCAATTTTTCCCTGGCATGATTGATCGATGGAAGGCGATGTTTGTTGAGGTGGGCATCGGGAAACGCACGTGGCTGTGTGGGAAGCCGGAGTTGATGCCGTACCAGCATACCGCTTTCTTTCGACTTATGCTGGATGCATATGTGCTGCGCAGCCCGAGGTGCCTCACTCCGGTCTGATCTGTAACTAGGTAAGTTGACGTGTCATTTCTTGTCATGAATTGTTTGCTCGTACTTCCTAGGAAATACTGGGCAAGATTGACATGAGAGCAGACCGGGCAGTTCAGGGTAGCCCCAGAGGAAGGCTGCTCGGGAGGGTTACCCGCCCCTTAGCCTAGCCCTGACCGTGGCCTTTTCAAACCCTCCAATACGTCTGGAGTACACGGTTACTTTGGTGACGATGCTCACTTACCGGCGGGCGATTTAACCTTGGCTCAGCGCATTCGTCTGCAGCAACAGAACCCTGCATTGCCCCAAAAAGGTCGAGCTCCCTATCTAGGAGGAAGCAAACAGCAGTAGTGGACATACTATGTATCATGTGCTGCATACTGCAGCTTCAATTTCTACCATACCTGGTAGCCCGCATGACTGCCACTTGTGATGGAGAGTCGGCCACTTTTGTTGTTCCTATCTCTTGGTGGGCGGTCGGCATTCAGCAGCCAGCTCTGCAGAGAGGATTGTTCAGGGGCGGAGGGATACGTGACGGCCCTAGACAGTACACCCAACAGTTCTCCAACCCTAGAATGAGTCCAATTCTACCTTAACCCTAACCCAAAAAATTCTCCGGATCATATTAATGGACTTCACGGTATGAGAATTTGAATGGTACATATTCTCAAAATGTTCAAATTCCGTGTAAAGGTGTTTGTAAGTGTTTCATCAATAATATCTGCAGGCCACAAAGATGCTCACGCAAGGTAGTTAGGACGCTAGAGTCATTTGTTAGTATTCGGGAAATTACATCGCGATCATGGCGGTAACTACGTTCTGCCGCTGAAGTCTCTGATTGCAATTGCAGGCCAGGAGTTCCCACCGCCAAACAGGAAGCATTAGCCAATGCTGCTACACAGGCACTATTTTCATCTGGATACGAGGACCATGATGTCTCCCACGCGGTGTCGATGGCTGCCTGGGAGATGCACCCGCCCTACATGGATATCGGCGTTTGCATGCCAATGACCGCTGCTCTCATCTGCTGTTGTCCATGTACCTATTATCGGGCCCGTCTCCCCGGAGCACATGCATTCCGCGTAAAGTATGTCAGTTGAGAACTGAGGCGTCACCCAATTTGCCATACCAGGGGGGACTGCGGTGCCACAGTGCTCCCCCGCACCCCCAATTCCAGGTATTGCGGTGTTGGAACAGAAGGTGAACAGAAGTACATACTTACTTTGCCTTCTGAGTCAAACCGGGAGGGAACCCTTCTTGTCTGCAGTACTTGAAATAGTAGTATCTCGATTTAGGTTATTGGTTGTATGGCGCAGAAATGCTCTTTGCTTATTTACCTCAGAACACACGTATATACGGGCAACATGGGTGGTAGGTGAGGAGTGGAAGCTAGCTTTTCACAGCCGGGAATGGCAGGCAAGAAGACCAACAATCACGTCAGGGGATCTCAAGGAGCAGAATTTCAGCTTCAAGTTCTGGACTGTCACAACGAGGCATCTAGGCGGAGAGCTTGACCACCGATCGTTCAATGGTTTCATACGTGACCGGATACTATTCTGCCAAAGATGACTGCACATCAATGGGGCCCCTTTTGCCCGTGCATCCAGTTATGTCTGCTACAACTGCTGGGCGCCATTTCCAGCCCCGTCTTCCTGTGATCTCCTCTTACCGTCCCGCCCATGTCCAGCTAAGAGCAAAGCGTTGTGTCTCTTCGCCCAGTCAGCCTTCATCCGTTTCTCGGGATCTTGGGAGACGACTGCGCCTCGGTGTTAGCAGGATTGATAACAGACGATTAGAAAGCCAACTACACTCACTTCTTCGAGCATATCGCTTGACGATATCCTCCTTATCCTCGAAGGACACACCACAGTTGCGGAAATGTGTTTCCGCTCTGTCTTCCTCGAAAGGATCCTGTGAGAAAACATGGCCACACCCGACGGCGGGGCACCTCAACGTGTAGAGGCACACATGGCCATCGGACTCGACCGCGAATGCCCACAACCTCGATCTCCCCACCTGGTTGTTCGTGATGGTACCTGTGTCTTGTTTCTGTGATTTGGCCTTGAGGATCTTCTTCTTGGAGTTTCCCGGCTTTCGCCCTCGTGGCTTCTGGACTCGCTCTTTTGTGATAACGGCTTCGTCGCCGGGTGTCGTGTTCGCCCGCAGCTGAGGCTGTTCGATCGGACTGATATGCGTAGTCTATATTGACGTTAGAATTATGGCTCTGTATCATTATGGCATACTTACCTGGACATCTTGTCTCTGAGGTTCGACTGGAGAGTCAATAAAAAGAGGTGTTGGCGGAAGGGTATTGCTGAACGTGATCTTCAGGGAAGGGTCGGGACAACGGCCTTGATATCGGAGACTCTCAACGTAGCAGTGGAACTTCCGCTGAATGTCTTGATTCACCTCCATTGCGGCATCCTTTGGCAACTCCAAAGCGGCCTGTCTGAGCCATTCGTCGAGAGCCCTCATCCGAAAGTTCTCAAACGTCGCGATCTTGTCGTGGATTTCGCGACTGAACTGAGCCTCGATTCTGTCTCTCTTGATACTGATGTCCTTGAGTACTTGGAGCTTCTTCCTCTCGGCATCTGAATCCGGCTGAGAGTCAGCCGGCCGGTCCCCCAATACATGAGCATCGCCGGTGTCCATGGTGTGCCGTGGATCTGTGGCCTGTGTTAGAGAGGTTGCCCAAACCATCTCCTCAGCTACCGCAACACTTGGAAGACAAGAAGATCGGGGGAGTCATCAAAGAATCAGGGCTGAGCAGCAGTGCAGAAAGAAATCTCAAGTCTGTTTGGGAGTAAGAGACGGAATACCGTGGGTCCCTGTCGATTGGGGACCGCTTTTTGGCCTGCAGGCGGGAGCCCGTGTTTGCTACCCCTCGGCTGCAGTTGGGACATACGCAAGGTTGCATTGCTTCTCGCGAGGAAGGGCAATGAGATTGCTCTGCAAGTATCCGTACCCAGACTGTCAGATTGCACTGACCCGCACCAAAAAAGCGGCATGTCAATATCCACCTCAGCCGGACACGCTTCATTGATATCGTTGGAGTAGAGCCACCCAACTCCAAGGCTGTTCTTCACCTACGGAATGATGCGTAGCACTGCTGCGAAGTTGGGTGTTCTCATCGACCGAGGAAAAGTTCAAGTCACATCATTCTAACACCCGTTGGCATGATACGGCACCATGTGCCATCAGTGAAGCGGCATACTTACTCTAGTCGATGATTTCTGGTCCTCTTTTGCCCGTTTGCACAACCGATTCGCCCCGGTTTCCTTCTCTTGAGCATGAGATTTGGCGTGGATTCTCGACAATCTTTACTCCCCAAGTTCTGACAGCAGCGCCAATCATTCTAGGCAACCCTAAGTGCGATTAAGAATGCCGCCCGCATCTTCGAAGCCTCGTCCAGTGTGAGTCAAAGACGAAGCAAACTGTCTTCGTACTTTGACTAACGAAATAACTCCTCACAGCGTTCTCGGTATCGATTGGGGCAGTACCGGCGTTCGGCTGATGCTCTTTCACACCCAAGGCAACCACCTGAATCCATTCGAGCCAGTGCGGAGCAAGGAGACACCGCGACACGAGGACAAACGCTACGGAGGAGGGGCATACAAGGCAACGCTCGCTGTTTTCGACGATGATGGCGAGGTCTATACTCCAGACAAAGAGTGCCGTGGTCGCAAGAGAATCTCGTCCAAGTTCTTGTTCAAGGATGGGGGGAGTCTGGACCCAAACCACCCGCTCGCCGAGGAGATCAAAAGGCTTTCGACGGACGAAGCATTCAGAAAGCGTTGCGAGAACGGAAAACTAGCGATCATCAAGACCTTCGTCGCCGCCATCGAAGACATATGCGAAAAGAAAAACCTCGAGGTCGTCGACGTCGGCCTATCTATCCCGGCAACATGGACTTGCGAGGAGATTGAAGAGTACCGTCGTCTGCTGAGGATGACGTTCCGGTCGCGAACGCTCAAGATGGCGTTCAGGAACGCCCAGTTTCACACCGAGGTCGAGTCGTTTGCACATTACTTCATGTGGCACATGAACCAGACCAAAGAGTCCCTTGTGTCCGAGGATACAATCATCCTTTATATTGACTTTGGAGGGTACAGCATGGTAGGAGAAGCCCCAAGACTGCTTCGGGTTACTTGTCATACTAACAAACGTCCCAACAGAGCGGTTGCTTATTCCAAGTACGGAAGCTCAAGTCTGATCCAGAGACATCGATGTTCTACAGAGTTGGAGAGCCTTTCGGTGAGTTAGCAGAATATGCTTAAAGCCAAAGCTGACGAGACTTTCTTTACAGGTTGTGCGGGTGGCACGGAGCACTGGGAGGCCTACGTCAGCCAATGGTGTACCCGTGAAACGATGGAGCATGACAACTTCAACAACTCGAGGAGTTTCCTCACTGAGGATGATCGATGTCAGCTCCTAGACAACTTTCATCGCCAGGTCGTGGAAAACGAGCATTCCAGCTTCGAGGATATGCTTCTCCACCTTGACAACCCGTCGGCGTATTCCAGTCACCATCGTTCCCATTCCGTCACGGTGCCTGCCAATACCTCGAGAAAGATGTTCTACAATTCAATGCAAGACAGCCTCGAGATGACAAATGAGCGGATCGCGAAGCTTGGGGTCTTCCCTAAGGGCAGCGTGAAGGTGATTGTGACCGGAGGGAGCGCGAAGCACTTCCAAGTACAGAAGAAGCTACGTGAGCAATGTCTAGCAGCCAGCATACCGGAGCCAATCTTTGTTCATGAGGAGTCCAACGACTATGCGTGAGTGTTCCTGTTGACTTACCAGGTCGACTTCTTATGCTAATCACTGGTTCTCTCGCTCAGTGCCTTCAACGTCGCTCGTGGCGCAGCGCTTGCCAGCGCAAAGACTTGCAAAGTTGGAAGTTTCATGAGCAATGGAGCTGCTTTCGGTATACAGATGCTGCAAGAAGAGGAGAGCATGTGGGACAATTACGCCGGAGTCGTTCTGAAAGAGGTGCGTGATGAGCTATTACACTTTTGGCTTGGGTTGATGCTAACATTATTCTCACCCAGAAAGGGCCGCAGGACCTACGTTTCTACTCGTCTGGTAAGGACAGACTGAAGCTGATCTGCGACCCGTTCCATCGTGCCAGAGGTGGTAACGATCAGATACACCACTCCAAAGCTTATGACATCGTCGAGCTCCCCCCCGCCCCCAAGGGCGAATGGCGTTATTCGCTCGATAATGTCGGCGACCAGATGGCGACAGATATGCACCTGAAGTTGAAAAGAGTTCAGTTGTCTGAAGACGGCGAGAGGGTGCTAAGAGAAGCCCCGTCGATCACCATTTGTCGTTCTACAGCACTGCGAACACCTATCTTCTCAAGGTCAAAGATCGAGTCGAGAACGCGCATCGCGGGCTGGCGATCTGGGAGGATGGGACCATTGTTGCGTGTCGCGAAGAAAGAACGGCCGAGGCTATTATGCGCGAGGAATTGTTGTCGAGGATGGAATCTGGGAATGCTGCAGAGGAACCGGCGACGCCCGAACCTGCCCCGAGGACTCCCAAGAGAAGGCGAGGACGCAAGCCGTCGGGCCATCTGCAAGAGATCCCTTCCCACCGAGTCACTCGAGGCCGACCCAGTGAAAGTCCCGAGCCGCCATTGTCGCCGTACGAGGAGATGCGGTCGAGGTTGCGGAGTGTGAGAGACAGCATCATTGTCGGCAGTATCCGGAAAAGGAAACGCTAGAGACTGCAAGAAGTTCTTACCGATAGTGCAGCATTTTAGAGCACTGTCTCAGGCATTTTGCGACCAACTGGTCATCGTGATCCCTTTTCTTCAGGCATGCTTATCCCATATACACATGCCTGTGAGTTCATGATTACTTGTGCAGGGTACTTCAATTAAGAGCTTCAGGAAACAGTCCGGCAAGATCCCTGCCGAGAAACAGGGGAGACCTGCAAACCGAACGACTAGCACCACACAAACTACATCTGCAGGCAGTGAGGGCGCCTTGTTCTCGTGCTGGAAAATGTGCGGAGCCCGGAGGTTAATTGCAGCACATCACACAACCACTTGGAACGGAATCGGCTGGATTTGTGACCCAGGGGAGGTCCGGGACCCAACCCCGGAGGACTCCGGTATAAATGTGGGACATGTAGGCACGGGCCCGGGATAGCGGCCGCGGGATCCGGAATTATGTTCTTCTTACTGTGGCGAAGCGCAACAGCATCCCGTCCAGGAAACTGGGATACCACCACGATCAATCGGTTCACTATCAACACCGGGAGCAGGAGTTCAATCAACATTATGAGAAAGAGCTTTTAACATGTTGAGGTTTGTTGTAAGGCGCAAAATTTGAGTTGACAGATTCCAGTTCTCTCCGTGTTTACTGCCATTTGCGTACTCTTCCCCAGGCCAGTTGACTACCATGTTATTGCTACTAAACAGGAATCGCAAGCATGCGCATCTCAATCCTCAGAAACCGCCGCAAACAACACCGACAGTTCGCTCTGCTCGAACCACGCCTTCTGCTTACCCCAAGCATTGACAATAATCTCACCACCGATCCGAGCAACCTCTCGCGTTTGTTCAGAAGATTCCATCTCGCGCGAAATGGCACCGAAACTGATGAGATGGACTCCCAGCTGGAGAGCGATTCGGAAGGCCAAACTCTCAGATAGGTTACCTAATCCCCTGCAGTAACCCTCGGCAATCCAGAGGCTTGCTTCCTTCCTTTGACACAGCCATATCGCGTACAGCTCGCCTAGCATCTCCCCGTGATCCATGATTGGGACACCGAGTTGAGCGTTCTCCCAGTCTACGACGAACAGGGTAGTATCAAGGTCGGCTGCGAGTGGTTTGTCGCCAATCAGGACACTTTGATCGTGTTGGTAAGCGTGATATCCAAGGTCAACATATTGAGGTAGTAGGGACTGGGGGAGCTCACTTTTGGGGGCAGAAGTCACCATGTATGACCGTCAAGGTCTTATCTCCCCCCCGTATCTCTTCCAAGGCCTGCTTCTTGACTTCCTCAAAAGTGTCTCTCAGATGGCCCAGAATGGAGGGAAACTGGGAGACCCTTTCAAGCAGCCAATCGTAGTTGATCATGTGCTTCAACTTCTGCATCTGGTTGTCTTTGTAAAGGGCCTCCTTCAGTGATGATGACGATGAGGTTGTGTTCTGGGACTCTTTGCTTTCCAGTATGTTGCTTGTAAGCTGATGGAACTGGCAAATGTATTCAGCCAGGGCGCAACCAACTTCTTCATACTGAGGACGCATATCCACGGAAGTGCCTGACGATGGGAACTCGAGCAAGTGCTTCTTCAAGTGCACCACATCCGGCAGATACTCTTGAATCTGCGTCTTCATCTCCTCGTCGTAGATGTAGCATGTTGGACTTCTGACTGTGATGCTCGAGATTTCTTGGCTACTCAAGCGAAGAGACATCGCCTCTAGCTCTTTCAGACAAGCCGCCTCCACATTCTGTCGTGATAAAATGTTAGCGAAGGAAACGGGAAGAAAGTGCCATCTTACACAACGCTCGACCGTGATGGAATTCTGCGGATGCCGGGCCATGTATGGTTCTCCATGTTTGACCATAACCTCCATCACCCGGTTTCCATCCTCCTCCTGAATTTCCTGTTTCAGCCTTGCGAGGTAGGTGAAGTTTGTTTGACCTCCTGTTAGGGGTGTAAGAGACATTGGCGAATATGAAGTAGCTTGCATCCATTCCTGCACTCTGAGCTGGGCCTCATCTGATATCTGCGAAACAGCCATGGTCCTTAGAATGCGAATCAAGGAGTGAAGATGACATTTCCCCCAAGGTTTCACGGGCAGGCTGTTCCTGGTGGTGCTCATTAAATAGTTCACCGGTCAAGGCAACGATTTAGTTGCCTAGGTGAGGCTCACGCAGCGAGTGACCATCGATGGCCATGCATGACTGACGTCAGCCCTCCCAAAAACAACAGCCTGATTGTATCGAGCCACACATGTAAACGATATCGGCTGTCTCGCAAGACCCAATAAGAATCAGTGTTACTTGATGACTGCAACAACTCGGAAACTGGAAGTTCATAGGTTTATATAACATAAGCAGATGGAAAATTTCCTCTTCTCGTGACATTCCCTTCTGGTAATTATGTCTAGACTCTAGACCTTTTGATAAAATGGGAAGGCATAGGCTATGAATATTTTTTGTGTTCTCTCAAAGAGAATTTATATGGACAATAACCTTTCAGGATATGCGTGGAGGTAAAGGAGTACCTATCTTAAATCCGCTCCTTCCTCTTGAGGGCATTCAATTATTCACCTCACTTTCAGCGCACATCCGCATGAGCAAAATTCACATTCACTTCAAACTCCAACACAAACAAAGCCATTATTCTTCTTCGCTTATTTTTGGTCTGAGGTTTGGTTGCTTGCTTCCTTCCAAATATTGCAAAAACGTTTGCCTCTTTTTTGCTGCTTGTGGCAAGCCTTTCACCCATCCTCACCACACCTCACCACACCACCCATCTCTCTTCTCTCCCTCACCACAACACTATTTTTCTTTCCTTCACACTTTATCTTTTCACACATCCCAAGAATCTTGATTATCATCGCGCCGAAAATGAAGGCGGCTTTTATGCCTTCCCTGAAGGCCTGGTGCGGCGGCCTTCTCCAGCTCATCACCCTTAGTCTACTGATTGAGAACTGCCTGGCGAAGGGTATCAGCAGCCCTGGCGACAGAAACAGCGACCATGTTGTTCATGAAGCTGGTAGGTCTTCCCTTATAGGGACTGAACTCATCTCACAAGATCTAACCATCTCATCTGCAGATGTCGCCACCATCAAGCCCTTGATCGAGCCCTCCACCTCCATCTCCATCTTCAAGCGCGGCAACGGTCGCGTCGTCACCAGCATCGGCACCAGCTACATCGACGTCACGATCCCTTGCACCGCCTCAGAGATTCCTTCATCCGTCATCTCGCTCCTTCCCACCCAGCCGATTCAATCTCTCTCAACCTCTGCCATCAACCTTCCCACCGAGGGAACCAGCATCACCTCCTCCTCAAGCAGCAAGACAGATGCTCCTTCCTTGATCCCAACCACTACACCCGTCGGCACCTCTTCTGGTGATATGGTCACCAGGACCATCATCATCTCCGGGATCGTTACGGAGACTTCCTACTACACCGTGTCGCCGACTGGCGGAGGTACCCTGACCGTCACCGTCCGAGATGGCACCAAGACCGTCACTGGACCTGCAAACAGCGCCTCGACCTCCTCGTCATCCAAGAAGAGCGGTGCTCTCGTATGGGTGACTGCCACTGCCAAACAAACCGTCACGGAGTGGTGGGACACCACCAACACCGCCACCGTCAGCTCCTCATCCAAGGCCGGCGCCCCAGTCGTAGTCGTCACTCAAACCGCCTCAGCAGTCATCACCGAACTCCACGACACCTGGGAAACAATCTGGGTCTCCTCCTCCTCCTCCTCCCCCAAACCCACCCCCGCCCCCGGCGTCCCTCACAACTTCCGCCGCGCCATATCCACCAACACCACCCACCCCGCCAACTCCAGCATCCAAGCAACCTCCCAACGCGTCGTCCGCATCCGAGAGACAATCTTCTACAACGAGCAACAGCACATGGCCTCCGTGGCCGTCTACGACATCGGCATCGGCGGCGACGAGAGGAGCGTCGTCACGGGCCACGTCTACGACCAGGGGGGACCCAAGGACCTGCCCAGCGACCTCACGCTCTCGGACCCCAGCGGGGCCTCGCTGAAGATGGACTTCACGTACGGCTTCTTCACCATCTACTTCGAGTCGAGCAAGGGAGGTCGGGTCCAGAGCTGGAGGAACTGGCAGGGCAGGGATGACGGGGCCCCGGGCTGGTGTGAGAATGTCGAGTATGACTTCAAAAAGGTACGTAAATCCGTGAGCTCTTGTTTTGGGATGACGAACTGACGAGTTTTGCAGGGCGTTATGACGCGTGAGGTCAACTGCTGGTACACGCCTTGATGCTGAGGTGCCACTTGCCTACTGGGCGGCTTGGTACTTGACGAGCCACATACCGTGCAAGAAGGAAACATTCAGGGGACGCCACTTGGGAGATTTTCGATCGGACGTCATTTTGCGCCTTGTAAGGCAAGTTTGCTTACTTGGCTTAGAGGTTAGGTTGGTATCTGGCCGCGTTCCTGGGATACAAGAAACGTACAGACTAGTGCAATAGAAAGATCCTTTCTCAAGAGCTCCTTGTCTCCTTGATTTTGCTTGTCGTGCAGGCAACGATTCTCTGAAATGTGTTCTTTAATTATGTACTACCACTGGGCCCTCACACCCCGAACTCGTCAATGACACTCCGAGGCTCTGTGTACTCCCCGACCCCAACAAAGGGCATCTCCAGACCAAACGCCTTCGGTCCACCGACAGGCATGCCCTTCTCCGTCTTCCACAATGGGTGAGCAGGAAGGCCAATGACATTGACGCGCAAACCGTACCGCAGGTCCTGTGAGCCAATCGCCTCTCCGTCTTGGCCAAGGATGGAGATCAGGTCTGGTACAGTGCAAATCAACTCCTGGTCCTTCTCCGACCCTTCGGAGTCTGTGAGAGCGGCGTAGAGATACTCATTTTGGAAGGGAATGAGCATGTGACGGTCGCCAGAAGATCCCTGGGTATCCGAGTCGCGATCCTCGTCTGCGAGGGGCGCGAGAAGAACGCTGCCCATGGTGTAACCGCCGCCGACGTAACGTCTTACGTCGATGATCTTGCCGGTGAAAAGTAGTTTGCCAGCGCAGACGTCAAACTAAACACAAAGATGGTTAGAAAGGCCAAGACGGAGAACGATTTGAGGTCGAGAAGACAAGGAGTGGGCACCCTCTAGGGGGTTAGTGGTACTCACGATCGCGTCAATGTAGCTTGACTTCCTCCTCCTTGCCATGTGAACTGCGCGTCCGAGATACCAGGCCTGTGACAACGTGTTGGGCACGCCGTGGGACTTGATCGCTAAGCCAGGCAAGGGTCTCGCGCAGACCGCGCACCCGAGACCAAGTTCAATCGCGGCGGTACGTAAGAAGCGCTCAAGGCGGATAGGCGTGTCGGTGCTCTGTGGGTTTATGTTCAGCAAGCCGTCTTGATTTTGAAGGAGTGTGATTGCCTACCATCACAACCGATACGTTGCCCCTTGCGTCAGACAGGGCGCAGGGCGTCAGAGGGTGTCCGTACACACTTAGGGTCGCTGTTCAGACAAAAAATGTCAGTCATGTCTCCCTGAGCAAACATTGATGGTGTTGAGACTTGCCTTGGTACATGGTTGGGTATGCTCTGCCCATGGCATCGCCGTCGACCACGGGGATATCGTAGTGTACGCCTGTCGGGAAGACACTCAGACCATTACCTCCGCCACTAGATTCCGTCAGCCTGTCCGCTCGAACAAATCAGAAAGAAAGCCATACATCTCATCGATGAAGATGCCGTCAAGGGACTTATTGCCCACGATCTTGGTTACCGCATCGATGCCATTGGGAATCTCACTACCGCCGGCAATCCTCTCGTTGATAACACTTGGCGTGCCATACCACGATCCAAAGCACACCGTATCGTCGTCCTTCAGAGCTTTAGGTGAGATAATCCTCATCCTACCAGCCTCGCTCGTCCTCAAAGCTTGCAGGCTCTTCAAGAACTCATGGTGCGTTGGGCCGCCGCCCCCGGTCCCCAGCACGCCGCAGCCCGTTGAGATGAGCTCGAGATCAACTTCGGAGACATACCAAACCCCATCTTTGACATTCGGCCGATAGCTGTCGAGGTCTATTCGTAGAGAAGGCCTCGTCGTAGGCTCCAGGGCATCGGGGACGTTCTCCTTGGCGGCCTCGTCCTCCTGCTCCTCTTCCAAGACAACGCCATCGACCTCTGCTAAGAAGACTGGGTTCTCCGGGACACTCAGTTTACCGACTGCCCGAACCTGTATCCTCATGGCGCCATTGTCGACATACTGAAGAGGCATCTTGTTGACCTCAACGATGCGCACGTCGTCTACCGCCGCACCCTTCTGGACGGCCATGTCGATGGCCTTCTGGCACGTCGCCGCCACCACCGCCTTCTCATCCTTGCCCTCCAGGATCTCAATCACGTCCACTTCTCCAGATATCTTTCCGATAGCAGCACCAACAGCGTTAGCAGCGCCCTGATGAATCGGCTGGATGCACTTTTCAACCCCGTCCAGCTCCTCTGTGACAAGCAGAGCACCCCCACCAACGAGAAGGACATGAACAGGAGCTGCAGAAACTTTCATCTGCTCAACAACTCCCTCAAGCATCTTCTTGATCTTGCGGCGTGCCTCGTCGATCGTTGCAGTTGGGATGTCCTTGATCAGACTCGCGTCCCCTAGTTGCGCCTTTCCTGACGCTACGACGACATCCGTCGCCGTCAACGTAGGACCGCCAAAGACCTTCGCCTGCTGCGTTAGGAAATGCCCGACTGACCCCGGCCCGACCGTGACCTCCCCGAACTCGGAGTCTGTCTTCACCTTACTACCGCCCCCGAGGCCGATGGAAACCACCTCCGGCATGGAGAAGGCCGTCCTCACGCCCCCGACCTCCACGAAGCCTGGCGCCTGGCGCGGGAACCCGGACGGGAGCAGCGCGCAGACGTCCGTGGTCGTGCCGCCAATGTCCACCACCAGGACTTGCGGCTCGACCGTCGTATCTGCCGAAGGGCCTGCCGTGATCGTCTTCACCTTGTCGAAGCCGGCGAGGAACGCGGCGCCGGTCATACTATTTGTTGGGCCGCTAGCAAAGGTCTTGATGGGATACTCGGCGGCCGTGTCGGCGTCGATGAGGGTGCCGTCATTCTGCGAGAGGTACAGCGGGCAAGCGAGCTTCAGACGGGCCATGGCACGCTTGAAGCCCCTTGTGACCTTCTGCGCTGTTCTGAGAATCGCCGCGTTGAGGATGGTGGCGTTTTCCCGCTCCAATAGCCCCGGCGGGCCGATGTCGTGGGAGCAGACGACGTCTAGCCTAGGGGCTTCTTCCAGGATGATCTTCTTGCATGTTTCTTCGTGGATGCCGGCGTGGTCCAGGGGAGCGAAGACGCCGACCAGGGCAACGGCAGTCACCCCGGAGGCCACGATTTCTCTAGCGGTCCGTCTGATCTGGTCGTGGTTCACAGGGGCAATCTCCCGACCGTCTATCTCAAGGCCACCGTCTAGGTAATGCACCCCTCCATCGAGAATCCGGTGAAGGCCTGACGGGAAGTCCGAGAACGGCGGAATCTGCCTCGTGAACGGGCCGCAGAGACGGACGACGGCCACGCGGGATAGTCGTCGGGTGTCGGCCTCCACCAAGGCGTTGATAAAGTGTGTCGTGCCGATGGTAACGCTGAGTACCCTCTTTTGGTCGACGGCGGAGCTATTCAGGACGGCACGGATGGCTGCCTCGATGCCGCTGGTGATGTCCGGTGTCGTAGAGGCTTTGTGGGAGGCTCGAACTCCGCGGCCGGGGGTATCAGCGGCGGTGATGTCTAGGATTGCGGCGTCTGTGTTGGTTCCGCCGACGTCGACGCCGATGCGGTAGAGAGACATATTGCCCTTGGATGTGGCCGGAGAGGGTCGATGATTAGGTAGTGGTAGACAAGATCTGCTCATTTTCCGGGCTATTCGGAGGGTGCAGGCTGAGTCTTATGACCACCGTAGTGAAGTTAGGGCTGGTTGAAGGTGTTAGTCGACTGTCATGGCATCGAAATGAAGCATCAACAAATACCCCCACTAGGCCGGTCGATGGAGGGGCCGACAGATAAGATCGGCTAACAGCAACCCCGGCATCGTCGCTTCGGAGGTGGAGTCGGAGCAATTCACCCTCCAAGTGGTCAATTCCCTCCCGCCGGCCCCGTTCTGCTGTAAGTTGACCGATGCTAATTCCCCAGGGATAAGCAGATCGGACAACTTGATGAGGAGCAAGGGCTACCCCATCAGCTCTTCTCCAAACCGGAGACTCACCCGGGAGATAAGAGGCCCCTGAAGAGCACTAATTCAGTAACGGAAATGATAAGTATCGCCGTTAGTGCCGGCGTGGGTGACACGATCCAGTGCCGAGATAACGACGTCGGCCGCGGGAACGCATTGAGTCAACCGCGATCGCGTGGCCGATTTCGTTCTTAAATCGACTGGGTCCTACTGCTTGCCGGGCGCCGAATTGCTCTCATTGAATTCAGCGCAGTCAACAATTCAACACCTCCGTCGGTTATGGGGTTGCAAACAGTCCTCCAGCGGGTGGGACTCCCCTTCGTTTCTCGGTGGATTGTATGTTGTCCGACTCGCCTCCGCATTTTCCACCTCCCGACCGCGTTGCGCAGATCCAGTTGCTGACAAGACAGTAGAACGACGATATCCGACCAATCGAATCCAGAAGACGAACATGGGGCTTTTTGATGTTCCATAACTTCTGTGAGTGAAGGCGTCGTTGTTGAGGTCGGTGCTAAAGTACGGCTAACCCCTGACTAGGGCTCCTGGTCAACTGCAACATCACGACATACCTCACTGGCAGTGCCCTCATACCGCTGGGCCTCACATGGTGGCAGGCATTGATATGTTGGTTCCAGAATACTCCTCGTTGCGTAGTTGACCTGCTGACTCTATCGAGGTATCGTGCTGGGTAACCTCATCGCTACAGGCGTAGTCATTATCAACTCCCTTCCCGGAAGCTACTATCATCGTATGTCAAGCCGACATGATTCGGCAACAAGAAGGCTTACAATATTCCAGTCGGGTTTCCGGTCTATAGTCGGGCGGTATGGGGGATGTGGGGGTCCCAATTCGTCATCTGGAACCGCATCTTCCTCTCTCTAGGTATGTCCCTTCCTGCCCCTCGTGAATCTGCCTCCGGTTAACAAACATCGTACAGTCTGGTTGGTTTACTCACCTTCACCAACCCCTTTTCACATTATTGACGACTTGTAGGTATGGCTTCACAGCCTGGGTCGGCGGCGAGTGCATCTACCTGATCCTCCTATCCTGGGACCCCCGTCTAGAGTCTCACGTCCCGAACACGATGCCCACGGACACGGGCATGACGACCGCGCAATTCGTCTCGTACATACTCTTTTGCGTCATCAGCCTCCCGGTTCTTTGGATTCGACCCCACCGCCTCGAGAAGTTCTTCCGCGTCGCCTGCTCCATCACCCTCGTCTTCTTCCTCGTCCTCCTCATATGGGCCCTGGCGACCATGGGACCCACGGGCTTCGGCGACACAATAACATCGGGCTCCGTGCTGCCGAACACCGGAGGGCCGCAGAGCGTGGCGTGGCTGATGATCTATGGCATTGTCTCCACGATCGGGTCCATCGCCGCGGGTATCCTCAACCAGAACGATTACTCCCGATTCGCGACGCAGCCGAAGCATGCCATCCTCGGGCAGGCTGTCTCGTTTCCATTCTATGGCATCTTTAGCTCGCTGATCGGGATCCTGGTGACGGCGGCTACGCAGCATCGTTTCGGTGGTGAGGCCATCTGGAACCCGCCGACCTTGTTTGCGCAACTGCTGGCACAGAACGAGACGGCGGGGACACGGGCCGCTTGCTTCTTCGCGGGCCTTTGTCTCGTCATATCCCAGATCGGCGTCAACGTACCGGGGAATGCGCTGGCCGGCGGTTTCGATCTGGCAGCCACGTTCCCGAAGTACCTCAACATAAGGCGAGGGGCGTATATCACGGCCATCTTCAGCATCGTCGTGAACCCCTGGCGGCTTGTCAACACGGCCACGACGTTCCTCACAGTGCTGTCCAGTTACAGCGTGTTCCTGGCCCCTATGACCGGGCTGATGATCTCAAGTTACCTGGTTGTCAACAAGAGGAAGGTCAACGTCGATGACTTGTACCGTGGTGACTCGGACAGCATATACTGGTTCTCGTATGGGTGCAACTGGCGAGCTCCCGTGGCGGTAAGTGGTCCGAGAAATCCTATTGATGGCGATGGCTGACCTCATCAAGTGGCTTGTCGGTGTCGTTCCTTGCATGCCGGGCTTCGTCGCAGCCGTCGATACATCTGTCACAGTTAGTGAAGGGGCAACGGAGCTCTACTACATGTCATACATGTATGGTCTCCTGTCGAGTGGTCTTGTGTATGCCGTGCTGCATAAGGTATTCCCTGCCAAAGCTCTGGATTCGTTTGTCAAAACTGCGCCTTCTGCAAAGGAGCTCCAGGAGTTCCATCTTGGTAAGTGGGATGTGACGTTGGCAGAGACGCCGAATGTGGTAGAGGCGTTTTCGGATCAGGGTGGCAAAGGGGACAATGCCGTGACGATGAAGGCGGACGTGTAATCTTTTCTTTCTCCGAAAAGTTTTCGCAGAAGGCGTTCGATGTGGTTAGAATTTTCTTCCTTTCATAGTGGTAAGGAGGGAAGGAGCCCCCTAGGCAGTCGCACCTTCCTTCCAAACTTTCTGCCCTCCCGGTCTCTGCCTTGCCATGTCTGCCTGATCTACCTTTCTGCCTTGCGACCTCCAGATTCACGCCCTGCCTTACTTCTAATGGAAACGAGGCAGAGATCTCAACAGCTACCGGGACATCTTTGGGCATATGGCCTGGTCGGTAGAACACCAGCGAAAAATATACTCTGATCAGATGCTCTGTTAAATCTGCAGGGCGCACTGATTCGATGCTCCATATGGGCACAGTGCGTTGAACAGTTTTTTGTTTTTTTAACCCTCTGATGCCTCTCAGATCGTCTTTCTTTTCTTTTTATGGGCTCTTGCGTGATTTTTATCCATGGGAAAAGAAGCTACGTCGTGCTGTGAGGTCGTCGCTCGGTAAGTGAAGCCATCACCAGCTTCGTATCTGCCTAGCTGGGAACAGGTGATGGGTTGCGGTCGCAGCAGCTGTCAGCGGCTGCCCCGCCTTGACGTTGCACCGGGCGCTAAGTGTTCGCCGGAAATCCACTAACAGCAGTGACATTTCATCTCGGTGGACCCTGATTTCTTATCGCGCCTCCTCCTCCATCACCTTCGGCGAGCAACAACCCAGCGATCTCCAATGTCGGCCAACTATCACTGACAGCATGTCATCCGACAGTAGCCCTCGCGTGTCACGACAACGGCGGAAGTTTACTGTTCAGAGTGAATTTGGCAATGCCAGGCAGTGGCGCAGTCGCAAAAACAGGCCCTGCGACATTTGCCGAAAGAGGAAGACCGTCTGTGTCATCACGTCTGTCCCTCCTTGTGAGTACCATTTCCCTGAACGGTCACATTCACGCGTCGCTAATCGAGCCCAGGTCTATTCTGCAAGGGACGCGGTCTCGAATGCACATCATCCACCCCTATCGACCAGACATCCGACGCCGCCGTGGGGGGTCGCAACCATGTCCACACTACCGCCGGGCCGTCACAGCCAGAGTTCGGCCACCGTCAAAGGCCCAACAGCCCTGGCCCCGCAGCCACTCCTTCCGCCGTTGAAGGTCCCGGCCCCAATACCGATGGGCTGTGGACCTTGGAAGACAACGCGAACCGGACTGCGCACAGCATGGGCCCGGCTGCAGAGCAAGACACCCACGTTCTCGACGCCATCCGCTCCAGTGTGTTGAGCAGCGCGGATGAAGTGGACGCCGACATGATCCAGGTCTACGGCGGCAGCAAGTACCTATGGGACCCTCCCGTCCATTTCTGTCTTCTCCAAGACGAGTTCGCAGCCCATGACAATGCTGCCAGGAACGCCGCATCGTCTGCCATCGAGGGCCTCGTTGGCCAGTACGGGCCCATTCTCGTCCGGCTCTACTTCAAGCACATTCACCCGGTCCTCCCAGTCCTCTCCAAAGTGCGCTTTCTGAGACAATACGCCGTCGACAAGACAAAGCTTCCAGCATCGTTGAGGGGCGCCGTGTATGCCTTGGCGTCAGTATTCGACAAGAAGGACCCCTCTCTGAAAGGGCCGTTTCCTTTTAAGCAGCACCAGCTTGCAGACTATGCAACCGATTCTCTGCAGCGAGAGCTGGATTCTCCAAATCTCGCGAAACTGCAGGCGAGTCTGCTGCTGTTGCACGTGAAGCCGAACGATGTCGACAGCATCGAGCACCCCCGGACGTGGACCTCTACCGCCCAGGCCGTGGCCACCGCCCAGATGATTGGTCTTCACCAGGACGCCGAGAGATGGTCTATCGCCCCTTGGGAGAAGAGCCTGCGGAGGAAGCTGTGGTGGGCCACGTACGTCGCCGACGTGTGGTCTGCGGTATGCCACGGGAACCCGCCTCATATCTACCCGGCGTCCTTCAATACGTCGGATATCACGATGGACGACTTGCGAAGCGACGAAGAGGTGCCTCCTGAACTTGAAGCGATGATTGACCCCGTAAGCTCCGGATTCCAAATCGCCACGGGGGCTCGGTTCTTGGAGTTGGTCAAGGTCAGTCAAGCACTGCGTGAGATGATTGATTGCAGCTTGTGAGTACCCATGCAGGTTGAAAACGAGGATGAAGAAAGAATGCAGCTGAGAGACAGCAGTCAAGTACCCCGACTGAGGCCGCCGGGACCAGGGGAGGATGGTAACACAGGCCGCCTGCTGTTGCTGAGAGACAAGCTCGGAGATTGGGATGGTCTCCTCCCTCGATGCCTCGCCATGCCGTCACCCGCAGAAGCTCTCGGTCCGTCTAACAATGGTGAGTCAAAATGGGGTCTGATTCAGAACTACTTGTATCAATTGAACTGACAGAATCAGCACCGCTACACCTAGCCTACTACGCCTATCTGGTCCTGCTATATAGGGCGCTAATGACACCAGCAACAAAGGAAGCGAAGATGGACTCTTCTTCGAATCTTCATCGCTGGTTCGAGACCGCAGTACGAGACTTCGAAGGGTTCCTGGGGCTGATAGAGGCAGTCACACCCGAAGATCTCCAGGGCTTCTGGGGCCGCCGTATGTTCACTGAGACCCCCTCAGGCAGCTGCCTCATACTGACGTCGTGACAGATGCTCGATCCCAGTTGATTCTCTGCGGCAACTTTCTTATATACCTTTTCCTCCTTTCGCCGACAAATTCGGACGTTGACGCGGTCTGGGGTCTGATTGAGAGGTTCGAAGCATCGCTGCAACGTCTGGAAAGTCAGGCTGATGAGGCGGCGAAATTACTCATCCACCCGGTTGCTCTACGAGTGCAGTCCTTGTTCATCCAGGGCGTCGATCTCATGCGCAAGTCGCATTCAGCAGGAACAGCCTCTGCAACAGCATCGGCCGTCTGACGCGGATTCGCCTCTGAAAGCTGTTTCGGAAAGGCTGATGATCTTAATTCATTACGCAAACATAGATGCTAAGTCGCCGCGTATCTTTTATGCTGACGAGAAACGTACACAAAGTCATATGGTGTACTTCTAGACCAATTATTTCTTGTCCTCCATACCCTCACGCAGGATCTCAATCTGCTTCTTGATCTCAACCCACAGGACAAGCTTCTCAATGTCCTCATCCTCAGTCGAGTCCACAACACCAAGCCAGTCATCCTCCAGCTGCTCGGTCAGAGCCTCGACCTCGTCACGCCCATTGTCCTTCTTCTGGGCAATGGCCAGCAGCGCCGCAACAAAGGCCTCCTGAATGTATGCGAAGCTGAACTTGTCGGTAATCTTGGCAATGGCCGTGCACAGCTTGTCCGGGAACTCGATCTCCTTGTTGCCCTTAAGCTTCTTTTGCCAGAACTTGCAGTATGCGGCACGCTGCTCCTGGTCGGGGTCCGGGAAGTAATACTTTCGGTCGAATCGGGAGGGGCGTTTCTATGGCTAGTCAGCAGCTGGAAATGGTCAAAGCCGACGGCGTTACTTACCGAGATACCAGGGTCAAGGCGGTCCAGGTGGTTTGTGCTTCCGATGATGAAGATACCGTCGTTCGCTTTCAAGCCATCCATCTCATTGAGGAAGTAACTCCGCACATCATCCGACACAATAGTGTCGAGATCCTCGAAGACAAGATAGCACGGCGCAAACTGGCGTGCTTTGCCGAAGATCTGGCCCAGGGAATACTCCGGTCCGGCATACGACGTCAGTGTCCTCACGTACAGCGTCGGGATCTTCATCTCGTTGAGCATGTGCATCGTCGCCTTGATGGAAATCGTCTTGCCGTTGCCCGGGGGCCCGTGGTAGATCAGGCCGCGCTTCCACGGCACCTTGAGGTTCTGGTATGTCTCACGCGACTTGTAGAACGACAGGTGGTCCTCGATCAGCGCCTTCTTCATGTCCGTGTCCAGGATCACGTTTTCCCACGACGCGTTCCGCGTGCTCTCGAACAGCTCCCGGCTCTTCTGCCAGCGGCCCTGGTCGTACACCCAAACCTCGTCGTGCAGATCCTCGCTCCACGAACCCGCTGCGAGGACAAGCTGGTCGACGTGGTAGGTCTCGGGCGCCAGCACGTAGTAGTTCTTGTACTGCAGGTAGCCCGCGGTGCCGTCGCGGCCGTCGACGAGGTACACGATGAACTCGTGGCCCTGCCATTTGTACAGGTACTTGCCGTAAATGACACTGTTAGCCAGACCGCCGAGGTTGCCGTCCATGCGGCGGGCTGGGGGCAAGTAGACGGTCCATTCGAGCGACGAGGGCAGGTCGCTCTTGTCCTCGATGGGCTCGAAGGTCGCGAAGCCCGCCTGGGCGTAGGCGAGAAGGTTGCACTCGGTGCCGTAGCTGAAGGCCTCGGGGACGACGACGAGCTCGAGGCCCGGGTACTGGGCCTTCAGGGCGCGGGTGATGACCACATCGGTGGCCACGCGCTTGGCGCTCGAGTGCTCGAAGTATTCGTTCGCCGTGGCATCGCGGTCGGGTTCGGACTTGGATTGGGCAGAGGGGGCTGCTGGGGTTTGTCTCGTCGGCGCCGGGCGGGGGCTGACGCGGGCCGGCGCTCGGGGGGCTTGAGGCTCTTGGGTGTCGCGGATGTTGGTGATTATCGGGACCGGGTAGTCATCTTGGGTCGTGTTCCAGCGGGGGAAGGCCGGCATCTTGAAGAGCTTCGGGCCGGGATTGAGGTGCGGAGGGGATGAGGTCTCGAACGTCGCAGTCGTCGTCTACGAAGCTATCTCCAGATGATGGGGAAGTTGGAGATGACAATGGTGATGGTGGAGGACGGGGAATGGGGAAAGCTGTCTTCTGCGGGGGGAAGAGCTCCAGGTGTCAGATTGTCGGTGCCTAGCGAGCGATCGTCGTAAGGGGGTCACACCTGGACTGGAGGAAGGCTGGGGGCGTACGACATCACCAAACTGAACCACCGCAGCTCCAATTGGGGAAAGCTCGCACCGGGGCAGCTGTGCCGCCGCCCTGCCCCTGTGGTGAGATGACGTCGCGCGATTCGCTGAATGTCCACTGCTGAGAGCTAGGGGTTAGCTGCTTCGCCACTCAGCAGGGGTCATCCCGGGTTGTCCAGGGCGATAGGAAGCTTGGCATCTAGCGCTAGATACGAGGCGATCTAACCTCTGGCTAGCGACTATTTTCCTTGGACTAATTGGCTTCGGAAATATTGTACGTTGAGATTTTGGGGAATTATTGAGGCTGTCGTGAGCTTGGTGAGTGAGGATGGGGTGAAGGGAAGAGACGACACTCGGGGCAATTGGCTCCGAGGCCTCATTGACTTTCGAGCTGCAGGGAGCTTGCCCTGGAAATAATCGGGGCTTTGTTTAGATCAGACGGGCAATTGCAAGCGCCTCGGATTATATGTATGTATTGTGAGGAGAGCTTTGCCCTGAGACTTGGTCGTCGAGCGCCTATTTGCACTGAATTGTAAATGGTTTTCTGATACTTTGTCGCGAAGGCACTTCACTTTCATCACGCCCCCTCGACCTGTTCTGTTCTGGTCGTTGGGATTTGGCATTGGCGCTTTACAGTTACACCAGCATCTGAACGAAGGTGTACATATCAGAGACATGCTTTAGCGTATGGCGCTGGAATTGAAGCTCTTGTAAACCTTAAAACATTGTTCGGAAGTTCTCTTTGCGACGTCGTACTTTCAAAGCGTTTTATTCGGCATATTGGCCTCACCTTAAGGGTACGCTATGAAAACTTTGATTTATTTATCTATTGAGTTATTAGTTTAAATTCACCTTACTATCTATTATTATATAGCATTATGTTGCTTAGGATATAACTAATTAGGGTAAATAACGGGTTTTCTTAATCAGTATCTATATCGTAAAGTACCTTCAAAGCGGTCGTTCCTCCGCATCCCCAGTGCCGAATGGATCCACATATCGGGCCCGGCTCCGGCGAATAGAGGCCGATAAACGAACGCCTTCGCTCTCGCCCTCGCCCTCGCCATAGGCGTTTATTATTCCATGTGTGTGATTCCAGGTTGTTCATTTCGCCAAATCGGAAAACCAACTTCACACGATTATCTCAATTCCTTTCAAGCATAAAGGCTCCCGTTACATAAAAAGAAGAGTTGTATTTCAATTGACTTGGATGCATTACGTTGTAGCTTCATAGAGAATCTTAGCTCATTCCGTCTCATATATCGAAAGTTGGAATGCGTCGGTAACCAGTTCTAACAACCATCCCTCTCTGGGAAGAATCAACTTCGCCATCCCAAGTCCGTCCATCGTTTTGCTCTTGCTTTATCTTGTGTATCTTGTGTACATTGACGCTGAAGCCCCAACAAACATTTGACTCCGGTCCGCCTGGAACCGCCCTCTGACAACTCGTGAACTGTGACAGAAGAATGCGTTCGCTTCCATCCTGCCACTGAAGTTATCTCCCCCTCTCGAATTAAGCCATGCGTCCTCGTCACCGATCCGGTGTCTTTGATCCCGTAACTCCCAACGGTTTTGAACAACACAAAGCAGCCCGTGTCCAATTTGTCAATGAAGACGGAGGATTCTTGCTGCAATTACCCACGGCACACCCAAGCACTCAATGGAGACGGTATGTCATCGAGTCCTCTGCACGGGCAGATAACCGTCGTTGATGTCGAGGTGCTGGGCAATCCACGGGCTAGGCTCTGACTTTTACCACAGGACAGTAGGCACATCTAGCCAGCCGGCAATTTGCACAAAACTCGTGGCGAATGGGATTTCCTCCCTGTCCACAAGTACACTGCGCAACAGTTAGCGTTGTAAATCCACGGTCAACTCAGTCTGGAGTAAGCCGGGAAACTTACGCATTGCCAGAGATATGCAGTCTTCCGCTTGGGACCTCGTTCGTAGTAGCCAGAGTAAACTCCATCGACGTCCTTCCAGTAGTCCACAGTCAGTGCGTCTTCGAGGCTGTGACAAGAGCAGGTGAGGCATTGAGGAGTCTGAGCTGCAACGGGCCACATCCAGTCGAGCACAGGGCAGTAGTTTGATGGCGACGCGTGATCGCACCCGGTAATCTCGAGACATCGATGGAACCACGCGCTAGTGGACGAACCACAGATCTGGGCGAGCCAATCTCCGGATATCGATCGGATCCCGCGATGTGAGATGGATTTCGTGACGTAGATCGATTTTGCAGCCAATAAAGCCCCCAGTCCGCTTCTGACCAACAGGAACCAGCGGATGCTGGTGATGAGACAATAGAGTCCGAGAAGAACATAGAAGAAGACATGTAGGCCAATTGCTCCGCGATTCAAAGTGCAAATATCCCGCTCCATGCTCTGCCCCGCCTTGACACGTGGTGGGAAAAGTGCAAGACCACGCTCTGATTGGTCAGGCCATTGAGTGATGACCCCTGATTCTTGTGAAGGACAACCAACACCAGTTTTGCCGACGCATCTTGTTCTAATTGAAAGACTCGACAACATTTTTGAGCTAAATTTCCGATTTCTGATGGTGTTTTTGTTTTTTGTGCGTAGTAAATGCCCACATGGATTCGATTTCGTGCCGTGCAGTGCAGTACAATCGATGCTCTATCCCTTGTATTTAGCATTTATTAGCACGATCATCCATGAAGCCAGCCAGTAGGATGTGGAAAGAACCTGGTACTTGCAGCGGATAACCTACACCGCTGGTGTGCAAAGGAGTCAGTTCCTTGAACATACGGTATATGCGCTCTGTGCATTATATACTGGCAGATATCGACACGTTTTAGCGTACGTGGCATCCGTGGTGAGGAACTAGTCAACAAGGGATGGAATTCAGGGCGTTCCAAGCTAATGAGATCTAATCACGCCCTGAGTGAAACACATGGCAAGATCTTTCTTCACTTGGCTTTTCCTGTGTGTGCTCTTGCTCAAGGACATGCTCAAAATGAGAAGCCTTCCTTACTATGACATCGACCTTGCATAACATGCCCTCTCTAACCACAGATACGTCTAAAGTCGAGCACTTCCAAGCCATTTCTCATCATATTGACACGACTTCCGCAAGCTAAAAGGCAAAAGCCATTCTAAGTTCAATCATTAGGGAAACATGGATTGACGGAGATCCTCTGTTGTATTTTTGAAGCTTCCCTCGAGAAACCATCACATCTCAACCGGACTCCGGCAGGTCTCACCTCACGGGATACCAAGAACTGCCTGTGATTCCACACTACGTTAGCCCGTTCGGCCTCGCAGTTGCAGTCTGATCGATGTGTCTCATCTAATGGTGACGGAAAGAAGAGCCTTGGTCTACCTCTGAATGGGTTTCAGAAGCATTTTAATACGGATCTTCGTTTCGTATAAGTACAATCCCGCATTGCTTTTCCTGGGCTTACGCGCGGGAACCCTTTCTCGGTGTATTATTCTCGCACGAGCCTTTGCCCCAAAACGACAAGCTCGGATCCAGGCTCGGCTCATGTTGTTAGAATTAAGAAGGAAAGTGTGACAACCGTGTTAGTGTCAGGTAATAAGTGATCTACACCGGAGCACGTCTATCGGGGTCATCATCCAACAGCCAGTCAACTAGCCTTGCAGCCTGCCGAGGTTGATGTACGTAATAAACCCCCCCTTCTACAGACCGATATCTACTCTTGCAATTGATTCGATCCAAGCGACACCCCGTCATTGTGTAGAGCCGCATGAAATTAAGGTAGCACAACGTCGACTGGTGTAACACAACTGAGTGGATGTAAAAGCGTGCGGTAATCTGCATCTCGTTTCTGCCTACGGACGCGAAGATAGGCATCTTTGGACAATTCAAATATCGTCAGAGGCCAAAACACTGAGAAGTCTCGCTTTCACGTTCAATATCAGAAGTGATAATTCATTTTGAGTCTACAGCGGATCAAGTACCAGAGACGCGACTGCGAACACTGGAAGCCTTCAGCGAATGTGCCGGAGGAGCTCCGGAGCCAGCCCCTCCCGGCCCGGGGCATTACATTGCCGTACATAGGCAACGCAGGTGCGCGGGCATCCGACGTTACATTTTCGCTTAACCTCAAACCGACCAAAGGCCGCAGCCCTTCGGTCGTGCGCAAGCAAATCGATCCATGGTACGAAGCAGCATTTCAAAAGTTACAATCAGGGCAAAGTATAGAATCACCTTGCCAACGTTATCAATACCTAGGGTATAAGACGTCTAAATTCATCCCCTATATAAGCCTCTTCAATACTAGTTCTAGAGATTTAGACCCTGCTTTTATGATAAGAAAAAAGCCTGCTTATATTGAGGTTATTCCGGGCCTCTCGCTACCTGGGCGTTAGCCGTAAACTTCCAAAAGGCTCCTCCTTAAAAGCGGATGTCGCACTGGACTTCAGTGATCCAAATTTTGAACGTTTAAACGTGTGCTCTTTGGGTATGGCGAGATGTCTAATGCAGCGAGAAAAACGAGGACAGCTGCATGGTGTTGCGCGGGAGCTTGCTCCGGAATAACTCCTAATCAAAAATCCCTTCCAGGCTCAACCGCCAACTTTCACAATGACCCGGCAGCTGCGAAACAAATCCCGCAAATTCAGAGATTTCTGATACCCCCTCTCTTGAGTGTTTGTTGATGAAAAGTCAAGACGTCAAGGAGGAAGGCCTAGCTCTGGCCGAGAACAATGCAAGAATTACGACTTGTAATACTGTTGGATGTGTACCTTCATGTGAGCCATTTAAGTTGATTCACCTAATCTTTCTGGCAACCCAAAACTGTGCAGAATACGCATTCCTGGTCAAAGCTTTGTCGTTGAATCCATAGACTGCCTGTTTCCCCCTAATCTTCTCTTCTTCGAGGGTGATCTCACCACAAGACTCGTCGACGTCCACGAACTCGAAGCCCATACTCTTGACAATAGCCGCAATCTCATCCAAGGACAGCTGAACAAACGGGCCTGTACCCCAGAGCAATGGTCCAAAGTTGATCCAATAGCCCCCGACCTTCAGCGCCGAGTGAATGGTGTCGAAGTAGCTCATGACGTTCCTTGCTGTGTCGATGAAGAAGTGGGTGACAACCGAATCGTACTCCCCCTTCTGACTCTTGAACTCGGACACGAAGTCGCCTTCAACCAGTAACACGGAACTGGCGTTGAATCGACGGTCGGGGAAGGAGACACCGCGAAACATGTCAGACGTCGTGGCGTGATGAGACCAGCTGTCGATGAAAGGGTGGACCGACTTCGAACCAGGTCTCGGATGGGCCTCCAGGAAACGGTACGCCAGGTTCATGAACATAGACCACTCGTTGATGGTGACCTCAAAACCACCTAGAGAGGCAAGCTCGTGGCCCAGGCGACCTACCCCGGATCCGGGGAGGAGGACCTTGATGTCGTTCGCAGATCTCTCGGGGAACAACGATTCAATCGTGCTGAGGATACACGGGAAGGCATCATCTCGCTCGCCTCGGCCCGAGGTGGACCAGTCTCTAACGTAATGTTTCAACGCTTGAGAAACACTGACTCTGTCTGCCAGCTGCTTGGCCTGATCTTTGGCCTTACTGTGGCCAGCCAGCTCATCGCGTGTGATTCCGTAGTACTCCAAAGCTGCCTCAACGATCTCGTTGCATAAATCCTGATTCAACTCGTGGAGCCTCTCAGCCGTCTCAAACTTCTTGGAGTAGCCTATCGTGTGTTCTAACACCTGTCCGAGTCAGTCGGTCAGTGACGTGACAGCCGAGAGGTTCCAGCCGGAGATGACATACCTTCTTTTGTGCCTTGGAAACGTATGTATACAGGTCTTTATACCGATTCAGCTCGTCCATTTGCCTCACTTTGTACCGGCTGAATCCAAAGAGGGCCTCCATCAAACGATGGCGAGGGTGGTTGGTGTCCCACTTCCCATGAGATTTACTCAACCTTTTCATCAGGTTCTTCTTCTCCTGCACATGGCGAGGGCTAGGCTTGTCAGGAAGGTCTTCAAGCGTCACCGTGACCTCGTGAACCTCGACAAATGAAGCAATGGGCATCTGCAGTGAATGTTAGCTGCGATTATTGCTTGATGTCAGCTCGGTGTGGAGCACAGCGAGGCCGGCGGAGACTTACCGAGGCTAGGGCCGGTTCCTCAGCGGCGGCATCGCCAGCGACATTCTCACCGACCACATTGCTCTCGGCGTCCCCTTCGAAAGTTTCACAGACAGCGCGGCATGCAAAGCCAGCGATGAGCCAGGTGGCTGGGTGAGACAATCGCATGATGGCTGTTTAGGGAGGTGGAGACGGCTGTCAGTTAGCGGTGATTGAGTCGGTGAGTGAGACCCCGCGAGCACGAGTACGCGCCAGAGCAAGCCACTTTGCAGAGTTTTCGTGTGTGAAGGTTGCAGGATGCGGCTCGTGATCGGGAGGAATGAAGAAAGAGTCTCAGAGAGCGCGAACTTGGATTCTGAAGAGATTGAAATTAAGTGAACAACACCGAGAACCTTGATGGCTGTGCCAAGACTAGAATAGTGGGAATTCCGACCAAGATCCAACACACGAGGTTTAGCTCAATGTTTCTCTACAAAAAGTTCCTGCATATGCCCCATACAAAGCAGTCATTGTTGGTCGTAATTGTTGGTCGTCCAAATCCCATCTATGCTTTATTCGTTCCGTTGGCCGTCTCGGCATCTGCTGTCAGGATTTGGTTCAACTGATTACGCTTGACGCAGTTCTCCAACGCGAAGCTGGCCGCAAGCTCCTCAAGCTCTGCCTCCGTCTTGCCCTTGAAAAGCTCCGCAAACTCCCAGCCGTGGTATTCGCTCATCAGACACTCACGGACAACCCGCTCGACTTGCCTGTCGAAAGTCCACGTCTTGGGGTACTTCTTCTTGTGCAGATGCTCCGGGAGAGTCGACTTGAGTTTCGAGATGAAGGGGGCGTAGACCTCGTTGTCAATGCCGCTCTTGTCGGCGCAGCCCCAGAAGTCGAGGCCGAGGCGCTGCTTCTTCTCGACGAAGGGCCGGATGAGACGCATGTACGGGCTCTCGGGGTCGACGTAGACCATGCCCTGGTAGCCGATGTCCTTGTACAGCCAGATGCTCCAGGAGATGCCGCCGAACTCGCGGTAGATGTTGAGCTGCTCCTTGAGCAGGGCGAAGCGCTTCTCGTTGGTCGCGGCGGCGTTCGAGTCCGTCCTGGGGTCTTGGTAGACGGGGCCCCATTCGCCGTTCCAGATGGGTACGCGCGCCTTCTGCATGAATTCCACCTTGCGCTTGAGGCTGGCGCGCAGCTTCTGCTTTTGGGAATCTATTCCCTCGTATTGTTCGGGTAGTGGGAAGCCGTAGAGGCTGTAGTCGTGGCAGCTGTAGACGCTGTTTGGTAGTGTTTTCTCGGGCGAAAATGCGGAGAAGTCCATGGCGTACGTGTTGCCGTCGAGGAACAGGATGTGATCGGGGTCAATGGCGCGAATGGCCTTTTCGGCGCGCTCGTACCAGCTGATGAGGCGGGTGTGTTTAGGGTCGGCCGGCTCGTTGAGGGGGTTGTAGCCGGCGATGACCTTGTTGCCCTTGTAGTGAGCAGCGAGGGCCTCCCAGAGCTGAATAGCCCGATCCTGGAAGTCCTTGAACTCCCAGAACAGAGCTCTTGAGATACCGGAATCGCTGTGCCAGTCCTGGTTCTGTCCACCCGGCACAGCGTGAAGGTCGAGGATCACGTAGATGTTGTACTTGGCGCAGTAGTTGACGATACGGTCGAGGAGCTCAAAACCAGACTTCTTGATCACGCTGGGGTTCGCATCGTCAATGAAGTGGCGGTAGTTGAAGGGCACCCGCAGGCAGTTGAGGCCTAATGATGCGAACAAGGCGGCATCGGCCTCTGTGAAGTAGTAGTGAAGGAGGCGAGAGAAGAAGAAGTCGGCCTTCTCCTGTCCAAGGACTTCAGCCAGAGCCTCACGGTGTTCACTCTCGTGACCACTGTAGCCTTCACAACAATCAGTATTGGAGTGAATCGGCTTGTACTTTCCAAGGGTACATACCTGTGATGAAGTTCTCCATATTGAGCATACCACCCACCGCGGCTCCTTTGAGAATGACCTCTTCGCCATTTTCATTCACGATCTTCGTACCGTTGACACGCAGCAGCGTGCATGGGGGGTTTGGGGTGCTGTTGGACATGTTGGCGAGGTGGCGTGATGTTGTGGTTAGTTGCGCCCGGTGTCTTGAGCCGTCGATGAACTTCGTCAAACTTGAGGCCGATACTTTATACCCTCGGTATCATGACCAGGCCATATTGGTGGGTCAGTGGGATAAGATCGTTTCATTCTCTGTCACCTCAGGATAACGGCCTTCCGTCATCAAGCATCAACAATTGGGTGAAGTTGCATGTCCCCTCGATTCTTAACTGCGACATTCCGGGACGGAGTGGGGTGGTCTCCCCGCGGATCTCCAGTTTTCCGGGATGATGGGCTGGATCATCCCGAATCCGGGGTACAGAAAGCAGCGCGTGACAAGAAGGCCAGACCAAGGAGCTGGCATGCTTGCGCTGATCTGATGGTCGACCCGGCATTTGGGTAGTTTCCACGCAAACCCATACCGTCCGGCTCTAAGCTTCGTATGCCGAGCATGGATCGAGGGGTATTTAGGCTGAATTGATCTGTGGAGCGACTAGGTACGTATGTTGAACGTGAATTACGTTGCGCCCACATTCTACACATCTTCTTGATCATCCGATGGCGGCCAAACCGACACAAGTGACAACGCTTGCTGTAGAAATCGCCGTATTCTGCGAAGCTCTTGCATTTCACCCTCCCAGAACTTGAGGAGCTCAACGACTCCCCTGACTCCGTCATGCCACCCTACCGGCATCTCCAACTCTATGGCAGGACGACCGCAGATCTCGTCGGTGCGGACACCTATCGCGGCTGCTGCGAGGACCAGAGCACTCCGTGAACATGACCTCAGCATAGGCAAAGTTCCATGGTGCCTATGCAAATATCCAAACTCATTGCATTGAAGCCTAGCCGCATGGTTTTGGAGGCCTTTCTTTGCAAGAGCGATGCTGCTTGGAGGCATCATTTCCCTCGGAAAACTTGGATTTAAGCCGAAGCTGTCGAGATACGCGATCGTGAACGGCCAGTAGATTTGCTCAAATAGGTTTATGGCGTGTCCGCGAAGCACGAATCGACATACGTCGTCTTCTTCCGGAGGCTCACCGAACGACAGGCCGAGTGGAAGCGACGCAATCCACTCGTTTACCTGCTCTTCGTATTGCTGAGTTGCCGCTGCTGCGGCTAAAAGATACGCTTGGCGCCCGGGATATTCCTTCTGAAGACCCACCATCTCGGCGCTGATCCGGGACGCGAGTCTGCGGAGCGATATCTCGGAAAGATAGAAGTACCAAGACGTTCTTTCGCGTGCCAAACGCGGATCGCTGGCCGCCTCGACCTCTGCCCGCGGAGCAGGTGGGGTCGGAAAGAAGGGTGGATAGAAGGCGAGTTCCTTTTCGCTGAGGGCGAAATCAGGCAGGTAAAGATCTCCGCGCATCTCTCGCTCGGACTTCCACGACGACCAGTAGATTGCTTGTTGGAGAGTATCGATCGAGTAAGTTTGTGAATCCGCGCCTGATTCCACGTGGTTCTGGTAGCGTTGTTGGGCTTCAGGGGTAAGGAAGGGAAGTTGCTGACAGTTTGCAAGCGCTTGCACGAAGTACCTCCATGCTTTGACAGGTTGGAAAATGCACATCATGTACACCCCTGACAAGAAGAGACACTGAGCCGCGATAATGTCGTCTGCTGATAGTAAGATACCCAGTCTTTTCTGGGCAGCTCGGAAGTACTCCTGAGCTTTGGCGTGTGTAACAGTTCCCGGCATGGTCTCGTGACTCGGGCCGAACGGCGTCGATATGGACCCCAACGCGAAGATCAGGAGAGACAAGCATGACTCTGCAGACCAGTCAATGCCGTTCATGGTGGTTGATAACACCATCTTTCTTGTTGCTGTCTCGTCCAAGATCGGGTTCTTGACGTGTACGTAGCTGAAGAAGTTGTCTATGAGCTGCTTAACTCGTCTTGTTTCCATGTCGAGATCTCCGAGCACTGAAGCAGGAGAATTGATTCCAAGGTCGATTATCGGGGGATAGTCATCTTGAGCCATTGCAGTCCGAACACTTTGGAAGATGTTCCAAGACATGACATGTTCAGGCCCTGCTGGAACGATCATGCCAAGTTCGATGGGAGGGCCCACCGCGACTGGTACTTCCAGGCGAGTCTCGACCGGGACCTCAACAACCCTCGTCTTATTGGAAGACCCATCAACTGAGACGGATCTCATGAGCTCTTCCAAGTCATCGAGTCGTTCTAGGATCTTCAGACTCGCTGGATCAAAACTGGATAGGTCCACAGGCGACTGGATGCAGGTAGCCCCGACCTTTAGGCAAAACGAGCATGATGGCTTCAAATTGTCGCACTTTGTCCTTCGGGCTCGACAAACTTGACAAGCCTTCACAGCCCGCTTCCTCTGGTAGAACGCGGTGCCGCGAGCGGACGGGCGAGTGCTGGTCTTGGCTGACGAAGATTCCGGCTGGCTCCGGTCTGGACTCGGGTCTCCATGCGGTAACGGCAGGTGGTTTTCTGGGGGAGATGTGTCAGCCATTAGCAGAGGATTTGAGGACTTTAACTGGCTTAATTGTGTGGGTAAATCACAACGAACCACGCCAGCGGTTTGTGGGCGTCAGGAAGATAGACCAAAGGTGAGGTGAAAGCTGGAGAAAAAGACGGGGGAAGCTGTCGCGGAATGTCGCTGTTAATGATTCTTTCCCGGGACCCACAACGGCAGCCCACACTACCTACCTTAACCCGAAATGGATCGCGGGGAAGTGTGGGGTCGATGAGGTACGTACCTATCGGCCCATCTCCTCGGATTTCTCCCGTGTTATTGAAGACCTCGGCGAAGTACGGAGTCGCGTGGACTGACTTCGAGCTGAACCCTTGACCTGGCTATGTATGTTATGTACGTGCCTGGGTTAGCACTACCGGGTAAACGACTCGCGGAATGTCGCTCACAACCTGCTTCCGTTAACCTCCCCAGCAAAGACACAACTTGTCGTCGAAATGACCAGTTGATGTTGATCACCAAGCTGGAAGTAACCCTGCATCTAGACGGTGACTTGTGACAACCCGGTAGTTGGACCAGCCTGTCATCGGCTAACACTGAGGTGAGAGAGCATCACGAATATAACCTCAAGATATTCCCCAGAAATTCGGGCATGCTCTACTTGTTCGTCTCCACCCCACTTCCGACAGCCATCCTCTCCAGGAAATCTGGAACTTCTTTCTATTGATTGTGACAATAGCTACAAGTCTAGACAGCAAACGGTATCATGGAGAAACCTGGTGCTGTGGATCACTTGGAACCAAGTGTCTCTCACCATGATCCCAAGGGTGGCGCCATCGCCGCTACCAACCGGCAAGAACTCGACTTAACTGTCAAAGAAGTCTTCAAGAACCACAAAGCCATCGTTTGGTGGTGCTTCTACTGGGCTATGGCAGCGATTGGATGGTTCGTGGACTTCGGGCGCTGTTCCAGCCGTCTCGTTGACTAACTTTCTGGGCTCAGGGGTTTTGATGCCCAAATCAACGGAGCCATGATCTCGGTCGAGTCCTTTCGCCGAGACTTCGGGTGAGTAGCCCAATCATACCAACCGAGGTGTAACGTAGAGTAAAGCTGATCATGGTCCTCAACAGATACGTCCTCGACGGCGAAGCGATCCTACCGGCCGACTGGCAGTCCGCGTTTAACATTATCTCCACCGTCGGCCAATTCTTCGGAGGCTTTCTTTGCAGTTACCTGGCCGACAGAATCGGACGCAAGAACTCGCTTCTCATTGGTATCGTCGTTTGCAGCGGTGGCTGCGTTGGAGAGATCCTGTCGCACACCCGAGGTGCTTTCCTCGCGTCCAAACTCATCTTTGGTGCAGGCTTGGGCTTCTACCTCACGCTTGCTCCTCTCGCTTGCAGTGAGCTTGCGCCGGTCGCTCTACGAGGTTTTGCTACGGCAGGTGTCAACTTGGGAATTGCTCTGGGTCAACTCCTTTCCAACGCCGTCGTTAAGGCTTTCGGAGAGCGCTCAGACCGATGGGCCTACCGTGGCCCTTTCGCCACGCAGCTCTTCTTCGCTCTCTTCCTCATCACATTTCTCCCCTTTGCCCCTGAGACACCATGGTATCTAGCACGAAAGAATAAGCTCGAGGAAGCGAAGAAGTCCCTGCTGAAGCTGTACGGCAACGACTACGATGTCGACTACAGACTTGCCGGGATTGTGGCGACTATTGAAGAAGAGGCGTCGAATCGGACTTCCGAGGTTGGGTTTATCGATTGCTTCAAAGGGACAAACCGCCTTCGGACAGGCATCTCTACCGGTGTCTTCCTTTGCCAGCACCTGGTTGGAATCGTAAGTCCTGCTTGTTGACTTGCAGTCCTCTTCCCCAAGTCACTTACTAACTGAGGTTTTGCAGGTCTTCGTTCTCGGCTACTCCACATACTTCTTCCAGCTCGCTGGCCTCGATGTATCAAAATCATTCGACCTTGGCGTAGGCGTTACGGCCTGCGGTGTGCTGGGAAACATGGTCAGCTGGTTCGTCGTTGAGTCATACGGTCGTCGTAAAATCTTCATCTCGGGCATGGCTTGCCTGACCGGACTACTGCTTCTCATTGGTATCATGGATGTTGTACCAAGCGATGGCGCAAAGTGGGTACAGGCATCGGCCACGGTCATCTATGCCTTCGTGTACTTCCTGACTGTCGGGGCCATGGCATTCGCCGTTTTGGGTGAGGCATCCAGCACGGCTCTGCGAGCAAAGACTATGGCTCTTGCGACCGCAACTCAGGCCGTCTGCGGCCTGGCAATGAACTTTGCTATACCATATATGGTCAACCCAGACCAAGGCAATCTGAAGGGAAAGGTTGGTTTCATCTTCGGCGGACTTTCGCTCATCGGGACTCTTGGTAGCTTCTTCTACGTTCCTGAGCTGAAGGGCAAGACATTCGACGAGATTGATCGACTGTTTGCGGCTAAAGTACCGCCAAGGAAGATGGGGAGCATGTAGACGATACCCCTTGCACGTATACAGATGCAGAACAGTACTTTGCTGTTGGTATTTTCTTGAGAATTTATATCGTTATTTCCCTGATCATGAACCGCGCAGACTCTTCGCTACGCTTCGCAAATTCCCACACAACACTCTGCATCTGGGGGAGGGGACATCTCGAACCATCGGGAACCACCCCGCTCGATCCACCAGTGACGCCCTCTCCGTTCGAGTAACATTTCCCGAAGTCCTCCTCCCATTGATAAAGTGATAACAAGTTTGAAGCGATTGGAGCAACTAATGGCGTTGAAGCTGTGGCTGTCGGTGCATTTGCAGTCGTCACAGGCGTTGTAGATGCAGCACGTTGGAGCGCCAACTGTACCACTCGCAGCTTCAGCGGCGAGTCCCCCATAGACAGCCTGTCTGAAGCCGTCTCGGTCCGCCACCGCAGCACCTCCTGTTGGGGCTGATAGTGGTGGCTTCGATGGTCATCATGGTCTAGCAGAGCAAGGAGTTGCTGATGGTCCGCTGGAGTTCGATGACACCGACGTTATCTCATAGAATGCCAATATTATAGTCACATAGTTGAAGTTAGACGTCTGATTTTGACATTTAGAAATGATCCACAGTATAGAATTCGGCCTCGACAGGGTTCCTGTTCAATTGCTTGAGGTGTTTTTAGAAACATCCATTTGACGAGACCACAGTTTCAAGCATGTTCTTGATGGTTCATCTTAAAACATTGATCGCTTGCAGGAACCTAAAAAGAAAACGACCAACTAACTAAAAACAACCTCTCATGTCGGATAAGGCTTCCGTCTCACATGCGCAAACAGTACGCAATTGCAATTGGGGGCTTTATGTCATATGTCGCTGGCGCTATCCATATGTGTCATGTGCTTAAGCCATTTAACGCTTCAGCATGCGGGTTTCTTAGCCTATACTTCCCGAAAGATAGTTATGAAAACCTTTCCGTCCTCGATCGTGCATACTTGCCGCCACTTAATAACACTTCTATCATCGATATTATGGCGCAAATTGATGTGAGATTGATTTTGTAATGGTGCATGCAATTGAGGACCTGTGGCTACCTCCAGATGACCTCAAGCATCACACCACGTCGCCCTCGTTGTGTTGATCATCAGCAAAGAATTGATATCTTTAAAGGATCGCCTTGTATCAACAGCCAAGTGACGTGGAGCTGAGCTTGCTATCGCAGCCTACCGATGATTGACTCAGCTGAGTGCCAACCACATGTATTCGGTAAGCGCCGTCTAGCCCTCAGCCCTCAGCCCTCAGTATGAACCATAGGGCAAGTTCAGCTGGCGCCATCGGAGAGAACATGATCTGTAGAAAGAAAGGCTACAGTCGTCGGACGTTTCCATGTATATCAGCCGTGGCGTCAAAGGCTGGATCCTGCTCCAGCCGCAAAGTACGGTCACATTGTCGGGAAGGCCTCGGCCTCGGCGCTCGTCTACTTGTCCGTTACCAGGATGACGGCACATAGGGCCGAAGAAGAAGCGACGCTCCGAGGGTTTTATGTTTGCGGTTTGCTACCGCCCGGAGGACCAAGCGGCGCTCGTGGGGTTGGAAGACCGGACGGCACGACTCGCCATGGCGGTTACCATCTTTACCGCCGTTCGTGTCAGGAAGGGAGATGCGATTAAACGCGACGACTGTTTTCTGATGGCCGGGTCGTTTCTAAGGGTCGTTGAAACATTCCGGGGTGCAGGCGGACATCGGGGGTTCCACGACCTCGTTGTGCCACGGGATGGAGGAAGCACAAAGGATTCTGGAATACTACCGGTTTTGTGACTATGTCTCGGTAAAGTTTTTGCATTGCAGATCGACACGCAGCCCTATACTTGAAAGCTATATAAACAAGCTTTAACCGTCGAAATTACGTATGCAAGAGTTCGGAGCGGCTGAAATCAGAAAACACCACCTCCGGCCCCTAAAATCTTAGTACCATCACCGTGATTCAAGCCCTCGCCCAAGCTTCCCCACGACGTCAGTGGTTTCCTGGGGTTAGCTAGTGCTGCCGAAATGTTGCATCGGCTAAGGACTAGCTGTACAAACGGCGTGAGACAATGTGGCGCCCGGACATCGTACACGGGGCGCGGGGCACCTCCGCCGTCAGATACATCGGCCGGACCATACCTATCAACGCTTGCCATCGCAGATCTACGTGCCAGCATATCGACACCACGGACATGCGGCTACTGCAAGCTGAAGGATTATGCATGCACTCATTTTGAGGGTGGTCGCGGCCGCGCGCGCTTCGTCTCTCGGCATGCCGTAAAGGCGAGCGTCGGCACACAAACATCTCCAACGGCCGACTAGCGAGACGCCACCACATCAGCTTAAGTGTGAGACATGTCTCTCGGGCTTCCCCAAGCTTGTTATGGTGCTAGATTTAGCTCTTCATTGGGCTGGAGGAGCGTCAAGATCCACGGCCCGCTAGCGGGAACGTCCGTGAGACTGTCTTGCGCGTATTTGCGTTGACGCGTTAACATGAAGGGTCCTACATGACTAAATAAAGAGAGCACACCCACTCGGCCCCGAGACAACTTTGTGCTTGAGATTACGGACCCTCGATCACCCATTGGACAGTATGGCTCTTCGCGCGAATTTCCCGGAATACCCTCCGAAAGTCGATATACCGACACAGATCTACGAGCCGCTCCCAGATACCTCGTCCTTGTGCAACTGGGACAATGTCGACGCGACGCAGGTTGGATCGGAAGTAGTATCTGACCTTTCCGAAGGGTTGACGAAGGGCTCTCACCAGTCTGTCGCGAGGCTCTTCGCAGACAATGCGGCGGAGGGCGGGTTCTCGCACTGGAAGGACACATTGGCGTTAACCGCCCACCTGAGATCGTTCAAGGGAAGCAAGGCAATTGCCTCTGCGTTGGTAGAGTTGAGTCAACTTCGAGGAATCGGAGGTTTGGAGTTTCAATTCGCCCAGGTGATCAAGGCGAACGAAAGCCTGGTAGGTCATGATACTGCGAAAACACAAGAAGGCCGACTAACACCTGATAGTCATGGGTTAACTGCAGCTTTTACTTCACCACGACCTCCCCAAAAGCGCAATGCAAAGGCACACTTATGCTGGTTCCCGAAAGGGAGGATGGAAAATGGCGGATATGGTCAATGTCGACGTGGTTGAGAGACTACGAGGAGTTCCCAGAAGACGAGAGCCGCCTACGACAGCCTTCTGCGCCTTTACCTGAGGACTCCAGGTTCGCGACTGATGTGCTGGTTATTGGTGGCGGCAACGCGTTAGTCTAAGTCCCACCCGTCTTCATGTATCAATCTAACTTGTAATATCAGGGGCATTGTCCTAGCTGGTCGTCTCAAGGCGCTGGGTGTTGATTTCGTGGTGGTAGACCGCAACAAGAAGGTCGGTGACAACTGGTTCAACCGATACGACTGCATGCGCTTCCATACATACAAGTCGTTTTGCCATACCCCATACATCTGTAAGAAACCAAACGGACCCCTCACCTCAAGCTTACTTTATCCGTTAACATCTTCTCTCTTTCCAGCCTATCCCGATGACGCAAGCGACACACTATCACGAGACGAACTGGGCACCCAGATCAAAACCTTTTCAGAAGAGTTCGACCTGAACCGCCGTGTGCTTCACCAATCCTCGGTTGCCGCAACCTCATACGATACAGGTAGTCATTCATGGGCCGTGACCATCAACGATGGGATTAGCAACAGTACGAGAACAGTAACCTGCAAATGTCTTGTTGTCGCTACGGGCGCCGGTTTCTCAGGGGTGAATGTGCCCGATATTCCAGGCAGGGAGCTATTCCAGGGTCCTAGCATTCACTCGACCGAATTCAAGAACGGCGGTTTGTTGATGAAGGGCGGCGCAAAGGTGAGCACCCGAAATAAGGCCCATCGAGTTATCATGACAAAAGGTTGCTAATAGTCAACCAGTCAGTCACCATTGTGGGCTCCGCAAACACGGCTTTCGATGTCCTCGGCGACTGTTACAAAGCTGGTCTCAAAACGACAATGATTCAACGCTCACCTACTTACGTGGTTCCGATGACATACTTCGCGCATCCCATGGGTCTCGGAGCCTACGACCTCATCCCGACCGAAGACGCCGACGCGATGGTTAGTGGGGGGCCTCTGGCTGTTGGAGGACCCCTCTTGGCACTGTGCCACGGCATGCAAGCTCTCGAAGAACCGTAAGAGGACTTGTACGGTCACATAAATGAGTTTTACTGACACCTGGTAGTAATCGGTACGACGCTGTTCAGAAGGCAGGATTGAGAGTGCAAGATTCACTCTCGGGCGACCTCATCATCAACCTCATCGACCGCTGCGGAGGTCACTTCGTCGACATGGGCAGAGGTATCGAGCTCATCACCACGGGTGAGGTCGGCATCCGCTCAGGTGCTGTCCCATCAGCTTACACCTCGGACGGGCTCATCCTCAGCGACGGCAGCGAGTTGAAGACCGACGCTATCGTGTGGTGCACTGGATTTGGTAATCTCGATGTAAGGAAGAGTCTTCCAGGCATTCTCGGTGAGGGATCCGACAGGTTCGCTAGTAGGATGGAGTCGACGTGGGGAGTCGACGCCGAGGGAGAAATCCGGGGACTGTGGAAGCGACAGGCGGACGTGGACAACATGTGGGTGTTCGCGGGCGGTACCGGGCAACACCGGTGGTTTTCGAAGGTTATCGCTCTGCAGATCAAGGGTGTCCTGGAGGGAATCTTGCCGGAAGCTTACCGACGAACGCCCGGTGAGTTCGGAGAGGGACACGATGAGATGACTGCCGGCCCGTTGCACTCTAATCTGTGAACCCCTCACTTCCGATTAATAAGGTGCTCATCGGCCAAACTCAGGGCTTAACTGTATGTAGCAGAAATCGTAAATTGCTAATAATGCTCGTCAGATGTTGGTTGACTTGGTATTTGACGTGCTTATTGATCATGACCTCGTGATATCACCCCATGGCTAAACTCCTGATGCACTCGCTCTCTCTCACATGTTGCCGACAACGCGAACTCTTATGTGGCATGGCACGCTGAACCGTACTGCAGAAACCGCTACCCCCATCTTTCATGCTGCCTATTTGGGGCAATCTGCTGAGTTTCCGTTCCTTGTACAAGCCTGGCCTTCTTTCTTCGCGCAGCTTCCTGAAGTGCAGAACAGCTTGACGTTGCCCGCTTGGCATTCACCCTTGGGAGTGCATGTGCCCTGTTGAGCCTGTCGAGTGTTAGCTCTCTATCAACAAGAACCCTGATTTGTATATGAGATGCTGTGATGTCTTACAGAGACACTGGTCGCAAGGCCGAAAACGGCAAGGAGGATAAGATTCGAGAATTGCATAATGGCAGCTTGGTTTCTTTTTTTTCGTCTGAGGAGAACGGACGGCGATGAGACTACCTCAGGCAATGATCTGCTATTTATGATTCGCAGCTGAACAACTCAAACAAAGAACACGAGACCAGTCGCAGCGCAAAAAGGCCGTCGATTCAATCTATTTGAAGCAGCGACCGCCAAGGTAAGGTTTTACCTACGTCAAGCTAACTGCTGGTCTAGACGTCTGTTTTGTAACCCTTCGAGTTCGAGAATCGCCCTTGGGAACCGCTTTTTTTGCTGCACCAACTGCTGACGAAGTGGACCGGTGGTGCTGATTCGAGGCAACCTGAGACCGGCCTTTGCCGATGAGCCCCGTCGTGGCCTGTCGAGGACATGGTTCACCCGTGATGGGACGAGTTCTCTGAGACGTGTCACTGTCAACGGGAAGAAAAGGGTGGCGAAGTTCTCGCAAGCCGGGGCCGCGGGCTGGCTTTAGTGCGTACGGCGACTTTAGAGATGGTGATGAATTGGCGCCTTTTCCGCCGTCCACGTGGGAAAGGGATTCAAAGGTCTAGATGCGAAGGGGTATTGCCGAGATGAGAACTGCTGACCGAATGCGAGGGAATAATGGTCCAGGATGTAAAGTTATAGATGGCCCGGAAAATGCGGACTAGTCCGGGGAAGACAGACCCGGCGGATGGAAGGCCCTCTAACGGCCGCGGGAGTGATCGTCGCCTGGTGAAGACAATGTAAAGGATGATTTCTGGAGTTATGTGGAAAGTGGCTGCAATGAAGAGTGAATGGCTTCAATTTCGACATTGGTCGTACTGCCCTATCCGTACAAAAGTGGCGCTGGCCGCGGGTTCCGGCGCCGGAGTTCACGGGCGTCGGATACCTCAGGCCTTCGGCGCCCTAGTTTCGCCCTTCAATCACATCATCCACCAATATCATCCATAAAGAACGCGACAGAACGAAATTGATTGAGAGCGAAGATCGAGGGGCGAAAAGGGTTAAACAGAGGGTGTGACAACGCTCAAGCAAAAATGCGAAACCCCATCCCCGGCCCCCGATTCCCCCTTATAACCCGCCTCCAAGCAATCTACCACGACCTCCGCGGCAACGGCGCTCAACACCTCGACAAGCTCCACCAGAAGTACGGGCCGATCGTCCAAACCGGCCCAAAACGGCTATCCGTGGGCGATGCATCCGGCCTACGGGATGTCTACCTCCTGCCCCGCCGACTCGATCGACCGGCCCCGCTGTCGGTGCTCCACAATTACGGCTCCGAGAACCTGGTCAGCACCGTCGACGGCGATCTCCACCAGGACCGGCGAGGGCCATTGAGAAATGTCTTCGCGGTGGGAGCGATCGAGTCGGAGAGGGTTCAGGGCGGCATTGCGAATGCTGTGAAGCACTTAATCGAGCGCCTCGATGCTCATGCTGGAGCCGATTCGGAGCCGGTGGATCTACGGCCGCTTCTCAGGGCGGCTTTGCAAGATGCTATGAGCGTTGTCGTGTATGGTCATGACAACGCGTTGAGTGTGCAGAAGGATGAAAAGCAGAGGGTGGCGATGAAGATCGACAACGAGTGGCAGCGGACACGCTTTTTCAATATGTGGACACTGATAGACTTCTACCTTCCTGGCCTGGCCCTCCAGTTACATCGTGCTCGGCTCGCCCCCAAGACGGCTTACGGCTACGTTCCAAAGGACATATACATGAACAAAGTTGGTAGACGGGCCCTGGAACGATTGCGAGATCCAAGCTACCGGGAAAACGGGGCCGACACCGACACCATGATATTTCGCCTTGTCAGCAAGTTCCAGTCGGAGGGTCCGTCGGCAGCGTTGCCTTCAGACGAGTACATACTCAGCGATTGTCTCGATCATTTCTGGGCCGGAGTGATCACCACATTAGATGCCTTGCTACCGACGATTGAGCATCTGTCACAGCCCGAGAATCAGCAGCGCCAGCAGAGACTACGACAAGAGCTGCACAGTGCCATGGATGACGACCATTTAGGGCCTAAAGAGCTGTCAAGAACTTTGAAAGCCCTTCCCTACTTGGACGCAGTCCTCCGCGAGAGTATTAGGCTTAGGCCACCCATACCCGTCGCCCTCGAGCGTCGCGTATCAGCGAGAGAAGGATCGATCGTGGTGCATGGACGGGAGGTGCCCGAAGGGTGGAATGTGAGTGCGGCGGCAAGCGTACTTCACCATAGTCAGAACGTCTTCGAGAAGCCGGAGGAATGGTGCCCTGAAAGATGGTTGGTTGAGGGCAGCGACGAGTCGGAGATGCGGAAAGAGAGGGCCAGGGTCATGAAGAGGCATTTCTTTGCCTTCGGAAGCGGGTCGAGGATGTGTATCGGCGTCAATGTGGCTTGGAGCATCATGAGACAGGTTATTGCTGCGATTTACGGGGGCATGGAGACACGAGTCGACAAGGGCCTCAAGCAGAAGACCAGGCTTGGGCGGGAGTGGAAGGTCATGGTTAGGCTCAGAAACATTGGCTCGGGCCGGAAGAGTCAGATGGAGCATTGATGTTGAAGATGACGCATCTCAGGTGACATGAGACTTGTACAAAGAATCGATACTTACTAGTAATATCGCAACTTCCCGGAAATTGTCGCAGCCACCGCCCAACAACGGCCAGCAAGTGTTTGGGGCTCGCTCATTTGAATACGTGTGTTTCGGTAAGCATGTCGCAAGACGTCATTCAGCAGGCCGTTGGGCCACTTGGAAGCGCTGATATTAGCATGCATATACCATCTGTGTAAGCTCCCTGCTATTGGATATTTTGGCTGATCCCCCTTTCCTACAAGCCTGCTCAAAACACCACATGACGGTATTTCGGTGAACGCATTTTCTAGAAACGGAACTTTTCAAAATTTCCGGACAAAGGTCTCGATCAGTACCGCGCAGCCTCCCCCCACACGTTTGCCGCCTCAAAACCTCCCCTACCAAAGTTGACGATAACAGAAACCAGTCTGGTAATGGATTGTGAGACATTAATGCTGCCTGAGCTCTCCAAGATAATGGTGACGCAAAGCCTATGGTGCACCTTTCATCGGGCGAGAGACTGAGTATCTGCCCTGTCCTCATCAGTGTGGCTGGTCTTGCTTATCTGCAGCAAAAGGGTGTGTCCGGGTAGATTGAACATCGTGTCCAGCTTCCGTTCGTCCGGACGACATGACTACTCTTTTTCGAATCGCTTGGCACGTCCGCCTGGTTGCCTTCTCTCTGAGACAGCACCGTGGTTGGGCGGTGAAGGCACCTCCAGGATCGGCAGCGTTCCCTACGGAACTCCAACAGAGCGTACGTCTGGATCATGAGGGCACTCTCTTGGGCTTTATACCAATGGGAAGTCGATGAGATGCAACCCATTCTGTCATCTTATAAGTGCCCAACTTGGCCAGGCAAAAGGCCCTCACATGATCACGTAGCACACGTGCTATCTTAGCAGGAAGAATGCACTTACTCCCCTTTCAGGCCGAAACCGCAAGTCGTGCCCAATGTACAGGCCGACTGACGGTATCGTGGTCGCTGTTAGAGCACGAAAGTGAAGGTAATCAAGCGATGCTCGCCTTTCTTTCGGGTGAATGCGGACCCAATCGCTTGCGACATCCTCTTCCTGTAACAAGATACTGCCAGCTGAGGCCAGACATGCCCTACATCGGCTGCAGCTATGTGGGTGGTTTTCTTCCCCCTATATCATCTTGGAACAGCCTGCGAAGCTCTTCATCAACTCAACTTTAACCCCATGGTGATGTGATAACTGATCAGCCTCACCTGAATTCGCCAACATCCGGGTCACCATGACAGTTGCAACATGGATCCATCTACACCCTGGTCTCGTCCACGGCGGAAATTCAAGTGGAACTCTGTGACAGCTCGTGATTCGGTCAACATTTCATGGATCAATCAGTACCTCTTTACCAGGAGCCAAATAACTACCGAAGAACTCGACCAAAGCTTGTTTGAGTTATTCTTGGACGCCCTCGATAATCCTCCTCGGCTGAACTACGAGAGACCTGTCCTTGGTCGCGTATTTGGACCACGAAGGTTGGAAAAGGTCAACGACGGAGATTTGGACTTGACATTCGAAAATGAAGTGTGGCTTCAGGACTTGGACCATGACAACAAACCCCGATCATACAATGGCGTTATGCCAACAGCACGTTTCTACGACCTCACTGGGTTCAAGGTAACCATACAACCCGAGAATGACGCACCCAAAGGCTCTTTCTTCTAACTCATTATGCTTCAGCGGGTAAATGCAGAGGGTCTCTCAGATGCTACAAGGAGGAGAATGTGAGCGGATGGTTTATTTTGATTTAGTCTTGTGCGAGCTTTATGCTGACAACTCCTAGTCATATGCAGAACCCGTCATTTGATGCATTGGCTGTCATAGCACTGAGAGCAACTCAAGAAGAGAAGCCAGTCGTTAGAGACTTTCTCTACAAGCACATTGATGGTGATACTTTTATGGATCTTCGTTCAGCAGTAAGCGCACCCCATGTGATTACTCTGAATCTGGACTGACGAACCGTATTCGACCAGAAAGCTGGCGAATTCATTCTAGAATTCCATCTCTCCTCCTTAGTCTGGGTAAGCGGAAAAACAGCACAAGTGGACAGTCGCATTGCAACTGATGGAAAGCCGTTGAGAAGGTCTTTCAGTCTATCATTTCTTTCGGCGAAAAACGAGAGCAAGAGTCCATCGGCAGAGGACGATTACCTCTATGACAGTCAAACATCGATATGCCTCACTGGATGGGATCCTTCTAGCTGGACGGCATTTTCCCTGACCGAGTCATATTTTGCTGATCATACAAATGCGGACGACCCATACATGTTGTTACATTACGACGACTCAAATGACCCCGATGACTTGCAGATGGACCCCATCCGCATTGGCGACGGGTCTGCGGACCAAACGTCCTTGAAAGATTCCCGAGCCTACTTCTTGCAAGTTGTCTGTTTGCATCTACAAAGAGCTTGCGAAAACTGGCGAACAAATGAGTACAACTTGCGGGAATCAGTTCGCGTAAGTCTATTGCAACATGGTTTAACACGTTTTTTTCGTGTGTGGAGCTGTATCAAGCCAGAATTACATGTTTCACTCCTGTGAAAGGCTTTGTCTGCGAAGTGTTGCAGCCTTCTTGCAAAAGAGTCCTCATTAAGATTATTATACAATGCTGATAGATTTGTTTGGATAGTTAGGAAAGCCCCACATCCCACTCCAACGACGCGCAACAAATCTTGGTAACTTCGATGGCGGTTCAGAAAACATCGAAAGTAGTGAAGCATGGTTGAAACAAATCACTGAGCTACACACTGTTCTGACTAATGCCCTTTTAAAGACTATGAACGCCATGAAAAGGTTTCTGTCGCATTGGGAGAAGCTTCACATGGAAAAAGAAGACGAGACTTCTGCAAAAATTCAAGAATCGTGTGACATCATTTCAGATCTTGTAGAGGAGATGGAGAAGACTTTCCGGGATTTCAACGAAATCAAATCAACGATCTCTACCATCGAGAAAAACGTGAGTTATATCTATCGTTGAAGAATCGTACTGTAAATCCAGCATGGCTAATACCTCTCAGCTTGTGCTCCACATTGCTGTCGATAGCGAGCGTACAAGCAAGCTTCAGTATCAAAACATTACGATTGTAAGTCTCGTGAGAAGCTTGACTGGGATGCAGACCACGCCTTTTTAAGAAAACTGTCCACTAACTCTTGGATTTCTGCCCTTAGCTTCAGTTCTTTTCGCCAATGTCACTTGCGGGTACAATCGTTCAAGCTGGCATGGTTGTGGGGAATGTGTATGTGTGCTACATTGTTCTTACGGTTGTGTTGTCTGCAGCAATGTTCAACCTACATCGCGCCATCACTTTGTATGATGCATGCTCGGCGATGATGAATTGGAAACAGCCGCTGAAATCATTACACAAGGAGGTCCCGGAGGAGACTGTGAGAAATGAGGCAACGGGCACGGGAATCTCTCTGGAGTCTTATCCGGCAGGTCTTCATAGACGAACTCGCCCCACGCCAACAGAGAGAAGTCCAGTGTAGAAGGTGGACTAAACATTCAATTAAAACAATATCTTTAAGCGTGTACTTTCATAACAGGTTGAGTCTTATGAGTGCGTGACTGGTGGGATGGAACAGTGTGATATGTGAGAAGAGTGTTGGCAGACAAGGTGTTCGCCCCGAAGGTAGATTGTTCCCAGTAGGCCACAACCCCATCCATCATTTTGAGCTGTCTGATTGATACTAATTTCCATTGCAACTGAACTGATCAAAGCATGATTCTAATCCACGGAGTTCAATTTCTTCCGAATTTTAACTTCCCATGCGACTTGAAACGCTCCAGTCTCGTCCACTCCTGCCCATCTGTGCCAAAGATGCAACTAGTTCTTTCTCGATAGTCATCGAGAACTGCGTCACTTTCAATCTCGATTCTCGGCCTCGGAACCTCTTCCAGAACAATACCCGAAAGCCAAGCCTATTAGCCCGGGATTATGCTGGAACATGGGTTACTGCAGCCGCCACCACTCTACGAAACCGCGAACGCCTCCGTCGGGGCTATAGTCAATATATTGGTGTTTCTCGTAAAACATAGATTAGTGAACATCCTCCAGACTTTTTATTAAGGGGAACAGGGCTTGATCGAATGTCTGAGACATCTGAGTTAATCGTGCAGAAAGAGCATTATCCAAAGGGGAACCCCAGATCGATTTAAATACGTCAGTTTAAATTCCATCGTTCGCCTTTGCATTCTTTCAGTCGTTTCTCAGCCAACGCCGTGAGGATGATAAAAAAACATCCCGGGCAAATCTTAAATTCTATCTTTGCAAGAATTTTGCATTGCTTTTGAGGCGCAGTCTCTTTCAAAGCTCTGTCGGCCTTTTAAAGATGTCCTCGCAGTGTTGCTCCGCGCATGCCTCGTTCTCGTACACCATCTGCGACAGCAACCATAGTGGTCATGTCCTCAATGTCTCTGCACCTACTGGCAAACAAGATCCACGAATCCTTGTGGCTGAAGATATTCAACACGGGCCCAAACGCAAACAGGTCTATTTGTGGACTTGCGTAAGTTAATTTGAACCCCCCTGGAATGGTCCAGACAGTTAATATGTATCTCTTCAAGTGTCGATGTGGCCAAGTGCGAGTCCCCATCCGGAATGACGCGTGTCCAAGTTGCGGAGAAACAAGATGTGCCTACTGTCCAGTTTCTAGAGTCAGAATCTAGACCTAAGATTTTCGTTAATATGTTTGCTCTTCTGTTGAGCAGATTGTAGTGCGGGAAGTGGTTAATGAGTCTGCGAACTGGTAACGCGCCTCAAATCCTCAGGCATTTGAGAAGATGCTAACTTTCTAAAGGAATTATATCATTTTGTCCAAACAATTGCAGTTGTTATATACAGTTATAATTAGAGTTCAAGACATAAGTCGCATTGTTATTTATTCGGGCTTGAGGTTCTACCGGCGGTGTTGTGGGTGACCGCATCAGATGGGAATCTAGACTTTAAGTCGGCCTTAGACGGGTAAAAGCCTTTAGACAAGCTCATATTCATATTTATCTTCCTTGAACGGTGGTTATGACATCCTCAAAGTCTGCAAATCTTTATAATATTGCCACTTGCCAGCGTATTATCAACGTCCGGCTAGACCGGTCTTCATGGTGGTTGAGGACCTTGCCGGCTGACGCTATCGCCACGAGTCATCTATAGGCATAGTGGACGTGCGGACACTCTACCGTCACCATCTTTCTACTGCTTATAAGTATGAGTTAGAGGTGCTATTAATGCCTTATATTACTGCTTCTTATACTGAATAGATGCAAGAGCTACAAAACCTGTAAGCCACCTAATAAACTGCACGGAACCGGTCTGCAAAGACGCTTCAGGTAAAGAGAGCCGGTCTCAATTTCCGCATAATCAAGTCAGCCGCCACATCCCAAATTGAGTGTTTCGGTGAAGCAAAGTGGTGTCCTTGACTGCACAGGTGTCTTGTGTCACACCATTGTAGTAAGTGACGAATCGCAATGCACTATGGTCTTGTGTCACTCACACTACGTGTAAGACCGACTCGCTTATCGTTGGAAACAAGAATCAATCATCTGTGCCACTATGGCGGCCTGGCATGTCTCTCGCCCAAATCAACCTTGAAGACGTCCCAATCTAAAGATTCGGTGCGCGGTTAGCTATTAGGTTCGGATGGGATCTAGCTAATCAGGTCTTTCACGCACATTGCATCTCGACATTTCAGTGACAGATCCCATTGGCATTGAGCCTTTCTGGTGTACACACCCTTGGTTACTATGAAACTCCTTGGTTGGCCAACGGGCCACCCACCATTTAGCCTCCACCCACCTATAGAGACGAGTCCTTGTGGCTGATGTTAAACATGTTGGGCAGAAATCTGTTTATTAATAGGGCTGTTGAAGAAATAGTTCAGCCTCAGCGGTCAGTTGAGCCTAAGCAACCACATGGTATTGTTGTCCAGCCCTCTCCGCACCAGGGCAGCAATGCATGATCCAAAGGGGAAGTTATAGCCCTTCGACGAATGCAGATTCTTAGTTATGTATTCTGTCCTAATATCGTTCGTCACTGCCCACTGGGATTCTATTCTGACTGGACTTTACAATCCATCACGGGGTTGCCAAAAGTCACAAAGTGCTTGGGCGCCACCAAAACTTGAAATTTCAGTTGAAGAGCCAGAAAGCCCTGGGTTATATATGATGGAAATGGTGAACTTGATTTCTACCTCTTGAACTTCATTCATAGATAGTAGATCACTCAAGCGCTAGGTGAGAAAGATAGTTCCACATTTTCATTCGATTGGAGGAACTACAATGTAATCGATATGGCTTTGTCGACATCCCGGCATGTTCTGCGTCGAATGATTGATTGGAACCACTCCATCATTACGAGGGAGTCCGATGAGGCCTCACATGTTGAAGAACACCTCAACTTGAGAGCCGAGTACCCGGACTATTATACGGATCAAGGCCTCCTGGATATCTTTCTCAACATTCCCGACCAATCACCTAGGTTTCAATACGAATACCCTGTGTTGAGAGAATTTCTACCGGAGTCTGACTTGGAAAGAGTAAGAATGGGGATCTTGGAGACTCCAAACCAAATGGCAGCGTGGATCCATGACCGCAGCCAAGCCAATAGCCCTCGCACATATAACGGCCCGGTTACCGCGAAAGACTTCCACCGGATTTGCAGGCTCAAGGTATGGCACAAATGGCATGACAACTTACACCATATTTCTCATTAACTTTGATCCCTATCTACCCAGCGAACAAACCAACCCAACATGCCAAATGCAGACATTAGACGAGTGTGAGTACCGTGGTATAGTCTTGAGCACGCTTATTTTGTGGTCAGCTTTGCTAATGAGACAGCTGCAGCTACATACCCAACCCTTCAACTGTTTCTATCGGCACCTTAGCCCTCACGGCATCGGAACATATATCTATCGCTCTACGAAAATCATTGTTCAACTATCTCTCGATGGAAACAAAGATAGGAATAGAGGCATCGGTAATCCAAACTTTAGTCGACATTCCGTTCACAGTTGAAGGAGCATTTATGTTGACAAAGCTGTTTCCTAGGTATCAGGCGGCTTTATATTTGAGTTTCATATGCCTTGCTACATTTGGAAATGCAGCTCTGCTCCTCAAATCGATACACGACTTACGGCCGATGGAATACCATTACGGGATGTGATAAACGTATCATTCATTTCTGGCTTACGAAACTCTGGGGACCTTTCACATGGTTCTGACTTTCTATACAAAAGACAAACTTCTATATGGTTCGTCGGACGGAACGTTAGAAGCTGGACTGCTTACGGCTTAGTTGACTGTGTTTCGAATCAAGGCAGCCCTGACCCAAATAATCCAGACGAGCTGTCTTTCTATGCGAGGGATAATGATTCAGACTTGACTAGCCACGAACTGGATCCATTCGGATTTGGCGAGTTGACAGCGGATCTGGCTTGGGCCAATGATCCGCGGACGTATTTCCCTCTCATTCTCCGGTACAGAGCTGAGAGAATGCACGAGCACTGGACAAATGTTCGATTTCAGCTGTGGAATCGGGTTCTTCGTTATGTAAGTCCTCTTACTTTCTTGTGCTCTCGTGCATGTTACATTCCCGTACGAACGGTGTGTCTGGATCAAGAATCGCATGGTACCGAGATCTCGTCACCATTTCTTGCAAGCTGTAACTATCTCAATCTGGTATGCATGATTTTTTAGTTCATTTGGACCTAACATGTGCCACTTTACCAGCTACAAACCGATCCAATGCCTCTTATTCGGCGTGCAACAATCGCAACAGCCGACTATGACTATCAGACTGTTCATGATAACGCGTTTTGGGTCAAGAAAACCAGAGATCTCATTACTCATCTAATCATTACGCTTGCAGAGAACTTGAGATCTTGGAATCGGTTTCTAAAGCCTGAAGAAGTGGCCATGCTCACACACCAGGCGGATACGAGAATGGCTGAGGGGATCGAGGGGTCATTTTCCGATATATCGACTTTCATCATCGGCATGGAGAAGGATCTCGAAAAGCTGCGAGACCTTGAATTGGTGGTCGCCAATTTCAACAATGAGGTACGAAAATCAATACATGTATGCTTTCATAATTAGACTGCTGACCCCGAAGCTTGTAGGTCACCCTTCGAGTCGCTGTTGATAGTAGGAGTACTATTCCTCTTCAACAGCTGAATGTCATCATTGTGAGTACTGTCGCTGTCCGGGTTCTTTTACTTTGAATTTCTGCTACTCATTTGTTTCCATGTTGAATCCACACACTGATTCAATTTGGGCAGCTTCAAGTCTTTTCGCCGATGGCTTTAGCCGGGAGCATTATGCAAGCAGGGCTGTCATTTGGGCCTAACATAGTCTGCTTTACTGTCCTTAGTATTGGGTTGACTTTCATTATGTGGCATCTGAGATGGTTTGCCACACGGTTCGAACAATTCCGCAGCCAACAGGTTGCAAAGCCATTAATCGATAACGAGCTCAGGGGAGACTCGTTTGGCAGTCACGCTAGTCAAACAGGTTTTCGGCTTTTACAGCCGCTGCCCTCGGCCCACCAGAGTCAGGGGAGAAGTTGGCCATATAGGTGAACATTTTAAGGCAGTGTGAAGAGTCTGCGGATCTGGTGGAAATGAAAACAATGTCTATCGTAACCGTTCAGCTTATGACCCGTAGAAGTCCGTTTCGACGCATCCAGCAGAACAAGTAAATAGATGTGGCACGACGATAAAACTCGCACAGAAAGGTAATAGGCAGTAAGCCCTAGTACCCACATGAGCTTGAAGGTGCATTATCAGCCAGGGTTTATGAAACGGCTGGTTTCAAGTTGAAGGCAGTTCCCGAGCGATACTTGAGTCGGGTGGCACAGGCAAAAATAAGAAAGTCAGGGTTGCATGGTGGGCGAGCATTATGGGATTGGAGTATAGTGAGTCGTCTATTTTACCCCCAAGGAGGCGGCTTCTTTATACCTACTCCTAATACCAGGCGGTAAGTACGTAGCCCACCTTATACTGGTTGGGTATGGCGAGATGTGGAATAGAGCGAAAAGATAAGCGTGGCTGCATTGTATTGCTCGGCGTATTGCAACTGTTAGTACGAGGCTCATGTCTGCAGTTAAACAACTTGTTGAGCGTATTTTCTCACACCTTCTGCAGCCCTGCGGCCCAAGATGGCCGTCGAAAATTGGCTGGCTTCGGCCGTGCCGATACTCGGACCCGCTGGGACCCGCAATTGCCGATGCTGCGGGCCTGTCGCGCTCCGGCTGTTGTCGGCCGATCGGATAAGATCCCGGATTCATCAGTGCATCACATAAGGGAGAAGATAGTGACTCAATCGTTCCAAGTCAAGGAATTAACTATGAATAAGGAAAGCTTACGCTAGATTACACTCCCATTTCCAACGAATGCGTACATGTACTTTCGCAGTGTCAGCCCATTGGCTGGCGGCCTCCTCGCAATCCATATCCGTTGAAATGAAGCACTCATTTCACCCTATGAGCGGAAGCATTGCGAATGACTGACATGACGCGGCACTTTTTGGATACTGCTTTGACGTTTGTGTCACAGCAGGGTCTGGACAATCACGACTCGCGTACGTCCAGATGGATCTTTAGCTTGACTGTTCCTGCTATAACCAGACAAGCATGTGGGCGGTGTAATGTATCGCAAGAACACTGAGGTGATGAAGCAAGATATCTAGTCTATCTACTCCATTACTATGCTGCACTGGTTGGACTTTTCCCTGTCGTAGTCTTCGTAAAAGCCGGTCCACATGAATCGATCTGCGCATCGAGGTTGATCCGGCTTCGCGACGGCATCTTTCGGGCACTCCGGCATAACAGCCTGCCATTGCTGCTTCGTTCTCGGTAGCCACGGCTTCGGCAAAGGCCAGTCGCTAAAGTGGACCAAATACGATCTTGAGACTTCTGCCATCGCATTCCATTCTTCGTCCTCCTCGGGCGCAAGATATTTCGAGTGATCCTTGGCCCTGAACTCTCCCGTCAAGAGAGCGAGCCGTCGATGGGGCAGAATCATCGCAGAGCCCTTGAACATGTGGTTGATGACCTCCATATCGAACTCGCCGGTCGTCATCGCCTCATTTATTATCTTGTGGTATCTCTTCTCGTCCGGTTCGATAAGCATTACGTGCGACCCCAGCACCTGCTTTGCGATGTCTGTATCCTGTTCGTTGAGCCAGTACGCTCTCGGTACCGCGACGGGGGCTTTCGGGCTGAGGAAGTAATGGTCCATGGTATTGAGGACAAGGGCATCAGAGTCGAAAGCCAGGATTCGTGTCCATTCGGTTAAGGCAAACGCGTGGAACTTCGTTAGGCTATCGCGCCAGGTTGCGTCGCCCTTGTTCGTGGAGATGACATCGAATGCGCGCATGTTGATCTCGGGTCGTTCTATCCTCAGCTTGGCCAAGGCTTTTGCTTCGCGAGTTGTCTAGAGAAAATCAGAGATTGATTTTGCAAGCGAGTGGTATTTTGAGACATACCCCTTCCAACCAGTCCTTCGGATGAATCAAAACAAGGTCTTCCTTCGCACCGTATCGACGAAGTCGTCCAAAGTTAATCACCTGAAGAGTTTCTGTCAGCCGGCGTTCCCTGCGAGTTCGCGAACGTAGTTCGTCACTTACCGCGTTGCAAAGATAATCCATGCTCGTCGCGTACTGAGCATACGCAAACTTCGGCTCCAATTTCTCGGTTGTCCATTTCGGTTTCCACGAAGATAGGTCTTGGACAAGCTCCTTCACGGGTGCCGGTCTGTGGTCTGGTGCCAGGAAAAGAAAAGTCGAGATGAAAACCAGAAGACTCAGAGTGAAGCCGAGAAGGACCTGAACACGTCTTGGGAGGTGTAGCAATCGCCTTGGAAAGTTCAGGATGGATAACCTTCGCCGCCCATTTGTCCCGTCGTCGTTGGCATTCGGCGTGATGCCGTCAAGAGACCACGGCATGTTGGAAATAATATGGACTGACGCGCCTGTAATGTCATCATGTACCACGCAGTAGCCTGGGACAATGGCATTATAAGAAAAGTCATAGGCTTGACCAAAATGAGCCCAAGTGCCCTTCCGACAGAGGAAATCAAGTACCGAGGGTGGCCCCGCCTCGGCGACTCAAAACACGGACGAGCACCAGTACCTCATTTGTCGGCTGATATTCCCGAAAGTATTTATTTCTCCCTTCGTATTCATGCTGCAATAGGGAGCACAAGGATACAGCGAGCGGCCATGCCGATTGCGTCAGCCAACCATGGTGTATGTGGGCTGCTGGAAGTCAGCTAACGGGTCTTATCAAGTAGCAGAAGCCACTCTAATCGTCAATGGAAAGGCCGTCTTGTTGGTTCGCAGATTTTGAAGCCCCTTGCCATTTCCCCTCGTGGGATGCAGAGGTATCAGGGCCACTATTACCCGCATTGTCACTCTCTTTACCCCTGAACACTTCTACAATTTAGTTATCATAGACTCTCACAGGCTTCGTTCTGCCGATGAAGCTTTCGCTATTCTAACGTGGTCTGTCCTTCTTTCTGACAGAGGAAACATGATCCAGCCAGCCTGTGCTGTCTCGCCCCTCGGCGAAGCTCGATGTTCAGTATTGAGCCACAAGGACAATTGATATGTACTTCACAGAAGACATCAAGTGCTACCGAGGCATTGGAAAGGCCCAGTTGTCCCAAAACCTCGTATTACACCCTTCTTGTCTTATCGGGGGGCCATGGCCCAGAAAGGAGGCGCAGTCTGAACCGCACTTTGCTTGATGTGGATAAGCATAAGTTTTTGCTCCAGTCAGATCTTCCCCGAGGAAGTACGATCCATTATTCAAGAGGCAAGGGAAGGGCGAAACTCTTGTATTGAGTGTGGGTTTTCTTGGCCTCTTTTCATACTCTTTTTGTCAAATGACAGTCATGTCCGCACCCAGCTTTCCCGATTATGAATTTGCTCCGTATCTACAATACGGAACTGCACCGCTCGTATGTATGGACGCGTAGACACTTAGCCCCGCTATAGGCAGCAGAATAAATCAATCGGCAGTTTTTGTCTGCAGTAAATATTTCGCATGGGTCTCAACGGTGGGATAATTCGCAAAAGGTTTGGGCTACTGAACGGAATAGTGCGTACAGATTAGAATTATTTGTCTCCATCAAGCGTGGAGAGAGTTGCAGGGAAATGCTTGAAAGATGTTAGGGGTCACTGAGTTGACGTTCTCCGAGCTGGTCGAGATGGAAGCGTGTACTGTACTACAAGTAGACCGATGACGTTAGGGCTGGGCAGAGAGGCACAACACAACATCTGAAATACTAGAGGCTGGTTCTGACATCCAACCATCGCATATACTGTGACCTGTCTACCAGACAAGATGCAGGCGCTAGTCGATGATGGTGCAACAGTCCGCCATGCATCATCTTGGGCGGCGTCAACGAGCCTCGCACTGGTAAACTTTCCGACGTCGATACGGCCTCAAATAATGATTGATACTGACTCTTGGTAGCTCGTCATTCAGAACTCGATCTCTCTCGTGGTATTTACCTCGCGCCATTCGCCCCCTCGTTGTCCCAAGAGCTGACAGACACCTGAACAGTTACTGCACGCAGTCCAACAGCCGACGGACGCCCATGCCGACCGATACGAACCGTTGACAGCAATTATACTTTCTGAGGCACTGAAGCTTTTTCTCTCCGTCAGCTTCCTGGCTTTTGACGCCAGATCACTGACGGAGAGCGATGAACCTCCTCGTTCGTTCGTTGAACGCCTTCGGGAAGGGCACCCGAAATCCTGTCCACCTGCTGTGTTGTACACCGCTGCTGCAGCTTTTCAGAGCATAGGAGCGCGCCACCTCGATGGGTTGTCCTTCGTTGTGCTTTCCCAGTTGAAGCTACTCCTTACACCATTGTTCTCAATGCTTGTTCTGAGGCAAAGGCTGACGATTTTACAATGGATGTTTCTCCTGATGATGACGGCTGGCATTATACTTGTCCAACCGGCCACTCTTGGCCCGTCGTCCATGGGAAAGCAAAGCGACCATAGGGCGTTACTGGGCTTCGTCTCCATGTTCGCGTCAGGGACATGCGTCGCGCTTGCTGGCGTCATTATGGAAACAATGCTGAAAACACCCGGAAAATTCGTTGTCCGTAATGCTCAATTATCAGCCTACGGCTGTTTTTGCGCAATTTTGGGTCTTTTGGCGCGTCCGGCATTGAGCATCACGGGATCCGGAGGCAGCCACCATCAGTCCTTTTTCCACGGCTATCATGCTCTGGTCTGGACCTTAGTTGTTTTGCAAGCTGCAGGTGGATTTATCGTCGCTTGGTCCGTTCGCGTCACTAGCATAGTCGCGAAGAATTACGCCCAAGCAATTGGGTTCCTGGTCGCGTCTCTAGGGCCCGAGATGCTATCGCCACAGCACCTCCCTCTTCGAGTAAGTCGACGCCCGTTGTTCGTCTCGTCTCGTCCCGTGTTGACCTCATGCAGACATGGCTGGGAATTACCTGTGTAGTATTTGGTGTGGTGGGATTGCTGGGCAACGCTGGGGTTCTGAAAAGGAAAGCTTCAGCGGAAAGAAGTGGTTCGGCTATTGATTCCGAGAAAGCCATGGAAAATATGCCCATACCAGGAGTAGACTATCCTCATAGTCGTAGATAAGACCCAGATCTCAATGACTTACGTGACAAAAGTTGCCTTCGGCCCTTTACCTATTGGTTCTTTATGAAAAGCGAAAGCGAGGATTGTAGTTCTCGCAAATTGCTATTTTTAACCGTACCGTAGTGTTAACGTTTTCGCCCCCACATTCCGATACGGTCATCTCGTCTCATTATCATCATGTCATTGGCTTGACTCCGACGGTTCGCACAGCAGAGATGAGATATCTTGCCACGAATTTCCTCCTGCTTCACAGGACGCAGCAGCAGGCCCCCTTTGCTGGCCTCTGAGTATCCTCAAGATCATCGGAGGAGGGACCCCGAGGCCAGCCGCGACAACCCCTGCTCTACGTCGTTCCCAGCTACGCTGCAGGTCATATCAAATTAGAGTACCCATGGAAGCCGCTTTTTCAGATCGTGGGAGCTCAGGCCACAGAATATGTTTCTGGGTGCGGCATGAAGACAGTCGCAGAGTTTTCTTAGGCTTTTAACCTCCCATGTTGTCGTCGGGAATAGAATGAGACCACAGGTCAAAGCCCCTGCCAAAAAGGGTTACTGATTGCGACGCTAAGAGAATCCTTGACCGCTGAGTAAGCGGATCAAGTATCTAGTTGTCTACGATTCAGCACATCTGACTCTGATGTGACAGAAACATCATCTCTTAGCGCAGGGTTCTGGGGTGTAAAGTATCCCAAAATTTCTATCCCGAACGTTTGTTCGTGAGCTTTATATACTTTAAGCTTACACGGGCTTCCGCAGGCCCGTCATTTGTCAGTGTTACTCCATGGGATCACCATGGTATAAGTTTTTACTCTGTTTTCTTGGACCCACAGCGTTGCTTTCACAGAGTAAGAAGAATCATTCATCCCTCGCTAGCTCAGAACCCCTCCGGGACTGGGAAGTCTTGTTGTAATATCATTCTGTTGAACTTCCCGGACTGATATGTGTTTACGAGAAGCAAGACAAAATATGGGTAGCGATCTGTGAAGAGAACTTCAATGTTAGCATCTCGGCCGACCGGGATGTCGGCTGAGCTGCTGCTTGACTTACTGCTCATGTGATGGACTTCCAACTCCATAATGGGGGCTGAGGCTCGTGCCGTCCTCGTCGCTCGGGATGACTTCCACCTTTTTGGGTGGGATCTCGGCTCACAGTCCTTGCCGCAGAAGTTGCCCGTAGTCTTCCCGCGATTTAGGTTTCGCTGAGATTCAAGCCAAGGATCTTCTGGGATACTCATCGCGTGGATCGCAACCTCATAACTCATGTCGCGTTTGTCACTGTCACAACTGACCGTCAAGCCATACTCATAGCCTTGGCTTAGATCGAATAGCATATGAGCTTTGAAGCGCTCGTTTTATTCGGTATCCGCCGCGGCTACCCAAGAACTCACATAGGTGTCATCGAACTAGCCAATAGACTCAAATCAAATTCCAACACGTAATACGCGTTTATGTCGTGGATCATGATCGACGATGTGGGGGGCGGGACAATATCTTGCCGTCTATTTATACTTGATTACTATTCCTCCCGTGGTGAAGCGTAACATCAAAAGGAGTTCCCTGCGCATTACAATGCAGCCACCCTAATCTTTTTGCTCTATTTGGGTGAAGCGTGACATAACATCACCCAAACTCGCCAACGACCAGATTGGGCATACCTCACAGAAATCCACTTGGCGTCAAATTTATCAACCTAAATCTTGTCACCAACTATCTCACTGCGGTGTTCTCGGCCTCCGTACATGGACATCTCGGTGGCTTTATACCAAAAAAAGGAATAGGTTTCAAATGATGGTCAACATTCGGACGATGGTGATGTGGTTACTTAGAAGGTACCGGAGGAGACCACCCGTTTTATTCAAAGGACTAAAGTAGAATCGTAATTCTGCCTAACATTTCTTGAATCCAAACGTACAAAGCGTGTGATTCTTCATAGCTAGTGTCAAAAAAGAAATTATAGGTACTTTTCCGTAGCGATGAGCGTACATGCAGCTGAGGCTTAGACGTAAACGAAGGGGACGCGAGGAGATATCTAGATAGAAACAAGAGCGTCCCTGTTGAGGACTTGTTTCATCCAGTGCCTCGTTCGAAGAGAGTACATCAATTGCCATAAAATAATTGAACTCGGAAAAGATACATCAGCTACGCTCACCTTGTAGTTCATGGCTTTCGGTCTGGGCAGCTCTTTCCCATAGTCAACATAACATCCCGAACATCGGGCAATCATCTCCATTCCCTTCCTGCGCATTCTATACAAAGCTGGTGTATTCCTTCATTGAGTATCTACTTGAACGCGTCGATAGTACGCTCAACTCATCAAAACGTCTGACTGCAGGCTTCAACGCCGTAACATTATATAGCCCAACACAACAATGACCTACATTTCTTGTCGATTAAGCATACACGAAGCTTATAACTTGATCTTTTCAGGCAGGATGTAAGATGTGCGCTAGATATCGCGTATTCTAGTGCGTCACATGCGAGGTTTCAAACCATCTGAGAAATTGTTAGCTGGGTTAAGTAGATTACAATAGCTCCATGTAGTCGTTGGGAATGAAGTGTACTTCACAGCTCACCTGTGTCACTTCTTGCGAATCGATTCCATGTCCCGTTTCCCAGGCAATCTCTGGAACGTAGTCGTGAGTGCGGCGAACCCGATGTCAAATTTACCTCTGGAGAACTTCAGGGCATCATTGAATCAGCCGCCTTCCAGTCAAGGCTTCCAGTCAGCTTCCTCATGCCCTCGCGCTTCCTTTTCTACCGACCTTGATGCAAGGCTACTTTCCGATGAACCGATCGGTGAAATGACAAATATAACTGTCTCTAATGTATTAAAGCGACCTATCTACGATATGTGCACCTTCCACCAAAATCCCTTTTTCTCCAGATGATAAGTATAGCAATCCATGCTTAGGCTGGATAGTTTCAATCGTAAGCTATTCAGTGCAACAACATACCGATGAAAGCTTTAGATTGATTTATTCCCGAGCCAGACGCAGTATCCGTAAAAGTATACAGGAAATTGGGGGGTTCTTGTTGGCTAGAAGGTTGGAACAACCGTTCCTGTATTAATGGCAAGTTCTCTTTGAAGCTTCAACATCCGAAAATAGCAAATGCCTAATAAGGATCCGATATTATGCTCACTTTATAATTCCATATACAGAACGTGTCCGCTTTACCTTGTAGGCAACTCTGTGGTTAACGGTCGTTGTAGGTATCTAACTGTCTGAAATAGCTCATACACCAAAAGGTGCGCGCCGGCATTAGAAGGCCTAAAGATATTTAGTAGATTAAAGAGTAGCCAATAAGCAAATCTCAAAGATTCAAACTCCGGCGAGATTGAAATATGATTGTGGCATATCAAACTCTAGAATAGCTTTACTAAATATCTATCGTTACAAACTAGTCCTGAATGCTACATGTAGAGCCAGGGAACACTTTATGTGACGTCTAGGTTTTATTGATCGGCTTATATAGGATCTACTCTTACTGTTTTATATTCTCAAACCCGTGAGAAACAAAAGCAGCAGATGACAAAAGTAAGGACAACGGCATAGAAGACCACAGTAGCAAATCCGACCGTGCGAGGCCATTCACGCGCCACCACGCTCGCCAGGAAGCTTATCAGGACAGAGTTTTATTCTTTCAGAATATTGAATGTTAAATGTGTACTCATTGGGTATAGTGAGATGATATTAATAGCTAGATTATAAGGGTAGCTGCATTGTATTGCGCGGCGTATTGCATTTGTAGCAAATCCGACTGCAGTTCATACCATAGCAATAGAAGTAGGAGAGGGTATCGCATCTATGAGATTCTAAAGATTAAAAAACCAAAGTCGCTGCTCATTATTGCCAGAAACACTTCCTATCGAGAACATAGTACACCGTTGGTCCTGATCTTCCCAACAGAGTTCATCCATCAAGTCGCCCATCATCTCGGCCGCTGGATGAGCAGTATCAATGCGTGTCAGACCAGAACAAGCATCGGGTACCAGTGCTGTACAACGTTTTTTTTACTGCATGATAGGCTTTCTATCATAATTAGCCGAGTATACCCTATGAAGTCTTTCACAATTTCGGGCTACCCGCAGCGCTATTATCAACTCTATTAAGCAACTAGGTAGGCAGTCACTCTCACTTCTCCTTTAGTCAGAACATATTAAGAACTATCAATTTTAAATCATTCCGAGAAATCAATCAATATAACCAGAAATCTAGCCAAGTAGCTCTAATTAAACCTTTAAAGACATTTGCGTGATTTGAACAGTGGAAGAACCCGGCTGGAAGGTGGGGGAGAGGAAATAAGTACTATCGGACATGAAACGTGCTTTAAGCAGTAAAGACACCTTCTGTGCTTGTTATTGGATTTGACCAATCCATGAGAGCTAAAGAAAAGGGGTTGTAGTATCAGAACTTTACTATGTAGAAAATCACGTTCGTAAGAGTCACTTCTCCCCTTTGATCGAATCCCAATTTTGATCTCAAGACCGTTTGATGTGAATCTATGCTTCTCGAAAGCGATATCGCTTGGTAAAACATCAATTGACATGAACGCTTAGCGGTCAGGGGAACAACTATGATCTGTCCTATCACAAGTGCATTCCATTCGAAGTAGCCTATCAAACAATGGGAGAAGTTCAATGTATGCCCTAACCAACTAATACACTGAGTGTCATAATGGAGCCACATATGTTGAGTCGGGGCCACGCAGAAGGCGCCACGGCATGTCAAACATGTCAAGCCAAGGGCGCAATGCCTCCACTACGTCGTACACTAGAAACTTCTAGCGCGACAACAATAAAACATAACCTACTTTAGAAAGCTATTTAGCCATGCGTATTGGCTGATACAGATATACTTTCACGTTGATCAAGCCTATCGCGGATGTTTAGTCCAGTCACACCCATTCAGTCTAATTTTCTTCCATCCCGGACTTCTCTTGAAGCCCCTGGTTACCAAATGTCGACCTCTCCCGTCACCTATCGCACTCATCGCCCAGGCGATATCGGCTGGATCACCTACCGTCATGGCATCCTCTATTTCCAAGAGCACGCCTGGGATGAGCGCTTCGAGGCCTACGTCGCCAAGATCATGTCAGACTTCATCTTGAACTACAACCCCGCCACCGATATCTGCTTAATCGCTGAGCGGGACGACCAATTCCTCGGCTGCGTACTTGTGTGCAAAGAGTCAGAGATGAAAGACACCGCCAGACTTCGCGTTCTCCTGGTCGAGCCTACTGCTCGAGGGTTGGGACTCGGCAAGCAGCTGGTACAACGATCTATCGAATTCGCCAGAGAAAGGGGTTATTGTCGGATGGTTTTAGCGACGCAAAGCAACCTCGCACGCGCGCGAAGTTTGTACAAAAAGGCTGGTTTTGAGTTTGTGCGTGAGGAGGAGGCGGGGGACTTTGCGGGACCGGACTCGAAGGGTGAAATTTGGGGACTTCAGATGTAGAGTCACATTTTTCTAATGGCATGAGCGAAGCCTCAAGCATCTGTAGAATAGAAGGGACGGTTTATGACTAGTAAGACCAGTCATCAAAACAGTACAAGGCATAAGTGCCTTCAGGTTATGATAATAGGTGTTGAATGGAAAGATGAGATTGAAGTCCTGACCTTTGGGATGAGTCATGACGTTTGTGGAATATTTGTTAATAAATTTCTTTGGCTATGACACCGAAGTTGCAATCATTGTTCGGGAAGGAGAGATAACACAGGTGGAGCCTAAACACGTCAGGCGTTCGCGCAGTTGTCAGGGTGGTTAGGCGAGAGTAACCATGAGTGAGAATATGAATGGGATTTATACATTATAAACTACAAATGAATAGGATACGTTCCGTTTTGCCGTAAACGCCAATGCCTTGTCCAGGGCACACTTTTCAATTCACACTTCACCACGTTGTTGCTTAATTCCACCTGTCACCTTTACCACCTTGACTTTCCACGTCTGTTAGAAGCACGAACTCGGCTTCTGAGCGCTTCGGAGTGAGTCGGCGTGCAATGGCCTTCGAGCCTAACGCTGTCCCCGCAGAGTCTGTAGTTCCAGAACTTGTAGACGCGCCAGACAGCTTGGACTTGAGGGTTGTGAACGCCTGGCTCTTCGCCGTTAGGCCGGACATGAACTTGTAGACGGCAGGTAGAGAGGCTGTGATGATGCCGGCGTAGAGCTCAATCGTACTCCAATAGGCGGCGTCAACGTAGTCATGGGTGATGTTCTGACTGTTGGCGAAGACCACGAGGGTGTTCAGACGGATGACACTGGCAATGGTGACACTGTAAAAGTGAGGTTAGTCTGAGGCAATACTGGTGCTGAAAGTAGCATAACTTACAAGATACCCATGGAGAAGACGACCATGACCATCAGTTTCTTGTTCAGGGCCATCTGTAGTTGGTAAAGCTGATGCAGAGGTAGGACCAGAATGATGACATCAAGCACGATGTTGAAGGCAGCGCTGAACCATCCTTGAAGATGGATGTTGTTGCATCGACCAAGGTGCTTCTCCTCAAGTTGCAACCAGGCATGATTGATAGGCCAGCATTGGAACAGCGTTGCGAAGAAGAACGCGGCACAGTACGCCAAACAGAGTCCCATCGTGATCCAGATTGCTCGGCTGAGGTTGTTGTGCTGAAAGATGCGATGCAGGAAGAAGAGAATGGAGATCTTGTTCATCGTTTGCGCGACAAAGTAGAAGAGTTCACCGAGAAAGTAGTACTATGAACCATGTTAGTTAGGTACCCTTTGGTCCAGGAGTGCAAGCATCGATCATCTAGGGGAGACTTACGAACAACACATTCTCAATGTTCTTGAGAGGGAGCGTCCACATATCCTTTCCGAGGCCATTGTCGACGAGGGTGAACGCGAAAACAGTCGGCGGGACGGTGAGAACGACACAGGCTGTGATGGTCCAGTCGTCCCAGCTCAGCTCTCGACCATAGCCAGGAAGGGCAGAACACATCCTGAGAATATAGAAAACTAGCGCAAGTCCGAATCCCACACCCGCCACCAAGGGCGGTTTCAGACTGTCATCGCGGACGGGATAACCACACATCGTAGCGGAGCCATTCTTGGTTTCTAGAAGAAACGGAGCTGTCAGTTCGTCCGTTCTCACGGATGCGAGATAGCCGAGGTTTCAGTGACGGCGGGCGACGACTCACTGAGGGCGTCTTCGTAATTGCATCCTTGCAAGACACAAACACTGAGATTGGCGTTCAGCTCTTCGTTGGTGCAGAGGCACGTCGTGTCCGTGAGGGAGCAACCCGAGGTTGGAATGAGTTTGGTCAAGCAGACGAGCTGGTTACCCAAGAGGGTAGGCGATCAGCAACCCATATGATCTCGACACTAGCGGGGAATCGTTTGCCCAAGAAAGGGGCCAGTGCTTCACCGTCGACTTACCGCACACTCAGGGTATAACTTCTTAGCCGCGGCCAATGCTTTCGCGGCTGCGGCTGCATCCTCGTTCGATGTTTGGGCCATGGTGTGAGAGGCCATGAAGGTGGCGGCGAGAGCCGCGAACTTGAAGAACTTCATGATGCTGCTGTTGCGTGGGTATGCGGAAATGGCCTCCTCCAACTTACACAGAATGGCACACGCACAGCTTGGCGAGAACGACCTTATACGGGCATTAAGTAGGAGACTGGAAGCACAGGAAGAAAAGGGCCTGCTTGACCACTTAAATCCCACGTCACGTTTTGCTCTTCTATGCATGAAATTGCTCCCAAGACACTCGTTGGTCTCGCCGCCCTTGACAAAGTCCCTCGAAATCGTGTTCCGCTCCCTGTATCTCAAGCGCCTTCCGCAAGAGGGCGAGTCATTCCGCGCTCACTTACGAAAGATCTGCTTGGATCGTCGTTCTGCCATGGGGATCAGACAACAGTCGCATCCTGATCCGCCCAGCAGATTGGCAGACTGCATGTTCCCTGCGCCTTGCCGGCACTTGGGTAAAGGGGCCGTGCAATACGGGGCATACCCAGGATCTTTAGGCTTTCGAGAACCCAGTGAAATGGGATGACAGAATGTTAGTTACCATGGAGGCGGTACCTGGAATGGTGCTACGGAGAATTTCTGCTAGTTGGGACATGCTGGTCAAAACGGCCGTTAGTCGCCAACATCGCTTGCTTGCTCCATTACGATTTGAGACATTCCATCAACGAACCATTCATGCTCGATCCAATACTAACGAACTTCAGTCTCGACTCTAGCAGCTCAGAACATCAACTTCGTGTCTCTTCGCCAATCCTTTCCTTTTGGGCCTGTTTTCGTTCTTTCATTCTTGATCCACGCGTACCCTCTTTCTCGGGTTCCGTCTCTCAACCCGGTTCTCTTGGACATCCCCAAAGTTCCCAATCCGTCTTGCCGTGCTTCCTGCATCCTGACAGGGGAGTGGACTGTCTGCTGGGCAGATCCCAAAGGGGAATGGCACGACTCACGAGGTTGCACTCAAGAATGGACGACAGCGGACCAGGTATAAAGCATTTTATTGCGGTGGGCTACTCACGCCAGAACTGAGTGTGATCGTCGGCGGGCTTCTTCTGGGTTCATCCCGACTTCAGAGACTCAACGAAGTGAGGAGCCACTGGTTCGGGCCGTAGTTCGCGGCATCAGGCCACGGTTCCGTTGGTGGTCAGTTGTGAGAGGGAAGCTTGGACAATGATTCAAGTTGAAGAAAATCGTTTCTCATTATGAGTAGCTCGAATGGCGGGTGTATGTCCCGGACGAACCGCCTCAACTCTGGCGTGGATTGCCATGTCTGCTCTCCCAAGCCTGCTAGGGTAGCATTTGTTCGTTTCGGTTAACCCATCCCTGCTGATGGAGACCCTTGAGCCCTATGGGGGTAAAGCGCATAGCGGTGTCATAAGAGGCAATCAAGATAGTCGATCAGTCTCTCCCAAAGGCTAACTCTCTCGCTTTGCGGCGGAATTCGCCGTGCACGAGAACATTTTCTGATGAGAATTATGAAGCCCCTGGACCGGCCCCCAATTGCAGGCAGACAATCGCATTCACGCAGGTTTCAAGGGGGAAGTGAGGGCGTACGGGGCTGGACTGGGGAAGAGAGAACATCGTATGCACGAAAATCGTCAACCAATGACACGTCCTGCATGGGCAGATTGTCATAATGTAGAAATGAGTTGCTGCGGGTTGGGCTGCCGGTAATTAATGCCTTCCGTCAGTCAGTTATCACACCAACAGTGTTGATCAGCGGGGAAGCTGTCGAATGCGTTCCCGGAGCTTGGAAAACCACCAACCATACTTAACGATCGGGACGATGCCGCAGCTTGGCCTCTCGAGCCCTCAACTGCCTGTTCTTCACAATCTTCAGCCTTTGGGCGTCCGTCACTCTTTTTGAACCTCCAACTGCCACGCTCACTAGTCATTCTTTCAATTTGATTGCGTTGTTTTATCTTGTTTTCTCGTCCCCGCCGCTATGAAGTTTCTCGCCCCCGCTGCGGCGCTTTTTGCGGCTGTTAGTGCTGGGTAAGTCTTAAGACGTCTCTTATCGCCGACTTCAGGTCACTTGACTCGGAGTTCAAGTTGCTGACGCACACTCAGGAGGTTTGATCAGCCCCTTGGTCCTACTCTCAATGCTACGGGCCCGGTTGCCAACTCCACCTACGACTATGTAGTCGTCGGCTCCGGACCCGGAGGTGCCCCTCTGGCCGCTCGCCTGGCCATGGCCGGCTTCAGCGTCCTGCTTATGGATGCCGGAGAGGACAGAGGCGAGGACCCGGCGGTCCAGGTCCCGGCTCTTCACGTCCTGGCCTCCCAGCATGAGCCCATTCAATGGGACTTCTTCGTCAACCACTACGCCGACCCTGTGCAGGCCAAGAAGGACACCAAGTTCTCCTACAGGACTCCGTCTGGTGAGATTTACACTGGTCTCACCCCACCTGCTGGCTCTGAGCCTTTGGGTGTTCTCTACCCTCGCGTTGGAGCCCTCGGTGGCTGCTCTCAGGTTCGTAACTGTGGCCAGTCTGTAGATGTTCCCGAATTCCATTAACTTAGTCTACCAGCACAATGCCCTCGTCACCATTCTGCCCCAGGACAGTGACTGGAACAACATCGCCACTATCACTGGTGACGACTCTTGGGAGGTAAGAAGAGGCAAGAAATCACCGTCGGCAGGTAGACATACTGACAAACCTTTCAGTCCGACAAGATGCGCGAGTACTACAAGAAGCTTGAGAAGTGCCACTACCTCCCCGGCGCTCTTGATACCAGCGTTCACGGATACGATGGATGGCTTGAGACCCAGACCACGCCCGCAATCCTGATCGTTCAGGACCAGAAGGTCTTGTCGCTCGTTCTCGCTGCTGCCACTACCATGGGCAAGAACGTCCTTGGCAAGATTCTTAACACCGTCACTGGTCTTCTCGAAATTCTGGCTCTCGATGTCAACAACAACGCCCCCAGCCGTGACAAGGGTGAGGACATTTACCAGATCCCCCTCGCCATGAAGGATCCCTCTTTCACTCGCTCCTCGCCCCGTGACTTTATCTACGACATTGCTACCGCCACCAACGACGATGGAACCAAGAAGTACAAGCTGGATCTGGCTCTCAACACGCTGGTCACCAAGGTCAACTTCGATGAGTCCGGTGACAAGCCCAAGGCCACTGGTGTCGAGTATCTCTACGGCAAGAGCCTTTACCGCGCCGACCCTCGCGCTACCAAGGAGGACGGTGGTATTCCCGGACGCGTCTTCGCCAGCAAGGAGGTCATTGTCTCCGCCGGTGCTTTCAACACTCCCCAGCTCCTCAAGCTCAGCGGTGTTGGCCCTGCTTCCGAGTTGGAATCCTTCGACATCCCTGTCGTCAAGGACCTCCCTGGTGTCGGTGGTAACATGCAGGACCGCTACGAGGTTGGCATTGTTGGCAAGGCGCCCACCGACTTCTCCCTGCTCAAGAAGTGCACTTTCCTGGACATGGACGGCACCAACAACGGAGAGGACCCTTGCTACGACAACTGGCAGGATGGCATCGGCGGCCTGAAGGGCGGCTACACCACCAACGGCATTGCCTTCGGTTACTTCAAGCACTCCTCCGTCGCCGAGAACGGCGATCCTGACCTGTTCTTGGGTGGTGTCCCTGCCTACTTCAACGGCTACTACCCCAACTACGCCGAGCACGCCCTCGCCGATCTCTCCGTCTGGACCTGGCTTACACTCAAGGTATGTGGCATAAACTTTCCATCTACTGAACAGCGAAACTAACGGTCATTTCACCCAGGCCCACAGCCGTAACAACGCCGGTGTCGTCAACCTTACCAGCATCAACCCCCGCGACACCCCCAACATCACCTTCCACAGCCTCTTCGAGGGTGTCGGTGGTCAGGAGGACCTCCAGGCCGTCTACGAGGGCATGAAGTACGGCATTGAGGCCTTCGAGAACTTGATTCCCCTCGATGGTGCCTTCGAGCGCATTTGGCCTCCCCAGAACATCTCTTCCGAGGAGGACCTCAAGAAGTTCGCTCAGGATGAGGCATGGGGCCACCACGCCAGCTGCACCGCTCCCATCGGTGCCGATGACGACCCGCACGCCGTCCTTGACTCCAACTTCAAGGTCCGCGGAATCGATGGCCTCAGAGTCGTGGATGCTTCGATCTTCCCCAAGATTCCTGGCCACTACATTGTTCTGTCCATCTACATGGCCAGTGAGAAGGCTGCGGATGTTATCATCGCGGAGGCGAAGTCTGCCTAAGATTTTGGCGAAAGTTTGTCGTATGCGGTCGATGCATAAAGTGTGTTGAGAGACCAAAGTTGAATAAAGCTATTATCATAATAAATCTACCTATAATTTCGATTCTCAAGATTATGTTCGTGACAAGAAACTCGCCATTTTCAAACCAACGTCTGGCACTAAACTACTGCTTTCACTTGTAAATTTTGTTGCTGTGCATCTATGCCGGTGCACAAATTCTCGTCATGGCCTTTTTGACCTTCTATGTTGGTGATGTGAGACGTCACTCATGAGATCGTCTCGGTGGCTGTCGGACACCGCTCCGGAAAGTCGTGGCCCCACATCAGTGTTGATGTGTTGATGTTCAGGGACACGACATTCATCCAAAGAGAGTGAAAGATCATCAGAACTCAACAAGTGCAGGCCAAGCGAGCGTTCAGATGACGATCAGCGTCCACCCTTGCTCGTTCGTATGCGCAACCGAACCTACGGTCACGACCGGGGGCGGGGGTTGGTGGGGGGGAACACGCACCCTGATCCGGATGTCACCCCGAGTCAAAACCACATCGACTGCCGAAGAAGAGTCGTCCGACTCTGCAACCTTATTCAGCTGACACACGATCACCTCACAACTCACCATGATCTATCACGGACAGGACACGGTCGAGGTCCCGAACCTGGACCTCTTGTCGCTATTATTCGGTAAGGGCTATGTACCCCCCACAATTTGGGACTTTGTATGCTTATTCACGATGAAACAGATTCCGAACACTGTCTCGCTAAAGACGATACACCGCTATATGCTGAGGCGGATCACCCAACCAAAGCTATCACCAAATCTCAGGCCAGAGTTCTCACGAAGCAGATTGCGTTCTTCCTTCGCAGCAAGTACGGTATCGGAAAAGATGGGAAGAGTGGTGTCGTGGCGTCTATGGCTGTCGGGCAGTCAACGCTGGCATGTGTCTTCTTCGGCGTTGTCGCAGCAGGAGGCATCTATTCCGCCATCAGTCCCTCAAGTCCAGACCACATCGAGAGCAAAGTAAAGGACGCAAAACTGGTCGTGTGCAGTCCTGAAACGAAGGATTTGGCCTTGAAGGCTGGCGCGAAACCCTCGCATGTTCTGGTCTTGGAATCGTACCCAGAAGTGAGGCTAGAAAGTGCAGATGGCAAGGTCAAGTGTGACTTTAAATCGTCAGGGCCAAAGAACACGCTGAACTGGAAGGTTACGACTGACGCCGAAGAACTTCGCAAAACTCCCATTTGCCTCATCTATTCGTCAGGCACAACGGGTGTTCCCAAGGGTATTCTCATCTCACACGCAAACATGGTCGCCCAGGCGTATCTGCCTTCCCACATCAACCGTCGCGTCTGGAATGAATGGGCCGAGGCAGGACACGAACAGTCGACAGGCGAAACGCCCTTGGGAGACGGGTACAGAACCCTTGCCCACCTGCCTCCCGCGCACATCTCCGGAATCCAGGGCTACTTCGTCAACCCGTTCCTTGACGGCGGGATCACATACTGGGCCTCCTTCGCGGGTGGTTTCGACATGGTCAAGTTTCTGGGGTACAACAAGACCCTCAAAATCACGACCTTCTTCACGGCCCCGCCCATCTACGATGGCATCGCCAAGCTCCACCAGCACAAGCCGGCCCTCGTGCACGGCACGTTCCGATCTCTCAGGGTCGCGTACAGCGGAGGCGCGGCCCTGCTGCCGCAGCCTCTGCTGGCGGGCCGGGCCGACGAGGTGCTGGGCGACCCTGAAGAGGGCAGGCCGGTCCTGATCAGCCAGACGTGGGGTTCCACGGAAACCACGGGAGCCGTGACGCACATGCCGCCCGACAGGGCGGGCTGGGCGACGCTGGGGAGCGTGGGCCCGCTGCTGCCGGGCATGTCGATGAGGCTTGTCGACGACGATGGCAGGGACGTGGCGAAGGGGGAGCCGGGAGACGCGTTGCTCAAGGGGCCCATGGTGATGGTGGGTTATCACAAGAACCCTGAGGCGAGCAGGGCCGCGTTTACGGAGGACGGGTGGTTCCGTACGGGTGACTCCGTGAGGGTTGATGGAGATACGCTGTATTATGTGGATCGGAATCAGGTGAGTTGGGTATTTTCTGAGGATATGGACTACTCCGTTATGCTTGCGCGGCTGGTCATGAACCGGGTGCACCGGCATGGCGGATGTCGATATACCCACGATATTGCGATTACCAAGACTCTTGCTAATCATCTCTATACACGCAGGACGCTTTCATGAATGGGGATACAAAGGTCTACCCCTCCGAGCTGGAAACAATCTTGCGTTCACACAGAGCGGTGGCCGACGCCGCCGTGGTTGGCGTACCTCGATCCAAAGATGGAATCAAAGACGCTACCAACCAAGTTCCTAGAGCTCTCGTAGTTCTGTCACCCCAAGCTGCTGGCGCGCAAAACCCGGGCCACGTGGCACTGGAGCTGGTTGATGATGTTGGAAGGAGGGTGGCAGGTGGGAAACAGTTGTTGGGAGGCATCGAGATTGTGAAGTCGATCCCCCGAGCTCCTGTGGGGAAGATCTTGCGAGCAGAGTTGAAGAAGATCCTCAAATAGAGTTGAAGAAAATGCTCAAATAGACGGCAAAGAAAATCTTAGAATACTGGAATAGACTTCTAAGCCCTTGTGGTGCAGGTTCCTAGCATATCAGCACCGATGGGGTATCTTGTCGAGGCCGAGATGTCTGTTTGATAAAGACTGGTATTGCCCTGAATCCATGTTGATTCGATGTTTTCCCCAACTTGGAGGCTAATCTTCAAAGGTCAATGAAGGCAGCAAGCTAAGTCTCAGATTCTTTCGCAGCCGTAAGCTTCAGCACGGCCTCAACCTTCTCTACGACGGGCCTGTTGTCCAGAAACACTTGAAACCTCGCCATCTTGCCGGTCTCCTCGCCCTCCGTAACCAAGGTAGCAAGGGCGGACCCGGGTAGAGTGATTGTCTCGTTTTCCGGATCCCCTTTCACCCGGTACGAGATCTCGGTTGTGAACCAGATCTTCTCGTCCACCTTGTCTGCTGCCAGTGAGCACAGTTGGTCGAGAAACTACTAGCGCAGTAGCACTCTCAAAAGGAAATCTTGGATAATGAACCAACCTACCGAACAGGATGGGAACGTGTTTCATGTGACCGAGAACTTCAAAGTTCGGCGTGAACCACTGTCTGATCTCGTCGAGACCCTTGAGGACTGGGTTGTTTGCGAAATGCAACTCTCCTTTCTTGGAGAAGATCTTGTTCAATACTGTCACGTCACGGCTGTCGAACGTGTTAAAGGTCTGGGCTAAGTTAACAGGGCTTTACTCTGGTGTTACGTGAATGAAAGTCGGCTTAACGGACGTTGAGAAGCCATGCCTCAACCTCTTCACGGGTGTTGGGCAATGTGGAAGCATGTGAAGCCATATTTGTGACGCAAAAGCTGTACACGATGTCGGTGTAGGTCAATGAGCGGGGTTGCTTAAGATAGATATGGACGGTCGATTGATATGAAGTTGTCTTTATTTTATAGCTGTCTAATCCTTCTCAACTAGCGCGCTGACAAATTTGCTTCATCGGCATCCTTCATGGGTGGGTTGCGTGATCCTTCATACGTGCTTCAGCTTAGAAATCCGAGCTAGGCGGTGACCTCCGCTGTCGTCCTGCCCGGGCCGTCGACTAGTACCTCCCCGGGAAACGGGATTTTGGCTAATCCTCTGGCCCAGTCCAACGACAGAATCGGCGCAGTCTCGGCGTCTCTGGACCAACGGAGCTTTCTGACGAGGTTTCCCAGCCGCCGCACGGCGTGACGATTACAGGTTATCGTGGTGTTGCCCGTTCGCCAGCCGAACATGAAGGACGAACAGTTTGTCTCGTTGAGGGTTGGCTCGACAGACAAGACCACCTTGGGCAGAGTGCCCTTGGCGACTTCTTCTCGGACGTGCTCTCGGCGGAAGTCTTCGACGATGCGGATCGGTAGTTGTAGGTCTTCGGGTACAGGGTGGCAGGATAGCTTCTGCAATTCAGCAATAAGCTTCTTGCGCCGCGCTTCGGTGTACGCTTCATCCTCGGATTCTAAAGGCCAGCCATCCTGCCGCAGCACGCGCTCAAGGAACGCCATCTTGTCATCCTGCTTTCCTCGCAGGGTCTCCTGTCCGAGTAGAATTTCAACTCTGGCGACTTCGTCGTCTGTTGATGCGTCGTAGACCATTCGCAAACACGTTTCCGCGGCCTCGCGGGTGCAGACTAGCGTGCGCCCGCGGAGAATAGGGTAGAGAGAGTTAACCAGTCTCGGGCCATACTCTGCTTCGTCTGCAACATCTTCCAGGATCTTGGGGCGCCATTTCCGCTGATTTCCATGGCTATGGGAGATATCAGTGGTCAGGGCGACAAATATGGAGGTATCTATGTTGAGGGTTGGCGTCAAAGGCGGCGAATCATCCGCGCTGCCGAGGTCGAGAAGATTCGCGATTGCTGTTTCGATGGGTGGAGGAGGAGTCTGTATCTCTCCTGCACACTCGAGCGCAAGTGAGACGTTTTCATCTCCCAAGCTCTGTACGCCTCGTAAGAACCGATCTATGGCGAGCTCGCGTCCCCTTTGGACATTGGGAAGGACGATGCGTATGCGATGCTTGTAGCCTCCGTGAATATCACGTGCAGCTGCTAGCAGTTGTTGGGCGCATTTCAAGACCTCGATTTGTGTCTCTTCATCGCCAAGGATCTCTTGAAGTTCGACATCGTCGTCTCCATCATCCGGCTCATCCCAGGGAAAGTCGGCTTCGGCCATCTGGACTAGTAAGGCCCTCTCGGTAGTGCTAAGGACCCGAAGCCACTCATGGCCGTTGTCGACGATGGCGCTGACGAAGACAGATCCTTGCCCATTTCCTTCTTTCTTCCTATACGGAACTGCATATCGAAACCAGGTCACCGAACGGCACTTCTTGATAGCCGACCAATGGTTTTCATACGACGACAACTCGCCCTCGAGAAGTCTTAAGTCTCGATGAAGAGGTCCTTCAGCCTCTGGGTCCTCAATCGGCTCCTTGGAACGCTGAAGCAGAGATTCCGCCCGTAGTTTCTGATTCGTATTGGACTGCCAGAAAGTGCTGAATCCGGGGATATAGGCGTGCCAGTGATTGTTGACCTTCTCAGCTGTCTTCTCGACAGCTGAGCGGAGGAGGTCGAGCTCAGCGCAAAGCTTCTCGCTACGTGCGAGGAGTTCTTCGGCGTTCTTGATGAAAAACTCGTCAATAGGTTGAACTCCTGAAGGTGGCGTGCTCCTTCCACTGGGTTCTCCGTTGTCGTGCCCCCCTCTGGACAGGTATTCGACCGCTGTTCCCGCCATGCCTGACCTATTCCCCCGCCTGACTCGGATAAGCGTCTCCTGGAGCCTCTATTCTTTCTCTAGCCAGCCTAAGTCCTTAAGCCGCCTTTGAGTTGGAGATAGAAATGTGCGAAAAGTACCGAGGTGCCTTGCAGAATAATCCCTGGAGTTGAGGGAAACCCAGAATCAGACGTCCTGCGATCAAGGTGGTCCGCGGATGAGTCACAGTATGTCAATCGGTGGCAAGAGGTTGGTTGAGAAATACAAGTGCTGATGAGATTCGTTCGTGTATGTCCGTCAGTTTTGCTGTCTGCGTATCATTCAGGTCCAATAATTGGTCGGCAGTGTTGTGGTGTTGATGATGTTGTGAGTCGAACGCGGAATCCAGCTCGTGGTTGACGCCTGTACCTGCTCGGTTGGAACCTCTCCACTTCCCAGTGGAATCATCTCCACAGCTCTGATTGGCTCCAGAGTATCCACTTGCAGTGGATGTATAAGCAATACCTGCATAAATATCTTTATTCATTCATGCACAAGCTGTGCTTATGTCAGCTGGGCACTTTCCGATTATCTCCGAAATCTCTTCCTTCCTGTACGACCTGCACAGCATCACCACCACCACGAGTGCTTTTGATCAAGATCATTATTGTTGTCATTAAATCTCTCTACCGCAAATTCCAACGCCCTGTTACTTGGTGTACACTACTGGTATATGGCTCGCTTATGCCGCTATCTATGCAATCATCTATGCAACGCTTGCAACTGACCAGGACTCGACTACTTCGGCGAGAGTCTGGTCGCTTCCGACATTACCTGGGAACACAACATACGGCACCCCACGATGCCGGCTTGTTTCCTCATCACACCTCCACAGAGGAACGCCTGGGGCAGCTTGTCCCAGGATGCGCGCTCTTCTCATTTTCAAACCCTTCGTCGCCGCGTCAGACGACGTGATGCCGCCCTTCGCGATCAGGTATCGTGGTCTGACGTCGATCCTCTCCACTAGTTGAACCAAAGCCCGAGCGACCTTGGATCCAATTTGCAGAGAGCTCAGGGCATCGCTTCCCTTGATCAGCTCCCGCGATGTCATGACGAGAACATCTTCTCCATCCGACAGCTTCTTCGTCGTCTCCGCCGCTGCTGCCGTGACGACCTTTTCGGCCGCCTCCTCGGACCCAATGAGCCCGGCGACATCGAGCTCAATCACAGCGAGCTTGTCGCCTCTTCTCTCGCGGAGAACCTTGAGCTGAGCCGTCGTCTTCGGCACATACGAGCCAGCCACGATCAAACCGCCAGGCTGCTTGGTCTCTCCCGAGATGGAGACACCCAGGTCGGCCATGGTCAGCGGCGGGATGCCTGTAATTCCGAGACGCGACGACACGAAAGCAGCGCCAGTTCGGAACAGGTACCGTCTTCCGCTCTTGTTGGCTTCGAGGAGACCAGCCACGAAAACATGCATGTCAGACTCGGCAGCCGCGTTGACAATCACCACCGTGTTGGAGCCAGGAGCAGCTGAGAGAAGCTTTTTGGCGACGCCAGCAGGTCCTCCGACTCGAATGTCGTCGAGCGTTACCGAGAGGAAGGATGATTCGTCAAATCTCGACCCGCACTTCTCGAGGACGTACTTTCGCAGATTCGAGTTCTTGTACCCGAAAGTGGCGTCTTGGGCGAAGGGCGTATGGCTCGCGGGCACTAGAACGTCGCCTTCTTTGACGTAGTGGACGTCATTGATGGTGTAGCGTCCGCCCTGGTAGAAGAACGGAGTGATGACCCACGCGTCAAACTTGCCCAGCGCCTCCTCAGCAGCCTCGGGCTCCTCCGGAAGGTGGCCTCGGAGGGTCGAGTCGCCCCGGAGCACGATCTCGAATGCCTTTCCAGCCTTTTCAGCAGCCTTCTTAACGTTCTGACAAATCTCGAGGATCAACTGACGGGCCTCGGCCGAAGGAAGAGCACGAGAGTTGGTCAGGATGAAGAAGCCCTTAGGGTTGAGACTGAACTCGTAGTCGAGTGTTGCGGCATCCCAGACAGTCAGCACATCAATATCGTTGCAGGTCTGAGTTCCTGTCGGGTCATCATCCAGAGCGACGAGAACCGGTACTTCGCCGTTGTTCACGACCTTCTGGGTTGAGCTGATGACGTCACCTGCGTACTCGGCCGGCAGCGAGTCGAGCGTCTTGTGTGCTGGAAGAGCCTCATCTTGACCAGCTTCTGAAGCTGCTGTAGCGGCGTTGTTGCCATCCTGAGTCTTTGGGCCAGCGTTGCCAGAAACAGAAAGGCCGGTCAACTCCCACAGTCTAACGACACCAGCGTCCGACTCCTTTGACCAGCCATGAGAGGCACCGGAGAGGTACAGCGTGTGCGCGGCAGATGAGATGGGAGCGAAGTATGTGAGGCGCTTTGCTTCGTCAAGCACGATACCAAGATCCTTGACAAAGATGGCGAGGGCTGAATGAGGGGTCCAGTCGGCGTCAAGCATCTGAGGCACGCGGTTTTCAAACATCCAACTCCATGCAGCTGCATTCCCGAGAAGGTCGAACACGCGTCGCGTGTCCAGACCCAGGCGCGCAGCGAATGCCATGGCTTCGGCGGCAGCTGCGATGTGAACTCCGGCCAGAAGCTGGTTGATCAGCTTGACGGAGGATGCCGCACCGACACCACCCTGCACATGGCAGAGATTGCTAGTAGTTCCAGTCATGGCCAGCAGCGGAGCGTTGACCTTGGAAATGATGGCATCGTTGCCCGAGCAGATGATCTAACGAAGACTTAGCATCAACCCACATTGACGTTCTCAAGGTCGGCTACTTACCGTGAGAGTGCCGTTTGCAGCACGGACGACACCTCCACTGACAGGAGCATCAATGAGACTGATTCCTTTTCCAAGGTTGGTCAGCTTGCTTTCAAGCTCGCGCACAAAAGACGGCGGGACCGTTGAGCTGAGAATGACGATGGCACCATCCGGAAGCACGTCTGCGGCTTTACCCGATCCAAACAAGGCATCGTCAGCCTGGGCAGCGTTCTGGACCATGAGCACCAAGAGATCAGCTCCCTTGGCGGCATCAGAGGGGCTGCTTGCTTTGGTCGCCTTGCCTCCCGCGGCAACAAACTTGTCGATGGCCGGCTCGTAAACATCATATCCGTGGACCGGGAAACCGGCACGAAGGAGCGAACCAGCCATACCCTGACCCATCGCACCCAAGCCAATCATGCCAATCTTTGAGATTTCCAATGGCGTGCTGCTGGGAGTGAGCTTTTCTTGCTTGTTAAGCTGGCCAGCCTGCTCCTTTACTGCGTTGGGAGAACCAGGGAGGAATACCCGGACGAGACCAGCATCGTCGTCCAGGCCAAGACCCTGGGCAGCACCAGAGATGTACAGCTGCTCTGCGGTTGATGCGAGGGGCAATGGGAACTGCAGCGTTCTTGCGGTAGACACGACGATCCCCTATTTGACATGGTCAGCGGATTGGTTACGGCTGATTCGAGCGGGCTCCTCACCATATCTTTAACAAAAATGTTGAGAGCAGAGAGAGGGGTCCAATCTCCGTCGAGCATATGCGGTACGCGGTTCTCAAAGGCCCACGAGTTACCGGCGGCGTTTGTGATAATGTTATACACCTCGCGGGTGTTGAGGCCAGCCTTGGCAGCAAGACCCATGGCTTCTGATGCAGCAGCAATATGCGTGCCAACCAAGAGCTGGTTCACCATCTTGACCTTGCTGCCCGCACCGGGCCCGCCGGGAATGATGTACAGCTTTTCCGACATATCATGAAGAATCTGGTCTGCTCTCTGCAACGCGACTGACGTTCCCGAAGCGAAAATAGTGAGCGTGCCCTCGGCTGCACGCTTCGTACCGCCAGACACTGGGCTGTCGACGACAAGCACATCTCCCCGGCCCTTCTGAGCGATCCTATCTGACAACGCCTCATGATACGTCGGAGGCACTGTCGAGCACAGTAGTACTGTAGCGTGCTCCGGTAATGCTACGACATGGTGTTAATGACATAACATGCGCCGCACGATTGGGGTTGGTCTACTCACTCTCGAGAGCACCCGTCTGATGGTCAAAAAGTATATCATCAATCTGCTGGGCGTTGGCGGCCATGCAGACAAGGATGGAGCTGGATTTCGCCACGTCCCTCGGTGAAGCACCAACCAAACCACCCTGCGCGACGAATTTCTCTGCGCTTGGCGGGTAGACGTCGTAACCTTGGACTCGGTATTGGGGCTTCTTCAACAAGTTACATGCCATACCGAAGCCCATGGCCCCGAGGCCTATGAAGCCAACACGGGTGACGTCGGCGCCGCTGGAAGCCATTCTGATGGATGATGATTAGGTAAAACCTGGCTCGTTCCACGGGTTGATGGTCATCCGAAAAAAATTACAAAGCTTTGCCGAGACCGGGGATATTGGAGACTGAGTGATCTTATACCCTGACTGCATTCCCCAGGTTCGGCCAAGAGTCCGGAATTCTGGCCCCGGGCCCGGAGTGTGTTGCGCATCAGCTGGGAAACCTTGGGAACACTACATCCGAGGGCCGTCCACATCCCACACACACAGAACAGAACAGCCCCTCTCGTTGGAACAAGCAATGGGACGACGGGACACTTGACCAAAGTCCTTTGCCGTGCCGTCCAGCACAAGCGCAGAAAAGAAGTGGACGGATTGAGTTTGAGCAGGTGGAGGTCTAGCAACCCCGCACGGAACGAAGTCCGCCCCGCTTATAAACAAAGGAGATGCACGTCTTCCGGCGAATGTTTTCCCTCTTTTCTCCCCTCGGCCATCTTTCCGCTCGTCGACTTTGTCCACTCCGTCCACCTTCCTTTCCCAGACCCAGAAATCTGCCCGGACTTCCTTCCTTTCGGACCATGAAACGCGCGAGAATCGACGGTCCGGACAAGACCCCGTCCTCGGGGGGCCCAGCCGGCCATCAAGTCCACATGCCAAAGATCTCAAGGAAGATACGCGCTTGTAAGCTCCGAGCCTGAGCCCGGCCTCCGATTGACTCTTCGGAGTGTTCGTCCCCTTGTCTCGCTTCAGTGCCTTACTGGATTAGCTTGCTGATCATCGTTACACAGGTCAGGAATGCCAAAATCGTAAGATTAAGTGCGGCATTGAGCCCGGCCAGAATCAGTGCGCCCGTTGCTCCCGCCTAGGTCTGCAGTGTGTCGTCAACAAGAGTCTCCAGACCCTCCTCGACAGCGAAAATGAGTGGAAGACCAAGATGGAGATGCAGCTGCAAGCACTGCAAGCCTCTCTGAACGACGTTCAACGACACATCGGCATGCCGCAGCTCGTGCCGCTCCACGGCTATCACGAGGGCGGGGGCATGTCTCAGAGTCCAGTGAACCTCGCCGGATCACAGAGCAGTCCCGGCACCGGTCCATCACCCATTCGACCGCCAGACGTCACAGCCATGACGAGGGAGAATTCACCAGAAATTCACACAACACAAGACAATGGCGAAGACCAGGCGATAGTGAGCGCGCCAATGGCCAGCCTCTATGAGGTCACCAAACTGCGGAACATCCGGAGCGATCCGGGGGGCCGGGTCCACCTCCCGTCGAACCGGGCCCAGGAACCCGATTTCATTGCGCTGGGCAAATTTAGCCTCCAAGAGGCGGAGCAGCTTTTCTCCACGTTCCGCAACACTCTTAACGCGTACTTGTGGGGAGGCATCGCGCTAGTCCACGATACCCTCGCGGCTACGCGCTTATCCTCTCCCCTTCTCACCGCGGCCATCCTCGCCGTAACCGCCCTACACGCCCAGGACGAAGGCCGCGCCTTTGACACATGCTATCCCATCTTTCTTGAGCTGGCGAGCCAGTCCATGTTTGACCGGTACCACACTCTTGATGATGTTCGTGGACTATGCGTGGGGGCCTTCTACCTGTCTGACCTCAGTTGGAAGTTGAGTGGTCTTGCTGTGCGAATTGCAACGGAGCTTAACCTTCACCAGTTCTGTGCTAAAGCATTGAACAACGGATCACCGCAGTATGTCGAACAGGCAAGACTATGGTACTTCCTCTACGTTTGCGACCACCATTTCAGTATTGCCTATGGGAGGCCGCCAGTCATCAACGAGGACGCTAGTATTGTCAATCATGAAGCTTTTCTGAAGCTGCCTGGTATCACCCAGGCCGACCATCGCCTTCACAGTCAAGTTGGCGTTTTCATCATCTTGAGTCGCATGTTCCACACATTCGGCCCGGACAGATCAAGACAAGTCGCCAGAACCGAGTTCGTAAAGCTTCAAGAGTTTGACAATGAGCTTGGTCATTGGAAAACCAGATGGGAAACCCGGTTAGGTGAGATGCCAATAATTTTCTACAAGTCCTACTCGCTTACTGACATCCTCAAAGAAACGGACAAGCACATCTCCAAGTATCCCGCCAAGGGCGTCATACTTCACTACCATTTCGCCCGTCTCCTACTCTTCTCCGTCTGCTTACGCGGCCTTAATGCGTCAAACCCACAAGACCAGTTCGCCGTGTGCGACGAACGCCGCAGCTTCATCAACACGGCGATCTCAAGCGCATCGGCCGCTCTGGAGCTGATTCTGAACGATCCAGACATGCGCAAGGCAGTCATTGGCGTGCCCTTGTACCTACTGACGACCATCGCGTACGCCGCCATGTTTCTGATGAAGGTATACATGCAGTGGAAGCAGGCCAAGGTGGACATTCACTACGACAATGTGGTCTCGGTAATAGAACGGATCATCGCTCTCCTGGGAGAGCAGAGCCGTTGTACCCGACATGTGGCCCATTACATCGGCCGCGGCCTCAGCAACATGCTCGACAAATTCAAGGAGCGTGGCCCGCAAGAACAGTACTATGTTGCGAGCGGTCAGCCGGGCGCTGTCGGCATTCCAGGGCAGGAACCGGTGGCCCAATGGCCAGAGGATATGTCGCAATGGGATGGAGTTTTGTTCAACGGCGTGATGGATTACGGGATGGGGGGCCAATATCCACAATACGGTTTGTTGAACGATCTTAACTCAGGAGCAATGTTCTGACGTCGTCATCAACGAGCAAAAAAAATTTAATGAAGTCACGATATTCGTCAAAACCCCCACTTACGAGTTGCTTTTCTGGTGTTTTGCATGCAATCTTGCCTTGTGATGCCTTATCTCAGATCACGAACACAACCGCGGGCAGAAGTCCGCGCCTCTGGCTTCGGACAAAAGGCCGCTCACCTCCAACTTATTACGGCATTTGGGCACGGGACAAACACCGCTCCGTCTTTTGGCCCCTCATGCTAGTGGATCTAGAACACGTTCCGGTCGCTCGCCAGTCCAATCACGCCCCCATCGACCCGGCGGCCACGATCAAGGAAACCAACCTCGAACAGGCGAAGAACCAATTCGTCCAAACCAGGTCCGGAATGGATTTCCAGTTCTCGCGGGGGACCCACGAACGCCCCCCCTTTTTCCCAGCGCCCTAAGGGACTCCTCCCCCAACAGTCTACCCCGTGGGGGATGGGAGGGACGTGACCGGAATACCCCGGGCAGAAGGGGAACAAACGCCAGACACGAGTCGCGTTTTTGACGTTATATATCAGACGCACCTGTTAATGCCTACCTTATGTCCGGCTGATTAGGAGGAAGTTTCATCATCCCTCAACCTCGTCTCTTTTTTTCATATACCACCTGTCGCCGTCTCCGTGAGAGCGCAACATTGGTTCTGCTCTCTGTGTTCTCGCTCCACAATTACGGCGGTGATTCGAGCGAGAAATCTCCTTTTCATCGACTACCCGAATTGAACGAAACGGCGACACCGACATACTCCAGGATACGATTGCGACGATGAGCGAGGAGGAGAACGAACGGAAGCAGTCCGTCGAGATGAAGGAAGACAAGAACGCCGTCGCCGTCGACCCTGCGGACAGCGAGCTCGCCGAGGCGCTGAGGAATTATGTCCCCGGCACCCAGGAGGAGAAGGCTCTCGTCCGCAAGATCGATGCCTACCTGATGCCGATTCTCTGGATCGTAAGCCGCATGTCACTAGATGAAGCATATTTTAGCCGCTGACTTACATGCCAGATGTACATCCTGAACTATGTCGACCGCACGAACATCGTAAGTCCATGACCTTAGATGAACGATGAGGGGAGAAGAGAGACACGATGAAAAATTGCATCACGAAGCACGGACCACTGACATATGAAAAACAACAGGGAAATGCCAAGATCGCGGGTATGCAGAAGGACCTCGGCCTCACCGACGACGGCTACGCATGGGTTCTGTCTATCTTCTTCTTCGGCTACCTCATCTGCGAGGTGCCGTCCAACATGATCCTCAGCCGTACCCGTCCCTCCATCTTCCTCCCCGGCATCATGCTCGTCTGGGGAGCCCTGAGCGCGCTCATGGCCATCTCCAAGAGCTACGGCGCGCTGTTGGGCTTCCGTTTCGTCCTCGGGTGCATCGAATCAGGCTTCTTCCCGGGTGTTCTCTTTGTCCTGAGCTGTTTCTACACGAAGAAGGAGCTGGGTACGTTCTGCCGTTCTGATATCTTTCACCTCCGTTCTAACGCCTCCCAGGAAAGAGATTCGCGATCTTCTACACCGCAGCCGTTCTGAGCGGTGCCTTCGGCGGCCTGCTCGCCGGCGCAATCACATCCAACCTCCACGACGCACACGGCATCGCCGGCTGGCGCTGGCTCTTCATCGTCGAGGGCGTCGCGACGGTCGGCGTGGCCATCGTCGCCTTCTTCGTCATCCTCGACTACCCGGCCACCGCCAAACAACTAACCCCGGCCCAGCGCCAGCTGGCCACCGTGCGCATCATCGCCGACGGCATCGCGTCCGGCAACACCACCTCCACCACCCGCCTCTCCCACTGGCAGGCCTTCGTCGCGGCCGTCTCGGACCCGCGCACCTGGATGTTCCTCGTCCTCTTCACGCTCGACGTCGGCGCCGGCACCATCTCCTACTTCATCCCCACCATCACCCTCACCCTCGGCTACGACACCGTCAAGGCGCAGTACATGACGGTGCCCATCTACGCCGTGGCCTCCGTCTGCCTCAACATCAACGCCTGGAGCTCCGACCGCAACGGCGAGCGCCGGTGGCACGTCGCGGCGCCGCTGGCCGTCGGCTTCGCGTGCAGCGTCGTCTGCGCGGCCGTCACCCACGCCGTCGTGCGCTACGTCATGATCTGCTTCGTCGCGGCCGGCATCTGGTCCGCCCTGCCCCTGGTCTTGTCCTGGACCAGCGGCACCATCAGCATGCCGGCGGAGAAGCGCGCCATCGTGCTGGCGCTGGTGAATGCCTTTGGCAACTTCTCGAGCGTGTACGGGAGCCGGATCTGGCCGAGCAAGGACGCGCCGCAGTACCACGTCGGTTTTGGTGTGACGGCGGCGTTCTTGGGCGCGGGTATGATCATCGCCGTGTTGATTCCCATCATGATTAAGATGGTGAACTGGAAGGGTACGCAGGCGGAGAAGGAGCTTGCTGCGCAGCGGGAGGCCGGGGAGGGCAGCAACTGATGATGATCGCTTGCTTGGGTCGTTTTTTTGTGTTTGACAGCGGATACCTTTTTGAGGCTTTGTGGCCTATGATAGTTAATGACAACCTTTTGCGACTGTGCTTAAATGCTTCCATTCGTTTGTGATACCGAATTTCGATGCCATACATACTATTGATGAGTCCATGCTTGTCTTGTGCGGATGGCCTGCTGTTGCATCGATGGCATGCGTATGTGGCAAACTTGAGGGCTGTAATATGTTGAACACGGAGTCAAAACTGACCATTCTGGTTTGGAGGATCTAACTTCAACGTTGGACTTGCAAAGCCAGGCTCCCAGGAAGAAGAGATGCGAATGTTTGAAACTTTCCACTCACAAGCCAGAACGGTTGTCCTTCCGTCATATGGGATAGACAGAGGCTTTAGTGCTTTCTGGCGGCAAAACATCACCTAGATTCATAAGGCGTTATGACTGCTTTAGTTGTTTGCTGGAAACGAGCTCCCGTTCAGTGCACAAATCAAACCCACTGTTGAGTCAATATGTTTGAATGGAATTACATGTAACTAGCCGGCTCATTAACCATGCAAACACACTTGTCATTGCTGCATCTGCAAGAGAAAACCATCATCTACTGATTGTTGTGATAGTCATAGACTGTGTCTTCAACTCAGCTCCATGTCCCTGACTCACAGAGCCAATGTCGATCTCGCGACTTTGGCCCATATAAGCGCTGCATATGCCAGTCTTGTTCGACCTTTTGCCTTGGTGTGAAGTCGTAGACGTAGCAGCTTACACTACGTGGGATTCTCTGCTCTCACCCATCATGGCTACACCCTGGAATCTACAGGGATCTCCCGGCATGATGCCTCAAGATTCTTTCTCGGAGTCCGGATCACAGCCATCTGGAGATGGTTCAAATTCGTCACAGGAAGCGCCTCCCCAAATCGAAACAAGTAGCGACGCATCTGTGGAAGAAACGAAAAAGCGCGTAGAGAACCGGCTTTCTCGATACTGTCTTCTGTGGGAAGCTCTGAAGGAGCTCCCAGACATCAACGAAACCAACGAAGGCCGGTACCGAGAGATGCCCGAGGACGCTACTCCGCCGAATACCCCTACCTTCGAGTGCGAAGTTCACGGCACCCCCTATGAGCTTTTCAAGAATTTCTTAGATCGTCTGGCGGAAGTTTGCAGTTTTGATCGCAAAACCTACATGGTCACTGCGATCCTGGTGGAGAGGACGGATGAGGAGTTTGTTTTTCATGTCACGCGAAACGGCCTTGCTCACCTCAGTGAAGAGCAGACTCTCGTGGCATTCCTCGAAGACTTGCTTTACCACATTGGCAGTCTGCAGGAGACAGATCTACACGAGTTCCAGCGATCTCCAGCGTTTGGGGAATTACTCAACTTCATCGTCGAGGCAAGTGTGCCTAGAATCAAGTGTTACCGATCCAGGCTTCGCAATTCACTCTCAGAATGTTTGAGACATGAGAGTGTGGCCGGCATGGGACCCGAACTCTTACAGGAAGTCAACGCCCTCCTGGCAGCAACCATGGTCACTCTGAGTGATCAAAAGCCTGGTAAGTACCAAACATACAATGAGGCCGTGTATAGCTTCAATCTTGAGACACAGCAACTGAGAGAGTCTACCAAAACAGATGATGCTATCAATCTAGTTCTTGCTGCCGATAGTTTCGTGGCTCATATCTCCCATCTCAAGGAAGTGTTGAGGCCGTGGACGGCGGTCAACACCAATGGCACTGCACTTCCAAGCCGCTGGGGGTATGTCTTCCATGATGTTGGAAGACTCAGGTCTTATAAGAAGAACGTCGCGGTGTTCTTCAAGGCCCGAATGGAATTCTCCGAGCTCTTAAAAAAATACAGAGTCAAGTTCCTCCGCCCCAGGCTAGCTGTGCCAACACCTTTGTTGTGGGACATGGAGGAACTCCGTCGTCGCTTCAAAAGCAGGAAGTATCACAAGAATCTCTGGACCGAGGAACACATCGACAAGGTGTATCAGAAGATGAGAGAGCTTTCCGGATGGAATTTCAAACGTCAGGTACATGCCGAGGTTGCGCTCTCGCATTGGTTTCAACAGAGATGCAGGTTCCCCGAAACAGGCTCGGAAGACACCTCTGGACCCTTCTTCCGCGGTTACCGATATGTGGCTTCCAGCAAGCCCTGTTGCCAGTTGTGCAAGGGTTACTTTGACTATGACGAGACGGCTCCGGATTGTCGGCGTTCACACGCAAACACTTACACCCGGTGGACTCTTCCAGGCTTCGAGCTTTGCGCGACGGAAAAGGCCGTCGACGCCCACATAGAAACGTATCGAGACATTGCGAGACACCTCAAGCATCTGGTCAAAGCCGTTCTTTCTCAGTGGAAGCCAGAATGCGACCCCACATGTTTTGACTCTGACAGTGACATTTCATTTTCGGGTTAATCTTGCACATAGTCACAGACAAACTGGCATCCCTGTTTTGGCAGTTGTATTGGGATGGAAGTTCGTGGAGTCGGGGCTTATGGGCGTTTGGATCATTGAAACGAAACGTGATGTAATGTATGGTACAATGTGTGTTGGGTATAAGATACGTAGGGTGCTTTTGGACGGCGTGTTGCACAGAAATCAGGCTGTGTCATACCAATAGACTGTGTAAACAATATTCCCACTGATATCATCACGATGCCAATAAGCAGCCGCGTGGATCGAGGCTTACAAAACGGTTGTGGGATCTTTGGCGTACGTTTAGCAATATGCTGTGCTCCATACCCCGTATTTGATCGGAAGCTTGCTACATGTACGTTCAAAGCTGATTTGTAGAATATCAAATCTGTCAATTTGGACCCGACATGATCTGGCCAGCCCGAATACATTTTGATTTGTACACCTCACTTTCTCGTTTGATGCAGGTATTCACAGACTTCTTGCTGCCTTCACCCTGTTGTCTTTCGCTCGCTGTGTACCCTCGATATTTGCCGCGTAGAGGTCGAAGATGTGAGGAAGGCCAGGATAAACATGCAACTCCGTCTGGACATTGGCTGCCACAAGCCTCCTCGCAAACGTAACAGACTCAGCGCAGAATAAGTCCAGCCCACCAACGTCAATATAGGTGCTCGGCAGTCCTTCCACGTTTGCCGCCCTCGCTGGAGCTGCATACTCTGAGATATCGGCCTCCCCTGACCTTCCTTCGAGGTACGCGTTCCATCCAATCTGGTTCGCCCGGCTCGTCCACGTCAGAAACTGCGACAGCGGGTTATCGGCCTCGACCTTCGTCCTGTCGTCCAGCATGGGGTATATCAGCATCTGCTTCGCCAGAGGCGGCGACAGACCTCGATCGCGCGCCATCATCGCCGCTCCCACTGCGAGTCCGCCGCCGGCGCTCAGAGCGTAGAAACCAAGACGCGCCGGGTCTATGTTGAGCTCCTCCGCGTTCTCACTGAGCCACTTCAACGCCGCGTAGCAGTCCTCCACGGGCGTCGGGTACGGAAACTCCGGCGCCAGCCGATACTCGACCGCGAACATCTGAACGCCGGTAAGGTCGGCACACCCTGCGGCCAGCAGACGACTGCACGGATCGACCGGTCCTCCCACTAGCCCGCCCCCGTGGACGTAGACGAAAGCCGGGTGCTTGACGCTGGTGTCTGCGTTTTTGTTCGCGAATTGGTGCACCGCGATCTGCTCGCCGTCGAACGAGGTGATCTGGTGCTTGGTCTCGACGATGTCGTCGGGCATAGAACCCTTTGCGAACAAGCCAAGCCCCGCGTTGGTGCTCTCGCGAAGTTGAAGCGCATTCTTAGCTTGGCCCGGTGGTCTAAAGGCAATGATGGGGCCAGCGACCTTCCAGAATTCCTTGTCGAAGCTCAGTCCCGGCATTTTCGCAACTCGCAATGGCGGCGGCTGTCGGTGGTCTTGATGGGAGGGTAAGGTCGAGGGGCAAGATGGACAGATCGTTCAGACGAGACAGCACAGTTATCCGGCAAGCTTACCGGGGATCGCCTTGGTTTTGTAGGTCGAACGTTTCGCAATCCTGGGAGCAAGCTAGTCCCAGCAAGCCGGACATTATATCACCCCAGCATGAACACATCACCCGCGCCGCCACTTGTTTTGTCGGACCCCGAACCATTCGAAGCAGCCCGAACCTAAGCAAGACTTCGGATGACTTGATGTCCCATGTTTCAAGCGACTGCGGCCCGCTGGATGAAATTCTGTCCGAGCGGCATGGAGCATAGCCAGGCGATTATGAATCCAAATTGGTCGCGCTCGGGCGAATTCTTCCGTGCCCCTCAGGCCAGGAACGAATTCAAATTCGAATCAGCGCAGGGCCAGCGATGCCGTGTTCTCTGTGTGATGTTGTCCTTCGCCACGTGCAATTGAGTTTGGCTATGCATGCCGGACACATGGGCTTGTGCAATGCTTGCGTGTCTAGGCCGGCTTCTGCGTTTGCATTGCAGCTGAGAGACGTGGTCCATTATCGAGCTTGCATTAGACCGGAAAGTTCTCCAGGTGACCAGGATAGTATCACGATAATCACATCTCGCATCTCTAGTTGCAATTAGGTAGCGGATAAGAAAGTTGAGTCACACGGTGTCGGGAGTGGTGTTTCTTTTTGCTGAAGACCACCGGCCAGACATTGGTCCATGCTGTGGTGATGTGTTCCAGGGTATCTGGGAATCCGAATGCGAAGGATCTGAAGGAGTCTTGTTTTGGGGACTTCTGCCTGCTATGCCGAGCTGATGATGAAAACAACGGAGATCAAGAGCGTGAGACGGAGGAACTTAGGTTTAAAGTAACTGCAATAATCTTACATTGACTCACACGGCCAGTCTTCCCCCTGCAAAAATTACTGAACATCGAACCCTTGGCAGTCAGCATCGTCCTGATATGTGACCAACACATCAGTCGAAGACATCAGTCGCGTACCGCTCATTGCGGATGTTGTTGAACCACTCCTCCAGCTCCTCCTCCGTCATAGCCTTCCCGTCGTCCTTCTCACTCTTCTCCTGCGCCGCCTTTGACACCACTTCCTTCACGCCCTCGGCGACGTGGTTGGAGCCGCAGACGTACACGCGCGCACCCTGGTCCCAGAGACCGTAGAGCATCTCTCTCTCCTTCCAGATGCGGTCCTGTACATACTTGCATCCGTCGGAAGCCTCAGGCTTGCGGCTGTATGCCCGGTAGACCTTGACTACTCCGGCGGCCTCCCAGCTGTCGAATTCCTCTCGGTACAAGTCGTCGGTGGACGGGTCGCGGCACCCAAAGAACAGGATGGCGGGCGCTAGGGAAAGACCGTTGCCGATGAGGACTGCGCGCTCTTGGAAGAAGGCGCGGAAGGGAGCCAACCCTGTGCCGGCGGCAACACATAGCAGAGGAGTCTTGTCCATGTCAAGAGGTAGCTTAAAGCCTCCTTGTGCTGGTCTGACAGCAATCTGGACTCTGTCCCCTGCGGTGAGGGATGAGAGGTAAGAGGATGTGACGCCGATGTGTCGCCCTTGTCCAGACAATGCGGGCTCATCCAGAACACTATAGGTGAGTGTTGCGACGCCAGGATCCGCGAGAGGAGAAGAGGAAATTGAGCTATGAGGCGAGTCAGAAAGAGAACACAACGTTGAATGAAGCAGACATACTATTGACGGACGCGCATCGGTGGCAGCATCAGCAAAAAGTGGTTGAAAGGGATAGTCAAGGAAGGGAAGCGCTCGGCGATGTCCAGCACGGATAGTCTCTTGCTTCTGACTTCGCTGTCGTAGCCATCAGCTGACAGGAGCTGAAGTTTGCTACGAACATCTTCGTCTTTGGAGAGTTGGGCAAGGCCCGAAATGTTCTAATGAATACCAAGTTAGTAATGAGGGTCGAAGACCACCAAAGAGACCAGATACATACCCTTTTTGTGGCAGTCTGACACAGCTCAACGTATGAGCTGAGGACATCGGAGACCGGAATGCTGGCGTTGGTGGGTAGAGTCGTAGGTCCAGAGGCCTGGATGGTGACATGAGAGTCCCAGGTCAAGTGGAAACGACGCATGACCCTTGCGATGGTGTCCTTGGGATTGTGCGGGAGGATTGCCATGTAGTCTCCCGCGCTGTAGCGCATATCTGTAGGCAACTGGATCTCAATATGTCTCTTGACAGGACCGGTGTCGCCCTTGACGAGAGAACGCGACTCCAGAATCAGAGCGTCCTTGACATCCTGACGAAGGGTCGAAGCTCGTGGCGTAGAGAAAGAAACCGAAATGCCTACGTCGGAGATGCCGCTGTCATCCGCTTGCGTCTGGCCACCGAACTGCTTCACGAGGGCAGGCCAGAGGTTCTCGTCTTCCCAGGACTCAAAGTCGGAGAACATGTCACGGTCCTTGGCGTCGGTTGTGCCAAGCGGGATGAGGCGAGTTGCTCCACGTTCTGCGAGGGTCGAATCGACCAGCTTGGGGATGCGCTGGAGCGTCTTCACCCAATCTGCGTGTCCTGTCCAAGTGTCAGTCAGAGCCAGCTAGAAAAATGTGCTTGTCTGATGCTTACCACAACCGAAAACGGCATACGAGACATTCTTCAGCTCTTTGCCTTTCAAGTTGGTCAACCAGTCAACAAACAGGGCCGCATTGTGCGGCGGTTGACCCTCGTAAGACGACGTGACGATGACAACCGGACGATCCGTTGGGATAGACTCTCTGGCAGTGTCGAGAGAGTCTACCGTGGCGCTGAAACCATGAGATTGAGCGTCGCTAGCAAGCCTCTGGGCCATGAACTCGCAGGTCCCAGAGTTGGACCCATAGAGAACGGTGAGCTTGCTTCCCTCGGATGAGCCGTTCGCACCGTTGGTGGTCTCTTTGGTCTGCTGGCTTGCCTTCGAGTCCTTGTTGTTGCCACCCTTCGCAATGATCGACCCAGCCAAACGAGCCTCGAGAAGAGCGGGCGTCAGACCCTCCCTCAGAATGGCCCGGATGTAGAAGTCCTTGGGCTTAATCGTAAGTGTCTGGGCGATTTTGAGATCGTAGTTGGGGTTCTGCGCGACGAAGTTGAAGTTCTGGAAGAGGACGGCGAGAGCGAGCAGCATCTCCTGCCAGGCGAAGGCACGCCCGATGCACCCGCGCATTCCAGTGCCGAATGGGCTCCAGCAGTTGGGGAATTCCTTCATGAGGCGGTCGAAGTTGTCGTCCAGCATTCTCTCGGGCTTGAACTCGTCGGCATCGTCGCCGTAGACCGCCGGATCGAAGTGCGATTTGGCCAGGTTGGCAATGATCATCTCTCCCGCCTTCACCGGGTACTTGCCACCGATGATCTCATCCTTCATCGCCTCTCTTCCGAAGCCTGGGATGGGGGCGCTGAAGCGAAGGACTTCCCGCAAGACCTGTAGGACAGTCTGTCAGCTGAATCGGCATGATAGAGGACGCTCTGTGTTTACGTACAGCAGCCAAATACTTCAACTTGCCGACATGTTCGAGGCGGACGGGGCCGTCGCCAACGACACTGTCGACCTCCTGCTGAACCTTACGATACTCTTCCGGTTTCTTGACCATCCAGTACATGGTGAAAGTGAAAGTCGCTGCAGTGGTTTCGTGACCCGCGACCAAGAACGTGATCAGATTGTCGATGATGCTCTCGTCCGTCATCTTCCGGCCCGTAACGGTATCAACGGTGTTGAGCATCGCTGTCAGAAGATCCTTGCGACCGTCGGAACCGTTGGGGTCAGCCCTACGAGCTTCCAGGACTTCTCTGGCGGTCGTGCGCAAGATGCTGATGTTCTGCTTGTACTTTTTGTCCTGCTTCTTGTAGAACATCTGGGGCAGCACGCGAAGACCCTTGTCGCCGGCCTCCTTCAACACCGCGTACATGGCGGTGATGAACGGGTGCGTCTCTTCGCGATAGTACGAGTTAAATCTGAAGCCCATCGAGCAAAGAGCGACTGTGTCCATGGTGAGCCTGGTCATATCTTCGCCGATTGGGATCGGAGTCGATGATCCGTATCTGGCCCACTTCATAGCCAGTTGTGCGGCGATGTCATGCATGTCGTCAAACATGCCTCTGATAGATAGAGGACCGAAGGCCGACATCAATACCCGGTGAGCGACTCCCCAATTCTCTTCTTCCACGCCTTTTGACTGTTGGAATTAGTGTGAGGTGCTGTATGCAGGCATATCTTGGTCTTTGATGGGTACGTCACTTACAGTAAACAAGCCATCGTGTACGGCTTCCCGCAACTCCTTTAGTCAACAATGTTAGTGACGTACTTGACTGGTCAGTGCAGAGACGTACTTGAAGGTCTCCCTCGATACTCTTCTTAAACCGCTTATCGTCGCAGATCTCGTTTACAAGAGCATGTGTGTTGACCCAGACGAGCTTCTGACCAAGCAGGTCCACCCGGTAGATCGGTCCTGATTGAAACTATTAGCCCATTTTCGTGCGAACTTCCATCTGATACAAGTGGCTTCTCACCGTATTTGTTGGCCAGGTGAAGGAAGGATCCCAAAGGATACTCCATGTCGATGTCAGTGACATTGCCCAAGAGCGGGATTCGAGGGGGCTCCGGGATGTCGACCGTCTGTGCCGACATGATGGAACTCTTTCTGGAAGACCTCCGGGATATGCTGAAGACTCGTCTGCGCTTTTCGTGTTCGTTGGATGGGTTCCTCTCGAGGGAAGTATTATTCTGTGAATTCGTGACGGATGACATGGCGGGCTATCGGTACCAGCGGCGGCGGCCTTGGAAACATATATAGGTATTAGATCTTGAAGCAATCCGGCGACTTAAGCTTGGGTTTTGACGTCTCGGCGGAGGTCCACTCCCGTGTCTAGGAGCGGGATCAACAGCGACCGCCGGGGTGACGGAGACGGAGAAACGGAGGGGGTATTGTCCCTTCGGTGCCCTCGGGTCGGGGTTGATTGTGGCTGAGATATTGATGATCTCGACAGGTCAATTTGACGGCCTGCTGTTTGTAAGCGCAGTAATATCAGCAACCGACGGCCGTGTTTGAGATTCGTCACCCATCAGCCCGCGGAGCCCGGAATCACGGCTCTAAGCGGGGCAGCTGTCCACTCTTGGACCGTTAAGCGCACGCACTGGCTCCATCCGGGCCTCCGCGGCCGTCCGTTCTCCACTTTTGTCGGCGCAGACGGCTCTCGGCATGGCCCGCTACATGCAGGAAGCGGAACACTTGCAGTCTCCCAAAGTCAGACCGCCTCATGCCGGCGGCGCTGAGAAATCTCCGTTGGCTGAATGGTTAATCTGTTTCATCGGGCAAATCTAAGATGAACGACGTGTGGCTTTTCGGAAACCAATGAATCGTGAGATATTACGCGCGCCAAGCCTGCGATGGACCTTCGGACTAAGACAAAAGTCCTCTCTAATTGCCTCACGGCGCCTCACTTGGAGAACATGCGATATGTCAGATTCTCTTGCTAACAATCTTGGACGCTTACATTCATGATAGGTCCAGAAAGTCAGCACTTTCGGATGACAGATTTGACGGTCTTGGTACGTAACTACTTCGAGTGAAAACACCACTCACCTACTATTTCATCACAAAATGGTTTCTCGCGAATGGTAGGTGCAGGCAAACATTGTTGAAAGCTATGTACTGAGACAATATGTGCAAGAATATGATGCTGTAAAACATCCACCACAAAAGAAGGTGAAAGCCTGCAACGTTTTGGGACACTTTCAAGTCCTATGCCAGAAACGCTATTTTTCGAATCTCTGGTAACGCGCACCGTTCCCAACGCTCCGTATTGCACTTAGTATATAAATACCAAGCCCATAACTAAGCTCCCGCGTACCGAATGTTCGGCTGGGGCGGCGTAGTCATGCCCTTCCCAATGAAGTAATCCACATGGTGAGACTGCACGTAACCCTTGAGCGTCATGGCGTTGCGGTAAGCCGGGTTGTGCGGCAGCGTGTACAGACGGATGTTGCTCGGCTTGTCCGTCGTGAAGATGAGAAGCTCGTCCGGCGCCGTGCCCGAGTTCGTGACGATGACCTCCTCCCTCCAGTCTCCAAGGATGTCGCCGAGGAACTGCGGGTTGACGCCGTACGTGGAACCACCATACCCCGCCTGGCTCACCCTCAGGATGCGATCGACAGCAGAGGTGTTCCAGTTCCACTTCTCAATCTTGCCGTCGTTGAAGAGCTCCATCAGCTCGTCGCCGTCCCAGAAGATGCCCATGTGAGGCCACGGGGCGAGCGACGTGTCGGACTCGGTGAGCTTGTTCTCCTTGGCGTTGTACACGCCCGAGAACGACCAGGTTTCCATGCCCGGGTGGTTGGGGTCGATGTCGCCGACCATGCCTCTCCCGACATCACCGACTTCAGCACCGTTGTGCTTCCAGATGATGTTGCCGGTGTCGGCATCGTAGTAGTACTCGTAGAGCTTGCTGGGGTTGTCTTGTTGGACGCCGAAGCCCTGCAGGCCAGCACGGCTAGGGTCGATCTTGGCGATGTGGAAGCGGTCGCCGTGGTTAACTCCCTGACTGGCAAGGGAGTACCTCAGCTTGCCGTCGCCGTTGAGAGCGAAGCCGATCTCAACGACTTCGTCCTTTCCATCGCCATTAAGATCGATGATGCGGGTGTTGTGTCCGTCCGAGGCCGCCGTAGTGCCACGGTTCCACTTCCACTTCTGCGTCAAGGTGTTGCCGCTCAAGGTCCACGCAGCCATCATGAGGTTGAAGTCTCCGGATCCGATGCGGTTCTTCATGTAAGCCACCAAGTGAGGAGTGTTGCCGTCCAGGAAGCCTGCGCCCAACCGTGCGGCGAGAGGACCGTCTGCGAGGTAGTCCGTAGGGACTGGCGCACTGGCGCGGAGGGCTCCGGTACGGCCGTCCAGGATCGCCATGAATTGGTGATTGGCGGTCGAGCCAGAGTTGAAGGTCTTGCCGTCTCCGAAAACGACGCCGTTGGCGATTCTAATGGCGACTTCGGCACGGCCATCACTGTCAAAGTCGAAGACAGTGACTCCATCCCAGTGACCGACGTCAATGGTCGAGGAGCCGGGTTCGATGTTGTTCTGGTTCACGCTGTTGGGGCCGAGGTTGACGCTCCAGAGAAACGTGCCGTTGCCGGTGTACGCCTCGATAGATTGGGGGGAGGTCTGGCGATCGAGGACGTAATCCCACTCGCCGTCGCCGTTGAGGTCACCGACCCAGATGAACTTGATTGGTCCACCGCTGCGAATAGGAACCCGGACGATGGGCTCGACGGCGTTGTTGGCAGGCAGACTGAAGGAAGTGCTGGCGGCTTGTTCGGCGCCGTTGATGACGGGGCGAACGGAGTAGGTGTTGACTACGCCGAGGTTCGCAGTCGAGTCGACGAAGTTGGTGCCGCCAGTCAGGACTGCACTGTTGAGCTTCGTGGAGCCGCGGTAGACGTTGAAACCGATTCCTGAGGGGTCGAGGCCGAGGAGCCGCCAACTGACAAGAACGCTTGAGCTGCTTGAGCGGACGGCGACTACGCCACGGCCGAGTTTCTCAAGGGGCCGAGCCGCTTGCGCCACGAGTCCGCCGAAGGCCGCAAGGGCGACAGAGAGAGTGAACGAAAATCTCATGACGCCGAGTCTGAGGCAATTCAGTCAGAGTACGGCTTGTTCTCGGTGACTGGTAGGTTGTTGCCTCAACTTAAGCTTAAATCTAACGAACATTTACCCTGATATATCTACTCTCCGTTTCGCAGAACTCGGACTTTCTGAAGCCATCGTCCTTATTCCGATGCTATGTTCTCGCTTTCGCGTCGCTTTCGTGATTGTGAGGTCTCGCTGGTTTGGGAAAAAGAATAAAGTAGGCGATCCGCTTTGGCGTCCCGGCCGATGTCACTCGTGTGACCATCAGCACGATACGCGAGACGGCATTTCCAGCAGCGAGAGGCCGTCATTGGAGGAGGAAACTACCCCAGTCTTGGCAGGATACCCCTTCAATCCCAAATTCATAATCAAACAATGTTTCCGAGACACTTCGCCCGAGACTTTCACCCTTCAATTTTCTGCTACCTTGACCAGGCACATGTGCTCGGTGGATCTGACGCGGAGCATCGGACGAACGGCCTATCTACCCCGTGGATCCCGTGGAGAGAGATCTACCACGTGTGCAGCCGGCACCCCACAACTCTAAGAATGAGTGCCGGACGTTGTTCCCGTCTTCCCGATTCGGATTGTTCAATTGCCAATTTCGGATCAAAAGTCGCTGTGTCATGATGCGTTCTTCGGGGTGATTACGTTATATTGAGAATCAGCAATCAGGCTTGTTCTTCGGCGCTACGGAACGACATGTAACTCGAATACTGTCTGACCGCGTCCGCCAGTCGTGCGCTGCAAATGCGTCAAAAGCCCACCACTCAGAAGTATGAGAGGGATTAATAATTCAGAATTCTGGAATGTGGCAGATCCGCTGCTACGGAGTTGGCAGCAAACGGAGGGGCGGAAAGAGCGATTCCGATTGTGCGGCAACGAGCCGGCCGAATTTGCGGGGCATTGACGGCCGTAGTGGGGCACTGTCGGAGTTTCAGTCCGGCAAGTCGGGGTAAATCTGAGAATGACCAGGAAGGACAGGTTCAAGATGGGGGCGAATTGAAATTCTTGGGGCAAAATTTTCGAATAATACTTGGAGCTTACTGAACTATATTCATAGACCACATTCTCCGTACGGAGGTAGATGGCCGCATCCTGAGAACAAATTCAGTGACCAGGATACTAGTGAAAGATCAGCGCGCCCTAGCATATCGCTCATAGTTTTAGCTTATGTTAAATATTTGAAAAGTAATCCGTTGCAATTCAGTCATTCTTTGGTCAAATATCTCATCATCAAGCTCTCTCCGTAATCTCTCCTCCAGCCACGACATCAAAGAACGCATCTGCAAGATACCCTCCACGAGCGGTCGGCTTCCCGTACTTGTCCGTCGCCATGCCGGCGATCGCCGGCGCGGCAACATCTCGCATGTAGCCCGCGATACCTTCTTTCTTGAACTTCTCCGCAAAATGCTTAGCATGCAGACTCAGTCCCTGGGTGGCCCAGATGGGCTGCACTTGCCACACGATACCCATCTTCGCAATGTCGGCAGGGAACGTTTCGACCTCTTCTGCGGAGTAGCCGCCCTTGCTGAAGTCGTACGCGCCCGTATATCCGAAGGCGAAGAGTCGGTTTGGGTACGCTTCGCGCAGGGCCGTGTGGAACTCGTGCATGTCTTTTTTGTCTGAAGGTAGATGTCAGTCATGATCCTACATGCAGAGAGCTTACGAGAGGATATACTTGGCTTATCTACTCCGGTGTTAGCAAAGTTGAATGAGTTTTCTTACGGAGTAACCACATACCTTGACGACTCCAAGTCAAATCGCCCAGAGGCGCGGCCAGAATACAACGGTCGATGACAGCTTTGTTTGACCACTGCCACATGTACTGACCGAGAGGGGTTCTCGGAAGCTCCCAGTCAAACGCCACATCTGTACCCAGAATTCGCTTGGCGATGGCCCTCCGGTCTTGCAAGGCGACAATCTTATCAGTGATCTCGGTCTCGTAGTTGTCGTATTGCTCCTTGGTCGCCATAGCCTTGACAGCCTCGTCGAAGGTCATCAGGCCAGCAGATTCTTTCCATTCAGCTTTCACCGACAGGTAGTCCTTCTCGGTGTTCTGGCCCTCTTCGAGGGCTTGAATGAATGAGCTAAGTGGCTTCGTAGCTCCAAGGACGTAGGGGTGGTCTCGAGGATCGATCACGCTTGACGAAAGGTCAGCAGGGAGCCAAAGGGGAACAGTTTTCAAATCGCAATTCGAGCGGACGGCTATCGCCGTATGCTAGTAGTCATTTGTACTTACCTAGTGATGAATTCGGCATGGTCACTGTCGCATCGACAGAGAAGCATTGTGTCCGCCCTGTTGACTTGTTATCAGCACCCCTTCTTGAACCCAAGGAGCCGGCCTAGCAACTCACCCCATGATGTCAAATGTCATCCTCACGGTCTTCAGCCTCGAAAGATACTCTGAGGTAGCAACAATAGTCCGCCCCTCGCCGTTTGTAAACTTCTTGAGGCCCATAGCCAAGTCATCAATGTGAATCATAGCCACGCCGGCCTCCACAAAGCTTCTTGTGAGCTTCATGCAGCCAGTCAAAGTGCCAAACCCCATGTCGGCGTCAGCGACAATGGGAAGCATGTAGTCGATACATTCAAGCGCCTCACGGTCGCTCTCGCTGTATCGCATTCTCAGCTGGGTCTGGCGCTGGTCATGGAAGAGCTGGGTGTTGAAGATGCGCTTGACAACAGAGGGGACAAGGTCGGCCGGATAGTCGGCGTGGTCTTCACCTGGCCAAGTTGCTTGAGACAGGCCACACAGCGCACCAGACACGTAAACGGTTTGCACTGATAGGTTTCAACATCTAGAACCGGTCACAATTTCTATTCAGGAGAAGCACTCACTGTATTTCGCCATTTCCTTCGCAATCAGGGGCTCAGTCGTCCCGAACGTCAGCTCGTACGTGCCGTTGTCGTTGTGCTCATTTAGAATCCTCCAGAGCTTCCTACCCTGGACGCTGGAAGGGTATTCGATCTTGAAACCGACATTCCGCAGAGCAGCAATGGACTTCGCAGTGTATGGTCTTCAGAGGTTAGCGACCAGGCTCATCGCGGCCAAATCATCATGTGGCTGTACCTCTGGATGTGCTTCTGCCTGTCAGTCTGCCACCATGCTTCGATCTCACGGACTTCAGCAGCGAAGGCATCGCTCTCGGCCTTGACGTCAGCCCACTTTTGAGACATGGTGATTTCAGTCTACAAAGTAAAGAGTGCTTGGCAGTATTGTTCAACGGTTGTTTGACTCAATCCGCCAGGAACCAGCCGACATCCGCGGGCTGGCTTGCTGTGATAAAGCATGGCTTATTCGGCCTGTGTTTCCCGACTTCGGGCCGTGTTGGATCGTTTCTCTGAGCCACTCATCATTCCCTATCGACTTCAAGTATCAACCGCGCCATTCTGTCGCGTGAATCCTGATAAGTGATAGGACCTGCAGAATCGGCGGGCGTCGCAATCCTTTCGGAGTCGTCTCCTAGCGCCCGATGAAGAGACAGGGGCCCCCGGTCCTGATCGGGGAACGTCTCCCGATAAGAAATTCCCGGCAGAGATGGGGAGGGGCCGGGAAACTCGACTAGGGGGCCGTGTAAGCCGTCTTTCGCGCTGATATTGATGCTCATCAGAAACTGAATGAGTAGTCATTTTGCACTCATTCTACTCTCCTCAAGACTCCTCCTCTACATACAGTCAAACGAGCAAACCGCGAAAATGGGAAGCACCATCCCCGACACCAAACCCCCATCCCTAATCAACCTGCAGCTGGGATGGCCCTCCCCTCGCCTCTTCGCAGCAAGCGGCCTCCTCGACGGCGCAAGCCAAGTCCTCACCTCAGACTCCGAGACCGCCGCCGCCCTCATCTACGGCCCTCACGTCGGCCACCCGCCCCTCCGCAAGAGCGTCGCAGAATGGCTCTCCTCCGTGTACGGGACGACAGTCGACTACGAGCGAATCTGCATCAGCAACGGCGCGTCCGGGAACCTGGCCAACGTCTTGCAAAAGTTCACCGACCCGCTCTACACCCGCAAGATCTTCATGGTCGAGCCGACGTACTTCCTCGCCTGCCCCATCTTCGAGGACAACGGGTTCCAGGGAAAGCTGCGAGGCGTGCCTGAGGATAACGAGGAGGGTCTCGATATCGCCTTTCTGCGACGCGAGCTGGAGGCCGCGGAGGCGCAGGCTGTACGGAGTGCGGAAGAGGACGGGAGACCTGACATACCTACCGTCAAGGTCGGCAAGACGTACCCGAAGATCTACAAATACGTCATCTACATCGTCCCGACTTTCTCCAATCCGAGTGCCAAGACGCTTTCTTTGCAGATGAGGAAGGATCTTGTTAGTCTCGCTCGGGAGTATGACGCCCTGGTGATCTCCGACGACGTCTACGACTTCCTCAGCTGGCCTGAGTACCCATCTGCCCCGGACGGAGCGGTCGGCGCCGTCCCGCCTCGGCTGGTAGACATTGATCGAGAGATGTCTGGATGCAGTCAGTTCGGAAACACTCTTAGCAATGGCTCCTTCTCCAAGGTCATCGGGCCTGGGGTAAGAGTCGGATGGGCCGAAGGCACGTCAGCCTTCGCTCGGGAGCTTGCAGAGGTGTAAGTGGCGAACTGAGACGCAAGATGCTTCTCACAGATCTATCGCTAACTTGTGCCCAGTGGTTCTTCAAGCTCCGGAGGCGCTCCTTCACACCTCACATCCACCTTCGTCGATAAGATGCTCCGCAGCGGCCAACTCCAGTCACACATCAAGGACACTCTCGTGCCTACCTACAGAAAACGTCACTACGCACTCATGAAAGCGATCGAGAAAGTATTGGTTCCTCTGGGCGTTCGAGTAGAGGTCAACAGACCCAAGGACGCGACCAATGCGACAGCCGGGGGTTTCTTCACATACCTCAGACTACCAGAAGACTTGCCCGTCGCTAAGACCGTGGCCGCTGTCGCGCTCAAGGAGCAGCAGCTTCGTGTTGCGTTCGGGCACATGTTCACGGTCACGGGCGACGATGGCAGTGTTTCCAGAGCTGAGGCTGCGGACGGCTTCTCTCGATGCATCAGACTGTGTTGGGCATGGCATGAGGTGGCAGAGATAGAGGAGGGCGTTGCAAGACTCGCTACTACTATCCGGGAGATCAGGCAGAGAATCAAGAATGGGGAGGACATGAGTAGCCCTGTCACTATCGGTATTAGGTAGACGCTGGATTAGTATGTTAACGAGACTTATTCTTCATGATTCCGCACACGCCTGAAAGATCCATCTCCCATGATGACATCCGTGAACCTTTTGCGAGGCCACTTTCATTCGAACGATGCCGGCAGCTTGGCCACGGAGTTCGTTGGCGATTGGCGAACCACGGCCAAGATAACATGACAGATTTGACTGATAGGTTCTGGCATGTAGACCGACAGAAAGTTGAGAAACGGTAATCGAAAGAAAAAGTTGAATAAGTCTTATTCCACATCCGTATCAATAATCCCACCACATAAAAACTGGCTTTGAGGAGCAAAAGCATCACTCCCACCTCCATGCAAGCACTCAGACCATCTTCACACCTTATGTACAAGTATGTCTCAACTTGATGGACCATCAAATGATACTAGAAGAGTTGCGAACAGGCTCAATAGCCCCCGCAAGCCTGTTCTCCACCTCCTTCTCCTGTTCATTCACCGGCTCAGCGACCTTGGCCTCGGACGCCGGCTGGTTTGCCGCAACTTCGGCCTCCTGCCGGAGCTGGCGCTTATGCAAAAAGTCCGCGACGACTGCAACATCTTCGTCAGCATAGGTCAATATGGTGAAATAAGCAGAGTACGACTTACCGACGAGCACGACCGCAGCGAGCGCGAACGACAAAATGGAGGGGAACCCTCTCTCGAACTTGGGCGCCATGGTCTGAGGGAAGATGAGAATGGGGAGGAAGGAGTCTATCGACAGTCAGCTTAGAGCCTAAGGGAGAACATCATGTGTTAGAACTCACTCGTCGCGTAGAATAGTCCGTTCATGCTGGAGATGGTCAAGGCTCTCTCTTCTGCATTTCCGTTGTTGACCTCGTTGGCCCAGGTCTATCCACGCGTCAGTACATCTCATCTCGCGAAGAGGGTTTGGGGGAGTGCTTACCCAGGTGACAGCAGTAACATATCCGCAAGCAACTAGGAAGAATCCAGCGACGCGGGCGGCGTCGGTGTCGGGGTAGGCGGTCAGGATGGAGGAGCCGACGACCGTGGTGGACATCTTGGAAGACAATGTTAGCAAGCCGTCTGGCTTGAAAAAGACCACTAAAACAAACCAATGGACCGATAATCCACAAGGGACGGTTTCCAGTCAGGTCCGACATGAAGCCCCACGTGAAGTCTGTGACCATCGTGACGAGGTTCGCGCAGGCGGGGATGATGTTGCGCTGCGTGACGCTGTATCCGTTCTCGCCTTGGGCCCAGTCAGTCACCCGTTCTCAGCCTCCGGGAGATCGACTTACGAAGATAGATGGCGAAGTAGTTATTCGCCTGGCAAGAGTTTCCGTACTATAATGCCGACATCAGCAAACCATCGTTCACAACACATCACGTATCGAGGGGGCGGAAAACTCACAAAGATGTACATCAAGCACAGAACCCACCACCTCCAGTTCCCAAACATCCTCTTCACGAGCTTCAGGTCCAGGACGCCCGTGATCTCGGCCTTGCCCATCTTCGCGGCGCGCTCCGCCGCGATCCGCTTGTCCTCCTCGGTGAGGTACCACGCCGTCGTGTTGTGCGGGTAATCCGGCAGGAGCCACCACACCGACAACGCGACGGGGAGCGACATGCACCCGCAGACTGTGCGCCATACTTGATCAGCAACCGTTTCTTCCCCAACGCTTTCCACCTCGCAGTAATTTAACGGAGGGGGGAAGGAGGAGCGAAAACTCACCGATGTACATCCACCTCCACCCCGCCATGCCCAAGTGCCCGTCCAGAGACTTGTGAATGCCGGCCTGCAGGAACCCGGACGTCGCCTGGCCGAAGAAGCCCGTGATGTGCCAGATGGCCACGCGCTTCGCGAGCTCCGGCCTCGTGTACCAGGACCCCAGCAGGAAGATGATGACGGGGGAGAAGCCGCTCTCGAACAGGCCGATCATGAACCGGAAGGCGTACATCTGGTTGCTGTTCTGGGCGGCGGCCTGGGCGAACCTGCGTTTGCGTTGGTGTTAGTCGTATGTTACTCTCCGTTTTGGGAGAATCTCTTCTGGTGACAACGTACGTGAAGGCTGTCCAGCCCAGCTCGCAAATCACGATGAAAATGCGAGGACGGACTTTGAGGGTGATGATGTTGGAGGGGATCTGCATGATGGCGAAGGCGATGGTGTAGCACACTATTTTCGTCGGTCAATACCCCCCTCCATCAACAATATCTCTTCGACTTCCGGGTTCACTTACTCAACATGTACGTATACTCATTCCCCTGAATATTCAAGTCCTCCTTCATACCACTAACATCTACCCCTCAACGTCAGCACGCATCCCCCCACACTCCCCCGCCCCTCAAGTGTCAACCTACAGGCGTTGGTGATGTTGCTTTGGTCAATATACTTCATCCACTTCACAAAGTCAGCACCGCTCGTTCCAGAACGTCAAACACCAAAACATACCCATCCGAGCGTCGCGCAGATGAGGATCCCGAAATCCAGCTTCCGCACCAGCGCCCTCTCCTGCGGGCTCTTCAGGTGCTGGTCCGCGTCCCAGAGGTGATAGAGGATCTTCTTGCCCCAGGAGACCTCGGGCGTCTCCTGCGTGCTGCCCATGCCGACGTCAGACGCCGCGGCGGACGTTGCTGAGGTGACGTCGGGACCCTTCTTCGCGTCCATGGCGAAGTTGCAAAGACGTGGCGAAGATAAGTATCACACGAAACGAAGCTTCTGTCAAGATGGGGAAAGCACAACAAATGCTCAGTCAACTCGGCCAAAGTCCAAAGACCTTTCTCAGAAAAACGCAACCAACTTGAGCTTCAAGTCGTAACACCCCAGAGTTAAGTTATACACAACCACTCGCCACTCACACACGGGTCAAGATAACCCGCCCCTGTCCCTCCCCCAAGCCGCCGTGTATGTGCAGTAATCTCACAACCTCCCGCGCTATCGAACAGTATCGGTATCAGCAGATCAAATAGCCAAGACTCTTCCCCGGTGGATCCCCTCCTTTTAGCTGTCGGCATCCTGGCCGAAGATAAGCTGCGTCAACAGCCGGGGGGGCGTTCCATCGTCGGGCGTCGTCCGACGCCGCCCCGACGCCTTTCCCCGCATTCTTATCATCTGACAACCCCCCGGTCGACCGCTCCGGCCGGCATCCAGGGTCTATGAGGCCGAGTTCGGGGGGGATGAAGGCTGGAGTTGAGCTCGGGATCCTCTCTAAAACGAGTTGACGTCTACGGCTCTACCTCACCAAGAGGCCTTTCTCACAAAGCAAATACTCAACCGTCCACCGTCCCTCCCAGCCCATCTCGGCCGCCGGCGACTCTATCACAAACGACCGCCGCGATGTCCTCAACCCCAGCAGACCAGCTCGCCCTCGCCCGCGAAACCGTGCGGCCGAACCTCGTCAAGCGCCTCATGCGCGAGAACAAGCTCGCCCACTCCTTCGGCCTCCGCGTCGCCTTCTCGACCGAGATGCCCCTCGTCGCCAGGCGCGCGGGGTACTCGGCGGTGCTGATGAACCTCGAGCACATGGCGATGAGCATGGAGACGATGAAGGACATCGCCGTCTCGTGTCTGAACGTCGGGTACGTACGCCGCGACCGTCCTGCCGCGTGCCGCTGCCCGAGTGTCGGCTTGAGGGGGTTTCGAAGTACTGACGTGTATGCTTAGCATCACTCCCACGGTCGTCGTCCCGACGTGCTCCCAAGAATGGATCTCGCGCTGCCTCGACTCCGGCGCGCAGGCCGTCATCGTGCCGCATGTCAATACCGTCGAGCAAGCCAAGATGTGCGTCGACGCGTCGAAGTTTCCTCCCTTGGTATGTCCTGCCGTCTTTGTCGCCCTCTCCGCGCCGTGCTGTGCCGTCTCGGCTCGAGGTCGTTGCCTTGGCAGACCGCCGACTTATACGCGAACCTGTCCTAGGGCCACCGTTCAGTTACTATGGTCACCGCCATGACTCAATACACGACCCAGCTATCCTACGCGGCCATTGCCGAGGTCGTCAACGACGAAGTGTTGATCATGCCCATGATTGAGACAAAGGAGGGTGTCGAGAACGTAGAGTATGCGACTCGTGCTTCCTCGTCAGTGATGGCTTCCAGCTAACGACAACAGAGCAATTGCGGCCGTGCCAGGCATCGATGCCCTCTTTATCGGTTGTGCAGATCTTTGCATGGAGTACGTCCTCGCATCTTTGAACTCACGGCCGCGAACTGACAGTAGACAGGCTCGGTATCCCTGGCCAATACGACTCGGAACTATTCCATTCGACCGTTGCCAAAATCGCAGCCGCCGCAGAGAAGGCGAGCGTCGATGGTCGCAAGGTATTCGTCGGTCTCGGAGGTTTGGAGCCACGACCAGACCTTCTTGAAGAACTCGCGAAACGACACGCTCCTATTCGGTAAGCACTCAGCCTCTTGTCAGAAATATGCAAAATCCACGGTCATCGGTGGGCTAACGACGTGCAGATTTGCGATGGCAGGTCGGGACTTGGCCCTGCTGCTGGCAGGCATGTCGAAACAGGCAGCATCAATGAACGAAATATCAACAAGACTTCAGTGGTAGATTTTTAGTCCCAGAAAAAAAAAGTAACAATTTCTTAGTGAAAGCACTATTGGTCGCCGGAACTCCGTCCAACACGTTTTCGCCGCAAGCACACGTTAACTCCGGCAGAATCAGAATCCTTCGCTCGCAATGCTAAAATCCAGTAGGAGAGGAAAATATCGTTTCGTCATGTGGTCGGTCGAATTTGTCATGGCTTTCCGTGCTACAGCCTAGTCGCCCTCCCAGACGTTCGTCACGTTTCTCAGCGAAGATGGTTCAATGCGGCCTGCAGCGGTACGGGTCCGGCCGCGGCCTTCGCCGGTAGTGCCGTACTGGGGGCTGAGATCTCGGTAGGATACGGGCACGTCGGATTCGTCGCCACTGTCGTTGGAAGCTGCGGCGGCGGCAGCGGCGGCGAGGAGTGGTCTTTGGCGCTCTTCGATGGGGCGCTCCGAGAGGTGTCGCCAACCCTGAGCCCACCATGCGTGCCTCCAATTGCTGGCACTCTGCGTGAAGAGCAAGGTGAGGATCTGAGATTGGGTGGTCAGTCGTTGCAAGGCATGCCGCAATTGTAAGATGCTTACCTGCAGTACGCCCACAGCCAGGACAATGCCGAGATCGATACCCGAGTTCCTGACCATCGACTCCCGCCAAGGACCAATGCACGCGGTATCGCGGCCAAACCTTTGCGCACACCTCACATCGCCCTGGAATGGCCAAGCACGATCCTTGACGCTGTTGAGACCACAGCAGTCGAAGCTGTCTTGAATGCGTCGAATGGAGGATTCGTCTTTGCCAGCGAACATGTGCTGCCAGGAGTTGGTGAGGGCGCAGGTGAGGTTTGCGCCGGGCATGGCAGATTGGAGGAAGAGAACAGCAAGGGCGGTCGTCAGAACACCTTGCAAGCTCTGGACGATGGTAGGGAATAGTTGCTCAGCACGCGCTGGCGAACGGCTGGCGTTGAAGAGAAGACGGGGATAGTAAAAGGCATTGGCGGCGCCGATGATGGGGAGCAAGATAGGGAGAAGCGTGAGGAAGGGAGTGATTGGGAGCGCGAGGTGCGAGCTCGAGACGTGAGTTGCTCTGCTGTAATGTCAGTATGGCAAAAAGCGACAGATCGTGAAGGCGACTTACATGGCTACCACGAGCAGTGCCAAGCAAATCTGATGGTGATCTGGTTAGTATTCTGTCCGAATTGTACAGGAAGTCTAGCAGTCACTCACCAAGATGTACACCAGGCCCGGGTTGACCATCATAGCGTCCTATCTTCCACAAGCCACGCAGAGTCCTCGATGTCGACGGAGAGACGGACGATTGTTTTCGATATCAGAATGGTGGTGAAAGTGGTTGCTGACATGTAAATATTGGATCCAAGACCCTGAAATTGGAGAAAGAGTCAGAGGCGACGTGGAGGACGGGAGAGGTGGGTGTGGCGTTGGCCGTCGTCGTGTCTGCACCCGCCGATCTTTGGAGCGGGAGGGGAAGACTGCCTGGAGCATCCCAATCGGGCATCCATCAGCAGTAAAGAACCGCAGGCAGGGAGACCAAAGGCCGCAGGGTTCACGAGATAGCGCCTGCGCCAGCGACGGCGACAGCGACAGCGCCAACACCAACGTTTGGCGGCAGAGGACGCAGAAACAACACACAGTCGAAAGGCAAAAAGGAAGTTGCCGTGGCTTTCCGACGTCATTGGCAACCCTCTTGGAGCTCCTCTGAGAAGCTTATTCCCTCAGACTTGAGCACGCCATACGACGAAGTAGGCTGGCCGACAGGGTCCAGGCCGTGAGAGTCGGACACCCAGGAAACATTTCGAGGGATGGGATGCTACTGCCGGAGGCCCGCCGCGCGCAGAGTAGTAGATGCTGCGAGTCTGCATGACGCCGTACAGGATGCGGCGAATTGTGTGGAATGCTGCTGCTGGACCCCGCGTGCTGTGCGACCGCACTGGGACGGAGACGAGGTTGACGAGGGTGCAGTCGCTTGTCCCGTGGTCCCTTGCCATGTCGATCGCGCGATGCTATTTGCACCTCTTGGCCTCCCCGGTCGCTTGTGCGTTGTCTTGATTAGCTCTCATGCACCCAGCCATCCCATCTATCAAACGCAGACGAAATGAATGGTTTGTCGTTTGCTATGGCCGCGACGACCTTTTGGCGGTGTGCCGCTCGCCGCTTGCGGGTGAAAATAACGCAGAGGCACGCAGTGTAAGCTGATGATGACGCCAGCGGCCGGGAGGCAGCCGTCGCAGCGACGACGGCGACGAATTCGATGGCCGCATCTGCATCTGCCCCTGCTTGTTGTGTCTCGTGTGTTTTCGCTCCTCCAGTTCGTCCAGCCATTGCCTTTTCAACGTTTCTGGCTGCCATCCATCCAACCAAACACAAAGGACCAGGCATCACATATCTAACCGGCCCCTGGGGTCGCATGCAGCTTCTCCAATCGAATTTGACGCCTGGCCACAAATTCGTGGCAAGCTTTCCGTCTGCAAGCGTGGGCTGCGACAGGCATCTGTACGCTCAGGCTCCCGCTGGCTCAATCAGCTCATTTTCTTCGGCTCCTTCGTCTCGGCTCAAAGTTTTTTGGGGTTCCGCAGGTAAATGATGAGCCGACATCTTTGCAGGGTGTTGGCATGTGCTGAGGCGGAACACGTCCCTTGGAACACTGAGATGCCAAGGAAGGGTAGGTTCGTGATCGAATGAAACATGGAGTCCATCCTGAAGTCCTCGACCTTGAATGAGGCACGGTCTCGGTGATTGGCCTGCAAAAAATGGCGGTCGCTGCATCGTGGACTTGCAGATAGGCGGTGGTGCGGGGTCAAGCTGAGCTGCCGACGCGACCAAAGACCAAAGAAACTGAGGCCATCGCCATCATGTCTGGGTACGGCCAAAAAGTACCGAATGCTGTCGATCTACTCCGTAAGTCGCCACCAGTTTCCCAGAGCAGTTATTCGTGGCGATATCAACAGTAGTGACAGTCTTGAGTCGTCCGTACCTGGTCTCGACAAGGCGCGTTTCAGGTCTGACCTCGTGGTTCGGCAGGGACGCAAAGCACCGCATACCGCTGGAGGATGCATTCGGAGCTGCTCTGCAAGAACGTTGAAGTTGTCCTCTCCAAGTTGGGGGCGGAAATAGGCCAGTGGCTGCAACCTATCCATATGTCGAGCGTGTGACGGACCCACAAGGCTGAACGAGGCCCTCTCTGGAGAGCTTTCCCGGCAGGGGAGATGCCGAGCCGGTAGAACGGCGCCGAAGTGGAGCTGCATCGTGCGGGAAGGTCGGGTTGGGCCTAAGTTGCTGTATTGCTGACGACGCTGCGACTCCGTCATGGGGTTGCTTGCTTGGCTTCAGGTCAGGCGGGACCCTGATTGGGTGCTGGCGATGGAGCTGAACCGGGTTTTCGAGGGAGCAGCTGGGATAATGGATCGAAATGCCGGTTAAGAACTGCGGCTGAACGATCAGGATTTGGCGACGTGATGGCGTTTCAACAGCAGGTTTTCGCTGTTACTGCCGAGTGACATCGTGGGCGATTGCTGGTGAGTGAGGTGCGACGTGAGCGAAAGAAATATTGTAGACACCGGAATTGAAGGTAGAGAGAGAGTCCCGAAACTTGTGACTTGGAGCGCGGACATGAGATTCATTCTAGAAGCATGTCTTCGTCTCATGGAATTGATGGTGATGAAGGTTGGGACGAACCATTTTGAAGGATGAGGGGTGAGGTGAGGGGCACATCGAGGATGTCTGACATAATCATGATAAGATAGTGTCTAATATTATCGCAGGCCTCTCATTGGCGTGACGCTGCTTCTTCCCCGATTTATCGGCTCCACTCCAATGAACCCCTCCATCGACCGTTGAAGCAGGCAGGAGCGGCGCTGAGGGGCACCACCTCAGCTGCGACCTTACGCGGCGCGCATCAGCCAAGCTTGACGTCGTTCGTTCGCTTTTCCAAGGCGCCGCTCTCTCTTCTTCACCCTCTTCTTCTTTGCGCGCCCTCACCTTAGCTCGTCTTTTCTCCGCACCTCAATCCCTCATATATCCCCATCTACTGCCACACGCCAGCGCAGAAGGTGACACGATCCCGTCCTGCTGGTACCCGCGCCCGCAACAACTCAAGATGGCCGCCAACATCACCTCCAAACTCGCAACCCTCAATCCTTTCTCCAAGAAGGCCCCCGAGGATGAGGAAGAGCTGGGCGAGAAGACGGACAACCACACCCTCGCCGGTGGAGGCCACGCCGCCCGCGACTCCGACCTCAAGCACCGTCTGCGCGTGAGTCGCGCAATCAAGTCCTTCCTCGCCGACCAGAAGGTCTTGTCCTCCAAAGAAGCCGGCATCGACTCCGACCAGCCCAGCTCTGCGCTTCAAGCCCTCGTCGACAAGCCTCACATCAGTGTCCCGCGCGAGCTGACTGACAGGTCCCACCCCCTGCCGGAGTACTTCATCAGCTCTAGTCACAACACGTATCTCCTCGCCCATCAGCTCTATGGAGGCTCCTCGGCCGAGGCTTACGAAGAGACTCTCCGCGCAGGTGCGCGTTGTGTTGAGATTGACGCATGGGACAACCCGGATAACAAAGACGAGCCCAAGGTCACTCACGGTTACACGCTGGTATCCAACATTCCGTTCCGGACAGTGTGCGAGACCATCCGCGATGTCGTCGACCAGGAGGCAAGAGAACCAGTTCCGGCCGCCCCCATTCTTCTTTCCCTCGAGAACCACTGTGATCCGGAAGGACAACTGCGTCTCGTCCTCATCATGAAGGAAGTTTTCGGCGACCGACTATTGAGCAAGGCAGTACGAGCCAAGGGCCACGCGGAGCAGGACGGCCAGGGCGACCACGTGCGCCTCGAAGAGCTTGGCAACAAGATCGTTGTCATCGTTGAGTATCACTTCCCTGGTGAACCCGACGACAGCAGCTCCAGCTCCGACGACGAAGACGGCGAGGAGAAGAAGAACCACGAAGCCTACAAGGCCAAGAAGAAGGAAGCGTCCAAGACCCTGATCGTTCCCGAACTTGAAGAGCTCGGCGTCTATGCCCAGTCAGTCAAGCCTGTTGACAACTCATGGTACGAGGAGGTCCTCAAGGAAGCCCCTCATCACCATCTCATCAACGTCTCGGAATCTGGCCTCGCCTCCCACATGCCTGGTGCCAGCGACAAGATTGCCCGCCACAACGCCCACCACCTCATGCGTGTCTTCCCTAAAGGCACCCGTATCTCCTCCAAGAATCTCCATCCTGCACCATTCTGGGGTATTGGTGCCCAGATCTGCGCCCTCAACTGGCAGACTTTCGGCGCTTCTATGCAATTGAATGAGGCTCTTTTCAGCGGTTCGGAGGGCTTTATCCTTAAGCCCGCCGCTCTTCGGCCCGGCGGCTCTGGTCATCTCGACTCGGGAGGAAAGAAGAAGCTTCGCCTGCACGTCGGAGGCGCCACAGACGTCCCTGTCCCCTCCGGTCGAGACGACGACGAGCCCATCAAGCCCTACTTGACATGTACCCTGGTCCACCCGCATGACCTCAACATCGACCCACCTAAGCGCAAGACTGCAGGATACAGGCAGCACAAGCTTACTGGTTTCCTGCACAAGGGGGAGAACCCTCCACCGACAGAACCATTATGGAACGAAGTGCTGGAGTGGGATTACCAAGACAACGAGATGGTGTTCCTGCGGATGCTCATCAAGAGCGACGACAGTTTCGCGAGAAACCCGATGCTGGCCGTCGGCGCTGTGCGGCTGATGTACACGATACCCGGCTGGGTCTTCATTCGCATGCTCGATCTGAAGGGTAGGGAGACCAAGTGCTCCATACTCGTCAAGTTCGAAGTTGTCGATGCATAATGAAGAACGACCATAGCCTAACGGATTAATAAAGACTACTCGCTTTCCTCGCTGTCCGTCCGCTACCTTTCCTCTGTTACGTAGGCTAACTCGAGGTATCCCCGCTCACTGCGATTGCATTTCTGAGTACGCTACAAAGGCATAGTCTCTCTACAGTAAGGACCAATCCCAGGTGGCCTAACATAATAGTCGAGACGGCTCCCCATTTCGACCTCGATAAACTCCTCGTAACTCCCTACAACACCGATCGCAGTAAAATACGCCCATCCAACATATTCTCGTTCACAGCCCTCAATCGGCGGGTATCCCCCCTCGTCCATGCCCTCATCGCCCCGTCTACGCTTGGGCGTCCACAACCGATCAATCAAGATGAAGACCATCGACGGCCTCAGGTACGGCCCCAAGATGGGATCCGACTCCGACTGCTGGAACCGCTCGAGCGTGTCGAGACACTTCTGGTCCACGTACAGACAGTACCTGAACCGCGGCAGATCGACGGTGAACGGGTGCGTCGCCGTCTCCGCCTCGTGCTTCTTGACCCACCGCCTGAAGCGTCTCCTGACGTGGTCCTTGGACGCGCCGTCCAGGTTGCGACGGTCTTCCACGACGGTCCAGTCGAGGTACGGCCCCAGCAGCTCCGCGCGGCCGTACCTCTCGAGCTCCTCCTGGACGTTCTGCTTCAGTTGCGCCAGGTACCGATTCCAGAGCTCGTCGTCGCCGTAGGCGCCGCGGTAGACGACGTAGCCCCAGCGGTGGTATCTGCGCTTGATCATGCTGTGGATGATGAATCTGAAGTCGCGCTTTCCCCAATGATAGGAGAGGGAGTTGGCGGGCATCTCGGCGAGCGTGCGGGCGGTCCAGTAGTTGTCGGGAGGTGCTTTGCTTGAATGAAAACGAGCGGCATGGTGGCTGAGGTATATGTACTGGCCTTTTGATGGTCTGATATTGAATTTGAGGTCCGGTGTGGAAAGACGTGGGACCAGGCTCTGGGTACATCGGAGTCCGCATCGACCTAATACCTTGGGCATGACAACGATGCTTTGCTTCGGAAACGATGCGATGATCATTGTGCCCCGGAGTGTTGGCGCCGATTTTGAAGAGAGAGAAACCCGAGATGAGGACGGAAAATTTGCCATATCAGAACCAACAGGCGATGACCCCGGTCAGTCTAACCTCACCTGGAAACAAGGGCACTCCAACAACATAGTGGAATATGCAGTTTCACAACGGCGAAGTTTTTGTACAACATCCAACACCACGCCTGTTGGCTCCTCGCATTGTCGTCTCTTCTCATCCTCACAGTAGCCATGTCGTCGATCTAATATCAGATCATGACGAGGCATTACTTCTGCCACGCACAAGCAAGGAGATGTCTCGGGCTGTCTGAGTGCCTGGAAGATGAACGTCTTCAGACACATGCACGAAAGATCGCAACGTTTCAATCAATGGGTCTCTGAGCAGAATACCCCCGCCTTCTCCCAGAGTAACAAACTCGACCTCTTCCGCCCAATATAACGCCTCAACAGCTTTCTTGAAGCCCCAAGTCATTCCTCATACCTGGAGGGAGTGCCTTGCATTCTCGAGCATTCGAATTTTGTCTCGTAACAAGCTTTCCGAGAAGCCCTGGTGGCGCAGATGCCCTTACCCTCACCCTCCCGAGGCCAGTAGCACCCTGAGGGATTACCCGGTTCTATAAAAACACCGCACAAGCTGCGAAGATCGAAATTTGAACTTCTCCTTCTTCATCCCTCATCGTCCTTGTTGGCATTCACCCCTCGACAGCCATATCCACGGCGTCTGACGAACTACCTTTCATCATACCGAAGGGGAAGTAGTACCCAGAGTCCGGTCAGAGGTCAGAGATCTCGTGGGACGCCGTGAGTAGGCATACTCACGGCGTCCGACGGGCTATCTGTCTTTGCTACCGAAGGGGAAGGGTACCCAGAGGAAAGAAGTTAGGGATCTCGCGGGAAGTCGTGAGTAGTCACACCCATGGCGTCCAACGTACTACCTTTCTTCGAGATGTTAGCGATTTCTCAGGTAGCCGTGGGACCGACTGTCGAGGGGTATACTGAAGAATGACAAGGACCGTGAGGGACAGGGGGGTCCTTCCACTGGATGCGTTCAAGCAGACAGTGGGAAGGAATGGAAAGGGGAGGTTCTCAGGGGTTGAAGCTTCGTATCTACGTGTACGATAGCTTCGGCTCCGGTTACAGCCTACGTTCACCTATGGTAAGTTATGTCGTCTCGCAGATTCCAATCTGCGCCAATAACCCGGCTAAGACGTGTCCCGCTAACATTGCATGGGCGTCAGGTCATTTGGATACCGTCACTCCTCACTCGGTATTCAATCCTTTCGATGATACAGTCGACTCGCCACACCACATCCTCTCCTCCAACGCTCCCATGGGCCGCGATGCTCGACAGATCTCGCCAGGGCAACTCGCAGCAAGGAACCACCATACGATTCATCTGCGTTCGGTCGCACTGGCAATCTGTCTTTCATCGACGCGCCTACCTCTCCGACTTCGGCCTCCGCGAGAAGCGCTGGTTCGGATCGGGAATCTGAATCCAGTGACGACTCGAGCCGAGCCAGGGACTTCTTTGTTCCCAGGCTCGGGACGCAACTCTTTCTCGCCCCCGAACTCGGATCTTTCCGAGGGCCTCCCATTGCTCTTCTGATACTGTACCATAGACTGGTTCGGTAGATCGTGAAGTCGCAATGGCGGCGGCGACAGCTGACATCGGACCTTTGACCAGATGTGTCGTCTAGGGGGCGGAACCGGCTTTCAGAACGGCCGATCGGCTTGTATTCGGCCATGTTGATTCATGCCGGAGCCGACGAACGGCGGGAGGTGGAGACAAGTTGGGGTGTTCTTACATTCCTTCAACCCCAACTCCAATCTTCATACTCCTATCTACCTCCAACAACTCCATCACTCTCCTAGACCTCCACCATCGCCCCAGGACTACCGGAAACAGTCTCGACAAGCCCCGGATCCCCTACGACAACGACATCCCGCTCGGCCTCAGCTGCCTCGCCTGGTACACCGTCAGCATGTCAGCACAGCCTTGCTGACGGCGCACGGCGTGAGAGCGTGCGGGACTGTCGTTGTCACTATGGATCTGAGGCATATGGAGACTTACCTCCAGGCCTCCTGCGGCGAGGACGCCTCTCTGGAAGAGCGGAAACGAAGCCTGCGCCTCAGGACGATAAGTTAGTCATCTCTTCACACGTGCCTCCATGGCGACGTGCTTTCTCGTCATCACGCCCGCGCCAAGCGTGCAGGCGGTTCACTCTCGGGACTCCGGCGTATGTAGGAATCCCGAGATGGAAGTCACCTCTCCGAGACCCGTGTTCGAGACTCCGGCGTATGTAGGAGTTCTTCAAGACATGGATATCTCTCTGAGGCGGTGGCGCACTCGAAAGGGATGTGATTTTACGTCCTTGGCAGTGGCTGAGACGGAGCGGACCGGCGGACGAGGGCTCCGGCCAGCTTCCGTTGCTCGACGTTCTCTGTGGCGATGTCGATCCGGGCGGCTGGTGTGTACGTTGCTCGGCGTGATGGATGAGGGAGTCAAAGAGGCGGAGGATGAGGCGGAGCTTGGCGTGAGGCTTTTGTCGCTCAGGTGATTTGGCCGAGAACGAGGAGGATTGGAGACTTGCTACTTGAGAAAAGTGGCAGGCACGGTATTGCAATTCTGAAATTTCAAGCTGCTGTCTCTAGGAGTGGGATGATCTTCTACGGATTGGATTTGGATTTGCAGCGGCACCTCGGTGGTCACGATAGGTAGCGACTGGTGAGGGCACCGGGGGATCTGGCCACCGGGGGATCTGGCCGGGGATCTGGCCGCCGAGGAATGGCCGCTGCAATTCGGACGGCTGGGTTTACAATGGGAAAGTGGAGGAGAGGGCTTTTTGGGCTTGGTAGATGCGATCAAGAGGCGGAGTTCATGGTTCCTACGCCGGGATTGTGCGCACTCGGACACAGCATACCTAGGATCGATACTACTGCATAAGCTTCTTCCATAGTAAAAAAAATCTCATTTTAAAGTAAATGCGAACAGAGTAAATGTGTGAGCTGATATGTTGCCGGAGTTGAGGGCTGCTGGTATCGACTGGAATTAGACAGTCAGATTCCCCTTGTCCGAGGGATTGGTGTGGGCCCCGGAGCTGTGACCGGACTAGTGGGTCGGTCGGAGCCGGAAGCCAGTGGAGTGGATCTCATCGGCATCAACCGGTCCCCGGAGACTGGGATTCTCGGCTTCTGGGCCGAGAAAAGGAACTATCAGACGGTTTAAGAGAAGCCGCCTCCCTCCGTCCGCAAGAGGCGAGGTGCTTTGCGCACTTGACCCTTTACGAGGCCTCAAAGAGTAGCTCTAGGCCTCTGCCCCTCGGTCTCAGTATGAGAATTGCGTCTTCTTTAGCCTTTGCATGAGCCCCTTCGGTTAATAGTGTTAGTGCAAGGGAGATGCGGCAAAACTGACATCCGTAGATGCTGTTGCGCTCGTGTTCTGTTGCCTCTGCTTCGATCCCTTTCTACTCAACACACAGCCACAGGCGGCACCCTTGCCAAGACTCAAGTGGGCGCCGGCAGAGTTGCCAGCCGGGAGGCAGGACGAACCATCTAGACTCAACATTCTTTGTGTTGGCGGTGTTTGTCTGGTCCTTCCTCGCGAAGCGGTCTGACAACGCTTGGCGCGGGTGTGCTGCGAAAGAAGCGTTGGCAGAGGGAGGCACAGGTGCGGGTCTTGGCTGGTTAGGCAGACCGCCACAAGCCTCAGGTCGTGGGTCGTGGAAATCGGACCAAGTGTTTTCGAGATCGGGAGTCACGATTTGAAGTTGGAGGTGTGTATCGGAGCAAGCAGCCGAACAGAAGGTTAGCATTCAGCCTGACGTCAAAGGGGATATCCCTGTGGCAGCTGAGGTTTCTGGCGTTCGCGGGCGACAAGCCATCAAGCAAAACAGCTTCAGATTGGATGGGCTTGGCAGAACGTTGGGAGACGCCAACGTCGCGAAGTGGGCGGGCACGTGTGAGTCTGTGAGGTTATTGTTGTTTTGATGGTGCCCTGCCAAGACGTTATATTCGCTGGAATTTGATTCCCCTCATTTGCCGCAGCAGGTGCTCCGTAAAGTTGATGATCCTGTTTTACCTACGTGGTGCAGCGTTTGTGTGATGCACCCTCAGCATGTGTTCCTGTGTGATTTGATGATGTCAGAAGAGTCTTGGCGACGACCACTATCCGGTTGCTGGTGTCGTGCAAAGAAGAAAACAGTGCAAAAAGAAGAAGCGATGTCGAACAAATCGGAGGGTTCGGGAGTTGGCGTGAGACGACCAAGAGTGGCAGTGCAAGAGGTGAGCTTCCGCTGGACTCATTTGTGCCATGATTGCATCCCCCGAGACGGCAGCCATCGACGTCTGGGTCTGGGGTGGAACCACAGCTCAGTGTCAGTGAGGGTCTTGTTCCCGCTCTTCCTTGCTGAAGTGAAGTGTCCGTACGGGGATGAAGTTCCGGGTGGGTGGCAGATGCTTGGTGACGATGGGTATTTGCAGGGTATGGCCGGCCCCGGATGCCTCTGTTGGGCCTAGAGTCTCGGGAGAAAATGAGGGCGGCATCTGGGAGTCTGGACTTGTCTGGCGCATCTTTCTCGAATGCACATCGAATGCCAATCCTGCTCCAGTTTCAGTCGAGGGATGTCTGATTATCATGACCCAATGGCGGTGATGGATCGATGACAGAGTTCTGGTTCGACCAGGTCGGGCCCCGGCGGGTTGTGGGATGGCAGGGGAGCTTCAGGAAGAAGGATCCCGTCAAGCTCTCGCCTCACCTGCGGTGGGTGGATGAGAAGAGGAACCCAAGCATTGGTGCATGGCGACAACGTGGAGATGGGATGTTGTGTGTGTGATGGCATGTTGGTAGGTGTTGAGGTTAGATTTTTGTTCGCCTTCTGATTCTTGCATTTCCTTCTGCTTCTGACAGTTTCCAGTGCTGTCGGTCAGTCAGTCAGTCAGTTGAGGAAGGTGTTCTCTAGTCATGTCAGGACTGCTAAGTTCTTGCCAAGGGGACCGGACTGTGGCTCAGGTCATCGATTTGCGGTGGTCGGCGGCCTCTTTCACCAATGTCTCGGCGTAAGAAAATGTTTCTCGCCTGGATCAGTCCACTGCCCAGAAGAAATAGCGGGTGTCCCAAGCTCCCACCGGTGAACAATGGGCCTGGGCTTCTCTTATCTAGGCGGTTGTCCGCTTAGCCATCCGAGGCTGCACCTTCGATATTCTGACCTCAATGAGCTGTCACTTGGCGTCATTTTCAACGACAAAAAACAACAACAGCATTATGATGCCGGCCAAAAAGGTGAATCAAGACGCTCATGTTTCCAAGCCTGGTATAGGTACCGCTGCATTCTCAGCACGAGCCAGTTGTCTAACCCCATTGATGAGAGGAAATCAACTAATTCTACTGCAATACAAGACATGGCTTGGCGCCCTCCTGTGATACTAAACTGTATTGGATCGCCAGCATCATGGAGTACCTTAGGATATCTCCCGCTGTAATTTACGGATACTTGGTTGTCATGATTGACCGATCACCTTTTTCCCGTCCCTCCCTCCTTATTGATGGGCGTCTTGGCAATGACGGCACAGCGGTAAGTACCTAGGCGGTAACCATGGGTGAGCAATAAGTGAGTGACCACTTGCCGCTGCAGCTTTACGTACCAGGCGTAAACTGATCCTTGGCAGTGGTCTCTTGGCAAAGCAGCTGTCGGGCTACAACGCAGCCCGTCAAGAGGTGCCCATCGTGGCAGTGCTGGCCAGCCAAGTATCTCACCTTAGAGCCTTAGAGCAAAATGAATGATGAGAGGCGGGAAACGACTAGGCATGCGGGCGGTAGGTGTAGGTGAGAAATGGTGATGATTATATGGTCGGCACCAGGTAAGGTAGGTAGACAAGGCATCCAGGCGGCCGACTTTTGTTTTACCGTTGTTTTCATTCTTTTCGACCTTTCCAACTACTTTCCAAACACGCTGAACCCTGTACTCAATACCTGGCTATCGCTTGCTATCTGGTGCTGCTGCACATCGTCACTGCTGGCACCAACTTCACAGCCAATATCAGATGGTCCTGTCACCCACGCCACAGACATCGTGACCTCTGTACTGCCGCAGTAAATGGTCAGTTCATCACCTTGGTTCTGACCTCGTGCGAACGCGAACCTGCCGATGCATCTTCGTTCTCGTTCCCGCTACCTTAACTTTCTCAACCTTGCTCTCCATCGCCAACCTTGCTTTAACCGCTATCCGTAAGGTACCGGCCAAAGTTTGCAGAGCCACCCGACAACCCCTGGGAGAAATTGGAAGACCCATCGAGGCGGACCTCTCCCAGATCAACGGTCAACCCATCCACGTCGCTTGACAACACGACTTCATCAAACGTCAACCGCATCGCTCTGTCACTGCCACATTGCTTCAAACCAGCGGGCTACCTCAGACAACAACAAACATATTCACCGCCATCCTCCCTTCGCTACCCGACCTCTCCCTGAATCCGATGGACGCTAAGAGACCTGAATGCCCTCCTCGTTTCTACGACACCGCCATCTAACCGAACATCCATCGCCTTGCTTCCCGCTCGCTCGCTGGTAAGGCAATCGACATCCTTCACCAGTCACCTACCACATCACAGCGGCCTTTGTTTGCTCTGCTGCCAAACCACCTGCAGCTATCCTTTCACCACTTTCTGAAAACGACAACCACCAACCCCGGCCGCGCCTTCCCCCCAAAACAAGGCGAAATATTTTTTCTGCACTTTTCACCTGCGCTCCGCTGCTCCTCCAAACATCATCTGGAGGACCGCAGGGCAGACTGCTAGGACATTTCAAACACGCACATCATCATGGCGGGAGGTCATTCGCCAGTAAGGCGGCCACGAGCGCCTACCATCACGCTCGACACATCCGCCGTCAACGATCAAGGTAATTATGACGCCATGCCGCATTCCAACCCCGGTTCGCTCACAAAACAAAAAAGTACGCGCCCTGGGCCCTACTGACTACCGCGTCGCGCTGTAGACCAACACGAAAACATCTCATCATCGTCGCCGTCATCCGATAATGGCGACGAGGTGAATAATACGTTATCAGTGCCCACACGAAAGTCGCGGTCGCAGTCGTGGGACTCCAACAACACCACATTGGCCAAATCCAAAACCAACGACGGCACCGACAAGGGATCCCCTACGGCCCAGCACTCCGGTTCGCCCAAGGCCTTCGGGGATAACCCGGACGCCCTCGCGCCGAACCCCGGCGAGGAGGACTCCTTCCACGTCCAGAACAACCCGTTCGCGTTCTCGCCGGGCCAGGTCTCGAAGCTTATCAACCCCAAGAGTTTAGACGCGTTTGTCGCCGTTGGAGGTTTGACCGGCTTGGTAAAAGGTTTACGGACGGACACCCGCGCGGGTCTCAGTCTCGACGAATCGCGTCTCGACGGTGCCGTGAGCTTTGACGAGGCAGTTGCCGCCGGCAAGAAGATCCACTCACCGACGGACGGCGCACCGGCGGCCCCACTTCAACAAGACGCCGCGCCGGGAGACGGCGCCGGCAAGGGTTTCGACGACCGCAAGCGCGTTTTTGGGCAAAATATCCTCCCTGAGAGAAAGTCAAAATCGCTACTTCAGCTTGCTTGGATTGCCCTGCAAGACAAAGTCCTTATTTTGCTTAGCGTTGCGGCTGTCGTCTCCCTCGCACTGGGTTTGTACCAAACTTTCGGAGCAACACACCATGGTGATTCTACGGCCAAACTCGAGGTAAGAAAATACGTGTCTGAATAAGATGCGTCTGGATAACAGACTGACATGTTCCAGTGGATCGAAGGTGTGGCCATTATTGTGGCTATCACAATCGTCGTCGTCGTTGGATCCTTGAACGACTGGCAGAAAGAGCGCCAATTTCGAAAGCTGAATGAGAAAAAGGAGGATCGCACGGTCAAAGTGATTCGTTCCGGAAAGCCTTCAACCATTTCGGTCCATGACATTCTGGTTGGCGATGTTATGCTCCTGGAGCAGGGAGACATTATCCCGGTAGACGGCATCTTCATCGACGGGCACAATGTCAGCTGCGACGAATCTTCCGCGACCGGCGAGTCGGATCTGATCAAGAAAGTTCCTGCGGGAGCCGTCATGAAGGCTTTGCACGAGGACGAGGAAGTGAATCCCAAGAAGCTGGACCCTTTCATCATTTCTGGAGCCAGAGTCTTGGATGGCGTTGGAACATTCCTCGTTACTGCCGTTGGCGTGAACTCTAGCCATGGCAAGACCATGATGTCTCTTCGCGACGATCCCGGCCTGACCCCTCTGCAACTCAAGCTCAATATTCTCGCGGGTATGTAGACATCCTACTGCTTGGATAAGTGTGACTGACATTTCAACCAGGATACATCGCGAAGCTCGGCAGTGGAGCTGGTCTGCTCCTTCTGGCTGTTCTCACGATCGAATTCTTGGCCCATTTGCCCCAGAACGACGATTCGCCGGAGGAAAAGGGTCAACGCTTCCTTCAGATTCTCATCACGTCCATCACCATCATCGTCGTTGCTGTCCCTGAGGGTCTGCCACTGGCAGTGACCCTGGCCCTGGCGTACGCCACGAAGCGAATGACGAAGGAGAACAACCTTGTCCGTCACCTCCAGTCCTGCGAGACGATGGGTAATGCGACGGTAATTTGCTCCGACAAGACTGGTACCCTGACGGAGAACGTCATGACGGTTGTTGCTGGCACTCTGGGCACAGGGAAGCTGAGGTTTGGAGACGGAGATGGCCAGTCTAGCTCATCTGATGAAGCCGAGCAGGAAAATGTGGAGGTCGCAGGCGGCGACAAGAAGGCCGCAAGTCAATCTGCGACTCTGATCCCGATGTCGAAGCTCTCCTCTTCCCTCGACTCTGACCACAAGGAGATGATCAAATTGTCAGTCGCCATGAACACGACGGCCTTTGAGACGGAGGAAAACGGGAAGCACGAGTTTGTGGGCACCAAGACCGAGACGGCCCTGCTCGACTGGGCTCACCGATGCTTTGCCCTCGAGAAGCTCGCCATCGAACGCGACAATCACCCGGTTCAACAACTATTCCCCTTCAACTCCAAGAGGAAGTGCATGGGCGCCGTTGTGCGTCTTCCAGATAACAAGTACCGTTTGTTCATCAAGGGAGCCCCTGAGATCCTCCTTGGGCAGTGCACTCACGCCGTTGCCGACCCGACGAAGGCACCTTCTTCCACCTCTATGGAAACACAGCAGCAAGACGAAATCCGACGCACTATTTCCGAATACGCCTCCCGATCGCTCCGCACACTCGCCCTCGCCTACCGAGATTTCGAGCAATGGCCGCCAAGAGAGGCACGCAAGGAGGAAGGTTCGGACAACATCGAGTTTTCTAGCATCTTCAAAGGCTTGACGTGGTTGGGCGTCGTGGGCATCCAGGACCCTGTACGAGCCGGTGTTCCCAAGGCCGTGAGCGACTGCGGTCTCGCTTCCGTGTCTGTCAAGATGGTTACCGGTGACAACGTCGAGACTGCGAGAGCTATTGCGAGGGACTGTGGTATTCTGACCGAGAAGGGCAAGGTCATGGAAGGAGTCGAGTTCCGCCGCATGGGCGACCGGGAGCGAACCGCGATTGTCAAGGATCTTTGCGTGTTGGCGCGGTCGAGCCCGGAAGACAAGAAGATACTCGTCAAGGCGTTGCGAAGCTTGGGAGAGGTCGTCGCCGTCACGGGAGATGGAACCAACGACGCGCCTGCCCTGAAGTCCGCAGATGTCGGCTTCTCTATGGGCATCACGGGAACTGAAGTCGCCAAGGAGGCTTCGGATATCATTCTCATGGACGACAACTTTTCGTCCATCGTCAAGGCCTTATCCTGGGGTCGCGCCATCAACGACGCTGTCAAGAAGTTCTTGCAGTTCCAGATCACCGTCAACATCACCGCAGTCGTCCTCACATTTGTGACGGCTGTGGGTGACGCTGAGCAGGAACCCGTCTTGAACGCCGTTCAGCTTCTCTGGGTCAACCTCATCATGGATACCTTCGCAGCCCTCGCCCTGGCCACCGATCCTCCGACGGAAAGCATGCTTCATCGCAAGCCCGACGCCAAGACAGCTCCCCTGATCAACACGCCGATGTGGAAGATGATTATTGGTCAATCCATTTACCAGTTGATCGTCACCCTGATCTTGCACTTCGTCGGCCCTAGCTTTCTCAACTACCCCAAGGAACAGCAGAAGACGCTCGTCTTCAACGTCTTTGTCTTCATGCAGATCTTCAAACTGATCAACAGCAGAAGGATCGACAACCACCTGAACATTTTCGAGGGCATCACCAAGAACAAGCTCTTCTTCCTCATGATGGCTATCATGGCTGGCGGACAGGTCCTGATCGTGTTCGTCGGAGATGCCGCCTTCAAGGTCACCCGTCTTAATGGGCCTCAATGGGGCATCTCCATGGTCCTCGGCATTCTCTCCATCCCGGTCGGTGTGCTCATCCGTCTGGTCCCCGATTCTTGGTGTGTGACCCTTGTCCGGCCCATCGGCAAGGTGTGGGCCAAGATTCCGAAGTGGAAGCGCAAGAAGAAGACCGACGACGACGAGGACGCGGAGCAACTGGGCGGCGTCAAGGAGGCGCTGCTGGAGATCCGCGAGGACCTGGCCTTCCTGAAACGCATCAAGGGAGGACGAATCAACCAGATCAGCGAGGTCATCATGAAGCCCCGCGAGTACCGCGAGCGCACACGCAGCCGGAGCGGCTCGAGATCATCTAGTCGACATAACGCGTCGCCTATGAAGGCCGCTCTGGGCATGCCTGGCATTGTCGCAGCCAGCGTTGGAGGACTATCGCCGGTCGAGAGGCCAGTATCGAACGACCGCCGCACAGAGGAAGGCGGCAACGGGGAAGAAGGCCGAAGCAACTGAGATTCATCCCAGGACGCGTTGTATTGCCTTGATTGGCACTGTTTACACCACCACCACCACCATCCTACTTTTTTCGAGAGAGCGTGTTTTTCTTTTCCACCCATCATGTTACGAATAACCGACCGATCGCCCAGCTGTACCTATTCTTACCCTTCTCCTTGGACCGATCAAGACACGAACCACATACCAAAACTTCCTGTACGATAATCAAAGATCGATAGACCCGAACCAGTGCGCCGCGAGACCGATATCACACTGTTAAATGTAATAAATGAATAAAACAAATCAACCAAATGGTACTGAGCAGTCAATGGCCACTGTGATGAGATTTACGTGCCAAGAGGAGCCAAGCAACGCACCGTCATAGTCACTAGTCAGACCTCAATTGATCAGAGCGATGATCAATCACGCCAAACCAGTTGAGAATTCGAGAATTTCCATGTTTACAAATCGTCTGCTGAGTCAAGCAACAGACGATCCTGCCCCCGAAAAAACTCAATTGAACTGGTTAACGCCGAAAAGAGCAGTGGAGCTTCGGAGCTTTGGGCAAATAAACTCGCGGGATTTACGTCATTGACGCGGCGGTGACGTGACCGGAGCCCTTCGAAGCTCAGAACCCGCGGGACACGCGCGGGGCCTGCGTTCCGCGCACGGAATTGAGCGTGTCCCAATTCGACACGATTCGGCCTCCCCGCCTTAGGGAGGAAACAATTCGGTGCCCCGCTCCCTCGAGAAGCCGTCCCCGGGGGTCCCGATTGAGCGGGGAGAGGAGAGGGGAAAAGGCGTGATTTCAAAGCCGTGGTGTGACCGCCGAGAAGGTATATGAACCCGGGCCTCCGCACCATTGGACGACGGGAAGTTTATCTGTAACATTCCAAGATCTCACACATCACAACAAACGCACTTCTCCGACAGACAAACACACAACTTTTCAACGTAAACCAAGACAAAACTGGAAAACACGACAGCCATGAGCAGCAGACACGTCCTCATCCTCGGCGGCCACGGCAAGGTCTCGCAGTACCTCACCCCGATCCTCCTCAACAAGTCGTGGACCGTCACGAGCGTCATCCGCGCGCAGGAGCAGGTGCCGACCATCGAGAAGCTCGGCGCCGGCAGCGCGGGCAAGCTGAACGTGCTGGTGCGCAGCGTCGAGGACGTCAGGGACCAGGCCCAGGCCCAGGCCATCTTGGACGAGGTCAAGCCCGATACCGTCATCTGGAGCGCCGGTGAGTGAACTTAAGAGGTTCCTGCAATCGCGAGTCATGCGAGCGCGAGCAAAATGATGTTCTCGTGAACGGGTGGAGACTGACTGACTTGATGATAGGTGCCGGTGGAAAGGGAGATCCTCAGAGAGTAAGTACAACACGATTAAACCGCTTGAAGAGGAGAATGGGTTGCTGACTGTGCACAAAACAGACATTCACCGTCGACCGCGACGCCGCGATCCACTTCGTGAAAGCCTCCGTCGCGACCCCCTCCGTCAAGAAATTCATCCTCGTCTCCTACCTCGCCTCCCGCAAGAACAAGCCCACCTGGTGGTCCGACGACGAGTGGCAGGGCGCCCTCGACGTCAACAAGAAGCTCTCCAACTACTTCAAGGCAAAGGTCGCCGCCGACGAGGTCCTCTGGGAGGAGTCCCGCACGCGCCCCGACTTCGCCGGCGTCAGCCTGCGCCCCGGCACGCTGTCGGACGAGCCCGCCGGCAAGGTCGAGTTCGGTAAGACCAAGGGGTCCAGGGGCACCTCGAGCAGGCAGAGCGTCGCGGAGGTGGCGGCGCTGATTGCGGAGCAGGAGGGGTTCAAGACTTCGTGGGTCGATCACTTGGACGGGCAGGAGGATCCGAAGGAGGCCGTGGCCAGGGTCGCGAGGGAGGGGGTTGATGTCGCGGAGGGGGAGGCGTTTTACAAGGCTTGAGGGGGCAGAAAGGTCTTGACTTTATGTGATATGACATTATTATATTAATAGCGAGTTTATTTGATATCATGCCATCAGGGCGATGTGCTTCAATTCTCTGTTCCACGCGTCAGTGTCTCTCCTTTTTCGGGGTTGTTGTAGAAGGTGTGAAACTTACTCTTGTACTTGCTCTCCGACCTTCATCGGCACATACTTGACCTCCTCGCCCTCGTCCCTGCCCAGGTTAAACTGCGCCGCCCTCACCTCCCTCGCCCGCTCCGCCAGCTGCGGGATCGGCGTGAGGTCGAAGTCGGACGACAGGTGCCAGAAACACGTCGACGAGATCCGCACCAGCGGGCGCTCCGGACACTCCGCCCTGCGCCGCTCCATCACCGCCAGCGTCTTCTCGTTCACCACCACCTCGTGGTACCCCGCCTTGACCAAGCCGCCCGTGAAGTGCTCCATCTGCTTGCCCGCCTGCACCAGCAGGTAGTTCCCCTCGGGGATCTTGACGGCGATTTTCTTCCCCGTGTTCCGCGCCCAGATGTGCAGCCCCGGGTACCGCGAGCGGCCGTGGATGGTGAGGAAGTTCAGGTCCGTGTGGAAGCCCGCAAGGATCGTGTCCCGCGCGCCGTACTTGACCAGGTCCGACGCCGTCGGCGCGAGCAGGTGCGGGCCGTACTTCCCCGCCGCGGTGAAGGTGTCCGACGGCAGCCCGAGCCCCAGCGCCGCCATCTCGGCCAGGCCCTCGACGGCCTGCTTCATGGAGGAGCCCCACTTGTTCATGGCCCCCGGCCAGCGCTCGCGGATGTGCGCCGCCTCGGGGACGACGTTCGGCGCGTTCAGCCCCGGGAAGCGCGTCTCGTAGGGCGTCTTCTCGGCCATGCTCCAGAAGAAGCGGCACTTCGGGTCGGGCTCGTGGGCGCCGATGTCGAGGGGCCGCTCGGAGGGGGCGAGGCGCTCGATGACCCGCAGACAGGGCTCGTCGACGGCGCACTTTGGCTTCTCGGTGTTCTCGAGGGTGACGCCGATCTGGTAGCTGAGCTCGGGGCGCTCGTCCCGGCGGAGGAGGTGCTCGGGCTGGGCGAAGTAGTCCTCGAGGAGGTCGAGGAAGGCGGTGTTGTCGGACTCGGAGACGCGGGAGTCGTGGAGGACGAGGGCGCCGTAGGTGATGAGGGCGTCGGCGGCCTTGGCGCACTCGGCGGCGACGGCGGGGGAGGTGGGGGGTTGGGTGAGGAAGATGTCGAGGTCGATTATGGGGAGGTCCATCGGGAGGTCTTGCGTGGTTGGCATTTTTCGGGTTGTTGGTGTTTTGGGTGTGAGGGTGGAAGGAAATCGGATCGCGGGGTTCTGGAGGGGTAGATGGAAGATGGCGGGGTTGGTGGTTAGGTTTAGGCAGGTCCGTTCGCGACCGTGTGCTTCAGACAGATGCTCCACAGGAAAAATGAAGAACAACAAAAAATCAAGAAATATCTCACAGACGGCGGATCACGGCGCATTTTGTTCACATCCTCCTCGGCGCGGCATGTGAGCAGATCCAGATGCGCGACCACCTTCCACCTTCCCAGCCCGCGCGCGGTGGGGTCACGGTGTGGGTGGGTGCGCTCATGGCCCCACGCCGCCCCGGACGCCTGACCGGATCAGGCAGCTGACTGGGGACGACCCGATTCAAGCGCCGTTGGAGATGGTACCTTGCTGCGCCGGGGCGGGTCCTGCTTGAACCAATCGGAGCGGCCCGTCGGCGTGCTCCGGGGCTGGGACATGGAGGGCGGGGGCCTGGGCCCGGCGTGTGGTCGAACCAGCCCGGGAATTTCTGGGTTGAGTTGTTTTTTTTTTTCTTGTCAGATTTCTTTGTCGGTTTTTCGATTGGTTGGGTCGGTTCGACCGGTTATCTCCTGGTGAGGAGACGGAGGTTGGAGGTCTGAAGAAAATGGTCTGACTCGGGGTAGCGGGGAAGTGAGGGTTTTTGGTCTGGGATTTAGGGTGTTTGGACTCCGATGGTTTCCGTCGCAGATCCACGGTCTCCGACGGAGGACTAGATTGCGTATTAGTATTGATCTCCGAATTGCTTCGATTGCAACATCTCTGTCACCGAAAAGTACGGTGAACAAGTCGCTCTGTGCTGTTCTACTGCTTAAGGATCTATGTTTGCCCCACAAGCCGTTTCATTCTACAGAAAGTTGAGAGCAACGAGTTTTAGGGATACCTTCTCGGCATTGAATAGACAGATGCCCTCAAGCTATACTAGAGCCAACCTCCTTTGCTGCAGCCGAATGAGTTTCTCAGGTGCCCCAGAAAGGGTCGAGAGGCTCTGGCGCAGACTCCAGCCCGGCTGCCACGAGAAACTGAACAATTCTTTCGTGACCGGCTTTTGACGCAATCTCCATGATACCCATCTCAAGTTCGACTTGCTCGAGATCCGCGCCAGCTGTCACCAAATGTCCTAGAATATCAAGTCGTCCATGCGAACAAGCGCTACGGACGGCGGAGCCGAAGTGAAGCCTTGATGGTGTGAGAACGACGCTCGGATGTTTGAGCAAGGCCTCAACCACGGGGAAATGACCTTTCATTGTCGCTGCCTCCAGTGCATCGCCATCGCTCGCCTTGGCGCCATGGTTCAACAGCTTCTCGACGGCTGCTCGATGACCTTGCAGGCTGGCCGCTCGGAGAGGTCTTCCATACCTGCCGCGAGCTTCGATGTCCAGTCCGTGATCGAGGCAGAAGTCAATCATGCCCAAGTCTCCGTTGAGAGCCGCAAGTGCCAAGGCGTCTGCTGGAAATAGATCCTTGGGGTCTGAATGACCCCGAAGTAAACGTCGAAGCTGTTGAATCCGACCAAGCTCGATGGCTTTTTCAACATGTTGTCTTAGTTGTGAGCGTTGTTGTTGGGTGTTGTTGAGCTTTTGAAGCTCTTTGACTGCTTTGACAAAACCAGCGTGCCCCAGAGTCGTCATGACCGCCTCAATGCCCGCCTGATCCAGTGAAAAGATTTCCTGCTCTACAAGTATCTTGGCAACACTCTCGTGGCCCCCCCTAATTGCAGCATCTAGAGCATTATCGAACATTGGGCCTGCTCTCTTGGCGCAAGCCCCATGGTCGAGTAATTTTGAAACCACGTCAACATGGCCATAATAGCACGCTGCGTGGAGTGGATTGCCATAACGCCCGCAACCGACGTTGACGTTGGCCTTCTTTCCGATAAGAAACTCAACAATGCGGCTATTTCCCAACGAAGCAGCGAGATACAAGCCCGTGTGGCATTTTGTGTTTGGTTGATCCCACGAAAAGTCCTGAACTTCGAGCTCGGCTAGTAAGCCATGCAGACCAAAGATGCAGATCATGAAAAGAGGAGTGCGGGAGGTACTGTCAGTTCCATAGTAATACTTTCGCAGCAGACTGTCCCTCTCGAGCTCTTCGGATAGTATTTGTGCGTCCTTCAGCCAGAACTCGAACTGAAGACTGGGTTCTTTTTTCTCGTCGAATACGAAGTTGCGAAGCTGGTCTTGGAGAGGTGTAACCAGTCCCGGGGCCGCACTCCGGAAGTGGACTGGCCAGTAAAGGGTTGCATATCTGTGAAACCCTTCCTGTTGTGTAGGTAACGCACTTAAGTCGTCTGTGGTGAGCATCCACAAACTTGCTGCCGCTATAGATTCGTGGGACCTGATCGGCGCAAAATCGGGTTTGGAAAGTAGAAACTCTTGAATCGTCGAGTGGGCAAATCGGACCTTGTTGGATTCTTCGTCTACAATGATGAGATTGCGACAGATTCTTACAAGTGACGATCCGTCGAGGTGATTGGGCCATTTTGACTCTCTGGAAGCCAGCGCGCATAGCAAGGTATCGAGACTGAGAGTTTCCTTGGCGTGAAGCATCCATTGAAAAGTGCTGGCCACGATGCGCGAAGTGGTTGGCCCAGATACCGCAACCCTCCCCATAATCTCTTCGTACGTCTCATTCAAGTCCCGAGGGAGGCTTTCCAAGGTCTCCAAAGCGTCCTCCTCTGATTCGATGAGGGATAAACGTTCGAGCTGGAGCGCAGCCCATAAAAACCTAAAGGGCATTAGGGATAACTCTCATCGCCAGTCGAGTGATTATGAAATGGAAATACTAACATCTCGTCAGTCCTGCGTTTCAGATAATCGTACAGCTCGTCCTCGAATTCTCGGGAGGGGTTACCACCAAGAACTCCCATCTTCAATCGCTTTCTCTCTTCTATGCTGTGTCGTATGAAAAGACTGACGTCCTTTTCATTATCCCCAGGACATATAGAGACCTTTCTGGCCTCCGACAAAAGATTGATAATTTGTGTATCGTGTCTGCTGGTCACAATGATTTTGACCGCTTCCTGAGAGTTTCGGGCAAGTGAAACTAAACACTCAACAAGCTCAAGACGCTGACTTTCTTCCACTTCGTCCAAGGCATCGATAATCAAGAATATGGCGTTTGTTTTCGTTGCCCCCTGAACTATCTCGATCGACTCTTTAGGCTGCAAGCTGCGCAGGCGAAAACCATCCTTAGCAGCCTTTTCCCGGCGCTGCTTGAACTCTTGGAGCAGACTCTCCTGGAATTGAGATTGCGCGCTGCTTGTTCCAGAAACTAGCTGACGCAAGACACTCCCTAAAATATGCCCTGGGCACTGTCTCTCCGGTTCAGCAGCGCTTCTTTTGCAATAGAAGTAAGCCACCTTGGCGTTGCCGGGGAGCGTGGACTGATCTCCCAGCCAGTCAATAAGTTTCGAAGCGAGCATGGATTTTCCTGACCCAGGAATGCCGTGGATCAGTAAAACAGAGGACTTCTGTGAGTTCTTCCATTCAATCACTTCTTCGTGATCCAGAATCCATGTTGCAGACTCGTCGAGCCTGCGATCGCGAATCTGTCGATGTTGGTCGTGGAAATCTAGGGGCGATAACCATTTCAGGAAATCTTGCCATTCGTTTTCCTTCGCCTCGCGTTGAACAGCAGCGTCTCGCTGAGCAATCTCCACTATGGGTGCTTCCAAGTTTTCCCAGACCCGTGTGATCTTGATGAAATCGTCTGTGCTTGCAATCGCCACCTCTGCAAGGACCAGTCTGAAGCACTTGTCGACCTCTGTGTCTGACGATACGATTCCCTGGATCTCGAATGACTTTGGTGATTTGAATGTGCTTCTGATTACTTCATGTATCCTTTAGTCAGCTCCTGATGGCGATGCTCATCTCTAAGGTAGCTCACCATGTCCTTTCGGGTCCATATATCGGATAGCGTTGGCCAAATAGCTCAGAACTTTGGAGTAGAGGAGTATCAAGGTTTCTCGAAGAGCTAGGCTCGCCGATGTTGAGTACCTGGCGTAAATAGCCTCCGATATGGCGTGTCGCCTGATCAAGCGACAGATAAAGTCAATATTTTCGACCAAAGCGCCATATATCTCGAAGTCGTTTACAGCAACTTGCAGCAGAAACCGTACTGCCGCCCAAGGTAGTGCGGCGTGCGTCGGGTCATATTGGACGACCGTGTCGCCGACTGCCTTGAAGCGATCGATCCATTTGATGACTTTCTCCATGGCGTCTCGCACAATGAATGCCCCTCCGCCGGGTCTTTTGAACTTCCATCGGCCATCGTTCATCTCATGAAGTCTCTTCTGCGCTGCTTGGAGTACTGCCTCCAGTACGTCCACCCCCGGATCGCTGGCCGCCTTGAGGCTAGTTCGGAGTTCATTGGGAAGCCGTTCGTACGCCTCCACCCAAAGGTTTGGCGGGGTCTTTGCTGGACCAGACGCATTGCTCATGGTAACTTGAGGCACGGTGAAGAACTGAAAATCATTCACGTGTGGTGAACTTCTGGAGATGGAATGGATATTGGGCAAATGTGGTCACGTCCTTCCATTGTGGCTGTGTTGGTGCAGTCAGACTGATTGCTAGCCAATGACCTCCGCGCTGTCTAGGCTGAATGTGTACAGCTCATTCAGCTAACTGGCTGAGAATGCAACATGACCAAACCGGAAAAATAGGGCATGTGCGATGAAATAGGTGAACAACATCCAATCGCTTATTCCAAGTCACCATGTCAAAAATATGCCTCGGAAGGCAGCGGAAGCAGAAGCCGTGATACTCGAATGTTATTTTCTCGAATATTCAACGAAAAAGCACACCTCTTACACGAACCGCAAATACGCCCTGTCTTCGAATTGATTTTCAAAAGCGGGAATAACTTTGTACTTGGCTAAATGCTTATCTATCTACTTGTCTGCAGGAATTAAATACAAGAAGGCGATTGAATCAGAGATTCTCGCCAGAAATGGGGTATCGAAGGCAGGTCAGATTTGCTAGCGTAGCATGGCTCCTCAGTCTGCATACGCCATCAGAGTTGGCTCAGATGAAGTTGCCAGATCCGGAGCAGCGAGACAGGGGAATGGAGCCCTGCTTCTGGCAGATGGTGATGCTACCAGAGACCCACGAGATGCCGTCGTAGGAGCCCTCCTTGAAGCTGTCCGCCTGCCAGGTGCCGGTCTCCTTGATCGATCCGGGGCAGCCGGTGAAAGCACGACCGGTGCGGCGGGTCTTGTAGGGCTTGGTGATCATGCAACCGCTGTAGCCCGGGCTGACGGTTCCCTTGATGTTGACGGTCGTCTGGGTGGCCCACTGGCGGCTGTAGTTGATGCCGACGGTGTTCTTGAGCTTGTCCTTGATCCAGGTGATGTCGAGACCGGCGCTGACCTGGACGCTATTGGTGACGGTGTAGCCCTTCATGACGTTGATGTCCATGGAGGTGATGCCGGCGGTGACGACGGGGGACATCTGCACGTCCCAGTCGATGAAGTCGAAGGTCTTGTCGGCGACGATGGAGTAGGTGGTTTCGCAGCCGCGGGCATCGATCTTGCCGGGCTTGGTGGAGTTGGTGGAAACGGTGCCGTTCCAGGGCAGGTTGTGGAAGTCATGGTCGTCATGATCCGGGGCGTGAGACATGACTCCCATGGACTTGACCATCTCGTGGTAAACATCCTCGTGAACAACCTCCACTGGAAGACGTACGCGTTAGTGACCAAGAGATCGACTTGCAAGTGGAGTGAAATGTGGTGACTTACTGCGGTCCTCGCCGTACAGGATGACTTCGTAGGGCTTCAGGACGTGGTCGGGCGTCCACTTGGTGCTGTTGACAGTACGGCCATTGAGAACGAACGGCGCGGCATTGGCAGCCGCGAAGAGAAAAAGACTGACGAAGGTAGAGGAGCGCATCGTGAATAGTAAGTGCGTGTAAGTGAGTGTGGGTTGAGATTATGGTGGTTGGAGGTGATGTCCAAAGGCAAGTTACATCCAGTGAGCGAGAACTTTTACTCTCTTTATACAAAGACTCTGGAACCTTCAGCTTCTGATCCCGTAGTACGTTTTCTGTTGGACTCTTCGTGAAGTTCCAAAAGGTGATTGACGATCATCCCGAGCGTATTCGGTGGAACCGCCGCCCTGTTCACTAGATGGTGTTGCGAGTCATAGCTCGATGCGAACCCGACGAATAAAACTGGAGTTTTCGACGTGTAGTCCGCAACACCACGGCCGTGCGGCAAGGGAGGATGGTGATCACACGACCTGACTCAGTCGTGATCGCGAGCCTCAACGCACGTGTAGAGTGTGCTGTTCTAGATGACACAAGCTTTTTCAGCTGCACGGATAATCCGGCAGTCTGGAAACTGTCGTGATAAGCTTAAGATTCTCTTCTTTTGGGAATTCGGACGATTCATGATCTTGATTGGGATCAGCCTCTTCCAGTGGCTCCTATTATACCACGGTCACCGATATGTGGAGGGATTCACAGCTTGTGGGCCGGATGCAACCACTCCAGACAGTTGAGCCTCCCACGTGCGTGCCGTAACGCCGAATGGACCATGTTGCATGCGATCTATTTGGAGGTTACACAATTAACTCGACGCACGACAGAGAGGATGTTGAGTCGCGATTGTCGTGTTCGGCCTCACCGACGTCACAACAGCAGTCACTGACATCCAGCTCACACGCCAAAGAGGCTGATGATTGTCATTGCAACCACTTGAATCTGCGCACGTGTTGACGATTCAGCCTCCGAGCATCTAAGACGTTGAATGGTGTTTGCCAGGAAAGTGGGAGGCTGTCGTGTTGGAGAGCAATGCATGCATACATACATATCAGGAATCAGAGACGGATGGTATATATTCGTCCCCATTTCACTCATCTCACATTCGACTCAATACAATTGAACAATACAATTGAACACCAACAATCACCAGCTTCATTGCATTCTCTTCAAGTTTCATTTTTGCATTTTCCGGTCTTCTCTTTGAGTTCTGAAATCATTCATCATGCATTTCCAAACTACCGTTCTCTTCCTGCTGCCCCTTGCCACCACGTAAGACTCATGATTCCCAGCCATCGCACTTCCCAGCAATTTCAGTGTTGCTAACATGACGATCTTCAGCGTTTTCGGCAAGATGCACGAGTATGCTTTCTGCGTTCGTGACAGGACTTCGGCGCCTATCGGTGGAACCCCCTACAGCCCAAGCTACAACTGGCAGAAGAATTACGAAATCGATACGGAGGCTACGAAGTGTGCCTGCAGCATGTACAAACAGCGCAACACTGGCAGCAACTGGTGGGATACCTGCCCTGACTGCGTCTTCGACGAGGTTTGTGTTCATTAGGCTTTCCATATTAGACGGGTTCACTGACAGTCGCCCACAGACACAACTCGGATGCCACTCGCCGGCTGTTCACATTGGCGGTGACGAAGTAAGGCAATGCGCTCCGCGGAGTGAATCTAAGCTAATCAATTTGATTTAGATGACCTACTACTGCGAGAAGAAGTGCGGTGCTCAGGGTTCCGAGGCCGACTAGGCACTTGCCGCACTATGAGACTGGTTTGAGTCTGCAGCGGGCTGCACCAGTCAACTTCATGTTACATTTTTGAACGACATGTTCTTCCGAGGTTAGGATTAGGGACTACTGGGATGGCGTTTTTCATGGAATTGATTCGATTTGCTTCTTCGACTAGACATATTGGTGCATGTGTGTTCGCTTCATTTTCATGAGATGCGACCTTTGAACCGTTAGGATTCTCTGCTGAACGAGGCATTGGATAGAAAAGCTTGTGGAATTTCAGAAGATATTGATTCTCAACTGCCTCAACTCGTACTGAAAGCATTCATCGTCCCTTGACAGATCGCCATCTAGATATACATCCGTTTTTTGTCCAGCTGTCTGAACTTCAGACCGTGCTTCTTGTCACCCTCGCCAAGTGTGCCACTTGAGTCAGTGGGGGATACAACGCTCAGCGCAATATAACCGTGGCTTTCTCCAGGTCTCACATCCATCAGCCGAACCCGCATATCTCTGAGATTTCTGGTGCGTTCTGCACGGCCAAGGGACGAGCCCCCTGACACTGGCACGAAAGAACTATCTCGAGTGAGAGAGCTTGCGAACCCTAGAATGTCAGGCCCTCGGATCATGTATCTTAGTATAAGACCATGAATAGCAAGAAATTGCAAAATCGCCGTTGTAAGTAATAATATAGTCACCCAAAATCGATCTGTATGATAGGCGTCTTCGGTTCTGGTTACGTTCGCAATGGTTGTGTTAGTCCAAATCCCATCGGCATCCAGCTCGGGATTCTCGGATAAGAAAGACTTCGTGATGTTGTACGAGTCTATTCCCGCTTCCCAAGCTGTATTGAAAGCGGTAGTTAGTCTTCTAGAGAACATTTCTGTGTTGATTCCTGTCCAAGACCGGTATCCTTGACCAGAGAAGGAGCTTTGATCGTTCGCGATGTAGTTTTCGATTGGAGATGCCTTTCGCATGATTGCCTTTGTCATGCCCGGCCACCTGATCAGTGCAGTTTAGATACACAAGGACCTTCTTGAGAAGGCCGTATCTATTGAAGGCGTACTTTGCAATCGGCGCTGTCTGCGTGGCGCGCATCCTTGGGCCGCACACTCCATTTCGGTCTCGACGTTAATGGTGGCTATAGTGCAGTTGAAAACGGTGTAAAGTGACTCAGGTCCGAGGCTTATGTAGAGCAAATTTGGGGCTGCAGACTTGTTGGTCGGGATCTCTAAAACAGGCGCGAAACTTCGATCTTCGTTTTTGCCGTGTTCCCAGAAAGCTTCATGCAGGTTGACTTTTTCGTCGTACCCGCCATCAAGTTCTCGAAACGAGGTGTTCCCAAGTTCTTCTCGTGTGCCGGCGTCTATAGCCATAGAACAGTTAAACTTGATGTAACTTGATCGTGTCTTGAAGTCGTATTGTGTTGAGTAATCGCTGATGTTGAGTTTTTGAATGTTAATCCCCATAAGAGACGTATAGTATGTAGTCCCAGCCTCAAGTTCATTTTTGTCTATCTCTCTCCACGCATCTTCGTCGACGTCGTTCGCCCAATCTCGTGGCCATTGTGGAACTTTTGGACGTTGCCAGAGATCTAAAACAGCACGCTGCTGCTTTTTGGTCGAGAACAAAAGGCTAGTGTAAAGCGCTGGTATCATATCTGACGCTTTCCAGAAGTAATTGTCGTCATCGGAGAATATTGAGTCCTGATGGGCCCTATCATTGTAGGACACTGAAATGCTGAAATTTGACTCGACTTTTCCTCCGCCAGGTCGAAGCAATCTTGAGGAGCTTTGACCTCCAAGAGGTGACATAGCCCAAGTCGAGAGAATGAGAAGTCCTAGCAATGGGCGGGAGCGGATAATGATGAACCGTTCTAAGGCGCTGGCGAAACTCTGGCTACCCACGGTCTGTTCCAGCGACAACAATGTGACACCACCTGGTCGCTCAAGATACCAGCGAGATGCATTCTTATAGAAACGAGCCGCTACCATGGCGAATAAAATCGGGTAAATAGTTGGGCTGAGGCGAATGGCTTCCTCCGTGCTGCGGCCATATTTTGACGAGGATTTCGGTTGCTGATCAAGTTGAAGGACAATGATGGGAAGAGCTTTGCATGAGTTAGCAGTTGTTTTGACATCGAGGAAGAATCTTACCAATGAATGTGCTGGGCAATACTGTCAGGACGATCTCCCACGTCCTTGATAACAGCGTCACTGCCCAAGACTCATTGCTGAGAAATCCTGCATCGAGAAAGAAATCTCCAGGAGGCTTTCCACTTTCAATACCGGATGATGAATTGTCACGTTCGGTAATTCTCAAGTGGATTTCACCCTCAGAGTCGGAAGCATTGTCGGACTCGTCTTCGTTGTTGTGCTCACATCTGGCGCTCGAAGTATCCGCAGAATGTGAGGATTCTTCCATACCAACTCTGTCGACTGCATGATAGCTTATTGACAAAGACATGACGCAGAATAAGTCTAAGTTCTTGGTGGTGGAGTGACGGAGAATGGTGGACATTCAATGTCCATGATACATGGATGATGGGAGTGAGGTGCATATAAACTCAGCGTATGTGCCGCCGCCTGGCAATATTGTCCGTTGCACCTCAGATACAACGCTCCTATGTCCCTTGCTTCGCCACCCAGGCGTGAAGAGTGACATGGTTGTAAGACAACAGTTCAGCTAGAAGGCTGTGCAGCGCAAAAAAGATGACTGCGTCATGCAATTGCAACAGCGATGTCGCTGGTGGGAAGCGCGACTTGTTACTTGCACAACCCAAATTTGGCTAGGTCTGCGTGACATGAGATTTTCAAAAGCAAGCTGATACCAGGGCGTTGAGTCTAGTCGGATGATACCTGGTAGCAATTCCTTCATAATTCGAATAGAGAGTGTGCCTCTGTACTGAAGTCTTGTGATTCGCAGCCTTGCTTCGGTTGGGTCTCTGTCACTTAATTTGTAATTCAACCAGCAATCTAGCATGGCCATGAGGTAATTGACGTTCAGGTGTAAGAGATCAACACATAGATGTTAAAAGACCAGGAACTGTAAGTGTAAGTGCTGCGCACGGCTGTAGGCAGTCATCCTGGTCAAGCAGCATCTGAGACAAGACACTCATAGCCCGCGTAAAACAAGAATCAGTATTCATCCGCGACCTACAAGATTTCTCTACTCAATTCTCTAGTCTTCAAATGACACATGCTTACTCTAAGGTAGCTGCAGCTAGACGATATGGTACAGACACTTGAGATGTTGCGACGTTTCTGGTGCTGCGAGCATCTCCTTCTACTCTCTGCGGTCCCTCCCAACACAGCATGGTCGACTGGATGGCGACAGGAATAGCAATAGATTGCATCCTCTGTGAACATCTCCGGCTTCGAATAGGCATTGCTCCACATGTGCCACTCCAGACTCGCCCACCGAATACGAGAAGGCTCAGGCCGTGGCAAGTGCTTCAAGCCCGCAGGAAATCTGCCTTGCAAGCAACGTCAGCACTGTAGCCCTCAAGGTACATCATGATCTCGTTACCTCATAATAAAGTTTGTGGTTGCTTTTGATGCGTCCACAACACTGGAAATGGACGGGATGCTCCAAAAAATACATGTTGTTTTCTCCTGGACTCGGTAGGCTGATCCTTGACATGGGAATGTGAACTGGCATGTTGGAATTACCCTAACCTGAGAACGGAAGTCGCACGCAACTTAGACTCAGTTTTCTACGTCGGAAAAAGGCGATAGCATTCCCCGTCCATAGCAACGCTCGCCGGGTTACCTGGGCGATCCAGAGCCCGCATTATACTTGCATCCTTACATTCTGGTTTCGTTGTAGTGTAGAAGCCTCTGTATGCATGGCTTGAGGATACAATTCAATCCTTTTGCTACGGACTTGGACTAGTCAATTTGAGCCCAACCATTTAAGAAACGCAGGCACTTCCACCGTTGCTGCAAATCAACAAGAACTTCCCAACTTTGTATGCCGCCAAAATCATGCGTTTCGATCTCACATTCTCGGTATTCTTCGTCCTTGCACTTGTCGCCGAGTGCAAGTTGACTTGGGTTTCTACGTCGCAACATGACAATGAAGTATCGTGTCTTTGCGAGGATGAGGCTTGGGATATAGCCAAACGCTGGCTGAGTATTTTCTCAACCGGTGGTGTATCCAGCAAAGCCGAAGTCGCCACGATCGTTTCAGCCAATCTCACAAGCTACGACGAGACGGAAGGAGGCCCCTTGATCGGAATTGATCAATTCTGGGATGCCGTTTCTGCGGAAGCCAACTCTAACTCGACCGCGACCAATGTCACGCAGACTCCGGTCTTGCTCTTGCATTCTTGCGACCAAATTGCCTACAACTGGCAGCTCACGGCGGTCACGACCGGCCTCAACTCGTGAGTTTACAGTCCCAGCTCCTTCATGGCCAACTTGGTAGCTAAATTTGCCCCTTTTCCTCAAGAACTGTGCCCGCCGGAACTCCTGTCTTCTTTACGGGGAACGACATTCTGCGGATCGACTTAACAACAAGGCTGATCTCCAACGCCACTTCATGTGGAGATTACATATTGCTTTCGCGCCAGCTTGGAAACACCTGCCCGTTCTGAGTTCTGTATTCCCTTTTCCTTTGCCATGTGGCATTTTCAACGTGTATCTCAACCCTTTCCATTTCTCGAGGCCTAGACAGCTAGTGGTAGTCTAATGGAACAAATGCCAGCCATTTTCTGGGAACCCTCACTTAACTTCAACAGCGTCTCTGACTAGTTCTGCTGGGTATTTTTCCAAGTACCAACTGAAGCTGAATTCTTTGAGTTGCTTTCGTCTTTGACCAAACATGTGCAACCGCAACATGCAGACACCTTAAGACGTACATGGCCCGAAGCCTAGAGAATGAAGCACAGAGCAGCGGTACGATTGTGGGGGAAATGGTCTCACTGGTATCCGTGTAGATGGATTTACAGAACAGAAAGACCTAAGAACACATCGCAAATAATCTTTCATATGCCACGACACACGGAAAAAGAACTAAATAGCTAGTGCTCTAGAAATTCCTTTACCTCGTAGTTGCGCTTCGCGTGGAAAATCCATAGAACTGCCACCACAATGGCGATAATGGCCAGAACTGCCGAAGCGTAGTTCATTTGATCTGCAACGGCGGGTAAATAATAAGGGAAACAGTAGAATATCAACGCAACCACTGACCACGAAAGCATGACCACATTCGCCAGTAGCCCAAGCTTCGGGTACCAAAATGGACCATGCTTGAAGTTCGACCTTCCTTGCATCAGGGCCAGAACAACAGGGATGCTATAACTAATGTACTGGAGTAATAGACCTGTAGAGATGAGCGAGTTGAAGGCGAGATCGGAGGCAAGGTAGAGACATCCAAAGATGGCAGTGCCGGAGGCCGAGAATATCAGGGACCAGACGGGCGTGTGCAGCGGGGATGGGGCTATCTTGCTCAGATGACGATGAAGCGGGAACCCTGCTTCGCGACTGATAGTCCACGCCAGACGAGACTGCCAAGTCTGAATCGACCACACTGCGCCGATGGTTGTGATCATGACCGGCACCCAAAGGCCGACTGCAGCTGCCTGACTTCCAGTAATCCGATAGAACAAGGTCAACGCGGAATTGTCATCGGCGCCATCGATAGCCGGTACATTGACGAGAACCGACACGACAACCATGAGGCCGGAGACCAGTCCCACCACAATCGTCCAAATCAAAGCCTTGGGGATATCAGTGCTCGGGCGCGGCATCTCCTCGGCCAGGTGGGTGGCGACATCGAGGCACGAGAAGCTCCAGTTGGCACCATTCATTCCGATGATGAAGGCTATTCCGTTTTGCCAGCCCGAGATATTGATCTGCGTGACGAAGAAAGCCTTGGCCGAGGCGTGCTCTTTTGACATGGCGAAGAGGGTGATGAAAATGACGCCGATCGTGGTGCAGCTGAACAGCAACATTGCCTTTGATATTTTCGGCAGGGCTTGCTCGAAACTTGCACCGAAGACCGTTACGAGGTTGAGTAGTTGAAACCCGACGAAACCCATCCATCTCTTGTAGACGAAATTGGGGTCCAAGAGGGTGATGATACCGCAGATGCCAACGGGAACTGAGAGGCAAGCTGATGAGCCGGTTGCTACAGCAGCTAACCAGCTGATCACCGCCGTGATGTAAGAGAGGAATCGCTTGTACTTGGGCGGTGCCAGTCTGTGGACCCAGATGTACTGGCCACCGGGATGAGGCATGGCAGATGCAAGTTCGGCGAGTGTCGTTGCCGTGGCCAAGCCGACGACAGCCATCACTAGGAAGCCCCAGAAGAAGAGAGGGGATCCTCCCATGGGCAGAGTGCTACCGAGCACTAATAATAGCCCGATAGCTGTGTTTGTTGTTCCGTAACCGATTCCTAGAGCAGAGAGGGTTGTGAAGGGCTTCATTGTCTGTACGGTGACATTGCCATTCATGACGGAGCCGCGCTCGGTCGCTTCGTTGTCGACTTTCTCGGGCATGATGGTGACTTTGTTTTGGGTTCCGACGGAAGAGGTCCGAACCAGCGATGGCTGATTATCCATGATTGCGAGTTGAACGCAACATGCGTCGCAGTGTTAAAAACAGCTTCTAGGAAAAGTGATTCAGGCCAGGGTCATAGACTGAGAGAGCATGTAGATGAGATGGGGTTTTGCTGGCCTCTGAAGAGGGTAACCCGACAAGAGGTTCTTGTCTGCAACTAAATATTTGCCAAGCGTGACACAGCAGATGCCACAGCTAAGGTTAAGCAGCATCGAGATCTCATATGCGAGAAGATAATCCAGTCCACGTCCAACTGCTGCAAGGTCATGAGACCGAGATAACGACGTCGCAAGGAGGGGTCTAGGACTCCAAGGTTGGGGAGGATAACAAGCCGGCTGCTATCTCCGCAATCCGCACAGACTTTCCGGATAGGGAAGGTTAGAGCGGAGCCGATCCGCGCCGCTACCGGCTCGGACCCCGCGCCACCCGGCATCGGCCGGGCGCGAAATGCTGGCTGTAACAAAGCACCAGTGTTTTCGCGGTAAAGGCTAGCTCATCGTCGGCCACGATACTTCGAACTCTAGTGATCGGTCATAAGAAGAGCCAGCTTACATGAAGCTTGGTTGTATGCGTCGCTGCGGACCACGCCTGTCTAGCCAACGTAAACATGGGCAACTCAGATGATGTCGCGAATCCTAACAACGGAGAGCTCTCTTCGTATCTCAGTATGTTTCAAAATCTATTCACTACGGCCTCGAACTAATTCAACGCAACATCCAGGCCCGATGATGTCGAAATTCTTACAAAACATTTCCAAGGCCATCTCCCAAGATCCTGGCTTGCCCCGGCCAAACCCAACAGTGTCTTCGTGGCAAGTCCCCGTCCACCCCTTGGGCTCAATCCAATCTCCCATCCTACCTCAACGGACAGACTTCGCAGTCATAGGGTCCGGCATCACGGGCTGCAGCGTCACCAAGACCTTGCTGGAGCACCCGAGCGCCGCAGATTCTCACGTCACCGTCCTTGAAGCCAGAACCCTCGTGAGCGGAGCGACGGGCCGCAACGGAGGCCACCTCGTCACCGCATCAGGACACACGTTTGGCCCGTTGGCAGAGCAGCATGGCTTCGAGGCTGCGAAACAAATCACACGGTTCAGCATCTTGAATGTCGAGCATATCATGAAGATGGTCAGGGAGATGGACCAGGACTTGCAAGATGAGTGCCAGATCCGCGACGTTCTCAAAGTCATGGCGGTCGGCGATGAGGAAACGTGGGCTGCGGCCAAGTCCTCTGTCTTGGATTTCCAGAAGGCGGTTCCGGAACATCAGAATTATCATCGAATTATCGAGAAAGAGAATGTCCCTGAGGTAAGAGCAAAGTTGCTTGCAATATCCAAGCTGAGCTGATTGGTCTACGTAGACGTGGAACATCAAGAACTCTGCAGGGGCCGTTGAGCACAATGCCGGTGCTGTTTGGCCCTATCGCCTGCTCATGGGTATTTACGAGCGTCTTTTGAAGAACCACCAGAAACGTCTGTCAATTGAGGCCAACACGCCTGTTTTGAATGTTACGTTCTCACCAGTAACGGACCAATCATACCCCTATCTCATCACTACTTCGCGTGGTGTCATACGTGCGAAAAAGGTCTTCCACTGCACGAACGCTTACGCATCGCATTTAATCCCGCGATTGACTGGCCGCCTGTACCCCTTCCGAGGAACGATGTCAGTCCAGAAACCAGGTCCGGCGTTTAAAGATGAGGGTGGCAAGAGATCTTGGAGCCTGTCACACAAGGCTTCACTAGATCCGGAGACGGGGTTCTACGACACCGGTCTTTACTACCTCCAGCAAAATCCTTTGACGGGGAAGATCTGGATCGGAAACGAAACGGCGTACTTGAGAGATATTATTACTTCCGACGACACGTACGTCCCCGAAGAAGCAAAACAAGCTCTGTCCACGGTGCTTCCGAGGCTATTCCTTGAAGGCTGGGGCTCAAGTAAGACTTCAGAGATAGAAGCCATCTGGTCGGGTATCCAGGGCCACACTGCGGACGGTCTACCGATCGTCGGGAAACTCCCAAGCACAGTCCTCGATGACCCTTTTGACGACGGGCAATGGATTGCGGCCGGCTTCAATGGCTATGGTATGGATAAGTGTTGGTTGACCGGCGAGGCTTTGGTCAGGATGATGTTCGGGGAAGACGTCGGTGATTGGTTGCCCCGGGCTTTTGTTGTTACTGAAGATAGGTTGGAGAAGGGGCTCACTCGCGACAAGACGGTGCTGAAATTTGCTCAAATTGCCCTTCCTGGAGGCGTTAGGGACACAAAGCTATGAGTATTCTAGGAGTCAGGAAGTAGAAATGAGGCAGTATCAATTCACCAAGAAGAAGGGAAATCTTCCCTTCAACCCATCATTGTCCCCAGATTCTTCGCGTACGCAACATCGAGCCAGTAAACATCGTTATCTCCGCCGTCCAGCGCCGCCCAAACTTGATCAATCAACTCGGAAATGACTCGGCTCTTCCGAAGGGGAAGGATGTGAGTATAAGCTGCCAGCCGCGACAGAACGAACTTGCGTGCTCTTGCCACCTCGATCGAGGCCGGATCTACCACCAACGAATCCTGCACGTCGAGCCCTCTCATGTTGTTTGACGCTCGCAGATGGTGAGGGTCTCGCCTCAGCTCGCTCGAGCAAGCAACCATGATGAAGGGTTGTGCGCTTCGCGTCCGTGATTCGAAGGGGATTTCCCTCAAAATGCCGAGTACGTGCATTGCAAGTTTTGTCAGCCAGGTTTGCCTTTCCTGTATGGTCGGGATAGCTTCGGAGGGCAGTGGTCGCAGTAGTTGGTCTTTATCCCATGGTGCATAACGCTCGTTGAGTAAATCGGGGAAAACGCGGTATAACTGCAGAAGCCCAGTGCACCTGTACGCCTCGTTTATAAGTTCGAGATGTTTGAGCGGCGTCTTCGGGTCGCCGGGGTCTTTCATTCGTGAGAGGTCCGGCGGGTGCTGCGCTAACAGAGTTCGCTCGAGTCTTCTTGCTTCCCTCAGCGCAGCTCTGAAGACATCGACATCATGCTCCGCGAGGAATTTGACAGTCGACATGCGTTTGCGGTACTGGAAGATCAGTACTCCGATGTCTGCGAGCAACCTGACTGTGTCGCGGGAAATCCCAGAATAGGGGTGAGGTTCACAGGAACCGGCTGCGCTGAGTGGCCCAATCGAGCGGTTCTGGCCGTAATCGCCCAGTTTCTGAGCATCTGTCAAGTACGCCAGCAACATTGCCCAGTAGTCCATCGTGTCGCTGAAGAAAGATACGCTAGAGTCTTGGCCTGACTCATTGACGATGTCTCTGAGAATGTTGTTGCTATCTCTAAACAAGTCGGTGGCCAGGTTCTGAGGGTTCAGCCAGCTGGAGGTGTGCCCCAGTAGCTGCGAAGCAAGTAGCATGGCTGGCTTGTTCATGGACAGTAAGGATTGCTCGCGTATGAGCCCAACTGCTTGAGCGTGTTCGCGCCGCGCCAACGGTAGCAGGTGCGGGAAGTCTTCTGACAAGCACGCCGCTGACATGCTTTGAATGGTGTGGTAGAGGGCTCCGGAAGATTGCCACGCTGTCTCGATGATGTTGCGCATTACATTGGATTTGCTATCCCAGGCGCAGTAAAGCGTGATAACCTCCCGAAAGAAGTATGCTGACAGGGATGTCGTAAGATCGGATGGCTCTCGAGGGATGCACATGAGTAACTCCTGGCTGGGTTGTACGAGCGGTCCAGAGACAAGCTCACGCTGCGAGGTTTGAAACAAATCTTGAAATAAGTTCTGATGAGGTTGGAAGACCTCCAGTTGCTCCAAGATCGAGTCACCTCTTGTAGAGAGTCGACTGCTTGAAGAGTCCGCGCAGCTGGGTGGCGAGGTTGAAAGGCGATCCCCGGTATTGAAAGCACGATTAGGCGATTGCGTTTCAAAGGCATCAGCGTTAGGCAAAGTTGAATTCCGGAAATCCATCAACGGATCGGCCGCAGTGTCGAAGCAGGATAGGTCGGGCGTGGCGGGAAGGTCCCATTGAGACGAGAAGCAGAGCCACGAGTCGGTTTGTCGGGTGTGTCTGTCTTCCCCTGGCTGATTTAAGGCATCAAAATTGCTCTGGTTCCCTATTGATTCAGGCGATTCTCGCCGCCTTGGCGAGATTGTGGTGTCTACGCCAGCCGTGTGCTCATCGGTTCGTATCTGGTGTTTCCGCGACCATCTCACATTGAGTGCGTACCCAGGGCATTGAATGCCCCTCTCCTCGCATCGAGCGCATCCAGGCTTTCTCTCATCACACTTCGTCTGAGCAGAATGTTAGCCCATAGCCCTTCCAAGGTAAGGCCTCGAATCCTGATCACCTTCTTTGCTTTACATCTTGTGCATCCGTTCCGGGACTTGGAATGCCGTACTCTTGGGGGTGTCATTATGTGACATGAAAGAAAATCACAGTTTTGCCAAAGTTCGATGCTGAATGAGTCCAAGAGTGACCGGAGTAAGGAAAGGGCGCTGGAGTTGATGCAGAATGTTGCAGAATGGGAGTGCCGACGTCGGCAGATGAGGTCAACTGCCTCAATAAGGACCCTTGCTTCGGATAAGCAAGCTATCGTTATCCAATCTCGAAAATTATTTCTACGTGATTTTGGTCTCTTTATCTTTCCCGATACGCTCCCTGGTCACAATGCTTCCCCGCAAACGATCACCACTAGCGCGGCCCGGTATCTGCGGGGGTCATCGGGCCCTGGGTCCGGGACCCGGGAGAGTGGGAGTCGACGTCTGGTGCGTGTCGACTCCCTTATTGGGAGGAAATTTACTCCTTGTATAAACATTTCATCAAGCATGTATTCTCGTAGATTATGGCTTATTAATTAGAGCCAGATTTAGAGGGTTTCTGCGTTGTATTGAGAAGCAAAACGTGAACTTCTCTGTCAACTCTGCGGAGGTGAAAATGTAGACAACACGCGGATTCCAGGCTATTTATTTCTAGACGTCGTCTTAGAAGATAACTGCACGTTTCTTAATTGATAGAAGCAAACACCGCCAAAACTAATGATGAGGACATGCCGTCTATCTGCCATCCCCCGGTTGAGCGTGAGGCTCTCTGATCATCGTAAACAGCTTAATAGCATCTCCCTCATCGTCGCAAATCATCTCTTTCTGGAACTTGAATCCCCATCGTCCGTAGATAGCCATATTCGGAACATCCCTGCTCGATTCGAGGTAGCACTTCATATCCTCTGCATCCGCCTGGTCGGTGACGACCTTCATCATCTTAGCCCCGACGCCCTTGCCCTGTGTATCGGGGAGGACAACCATGATGTTGAGGAAGTAATAGCCTCTGGAGTCTGTCCAAAGCTCCTGCTGCGCTTTGGCCTGCGCGTCCTTCCAGATGTAATACCTCTGTCAAGTGTCAACATGTCGCTTCCGTTAGGGATATTCTTGGAGAAGTACCTTGACATTCAGGCCTCCGCGTCCGTACCACAGGTTGTAGTTGACCTGTCCAAACCAAAGGCGCCAGCCCTCAAGCCAGTCGTTCCACGTTGACGGGGCGTCTGCTGGCTGAGGGCGCAGCCACATGGCTACGCCGAGCACTTGGTCGCTGCCTTCTTCCTTCGCAACGTGGAAGATGCCGTTTCTCATGCCCCATCGCATTCGCAGTGCCAGTGATTGGTAGTTTCTTTCGGGGTTGAACTATCATTCGTCATCAGTCAATGTCCAATTATGACTTCACATGGAAGAGTCCCGCTCACCTGGGATTGGTCATAAACCCACACATTGTAGGGGTCTCCGGCAAAGGCCTGCCTGATGATTATACACTTAGCTCTGATATATAGTAAGACTGATACTGACTCGATAGACTCACTGAACTGCCTTTACGGCACCCGGAATGTCTGCCTCGGTGAGTGTAGTGACGTGAATGGCCATGTTGTGTAGAAAGCCATGCAGCAAGAGCGTTTGTCCATTAACAGAAAGACAGGGGGGCTGTGCATCAGATTATCGACAATATACCGATACTCTCCGAAGTTTCGTATGTCATGAGAAGGAGCTTGCCGAACAGAAGCCAGGTAGTTATTCCCCGGAGTGCCCTCGGGGAAACGAATGCGTGGGGGAGCTGCTATCTGATTCTGGGGGTGAGGATGCGGGGTTCAGATAAGATCGCATAGAGTTGCCCCGAAAGGTTAGCGGCACTGAGATAGATGAGCTTGTCTCATTCTCCGAACAAACACACTGCGGCTCATCGGAAACAGGATCGGAGCGGTTCGCTGTTTGTCGAGGCAAATGAAATAGAGTGTTTTTTCAATCCAACATCACTTCATGAAGAGGAAGAAAGCGGACGATGAACCAATCGCATCTACCGCGGCCAAAGCGCCAGTGCGGTGGCGCAAGGAGGGCTCGACGCGGCGACGACGTAGGGATATGCCTCCTTGTCTCTCTGTCGATTGAGCCGCTGATGAGTTGTTGGATCTGTCTGACAGCATCATGAAGAGCCGCATCTAATCCGATGTCTTGGCTCGTCTGGGAATTTCATCGCTTACGAAGACAGGGGTCATTTCACTGTATGACACTTATTCGTACTGATCACGCATGGATCTAAGACGATCCAAAGTGTGTGGCTGGAAGATGAGTCGAAGGCAACTTAGACGTCGTAAAATTATCACCTTCATTATGAGCTCAAAGTTCCATGAGATTACATTGCTGGTGATGACTGCTCATTTGGGTTCGTCGGCTCAACTCAAAAAGACGGCCCAATCGAACAGTCGGATGAAATCGCAACGAGGAATACCATTCACAGCAATTGAGAAATTGAGGGGAGATGAGAAAGAAATTGGCGTCAAACAGCACATTAGCAATTGGATCCGTCTGTCCGTCATTCTCTTCAGCCAAAATCCCTGAATGATAGTGAGTTGAGAAGGCCGAGTGAGGCCCTTAGTAACGTTTCAAACTCTCTACTGGTTGCCGGGCTGTGTTGTGTGAGACGTTCGTATCCGCCGTTGTCCGATGTTCTGATTCCCGGCGGGAAACGGCGCATCCGATAAAAAAACCACGGCAACAAACTCTCTCGTGTTACGCGGTTGAGGCGGCTGTAATGTTACTGATTGCGACGGTATTTGAGGGGCTCTCTCAATACGTTACAGCGAACGCGATGGACCGGATGGTCAGGTTAATGCGCGAGTTGTCAATGCGAAAGTCTGTCTATTCATGGCGCGGCATAACCACGAAAAGGCCAGACTTCGCCTTGGAACAAACCACATGGCGACCACCGACGACGCGTCCGGGGAAGATTCAATGGGACCGTCTCCAATATAAAAAGCTCGGAATTTCAGGTTTATTGCCCGCAGATCACTGCCGCGGGAGGATCGGAGTGGCCAAGATGCAACAAAGTCAGGGGCGTCCCGGCTCGCCGCTCTCCCATGAATGCCATTTTCACTGCCCTCTTGAGTGGAGAATGACCTTCCATTGCCTCAGGTAAAACAGGCGGAGCCCCTGAGCACCAACGGGCCAACTTTCAACTCACTTGCCCTTTTAACGACCTGAGTCGCAGATCCGGTTCGTCTTGTCTCATAATCATCTCATCCCAATTGTCACTGCGTCTCATCTCATCGCCTCGAACTCGCCCGTCATCTCAACTCGCTAAACTCTGTTTTCGATTGGCGACCAAAAGAGGGAACAGGAACAATAAGATAAAAATCAACCGGCATCCGCACACCCGCATGCCGCCAACATCGCTCGCACCCGCCCGCGAAGCAAGACCGTTCCCCCAGACGACGACGTCATCATCATCACCATGATCAACAACGTCTGGGACAAGTCTGCGCGGGCGCACCGCGGTAGCGGCGGTCACCAGGAGGAAGAGCTCCTCCCCCGGACAGAACACAATGGTCGCGGCAGCCAGCATGAGAACTACGATGAGAAGTCAAAAGGCCAGAACTCGGACCCGAGGAGGAACAGCAGGGACAAGATCAGGGCCCTCGACGGCCTCCGCGGCATCGCGTGCCTCATCGTCTTCAACTACCACTTCTTCTGGCCCTGGACCCCCTTCATCATGCTCGGCAGCGGCGCCAACCCGCCCGGCGCACCAGAGCCCTACGTGGGATGGCACCAGCTGCCCATCATCTGCCTCCTGCACCGCGGCCGTCCCATGGTCGCCATCTTCTTCGCGATTTCCGGCTTCGTCCTCTGCAGGCACATCCTGAGGGCCATCCACGAGCGCCGCGTCGAGGCCGCCTACAAGAGCCTCGCGTCATCCGTCCTGAGGCGCGTCTTCCGCCTCTACATCCCGCCCACCATCAGCATGTTCTTGGTCGCGGTGTTGGCTCAGCTGGGCGCTTTCAAGTCCGAGACCGCCATCTTCAAGGGGCCCGACTCGGCTTACATCAACGGCACCGTCACCTTCGCGTATCCCCAGCTCGGCGATTCCTGCGTGAACGGGACCGTGGCCGCCGCGGGTGCCAGAGGCGTCGCGAAGCAGCTGCAACTGCAGACCCCTCTCACCCTGGGCAACCTGACCAACCTGACGGCGTCAACGGACCAGCTCTGCTTGAACCGCACGTCACACCTCTTCATGCCCGCCGTGCTCTACAACTTCGTCGACAGCCTCGAGGCCCAGGCGAAGCACGAGAACAAGTCGGCCAACGCAACCCACGTGGTCGTGGAACCCACCAAACCAACCTCCAAAACACGCCCCCGCGAAGACAAGACCGGGAGCAGCACCGCAGGCCACCTGGAGAAGATCTGGGGCAAGCACAAATCGTCACACGAGCAGACGCCCAAAGAAGCCGAGGCAGCGGCCGCCGCCGCCAGAGCCGCCAACTTCACAAACACCCACAACATCACCTGGGTCCAGATGGGCGGCTCCTGGGAGGAGCACCCCATCATCCACGACAACATGACCTACGCCATCAAGAACTTCACCCGCGTCTACGCCGAGTGGGCCAACCCCTTCAACTTCGCCCACTACCACACCCGCTACGACCCCCACACCTTCACCATCCCCATGGAGCTCCGCGGCTCCATGTTCATCTACCTCTTCCTCCTCGGCACCGCCGCCGTCAAGTCCAGGTGGCGCCTCGCCATCGGCGCCTTCCTCTCCGCCTACAGTCTGATTTTTGGCCGCTGGGACATGGCCGCCTTCGTCGGCGGCACCGTCCTCTCCGAGCTCGACATCCGCCGCGCCTCCGACCCGGACGAGGACCTGCTCGGGTACCCGCGGAAGACCGCCGCCGGCCATCACAAGACCGGCCTGGCGCGGTCCGTCCTCTCGTCGACGGCGACCCGCTGGCTCGCCACCTTCGTCGCCCTCTGGCTGCTCTCCTACCCCGACGCCGCCGCCGAGTGGACCCCCGGCTTCGTCCTCCTCTCCTCCCTGGTGCCGCGCTACTACATCCCGCTGTCCGGCTGGATGTTCTACCAGTCCATGGGCGCCATCCTGCTGCTCCCCTGCGTCCTGCGCAGCCCCGTCCTCGTGAGGCTCTTCGAGGGCCGCCTCGCCCAGTACCTCGGCAGGATCAGCTTCTCGCTGTACCTCGTCCACGGCCCCGTCCTGCACAGCCTGGGCTTCTGGCTCATGCCGAGGCTGTTCGAGAACTTTGGCCGCGCCCAGGGCTACGTCATCGGCTGGGTCGTGCTGATGAGCGTGACGTTGTATCTCACCAACTTGTGGAACAAGAAGATCGACGGCTGGAGCACGACCGTCGGGAGGAGGGTGGAGAGGGCGTTGCTCGACTCGGCTTAGGCGTTTTAAAAATTTGCATATCCATCTGCATGGCTAGACGGAGATTTCATTAGGCGTTACTGGGGGGGTTTAGGAACTCATTCTTTGCGTCGGGCAAAGTACGAATAAAGAATATCCATCAATGACCACATCACACATACATAGTTCAAGCCGTTTGAAGTTGAAAAGTTGTATTGCGTGACCACATATCATGTCTACGCCTCATCTTATCGTGCTCCTCCCCCGTGACTCCCCTTTACTCGCGTTCCCCGACCCCAGCGCCGTATCGATCGCCTCCACGTCGATCCGCCTCCCCTTCGTCCCCAGATCCAAGAACCCCGGGTCCGTCCCGCCGTGGAAGCGAACCCACAACCGCCCGGACTCGTGCTGGATCCGATCCAGCTCCGGCGCCGACCGGCCCTCCCTGAAGAACGACATGTTCCTCGCCAGGCCGCCGCCGCCGCGCGGCTCACCGTTTCCATCCCGAGCACCACCACCACCGCCGGCCGTCCCGGGCCCGGCGCCGTTATGCAGCCCGAAGAAGAGCAGCGGGAGCACGCTGCCCTTCCAGACGGGCTGCTCCGGGTCGGTGTAGTTCTTGGCGATGATCCAGCCCAGCAGGATCGCGCAGAGGAGCACCAGGACGATGGGCAGCGCGAGGTACTTGCTGTCGAAGTAGGTGCACGTCGTGCTGGCCCAGACCTCGCCGAGGACCTCGGCGTGGCGGACGAGGGCGCCGAGCCCCTGGTGGACGTCCGGGCCGAGGCCGGTCATGCGGAGCTTGTTGGTCACGGCCCAGGCGAAGTCGTCGACGGCGGCCGTCAGGCTGGCCACGGTCGCGTTGTTCTCGGCCCAGAGCGGCGTCAGCCACCACGCGTCGCGGCAGTTGATGTGGCCGCTCTGCATCGAGTCGTAGCGGCACGAGGCGGTGAAGAGCTCGCCGCTCATGAAGTTGGACAGCGCCGAGAAGAAGGTGCCCTGCATCTTGTACAGGCACGCGTTGGGCACGCGGGTGACCTCGCCGCCGGTGCCGCCGGCGCTGATGTTGGCCCACGTCCGGCCGGGGGCGTCGAGGGCCTGGCTCTGGTTGGCGTTGTTGTACCAGGTGCCGTTGTCGAGGACGCAGGGGCTCTGGATGGCCGTGTAGTTGGCGTAGCCCGAGTAGTACCCGGTCCCGGCCATCTCGGCGGCGTTCTGCACCGCCGTCGTGGTGCGGACGAGTTTTTCGGTGAGCGTGTTGTTCTCGTAGTGGGCGGCGTACTCCTTCAGACACGGGTACAGGACGCACGAGGTCGCGATGTAGTCCCCGGCGTTGCTCAAGTAGTCGTTGTCGTCGGACTGCGACATGCTGTGGGGGCAGTCCAGCTTGATCGCCCCGTTCGGCTCGGTCGAGGACGAGCAGGGAGACTTGGTCACCATGAGCATGGTGAAGTTGGCGAGCGAGACGTCGGCGGCCGCCGCGAACTCGTCGCTGAACAGCTTGGAATACGCCGTCAAGTTGCTGTAGCCCACCCACATGTACTGGCCGGCGAGGATGTTGATGTAGGCGCCGTTGTCCGGCAGCGTCAGGTTGCCGCCGAGGTTCGGCTTGCTGACGAACTCGGTGGTGTCAATGCACTTGCTGCACATGCCGATGCTCGCGTGCGTCACCCCCGTGCCCCAGTCGGACCACGTGCAGTTGCCGCTCGGGCAGACGACCTGGACGTTGCTGTCCTGGCTGCCCGGGTCCGTGATGCCCTGGATCATGGTACTCTTCATGTCGACCTCGAGCTCGTACGAGCCGGCGCCGACGCGGTAGTACGACGACGACCCGGGCACGTAGTTGGCGACGGGGATGGAGGAGTTGGTCTGCTGCGACAGGACGGGGCACGTCGTCGTGCGGACGGCCTGCTGCGTGACGGGGCCGACGGCGAGACTGGCGATGGTGACGAGGGCGGCGCCGATGGCGAGCAGGCCGGCCTGCGAGAAGCCCAGGTTCCACACCAGGACGCCCAGGAGCTTCATGGACCCGAGGATGGACCGGCTCGCGGCGTCGAAGTCCTGGAGGTGGTGGAGGGGCCGGGTCTGCTCGGCGAACCAGGTCCACTTGATCTGGCCGATGATCTCGGCCACGGCGGCGACGATGGCGGCGCGGAGGAAGGTCGAGAGGAAGGCGATGGCGGAGTTGAGGTTGATTTCGAACGGCCACTCCGGCATGTACTTGCCGTCATAGTGCGCGAGAAGCGCGATGATGGCGACTAACAGACATATTGCCGTAAAGACGGTGGCAAGTTCGAGGGCCCAGTAACGGAGGATATGGCGGGTGTGGCTTGGCGGTCTTGGGCTCAGAGAGGGTTGGTGTTGTTGGTATGGCGGGACTTGGGGCGGAGGTTGTAAAGTAGGAGGGGCCGCCGGAGGCGGAGGAGGAGGAGGATGCTTCGTATCGTCGTCTTCCACGTCTTGGAAGGGCCACCGAGGGGCTTCCGTGTTATGTTGGCTTGGCCCGTAGCCAGGCATGCCTCGTGGCTTCTGGTCGAAGGTAGCCGGAGGAGGCGTGGGCTGGTCTTGGAGTTCCCAGCCCCGTTGGGGCTGCGATGCGACCATATCTTAAATCATACAAACACGACGGCTTGGCAGCGTTGGCGTGAATTTGACGATGGCTAGTTCATAAAGGGTCACGACGAAGTCCAGCCGGCTTCCAGAAAAGAAGGACAAAAAGTTGAACGGTTTAGACGGGGTCATGACCCGAGACAGGTCGACAAGAAGTCGACGGGAGGGCCTGCCACGATATTCAAGCTTGAAAAGGCTGATGATCCCTCCAGTGAACCGAGATTGGATGCTCCATGGTCATTCCCAGATACGGACATGTCCAGAACTCGACGACAGGAGATATCCACATAATCCGGGCCTAGCGAGTTGGGTCCTGACTCGGGAAATTTACCACGAGGGCGGTCAGCAGGACGATCTATGCTGATAGGCGTCGTGAACCCACCCGGCTCAAATGGTGATGAGCTCTTGTCATTGTTAGGGCAGCGGTTCGAACGCTGGCCGTGACATCCGACTGGAGAGGCCCCGACGATCGATGACGGAGGACGATGGCGTTTGACCTGGCAGGTTCAAAGTTGAGTTGAGGTGATCCTTGCCTAGAGCTATCCACAGTTGCCCTATGGAATGTGGGTGCCGACCCCGGTCGTCAACTTAACCTAGGGGTATCCGGGTGGGGAACTGGTGAGGCTCGGGGCTTTCACGATGCCGAGCTAGGTTTTCTTGATGTTGTTGACATTGAGAAGTTTCTGACTGTTGATATTTCTGTTAGATGACGTTTGCCTTCTTTCTGGTTACAAACCTATGTCCTCAACTGATAAGGAAGATCACGAAGTCAGTCAGTTCTGAAATCAAATGCTGGATATTTGATGGAAGATACATGGAAGCTCTGACTTCCCTGTGATTTGAAGCCCCTAATACATAGTTCGACCCAATTTATGATCCGAATACTGCAGTTGATGTGTATTAGGCCGTCGAAGTTAACGCCAACGAAACTTGCTGCACCACGTTGCCAGACCAAGAAAAGCTCCTAATGACTCCATTACGTGACGGCTTTCATAAGAAAGAAGATAGGTCGTGAGACGACGGTAGGTACCAAGTCTAAATACAGAGACGCAGACACCTCAAAACGTTACACTACACACTTGTATTCCTACAGAAGAGCTGCGAATCGCGGGTAAAAGCCATCTTTCCCAGAATTATCAGATAAACAAGCGTCCTCTGACGATCTCGGCTTTTCGAAGTATAGACTCTGGCTAGATGCAACACACGAAACACGTCTCCAATCACATCCACGTATGGGGAGAGAGAGCGTGGATAGAAGCTCTGCTCAGCAGTTTACTTGTCGTAACTCACCCTGGACCTCCCATTCCACTTCGCTCCTCAAGTTCTCAACAAGTCCCCCAGGACAACTACCAGAGTGAACCAGACTATACCAACCTGGCTTCCTCTTCACCTCGAGTTGCCCACAACATCTAGAGGATCCGGCCCGTCCCCATAAGTTTATTGATCCTCATCTGCATCATGCCCCACGCCTTCAGACCACAGGTCGGTCACATTGACCAATGGTCTCGGTGCGACGATTTGCAATCGATGAAAAGCATGTGATCCAAGAATAACACGATGCGAAGACGTGGGAATGTAACATATCAAATTTGAATGGAGATGAGAAAGCACGTTGGGTCAAACAATAATGAAAAAGGCGAAGACTTCACTTCACGCCATACATGCACTTGTTATCGACCCCAAACGGGTATACTTATGACATTATCATATACAGGCGACTTGTCCGCCTGTGTTATCCTACACGGATCATTCCCAAATGGCCCCTTGCTACTCGATAATTCAGCCCTCGACTCGTCACACCATGCGCGGTGGTAGTCAATTCCTCGTACCAACGCGTCGCCTACGCGTGGTGGACCCAATGTCTGCATCTCCCGCCAGCTCATCCACATCGTCTTCTGCCATCGGAGTGTCTTCACCCGTGGCGACGCTGGTGGGTCTTGTGTTACCAGATGTTGACGGGGCTTGACCAGTGCGCTCCTTCTCCGCGTTACGAAGCTCTCCTATGATCTTTTCAACCTCGCCGGCCATCATCCTAGTGGACCGGACAACGGCGTCCTCGTCAACTTCGTACCCAAGCGCATCGGCCCCTGCCGAGATGCCAACCTTCATGAAAGCGGGTCCGGGCCCCCGACTGGGGTTCGGGTTGTACATGACAGCGTTGGCAAACATGTGAAAGAGTTCCCTCTCCAGTTGCGCGCTGTTGATGATGCTTTTGGGCGGAACCAGGTCATCGCTGATGGGCACAAGAACGGAGCCTGTGCCCGGGTCTCCGTCGGGCAACGCTTTGGCAGCCTCCGTTGCTGCGCGGTTGCCGTGAGTGATGGCGGCACGGATGGACTTGATGTCCTGTGGCTGCAGAATGATGGTCTTGTAGCCAGGAGCATCACGTTCTCGAATAGGGTTTGCGAATTGATTCGCGAATCGGTGAGCCCCGATCTGATCAAGAGCGGCAGCACTCACGCGGCCAAACTGGCGAGTCCAGAGCACATGAGTTGGCGGCCCAGGAGGAGAGTCCACAGGCGAGTCCTGGCGTTTGCGTTTCTGCGCCAGTCGAGAAGATACGTTGCTAGGCGTAATCAAGTTCTTCCGGCTCGGCACGCTTTCATCAGCAGTCGTATCACCTGTCTCATCGTGGGGCTTCGGAGTAGCTCTTGGAGTTGCTCTGGGAGTGGCGTGCTCGTCCTTAACTCGCGGTGCCAACTCATTGAGGTCCATAGCCAGTTCGTCGGTCTGTGATGTCACCGACTGACTCCTACGCGGTACACCAACAGCCGAAGACGGCGTACTGCCAGCACGAATCTTGTTGGCACTACGAGGAGGACGGCCGCGACCTTTGGGGGTTTTCGTCTCCTGCTTCGGCACCAACTTCGGGCTGGCTTTCTTTGCCAGCTGCGACGGCGTCGACGTGGGTAACGGTACTGGTACTGGCGCCGGCTGTTGGACGGGACTGAGCGGCTCAATAGCTGGACTCTGCGTCTCTGCTGCAGCCGGTCGAGGTGTCGATGGTGTTGTTCTCCAGTTCCACTTCGTCGAGGAGCCGGTTAGGTGGAAAATGGGTGAGGCGGTGACGGGCGTTTGCGGAGGTGGGATTGGCGTGCTGGCGGCTCTAGGCGTCTGTGTAGGCGTCGAGACCTGGGGGTTCAGGTGGGCTGGAATAGCAGGACGCGGTGGTTGCTGTTTAACAAGCGGAGATGAAACACGTCTTTGGTTCTCTGCAGCTTTCGCGGGAAGCTGCGCTGGAGCAGGTGTGGGACTGAATTGTTGTTGTGCGTATATTTGCGGTGGAGGTTGTGGCCATTTCGGGTGAGGAACAGCAGTCTGTGGTGGCAGCGCCGGCGGAGGTGTAGGCGACGCAGCAGCCAGCGGCCGTTGATGGGGATGAGGTTGGTAGCTCGTGGGAGGTTGCGTTGGGCGCGATGGCGGAGGATTGGTAGTCTCGACAGGTTGCTGAGCCTGCTGAGCCTGCTGGTGGTGCTGGGTAGGCTGAGGTAGCACTGGAGGTGCAATCGGCGTAGTGGACATTGGACGACCTGCATTCTGAGAAGCAGGTGCCTCCTGGGGTCCTTTCACGGGTGTTGAATGCATCGGTGCGACCAATTGTCCCTTTGCTTGGTTCGGTGCATGAGACTGAGGCTGCACTTGGCCTTGAGTATGCGGCCGATTCTGCGGTGGAAGCGGAGGCTGTGGATAAGGCGGCCGCGGAGGCTGCGTTTGTCCTTGAGGCGGTACCAACACAGGCTGCGCCTGTTGAGGATATCTGTTCCCTTGATTCGCCTGTGTTGGCATATTGGGTGAATGTGGAGGACCGTGATATTGATTTGCCTGCTGCTGGGCATACCATTGTGAAGGATTGTGCTGTTGGTTTGGAGTGAGAGGTGCCGATGCTGCGGGGGGCACCTGTGACGGACGACCTTGTTGCTGAGGTGCCGCCGGGGGCTGATACGGCGTCTCCCATCTCAATTGCGGTGACGAATTTGTAGTGATGGCAGGACCTGATGTGCGTGTCTTGGCCGCAATGCTGTCTGGTCTGGGTGATATGGCTGGCAAAGGCACCGGCGACGTTGACTGACCGGGTCGTCCTGGCGGCTGAACTGCGCCAACGGGAGCCTGCAGAACCTGTCCAGCACCATTGGGAGGCTTCAGAGGCTGATGCGACTTGATGGGCGCCGCGGTAGCCGGTGCGGCACCAGGTGCTCCGGCAGCCGATGCTGGTTGGACGGGCGGCGGTACAGGTGACTGATGGAATGCGCCTGCTGGGGGTGCCACATCTCGCCTTGTCGGCACGGGTGGCGGAGCCGGTGGCAGACCTTGCGCCGATGGTGTCGGTTGCTTGATCTGAGCCTGTGGTGGCAGAGGTACTGGCGTGACCGGCACCGGAGTCTGCGCCGGGGCCGGTCTGATTGGTCTCGGTGTCTCGGGTGCAGGTGCCGGGGTTGAAGGCTTTGCTTGGGGTTGCGCGGCGGGGGCTTGTACGTGATTCGGACTCGGAGATGGAACCGGGGCGGGGACCGGGGTTGCCTTGGGTGCCGTGCTGCCGTTCGGAGCTGTTGCGAGTTGCGCAGCGGCCTTGGCCTTCTCGGCCTGCTCGATCGTATGAAGCTCCGTAATCTCTCTGGCCAGTGTATTGAGGCGACGCTCGTCGTCTTTGACAGACTCGACCATGGAGTCCCTCCATCTAACCCACAATCTGTCTACCAGCATTGGGTACTGGTGAACCTGTGCCTTTGCCTCCTTAAGGGTAGGCACCGCCGGACGACTAAGCTTGCGTTTTTTGGAGTTGGGGGACGAGGAGCCATCGGTCTTGTCGGCAGCCGCCTTGCCACTACCCAGTTCTTCACTCCAAACGTGGAGGAAGACCCGGCGAAGGGCATCGGGGCTCAGTCGCGTGGCATCGTAGGTCTTGTCGGCCCGGATCTGGGGGTTCTTGGTGAGCTCATCGGATACCTTGGCGAAGCCCGAGGGTTGAGCGCCGTGGGTCGCGACGGCCTGGAAGAGGAGGAGGGTCTCGAGAGGAGTATAGGCGGCTGGATTGTTCATTCCCCAATGTCCGCCTCGCCAGCGATCGAGGGGACCGTCACGTTTCGGGAGAAGGTGAATGGGCGCCAGGGTCTGCATCTCGGGTATTAGACAGGTGTCATCTTTCACAGACGTCGCAAGGCTGAAGAGCCGCGTCGCGTAACGTAACGTAGGTAACGTACTGGCAACCTCTATGAGGAGCTTTGGGTGGGCTCAGGCATCTATCTGGGCGCGTCCAGGGGTAGTAGGGATGGCTATCGGAGCCACTCGTCTTTGCGCGTCGTTGACGTGTGGTATGGGTGATGTTTTTTGGCTGCTGAATGGAAATGATCACGTGATACGAGATATCGGAGGTGGAATACTTTTTTTTTTCGCTGTCGGCTGCGTGCAAGCGGGCCAGTGGGCGGTCGATGAAATTTTCGTGTTGGTCGGGTTCCAGGTTTGGAGAGAGGAAATGGGGAAACAGAACGCGGAATCTGGAGCATGCGGCGAGCGAGATGAGCCGGAAGTGCAGCGGCGAGTCAAACAGAACGAAGATCAGAGATGAAGGTGGGTCTGAGAGCTCTGGGTCACGTGCGAAGCTGCTGAAGCTCGAACTTGGACGCTTAGGTAAGTGACAGCTGTTCCTGCCTTAGGCCCGAACGCTGCCAGCTAATCCGATAGACGAGGCGTCAAGCCAATGGAATGGCAGAAGCGACAAGGCGCGCTAGACTGATCTGGGCTAGATACAAGGTACATATCAACACCGGCGGAAAAGGTTCAGGACCGCGGGTATTAGGTAAGAGCCACAACCACGCTGCTTGCGGCCCGCCGACGCTTCTCTTAGCCAGAAAACGGGAGCGAAGCCAGCCCTCTACCCCTGTCACATCGTGGCCTTAGTCAGACGGATCGATGGTTTTCTTTTTTTTTTTTTCTTGCGTTCTTTCTCACGGATCCCATGCTTCAGATGGAGAAGCTGAGGTGGCAGTCGTTGTCTCCAATTGAGAGCCCACTTGATGGCCAGCAAGGCGACGTTGTCCAATGGAAATGCCAATAGCTAGACCGTATCAATCCCTCTTCCCGGTCTACCGGCCTCCCGCTCTTGCTGGGTCCCGAATATTTTCGGAATGGCGTCCCCAGCCCGGAGCGATGAGGGAGATTCGACAACACGAAGAATGTCTCCCGGCGTCCGATTCAATCATCGATGGCGTGCGTATTCCCACGTCGGTTCACGGTCAATGTGATACACGAGTTCCCAGACCGGCCTCGCCGCCGCGGGTATCAGGATGCCGCCGTGTACGAGTAAGGAAACAGCCGTGACGTCGTCTTTTTCGGAGGTGGGCATGTGTGAATATTCGGACTGGGCAGTGGCCACGGAACCGTGCTCGTTACAGACAGGTGTCGTCGCCGGTCAGACATGCTGCTAGCAGAAGTCAATTGCTGTCGCTGCTGCTTCAAAAATCGACGGAGGCGATGTACGGCGCGGCACGGTATGCATGTCTTCCCATAGCCTAGCCGCATCCGAGAGGCAAAAAACAACCCTCCATCCCCTTATCAAGGATGGCAAATTTTATATTGGCGTTCGTGGACCGGATCCATAGATGCTCCATCATTTCCAGACGGTCGTTTGGGGGTCGTTCACGATTGTATCAAATGTAAACAAACGCAGCCCAATCTCTCAAGAGGTATCGCACAATATCTAATTAGCCTCATTGATCCCGCAATCGAGGGCCCAATCTGCGGCATGTGAGTCGGTCTGGCTACGTAAGAAGAAACAGACGCAGATACTGGAAACAGATTGCCATTTCCGCTGAATTGGCCCGAGGCGGCCTTGACTCGGCCGTGGGCCTGGAAGGTAGGTGCTCTGTACTCCGTACACAGGCAATATCTCCGTGTTACGGCAGCAACCCCTGAAGCCTGTGTTTTTCTCTTTCTTTTTTTAAGCTCGGCTGTCTGGATGCAGGTCAATGGCGGATTGCGAATTCAGAGGGGCGGCTGAAAGGATTGGACAGAGGACGCCGTTCTTTTTTGCGGGCTGACAGGACTAACAGACCCCAGACGCTGGAGGCTGCCCCGTCTGGTCCTTGGCACCGGGGCATGGGAGGAGATTTCGGGATGATGGAAGCCGTCGATATCGTTGTTTTGTGGTGTCGGTAGAGCTCCCGAGGTGATGAACTAGGAGGCTTCAGCAAATAATCATAACAATGGGTGATAGCTACGACAACAGCAATGACGATGACGATGTGAGGAGCAACAGAGAAATGGATTGGCAATTACTTCAACAATGGCCATGGAATGAAATTTTGTTACCCGGGTAGCCAAAGCCAGGGCCAGACCGTCCAATCCGTGCCGTCGTATTTTTTTTTTGTTTGATATCTACATCTATCCGTACCGATGTACTTACGTGCTTATCCGTACCCCAGGAACTGAGGAAATGTTCTCGCACCCTCCCGTTAGCCGAAACGGGCACCCTGATGCCGTGAATATTCAGCCATTGGAAACCCCATCGAACACTGTGGCCACTTCACTCCAGGCCAGTCCAGAGCCTGTGAAGCCAGCAAAGGCGGCTCGTCGGGTGTGCTGACGGCTCTGAAGCAGCGGAGTCCCCGTGCAAATCTCGGGGTGAACCGGTATCTCAATTCCATGGCAGACTAGCGCGATAGCCTCAGGCAGCAGTTGCCCGGCCAAAAAAACTTCGTCCATCTGCACCTTCCCAGCGAGCTCAGTACGGGGGGTACGGGGGCTTCGATTCACCATTGGAAGGGGGCCACTGAATCTGCGGGCTGTCGACAGCACTGAGAGTGCCCCCCCGGTCATCAAATCCAGCGGTCCAGTGGCTTCGTGTGGAGTCGGCGGCGGGTGGCCCTTGCTCCTTTTTTAGCGCGCCCGGAAAGATTCGCTCAAAAGCTGTTCCTTCTTCGGCCACCCTGCAGGAATTTTTTTTCCCTCCCTCAAACCTGCTACAGTTGGAGCACTTAAATTCTCTCAACTCGCACTTTTCCAGCCCTCCTTCTTCCTTCCTCCGTCCATCTCCGCTCATTCATTTCTCCAAGGTTGATCTTTTGAGAAGAAACCACAGCCATCATGTCTCCTAAGGAAGAGGTTCGCGTTCTGGGCATGCCGGTAAGCTTCACCCTCACCCCTCCGACCTGGTGCTGCGCGATAAATTTCCAATCGCTACCGGTCACATCGCTTCCATCCATCGTGGACCCGGCCATCAATGCCCATCGATATTCGCAATGCCCTACCCGACACGTCCTTGACGACGACATCGGCACTGCGATTTGATGCGACAATGGCTTATCGCGGGTCTATCAACGATGGTTGGGCTGATGTGCTGGTACCGGGGAAATATCTGCGGCATCTGGGAAACATTCAACAGAAACATCAAGCTAACTTTTCATCACAGCCTTTCCTGGCTGACTTCCTCAGTACGTACAATTGATCCCGACATCGACGCCTCGCGAGCTCCTGCTTCTCCGATCCCGGCGAACTGGTTCCGCGGGCGCTACATCAAGGCACATCATTTCCAGAACATTCACTAACGACTTCCTACAGTGGGAGGTGTCTCTGCCGCTGTCTCCAAGACTGCTGCTGCCCCCATCGAGCGTGTCAAGCTCCTCATCCAGAACCAGGTTAGTGAGAACTTTTTTGCCGTGTTGACAGTTGGCCAGCTGTGGTCCAGCCGGGTAACCCCGGCAAATGTCGATTCGTCTTGACACGTGACCACGGCCCCTGCCTATCACACACACCCGCCACCAACAGTTCACTAACAACCTCCCAGGATGAGATGATCAAGCAGGGCCGTCTTGACCGCAAGTACGATGGTATCACCGAGTGCTTCAAGCGCACTGCCGCCGACGAGGGTGTCATGTCCCTGTGGCGTGGTAACACCGCCAACGTCATCCGTTACTTCCCCACCCAGGCCCTGAACTTCGCTTTCCGCGACAAGTTCAAGAAGATGTTCGGCTACAACAAGGACCGTGACGGTTACGCCAAGTGGATGGCCGGTAACCTGGCCTCCGGTGGTGCTGCCGGTGCCACTTCCCTGCTCTTCGTCTACTCCCTCGACTACGCCCGTACCCGTCTGGCCAACGACGCCAAGAACGCCAAGAAGGGTGGTGAGCGCCAGTTCAACGGTCTCGTTGACGTCTACCGCAAGACCCTCGCCTCCGACGGTATTGCCGGTCTCTACCGTGGTTTCATGCCCTCCGTCGCCGGTATCGTCGTCTACCGTGGTCTGTACTTCGGCATGTACGACTCCATCAAGCCCGTTGTCCTCGTCGGTTCCCTCGCCAACAACTTCCTTGCCTCTTTCGCCCTCGGATGGCTCGTCACCACCGGTGCCGGTATCGCCTCTTACCCCCTTGACACCATCCGTCGTCGCATGATGATGACCTCCGGTGAGGCCGTCAAGTACAAGAGCTCCTTCGACGCCGGCAAGCAGATCATCGCCAAGGAGGGTGTCAAGTCTCTCTTCAAGGGTGCCGGTGCCAACATCCTCCGTGGTGTTGCCGGTGCTGGTGTCCTTTCCATCTACGACCAGCTCCAGGTCATCCTCTTCGGCAAGGCCTTCAAATAGACACCTCGCTCGTGTATAAACACTACTTCGTCTGGTGGCGGGTTGGCAGTTGGCGAACACCCGGGCTGTGGGGATTCGTGGCTGGCTGGGATTAGATGAGGATTCGGTTGACAAAAGGGGTGAGATGGAAGTTGCGGAGGGACTATTCGATACGGACACACATGGAAGACTGTCTGGATCTGCCGGTCCTTCGTGGTTTAGACTGGCATTTGGCAAGGCGTTCTCTTTACACATGACCTGAAGAGCTTTGCTGGCTACCTAATCCACTGTAATTTGTACACTAAAGCAATTCCCGATTGCATGCCTTCACGCAACCCTGTCTACGCTGGACTCGACTGGCTTCTGGTCAATCCTGGTGGATTTTTCCTTGGTTTTGCATGACACTCGATAGATCCCTTCGTGGTAGAATGGGAAGATTTCCTTGTTTTCACCTTCAGCTTTGTACTCGTGCATCTGTGACATCTGCCTTTGAATTTTGGTGATTTTAAAGCCGGTGATGATTTGTGTGGTGATCTGGCTGGAAGTTTTCAGAGTTTGACGCCGCCCACCTCTGATTGGCCAATTCATTTAGCGCCGAACCGCCGCGTCTGCACTCCGCAGTCGCGTCTCTCCAAGCTTCCCGTGCTTCCTTCCTGACGTTCCCCCACATCTTCCCCCCCCCCGCCGCCCGCCGCCAGGATCGCCTGATCTCAAGTCAGATCAGATCTCGGACCTCTGCTGCGGCGAACCCTTGACTGACACCTGACATATCTTTCCCGTTGGCTTTCCATTTGGTCCCGCGTAGCCGGTTCGTTCGTCCCCATACACGTGCACAACACGCCACCACGAGACGTCGAACGTCAACGTCAACGTCAACCGACCCTTCCGTCGTCCTGAACAGCAACACCAACCAACCTACCTACCGAAACCTCCACAAACCCGCAAACATGCCAAAAGCCCCAACCCAACCCGCCAAACGCGGCCGTCCCTCGAAGTCCACACAACCTTCCTCGACAACGACGAAGCGCAAGACAGCCCCGGCGCAGCAGGGCAGGAAGAAGTCGGGCCCCTTCGAGCTCTCCGACAGCGACGCCCGAGCCGAGGAAGCAGTAGAAGAAGAGGAAGAGGAGGAGGAGGAAGAAGAAGAGGCGGACGACGGCCCGGAGAACACCATCCCGGGCGACCTGCTCACGAGGCTGCTCCACGAGTTCTTCGAGAAGGAGGATACCAAGATGTCGAGGGCCGCCAACGACGCCGCGGGGAAGTACATGGATGTGTTTGTCAGGGAGGCGATTGCGCGGTGTGTTCACGAGAGACCTGATGGGTTTCTTGAGGTGAGTGTCTTGGTGATGTGCTTCCGAGACTTGGGGGGGCATGGATGTACTGACGAGTGCTAGGTTGAGGATTTGGAGAAGATTGCGCCGCAGTTGTTGATGGATTTCTGAGTCTGGGAGGCGCGGTTGGGGAGGGTGAGAGGTTTGATGAGTTTATACGATACCCCCTTTTATTTGCTATGAAGAGTTGGTGGGACAGCTGAGGTTGGGCTTCTGTCGCCTTTTCTGTTGTACGCGCTTGGTCAATGTACCTGGCTGCCTCGTCTTAACACTATGAGAACGGGAGACTGAGTTTAGTTGGCAATGAAAACAACGCTCTGCGGTCGTGATTCGTGAGAAGATGCTCCTGGGAGAAGACAGTTCGATGGGGATCCTATCCCGCAACGAGCTTAGGTAGGCCGCCGTAGGAAACGCACCTGTCAGGTTCGGCAGCTGAAATTGCGGTTGCTGTCCCCGTTTCATGAGAGCCAAGTGACGAACGAACGCAGCCTCATCGTCGAGTTCTGGTCGACAGGGGCGTGCGGGCGGTTCTCAGTTCCTGGTATCTTCGAGAGGTCTTACCCAAAATAACAACCAGCATGTACCTACCTGTCTGGCCGTTTGTACTAGCCTCCATCTCCATCGCCGTGCCAGATTCTGCTCGTCGCCATAAAACGATCAGGTCGATGTCTCCTTCGACTCGTGCTTTAACATTTTCCAGCGAGGAGCAGGAGTCGCGCATACCACTTCTCACCAGCAAGTAATTCACACCTTTGGGCGTTGGAATAAGACAACGGGGCGCTTGATTCTGGCACGGGATCGTACACCAACCGTGATTTACCCACCTGCTCCCGTGTTCCTCTCACGGCGTGACGTGTGTTAGCTTTACCTGTATCCAGTAGCTACTCTTAGTCGTTTAAGCTCTTAGAGCCACCTGTATATGGAAAACTCAGCCAAGGGAGTAACCAAAACGAGTTGAGGCGTCACTGGTTTCTCTAAACTGAAGATGGCGTGAGAGGGAGCGCGACAGAGTCGAGCGACCTTCAGCCCACCTCGACTTGACAACAATTCGGATTTACATGAACAGGGTCAAAGGATAGTTATTCAAGATGCTAGACCGTAAAGAAACCATTGGAAATCTTGTGGGGATATGCATTATTAGTTTTATCCTGCCCGCCGCTCACATCTCCGAGGAAAGGGGTATCTGGATACAACCAAATGCCATGAGCTTTTGATGTTGAATAACTTCGACATAACAAGAAAAATTCAACCGAAACAGGCCACAAAGGCATTGTTCACGGGATAACTCTGTACAAGATGAAAAGTACTGCGGTTAGGTGTTAGATTTCGGCCAGTTTGCGCGGTTCGGCCTGGCTTTAGGCAATGAGAAGGCTGTGGACGCATTTCTCTCTACGCTGCTCGTGACGAACGCTGCATCAATGAGCCTGCGTTATCATAGACTTAACTCGTGAAATTGTTGAGCTGGAGTTGTGAGGACCGGAACTCAACTAACGAAGACAACCTTACTTCACTCCTCTGTGACTAACGACTCCAACATGCCTCGGTTCTCTCTGGACAACCTCCGTAACGTCTGTGGAGAAATCTACTTGAATCACTCTACTCGCTACCCCAACCATAACTATATATAAGCCATCCACGACAAAATGCGTAGCAAGAAATGAGGGTGTCCCCTATGAGCATATGAGCATTTCAAGCCAAGAGATGTCGGCGTAAGAACTCCGGCCTGAGCATGATAGCAAACGCGCTTTCTAACTGGCTCGAACACAATTTTTTCTTGTCGACTGATCAAGGCGGTGTCATCATCAACAATGGCACTCAGTATTGGGCGGGTTAAGTCCGTGGTGATATGGAGAAGGACGTCCCGGATGAAGGCTGCGACTATGTATGCCCCTTCCTCCTGGACACTCGCTCCTCATGTAGTTGCAATTGAAAATTGAAATAGGCGGAGGGCCGGGGTTAATACTAACATGAAGTACTCTCACTTCACAAAACCCATACGAAATGTCCGCAGCGGGACAAGACACAAACGTCGAGGACGTGTAGGGCTGTCACGTCTATTAGCATGAAGACGTAGACTCGACGAACAGGAAACATAATGTTGTGTACAAGGCTGTAATTGAGAAAGGGTGAATGTCGTAAGGCTGTGAGAAAACGCGGATGATGAGATCATCACAGAAGCAGCGCGGAGAATGCTGTCAAAAACGAGCTCATTGGTGAAGGTAGACATATCTACTTACCACTCGACATACCGACCAAGGCAACAATCGTTCATGTAGATTAACCAAGTCAACGCCATAAGGATCTGACAAGAATCAACAAAGCACAGAACCAGTCTCCCTCTCCAGCCAACGCCGCCTCTCAATGCCAGAGTTCCCCCATCGCAGCATCAAACCATGAACAGGCTCAAGACAGCTTAGCACTTCCACAGATTCAACCACGATAGCTCTCTCCATCCGCTAGATCAAGGGTGGGTGTCGTATCAACCAACCCAACGGAAGGCCAAATCTGGAGTTGCACGTGTACACTCCATCCCATACTCACGTCACACTTCCTCTATCAGCTGGAGGGCAGGAGAGTACCTAGTTTAAGTGAGGTCTAGGGGAGCCGATAACCTCTTACTCCAACACGCAGAGATCCAAGCGACTTCACGACGTGCCGATTTTTAAACGCGTCTCTCCATCTAGGGTTCAAAAGCGCGTGAGCGAAATGGAAATCCTGCGACATGGCGGATGACACTCTCGTGTAAGACGAGGGCAGATCATCCGCTAAACCACCGAGCCAGCAGCAGTAGCAGGCGGCGTGAGATGTTCAACGTCCCATCATTTCTGGATCCGTTTCCGCGCTGTCACGTCTGCCCTAAACCCAGACACCCATCAGCGTACCATCACCACAAAACCCTGAAGAACACAAACAGACAACATCTCACACCTCGCATCATCCAGAAATACCCATCACCCCTCCACCCCACCCCAAACCCTGACACGAAAGAGCCGCATCATCGAAAACGGTACACTTTTGCCGAATACCCCATGTTCGTCATACAGGGATCTCGCCCCCCTCTGACAGACGCGCTTTGCATGGACTTGCCGTCGAGTTTCGCCTGAAAGTGCACCGGCCCCTTGCTCGTTGGTTTGAGTCTTGTTATATCAACGTCTGGAAAAGTCCAGCCCTGCCGGCAAAAGTTGCCGGTGGTGGATGGATGCTGAAAGATGATTAATGGGCTGAGCTGGGGGGTTTGCGTGTTGGGAAGTCTGGATTTGTCTCGTGAAAGAAGCAGGACTGAGTAGATTGCTATATGTAATATCACTGGTTTCTGCCTATACATGTGTTTTAATCCCGATGCGTCCAAGCGTACAGGGCTAGATTGTTATGCTCTCGTACATGGTGGGAGAAGTTCTTTGGGGCTGGAAGCTGTTACTGATTATTGAAGCACTGCGACCTCGTATTCGAGATGTGGCCTAGCCTTCCGCGCGTCATGAACTGTAATCTAACAATGTAGTCGTTGCTTCTACTGTCTTACCTGGGTGTCATTTTCACTCTTCCTAGTTCATCTTCAGGTTAGTCTTGACTGCGTAGCCGGCATCGATCTAACCCCATTATGTCTACGCTCGACATCGCCTCTTCGCGCCAAACTTCTATGACCTTGAAATGCTCAGAGCATCCCGGCTGTACTCGCGGTTAACACCTCCGAGCTCGTCCTCGGCCGACAAGCGACTGAAATGCCAGACGCCCGCGAAGAGAAGCTTGAAAGCCGGCAGTCGGCACGAAAAAGTGCCGTCGCGGTAATGTTTCCATGATCCACAACATGAAAAACACGCAGACCGCCGGTGAAAGATCCCCAGCTTGCGACCGGGCCGAGCCCTACGGCCGACACCTTGCCTCGGAGCCTTCTCCTATGCCACTAGAACAGAGAGCAACCACTGAGACGAGCGAACGTCTAGACGGCTCAACCATGTTCAACTCGGGAATTCTGGGGGGATCAAACGTTCAGAATGACGGTAACTGACTGTCTGTCATCGACACTTGCCAAGTTTGATCGCACCCAATCAGCATAGTCCTATGGATAGACCACAACCAACTCGGTCGGATACATTCTGACTCGGCTGTACTGTTGAACTCCAAATCTGTAGAACTCCAGAATCCGTCTCGATAGACAACTGGACCCGGAGGACAGCTCCGTCGTCTGAAATCCGGATATGCTTTTTTCTCCCAGAACGAACCGCGGAGTCGCGCACGTCGTTCTTAGCGCAGGTGGTTCGGAGAAGGCGAGGCTCATGACGGCGACATGGGCAAATGTTGGCCGTGTCCGCCTCGAATCCCCTCTCGCTAAAACAATCAGAGTTGCGTTATCGAGATCACGGGTAGCCCTGCCTCGGGTTCGTTTGCCCAGGAATACCTTACATGCCAAGGGGGAGGGCGGTGGTGATGGGCGATTGGCACGGATAGGTGACCGGGTGTGAGGCGGTCTGGAGACGGCGCGCCTGTGCTCAAGTGTGTTGAACAGAGTTTTTCGCGTCGTGAAAGTGTAAGACAATGTTGGGAGGAAAAAGAAGATTGGACGATTGTCAGCGGAGGGAAGGAGAGAAAAAAGATCAGTCCAAACACAGACAGAGGTTTCTGAAAGGCGCGACATGTTGTCGAGGATGGGTTGAACCTGCTACTTCTTTGGTTTGCTGAGAAACAATGCGGTCCACTATTCTTAGATCCTGCTGGAGTGTTGATGGGCGCCGTGTCGAGGTGATGTGAGTCGGGGGAATTATGAAGGAGTGAGGTGTTTCGTTTCGGTCGAGAGCGGATTCGAGTTACCCCGACTGCGTCTGGGAAAAGCCAAGATTAGGAGGACGAAACATGTTGGTCGGTTAGACGGCGGGTTAAAGAGGGTCTGGTCAATATCAGTAGGGCGGCTATTAACTCGTGGTGCTCTGGGTACGGCCGGATTGGCTGTATGCGGTTGTGTCCCCTGTGGTTGAGTCCCTTTGAGGATCCACGGGGAAGGGATGGCTACTGCATGGACGGCAGGCAGGATGTCATGTGTGGGCGTGAGCCGATCCGCGATACCCTGGGTGCTGAAGAGCCAAGGGCCGCGGGATGCGTTGTGGAAGAAGAGCAGGCGTATGTGATCACGAGGAGGGCGGATAGTCTCCGCCTGAGTACCTGGTAAGAAGGCATGAGAGGCGTCGGTGTGGAGACGTGAATGATTGATGCCAGATCTCGGGAAGCGAATCTTGCGTATCCGTACCCAGGCAAGACGAGGTTGACCGTTGATGGAGTGATTCCATTCTGGGATGTGTGCGTGCGGCTACCACTCGTCAAGGCAACATGACCGCGGTCTGGTGTTGAGAAACAGGGGAGTGTCTCCCTTTCCCCGCGAATAGGAGCGGTCCTCGACCGGGCTGGTGGACATGGGAGGGCGAAGACATCAGACGCCAATGCTGCCCCATTCGAGGTTCTGTGACGCACCGAGAGGCGGCGGACGAGGGTATGACGACTCTTGACTGCGCAGGCGAGTCGGGGGACGGAGGGGAAGGGGAAGGGAGCTGGCCGTATGGTTGGTTGAGACCATGACAGGACGAAGCAGACAAGCAACGGCGGAAGAGAAAAGCCAAGGGGACCAAGAGAATGACGACAAGGATGAAGGTGGGTTGTTTGGAGATTCCCGGGTGGTCTGTTAATGTATCGTCGGAGGATTTTCGCGAGGCCCCCAGACGGAGATGGAGATCCAATGACGATGAGGTGAGAGGACAGACGACAGGCCAGCGGCAGGGAAAGTGAATGATGGGCTGACCGACTGGACGGACCAAGAGGGAGCGTTGCAGTGTGCGGACTAGGCTCTTGCTGGCCGTCGAAAGTCCTGGTGTAGAGATGATGGGCTGCAGACGGAGCATCGACGGTTTACGGAGGTGAAGATGGAGATGAGAAAGCTTAGGTAAGACGGGGAATGAACAGGGGTAAAGGTACGTACCGCAGCAGTGAAGACCGCGCTGAAACAAGCCTTGTCGCGGAAATGTCAGAGGGCTGACGGAGGGTGAAGCACATCCGAGCGCCAGCCTCTTTCAGGGGTAGTGGCCAATGAAAACCCTTCAATCGAGAGGTTGTGGGCCGCTAAGCGAGCCCCTGGGTTCGCTAAACGGACAGTGCGGGCCTAAACCTTATTTCGGCTTCGACGTCGTCCGACTTGGTTGACACGCGCTACCACCCAAACCCAGTCTCAACTTCTCTCTTCCATTTCTCTCCTATTGCTATGTGATGCTAGAGAGGACGTCAATCGCCCCGAACACGCCTGGCATTCGTTGCAGGACCGCCGGTGGTCCAGGGACTCGACCGCTAACACCATCAGTCGAACATGCAGCACCGCCGCTTCACCTCCTGCAAGTCATGATGGTTGCACCGTAGGTTCTGGCTGAACCTCCTCGGACTGATCATTCTTGAGATGACTTTCTGTCTGCCGACTTCAAGGACGAACTACCGTTACACCCTCTGGAACGCCGTCCGGTCATTCGTCACGGCACGGCACATCGACCAGAGGAGGGAACCGCTTGTTCTTTTCTTATCTCTGTCAACGTCGAATTAAGTCAGGTACGGAAGCATATGGGCGGACCTGGCTGTGCTCATGAGGCAATGCATCAGCATCAGCATCAGCCAGGTCCGTAATGTAATCCCATCTAACACAGTACCGCCGGACGGTAACACTTTTGCCGTCGTCTCTCCATCTCGCACGCTTCCAGCCTGGTCTGGTCTCCGGCCCGTCATCATCAGTTGACGTTGACATGGCGCGGCGCCGTGGACCTACTACTGCATAGCATGTACGCCAGCAATAGCCAAAACCACCCATGGAATTAAGTCCAAGCTCTTTTTCTCTGGGCCACTCTTCAATCTTCAGCATCGTCCACGCGGCTTCTTCTCGGATCGGCCTATCCAGATCCTTCATTTCTTTCCAGAAACGGGCAACGGGTTGGCAGACTCGGCTTTCACGGCTCCCTCCCTTACCACTCTCTTTCTCTTAGTGTCTCTTACCTGTGTCCGGTCTCTTACTTGGGCGAAATTCCCCATCCTTTTTCTGACAGGCGTCCGAGACCAGGGCTCCCTACACGGCACGGCACCTTGCGAGTGGAAAGTGCCCAATAATACCCAGTTTACTAGCATGTCTACCAAGTCATTCAAGTCCGCGGGGCCCTGTTGGGAAAGGAAAATCACCGACGTCTACATACAGCATGTACGAGCAGAAGCAGAAGCACCAGTGCCAACGAGCATCACCATAGCAGACAGACAAACAGGCAATCTCCTGCAAGGCCAGGTCCCAAAGTGTTTCTCAATTGTCCAGCGGATCCCCCATTTCCACGGCACGGCGCTTGCAAGCAGGAAGCAGGGCAACATGTGTCGCCCAAAATCCCGGCCAAAACCAGAGCTGCACTTGGCCTCACACTTCACACACCCATGTGGCCCCCGGCTGGTGATGGTCAAAACGTGTTTCAACCACGCACCATCAGCCTCCTCGCCCCTTCACCCACGTCCATCCGGGCAGCCACCCCTGTCAACCAGACTCAACGCCTCAATTCTTCCCTTTTGCCCCTAGTCGACTTGTCTCTTTTTTTCAGATGCAACGACGACGCCCGCCCGAGCAGGGGTCTGAGGTTTTCTGGCATCTCGCGACCAAGCCTTGGGACGATCCCGAGTGTGAGAGAGCAGTCGACTTAAATTCATGCCGTTCCCTCTCACCCCCCCTCTTCTGATCCTTTTCCGGTCATCAAAAAAAAGAGTTTTATTTCTATCATTCCCATCTTCGCTTCCGTTTAGGTCGCGGGATTTTTCCTTTTCTTCTTCATTCGCGTTTAATTCTATCTACTCTTCAGAGGCTAGTCCTATACAGCGCGAGTCGCTTTTCAGCTCTATTCCAACTTTTTAAGTCACTCTCTCGACGAACAATTACGACCCCTTCCTTTTTACCGATTTCTTAACAACAAACCGATCAAAATGCATATCTCCGCCATGGTTGTTTCGGCTCTGGCCGCCGTTGCTCAGGGTAGGTCACATCTGGGTGCAAGGAAAAGCGGGAGACGGAAACACACAAGACTAACACAACCGCAGCCGTCGACGTCCAAGTCGTCTCCGTCGCCTCGACCAACAACACCCTCAAGTTCTTCCCCGACAAGATCAACGCCGCCGTCGGCTCCATGGTCCAGTTCCAGTTCCGCGGCGGAAACCACTCCGTCGTCCAGTCCACCTTCGACAACCCGTGCATCCCCATCCAGAACGTAAACACCTCCGCGAAGGGCGTCTACTCCGGCTACCAGCCCGTCGCCGCCTCCGCCGCCGCCGGCCAGATCCCCGCCTTCACCATCATGGTCAACAGCACCACCCCCATGTGGCTCTACTGCTCCCAGGGCAAGCACTGCCAGAACGGCATGGTGATGGTCATCAACGAGAAGTGAGTCTAATTTTCAGCCTCCTTTTTCGATTTTTTCTTTTTTCGCCGCTTTTCAGGGAACTGCACTGTCGCGAGACCCTTGGCAACGCACGCGTCACCTCCTGGGCCTTCCTCCTCGGTTGTGGTGTGACAAGAGCCTCGCGTTTCACATTTCGGACGATGACACACCCGCCCATCTTCTCAAACTTCCCACAACGCATGAACACCCCCTCCAAGACCCTCGGCTAACCCGTCACTCCCTCAAAACAGCACCAAGGCCAACGCCACCCGCTCCCTCTCCAACTACGCCAAGGCCGCGAAGACCGTGCCCCAGGCCCAGATCCCCGGCGGCTCCGGCACCGGCTCCGGCGGCGGTTCCGCCAGCCCCACCGGCGGCGCTGGCTCCGGTTCCGGCTCTGGTTCCGGCTCCGGCAACGGCGGCGGCTCCAACAACGGCGGCGGTGCCGGCGCCACCCCCTCCTCCCCTCCCACCGCCGGCGCCGCCTCCCTCAGCGCGCCCGGCACCCTGCTGCTCGCCCTCGGCGCCACCTTCATGCTCATGTAAGCGTGTGCCGTTGACACAAAAGGCGGACGGCCGCCGTCGAAGGCTCTTTATTCACAGCCCGGCGACGGCGGCTTGGGTATACGGGGGGGTTTATGGGCCAGGAGTTGGTCTGGTTAACGGTTGTAACATTGTGATGATGATCTTAATACCATTCACTTTTTATCATGTTCTTTTTATCATCCTGTCATGGGCGGCAATATTTTTTCTCAACCCGCAGGGGATGTGTATTGGGTTGATGACGGGGAAGGACGACGAGGGGAGGAAAAAATTCCAAAACTAGACGGGGAATCTTTCTGTGCATGGTTCCACGCTGGAAACGGCGTGACTCTGCGTGCGTTGCTATTGCATCTAAATCGAGTTTCTTGATCGGTACCTTGCTGTTCAGATGATGGTGACTTATTTATTGCCGCGTTGACTTGCCGGATGTGTCCTTCTAACATGCTTTCGAGCGGGTTGTCTCGCGTTATCTCTACAGTTCTGTCTAGTCAGTTGTGCGGAGCTCTGTCTTCTGTCCCGACATTGTTTGTCTCCTTCCGCGTGCTTGTATTCTGTCCAGTATCTGCGCGAGTCTCCTTACACTGACAATTCGCATCATGGCCTAGTCAGTCATGGAATTCCTTTAGACACCCCAATGTTGGAATCAACAGTACTGCTGGGACCCCTCCCTCCGCCGTGGGCGCCATCTCAAACACAGCAGTAGAAGCCATTCCTCAGTAAGAACAGAGCAAATATATTCAATCGAAAAAGAGAACACTCCCCGATCAAGCGACAAACTATTTCTCAGGAATCTTCCTCTTCACCCTTCCCTTGGCCGCCTGATCGCACAGCTTCGGCGGCTTGCTCTTCTCCAACCACCCCTCCTCCCTCACGACGCGGCCGACCTTCATGTACTTGTCGCTCTTGCCGAAGAAGTCGACCCAGTGCTTGAGCGTCTGGTGGACCTTGTCCCGCGCCTCGGCCAGCTCGCGCTCCTGCAGCGCGCGCATCTCGTCGTAGGTCCAGTGGCGGTCGACCTCCGGGTCGTCGAGCGGGAGGAACATGTCCTCGACGCCGCGCATGTCCGGGGTGCGGTCCTCGAGGAAGCAGCCCGTGACGAAGCCGCGCGAGGCGTCGTGGCCCGCGAAGACGTTGTAGGAGCCGCCCGGGCCGTAGATGCGCGGGTTCGCCGAGACGTCGAAGATGGTGTGGTTGATGGCCAGGTAGATGGGCTTGTCCGGGTCGGAGCCGTTGTAGGCGAGGAGTTGGTCGGGCGTGAGCTCGAGGGGGCCGTTCTGCGTTGGGGTTCTTTGTCAGCTTTGGTCTCTAGAGAAGAGAGAGGGGGGGATGACGGCTGGGAATGAAGACGGGGGAGGGAAGGCGACTCACGATCTTGGACTTCCAGTAGTCCACCCTCAGGTACCACGGCTTGTTCTTGAAGCCCCAGAAGAAGCTCTCGCCGTTGCTGATGAGGTAGCTCAGGGCGCACGAGGCGAGGCCCAGGAAGGTCAGCACGCGCAGGATGTCGACCCACGGGCTGTACGCCTCCGAGTCGTCGCGGGACCGCTTGCCCTTCTTCTTGCCCCTCGAGTGCTCGGCCGGGGTCCCCGCGAAGAGGTTGTCCTCGTCTTCGACCTCGGCCTTTTCCTGCTGCGGCTTGCGCTGCCGCACCGTGTCGTCTGCCATTGCTATGTGTGTGCGATTGATTTCGTACGGGTGGTGGTGGTTGTTGAAAAAAAGTGAGAATGGGAGAAGCTCCTGAACGGGTCTCGCGACTTTTACGGGATATTTGGAGCTGCAAAGTAAGTGGTGCTAAAGATAGCGTCACCCCTGGTCTGCTAAGATGTTGTCGATGTGGCCTGACAGACGGAAGCTGCGGACATCCAATGTTCCCCTTTGCCGTGTAAAAAAGGGACGGACAACGGATATACTACTGCATTAGCCAGCAAACAGGTATCCAGTCGCTGGTAAAGGGCCGTATTAATTGTTCGACGCGACGGGATGCCGAGAGCGAGACGTGGGGAACGGAGCATATGCGCAAAAAGTGACTTTTAGACGGCGTCTGATAGGCCGCTGCGGATCCAGGTCATCCGAAGGCGTGTCCCTTTTTTTGGGACCCTTCACTGCCTTTTGGGGACAGCAGGACGGTTCCTTGGAGATGCGAGTTACAAATATAGTGTCTTGGGAACTTCGATAGTGGGTAGTTGAGCCTCTTGAGCGGCCTCCTGATGCTGTGCTATGTAAGCTTCCAGAAGCTGGTCTCAGCTGGCGATGCACACCATGGACGATGACAAGTGAAGACCTAATTAATTGCACCGAGAGCATCGATGTCTGTGGCAGTTGTCAAGGAAGGCATTTGATCTAATGCTCTCTTTCCTCGCATGATGCTGTCACCTCTTTATCCGTATCTCAGGTATCCTTCTACGAAGCATACGTGTACTGCATTGACGCATTCCTCATATTCTTCTATCGTGCTGTAGGGGATGCAGTTTTTTCTGGGTCAACGGCTTTTTTCTCCAAAAAGTGGGGTTGATTAGGTCATTTGGCGATTCTTCATGCCCAATCCCATTTCAGAACCGAGTCGGCCATCTCGCTAGGGCAATCCATTCCGCGTCTCCCAGTCAACCCGGCCCTGCTTGCAGTACAACTGCGCTGTAAACACCCGCCGCACCTTTCCTGGAGATAGATACCTGCCCTGCCTACCTATACCCGAACCTCGACCTCCCTTACATGATACCACCTGCGTTAAGCAACCTCCAAACGCCATCGCCGTCATCATTGTCGACGCGACTTGTGTGACCTGCTCTCATGCCCCTAACAGCCCGGAGCAACACCATAACCAGTATTCCCAAGAACCATCACTCGCATTAGAGGAAGGCGCCCGCTCGATAGCCCAGCTATAGGTAGCGACGACACCTTCAAGACACCCCATCGCACACTCACAAAATGGCCGAGAGCGCCGACGCAACACCGCCGTCGCCGTCGCCGAGCGGTCCGCTCAACCCGATCACCCCAGACCGCGCCAACCAGAAGCGCGATGCTCGGAACCTCTTTCCCTCCCCGCGCGGCAGCGAGGGCCGCGAGAGCTCCGTCCACGAAAAGATATCCCAATTCAACTCCATGGCCATGCAGTCCAAGACTCTAGAGCGCAAGACCGCCGACGCCGCCCTGAAGCGCGCCATGCTCGGCCGCGAGGAGGCCGAAGGCGAGGCCCGTCGCTACAAGGACGAGTGCAAGGTGCTTCGCGTCCAGCTGGAGAAGGGCAAGGAGAGGGAGCAGCGCGTGAGCGAGAGGCTAGAGACCGTCATGGTGAGATATTCTGTCGTCCCCCGACGTCGACGTTGACAACAGCAATTCTAACACCCCTCTTCGCAGGAGCAATACGGCCGCGCAAAGGAGACATACGCACACACGAAAGCCGCCTGGGAAAAGGAGATCAAACTGGCCCGCAAAAAGACATTCAAAAACGAGTCGACCATCATCAAGCTCCAAGAAGAGCTCAAGGCCGCCCGCGACGGCTGGCGCGCGTCATCCGATAACCTCGACGCCGAGAAGCTGCGCTCGAAAGCTAGGGAAGAAGAAGCATTCCAGGCTCGCTACCAGATGGTCAGCATGGAAGAACAGCTCACGGAAGCCCTCGAGCGCGCCAAGCTGCTCGAGCAAGAGCGCGACGCATTCAAGACCCTGGCCAAGGAGGAAGAAGTCGCCCGCATCGCCGCCGAAGGCCGCATCCCGCTCCCCAAGAACGACATCGCCCAAGACGACGAGTTCGCGTCGCCTAAGAAGAAGCCGCGCGTCTTTTCTCTCTCCACCGTCGACATCGTGTCGTCCGCCGCCAGCGAGGAGGAGATTGAACAACTGAGCCTCCAGGTTTCCTGGGAGCGCCAGCGTGCTGACCGCGCGTACGAGATTGTTGATTTCATGCAGGCCGAGTGTGAGCTGCGCTGCTGCCCTTGCGCCAAGTCCCACAAGAGGCGAAGCATCGCGTCGCCGAGGCAGAGCCTGGGCTCCAACAGACCAAGCATCCTGTCCCCGCGCAGGAGACTGATGCCACCAGCCGAGATCGCCGACGCCAGTGATTTGGTCATTCTCCGTGAAGGACGGGACTCGTTCTCGGATCGCCGGCCGTCGCTGAGAGCGTCCCAGACCCCTCCAAAGGAGGAGGAGATCTTCAAGAAGCCAGAGGCCCCTGCCCCGGCTCCGAGGAGATCAAAGGAGGAGCGGAGAAGCACCATCTTCTGCCCTCGCGAAGGCATCTTCCGCACTGTTTCTCAGGAAGAAGCAGAGCAGGTAGAAGAAGCCCGCAGGGAGAAGGAGAGACAGCTACATGACGACAGTGAGGCTTCCCCCAACGAGCCTCCAACTCCTGTTGACGCCCCTCCAAGATTTTCCCGCACGCCCTCCCTCGACCCTCCCGCCTTCGCCGTGCTCGCCCAAGAGCGCATGTCCCTAGCGTCCCTGCTCAACGCACCCCACGGCGGCGGCGACGGCGAGGCCCACAGCGCTCCTCTCCCGTCCATCCCCACCATGCCCGACACCCCGGCCCGCCCCGAGTCCCCGTCGTCTAGGAGCCCGTCCCCGATCCCGGAGGACACCATTCGGCCGCACACAGCCGCAGCCTTCTACACCAAGACCACGACAACGACCGTCCCCGTCCGTGACGACAAGCCCCGACCCGTGCCCCGGTACGAGCGCGCCCGCACGCCGTCCGGAGAGTCCCACATGTCCTTCGATGTCAACAACCCAGCCATGACGCCGACTATGACTCGCGAAGAGGCTATTGCCCGCATCCGCGAGCGCCGCGGCCGCGCAAAGTCCATCGCTCAGGGCACCGCCACACCGCGCAAGAAGATGATCGAGGGCGCCGGAGAACGGCGAGACGTTAGCGCCCCCGCCGGCCAGCCGGTCCCCAAGGCGAAGGCTTAGAGTCCCTCCGCGCCTCACACGGAACCGCGCGGCCGAACGGGCTTCTACCGGCCCCGGCCGCCCACGCCGGGCAGGCCGGCACGACCACCGCCACCAGCTCCTCCTATGAGCCCCCTACAGAGGGCGACGGGGCTTTTGGATGCGGCGGGGAATGGGTTTTGGAGGATGACGCGGGACCCGTTTGGTTGGTCCAACCGTACATGAAAGAAGAAACAGAACCTACGCACGACACGACGGCGTTTCCGGATAGGGGAAAAAAGGGGACACAGGGCAGGTCTTTTGTTTTTTTCTCTTGTCTTGTTTATGTTTCTTGGGGTGGAGTTGTTTTTGGTTTCTGGATATCCTCCTTCCTGCTCTCACGGCCCGGGCCCCTCACACTCTGCATTGTCACGGCGTTCTGTCATTTGCCGGTTCTATGGATTCGGAAAGGGGGGGAGGGGGTTGGCCCAACGGAACGGCGGGATTATACCAGGAGGATGAGTCTTTCTTATTCTACTTTTATGAGGAGTTTGGGATGGAAGGGGTACAGGATTACCCTCATTGAGTAGTATTACATACGGCCTCTGTTGTTATTGTTTTTTGTACGAACAAAAGATGTTTTGGTTTTAACGGGGAGAAGGGGAGGGAGAGGTCATTGTTTTTCCAGTTCATGTTATCCGATGCGTAATTGAGTCTGCTTTTATACCTGTTAAAACTGCTTTTTTTGCTCCGTCCTGTTTTGGGTGTAACTGTCTGTAGACTCGTTTACCTCTCGCGAGGGTTTGATGAGGTATGAATGGCACGAAACGACGAAAGCTGACAGTGTAAGGCAATGCGTCGGTGATGTCTGCTTCTGTGCCATGTGAGACCTGGTAAGGTATGACGGGAAAAGGTTGATCGCAGCCCGTTTCCCTGTGCCGAGACATGGCCTACCGGGACATTTGACATTCGTAGGACGGGCGAGATGGGGTTCGCCATCTCTCGGTTGCATTGATGCGCGGGCTGGGTGATGCCAGCGTCAGAGAACATAGTCCATACGTCGAAAGCCGCGACCGCGATAGGTGAACAGCTGCGAGACGTCACGAGCCACTCTCGATGTGTTTGCCGGGGCTGGAGGTGAGGACTAAGCATGTATCTCGGGATCCTGAATACCAACACCGCCCGCCTACCACTTGTTGTTATCCATGTTTGATTGATATATCTGTATGTTTCTCCCTTTGAGTCCATATCTACAGCCGTCTCCGTAAGCCCGCGAATCTTTGTTTCTCATCGTCATCGCGACGTCGTTTGCATCATGTCAGCTAGCCACGCAGCGTATGTCCTTCGAACACGACTTCGACCTCGACCTTGGTGATGGATGCCCGCGTGAGCGAATATCCTGTAGGTAATCTTTACGTGGCATGATGAGGGCATCAAGGGATTCGCGATTGGAAGGCTCAGCATCTTCGTGATATGCCTGACACCACCATCATCTACTCCGGTTGGCGATCACGCACACTGCCTATCCCCTATAGCTCTCACGAGCATACCTACGCCCAGCCTTGGCTGGATTAAGCCCATCAATACTAGTCCTTCTCCTGTTCGTATCTATCTGTTTTAATGATACCCAGTATATATGGCCAGTTCCTATGCTGCTTTATAAGAACTGTAAGCCTAGAGTAAGGTCAACTACTTGAGCTCCTCTGGAGCAACGGCGACAGTCCATACATATATGCGGTACGCATATGAACTGCCGGCGTGATTACAGTAAAGACGTTAGCCTAAGAACTTATTCCAACGGAAGAGGACGTGGACAAAACATCCCACGCACAGGAAACGAATTTGATGGAGTCTAAAAACAGCCGAAGTTGTACAAGCTCTCGGGAAATGACGCCTCGGAATCTTGGCTCGGCACCGGGAGGGAACCTTGGTGCAACGGCGACGAAATCGAATTTTTGGCCCTGGCGGGCTAAGACGGCACAATCGGCGTGGTAATTCTTGGGAAGAAAAAGAAAAGTATGTCGTCGCACACATACACACACACACCCTTCTTCCTTCGCCGATGCCCTTCGCCGATGCCCTTCGCCGATGTCCTCCTGCCGACCACCACACCGGGGGCAGCTTTCGGCGGCTTCGGAGGGGCGAGGGCGGTGGAGTAACAACACCATCAGGACTTTTTTTCTAGACGGTTTCGAAACCGAGCTCCTATTCTGTCGTTTGATTAGTTATGTTAGGTTAAGTTGATCGGTGAAGGTTCTGTGTGTGTGTGTGTGTGAGCAACACCATCAGGATTATTCTAGACGGTTTCGAATCTGACCCCTTTTTGTTTCTTCCTGCCATTTGATGATTTATGGTTAAGTTGAACCAGAAAGCCCTTACAAAGATAAGATACATTAAGTTTGTATCTGATCGATGGTGGCAGTATATTGAAATGGGTGGTGGGTGGTGTTGGTGAAAGGTTACGTGTGTGTCAAATTATTCTCGAACTTCTCCAAGACTTCTTGGAACGAAGCTTACTTTACTTCTCACATTCAATAGTAGGGTGCCGTTTGTCTTCCTGCCAAGCGAGACGTCAAACAACCTTCCTTCCATCCTTCTTCTTCTTCTTCTTCCCTCCCCCCTCCGCAAATGCCGCGGCGGGCGGCGGCGCGGCGCTGGCGGCACCCTGCCTTCTTTGCCGTAACGGGTGCCCTCCTCGGCGCGCGGGGAAACACCGGACGGAGGAAAGGAAGTGGGTGGGTACACACAAAGATCGGACGTCATTGCCGGCCGAGGGTTAATGGAGAGCTGTATCGCGCCGGCGGGGAGAGAAGGAGAGTTCACTTGATACCGAAGGCCAAGATAATGACGACGGCGGCAATGGAAATCAGCGGAGGCTTTTTCGAATGTCGGATCCTGCATTGGGGCGGACTCGGATGGAGGCGGTAAGTATGCTGCTGCTGCTGAGCCTGCGCCTGACATTCACTACCAAAGGGTATATGAGGAAAAAAATGAGTGTCCATACCAGACTTGGAGAACCTGATGTGTGCCTGGTTTCGTCTGAGTCTGTTCTAGAATGGTCCGATTGACTGTTGGATTTGAAGAGTAGCTGATCTACGCATGGAATCATGTACCGAGAACAAGTACAATGCCAAGCGAGTAACACGTCGTTCAGGTGCGATGCAGCATCAATCTAGAAAGCCGAGATGATACAATTAACTGAAACCTGTCGTGGATGTTCTCCTTCATCCCGACTATATCTGTGGTATATATGTACAACATATCAAGTCGTAACGTCGTGCAGCATGTGTGAAAAGCGCCCCTCCCGCTCCGTAGATCTGAGACAACCCCCTCAAAGATACCTTTGTCACATTATAAATAGATTGGCGACATCAACCGTTGAGAAAACCCCTGGCCGCATTTCTTGCGTTCTCGGAGCTGTAAGCGTCGAGTTTGACGGCGACTAACACGACCTCGACCGCGCTCTTGCCGTTCCGAGAGCCCTGAATCTTGAGCCGCCACTGGCCTGTTCTTACAACCCACTCTTCGGCGCCTAATGCGGCGTGGCTCCCCGTCGCGGCATTGCCGAGGGAGTCGATGCGCCGCCGTTTGCGCGAGTTCGGGAGGAAATTCGATGTCGAGCCGGCCGTGGGAGACTCGTGCCCACCGCCCTGGCCGGTGCTTGAATTTGCTGATACGTTGCCAACGTGCAAGTCTTCGGGGGCCTCGAACGTGTGCGGCTTGCCGTCCAAGATGATGGACGTCTCCGCGTCAATGGTGACACGAACGAGATCCTCGCTGAGAGGAGTATGGCCGGGCGTGGGAGGTTGACTTCCCGCGCCGCCGGACGCCATCAGTAGACCCAGGGGTTGAGTGGTAGGAGGGAGGTTGAGCTTCGTCGCGACGACTTCAAAGAGACGCGCAACACGGGCACGGGTGTCGCGGAAGAACTCTGCGCGTACGGAGTTGGGTTGGAAGTGCAAGCGGGTGCTCTCGCCACCGATTTCCAGGACGAGCTCTGCGGCGCGATCGTCGACGTAGGGGCGGGCGTAGTTCACCCAACCGGCGAGATGGTCGCCGGGTGACGCAGAGGCCGCAGAGACGTCGGCGGCGACGCTGATGCCGCTTTTGAGAATGTCCTCGAGACGGAGCACGATCTCCTCCCGACGGCGGGCTTGGTTGTAGCTGATGTGGTGCGCAATGAGCTTCTGCTCGAGGCCCTTGAAGTTGAAGTATCTGCAGTCACGGAGGAGCTCGGCGCGGTGGGTCTCGTTGCGGATGGTGACCGGGTAGCCGCGAAGGAGGTGGAGGATCTCGGAGAAGGTCTCGGCGGAGCGGTTCGGTACGGACGGGGGTAGGATAGAAGGAGGGCGGAGGAGACCTTCGCGGTCGAGGCCAGGGAAGAGATCTTCTGGGTTGGAGAAGAAGACGGCGAAGCCAAGTGAGAAGAAGTTTGGCGAGTTGCCCGGGTCGGTGAAGATATCGCGGGGAATCTGGAACTCGCGATGGCCGATAGAGATGAAGATTGATTCTTCGTAGAGTTGGGATATCAACTTGGGCACTGGATGGAGAAGTTTTAGTATGCGCAGGAGGGCAGCAGGTGAACGACAGACGTACAGCTGTAGAACTGGGCATCGGCGAACAGTCGCACAAAGTGCGTCCCATCTCTTGGCTTGACATGATAGCCCTGGAGGTGAAGAGAGATATCGGCGAAGGTCCTTGGATCACGGTCGATGTAGAGGGTGCGAATGGCGCTCGAGAGGTCCTCGCCTGTTTCCTGAGCCTTCTTGACCTGACAGTAGAAGTATTGGGAGAAGTAAGACGGGGCTGGAGTAGAAGTCAGTTAGCAACAGCGATACTCGCGGGTCGCGGTTCGCGGGGTGAGGGCGGTTCCGGCGGATTTGGAGGATCGGTTGGAGCGGGAGAGGGGGGCAGGGATTGTAGACGCACCATCAGACGAAATGGAAGCGCCCGACAGCTTGAACAATTCGTTTCCTATCTGGATGGGAAAGACGCGTTCGTGGGGCAGGAGGTTTGGAATCTTGGACACGGCTTCTTCGTCGCGTGGCGGGGCCGGGCTTCTCGAGGGACGATGCGGCTTGCCGTTGCTGGCATTGGCGACGGACATGTCGGCAGCGGCGGTGGGAGTCGGGCGCGGGGGTGGCATCACGGATCGCTGCTGCTGCTGCTGTTGTTGTTGCTGCTGGGTTCGTCGTGGCGGCGGCGGAGGCGGCGGTGGAGGAGGCAGAAGCTGCCGCTGCTGCTGCTTCTGCTCGTGGTTGACGATTTTGCGCGAGGAGTCGGATTCCGGTTTGGACCCTGAATTGCGACAAAGACAAAACAGCTTCAGAGGACTGCTCTAATGAAGATGCGAACGCGAATGCAAATGCAAATGCAAGTATTCAGAAGCAAAGCTGGCAAGGAGCCTGCTCACCCTGCTGCGCGGTGTTGTCGAACCATAAATCAAATACATCAGCATCCGACATGGCAGAGAAGATGTGATGGGTTGCGTCTCTGTAAATTTCTCGATTGAGGCAGGCTGCGACACGCAGCGGTGATCTAGGTACGCGACGAGCAGTAATTGCTGCCCCAATTCGTCGGCTCAGTGTCTCTTCTGCGACCAGGGGTTTTAAGGTAGCATTGGCTCAAGTCGTAAATGGAACAGCGACAGCGACAGCGAACCTGGAATGGAATGTGAGCTCGATGATGAATGACTGCCTGATTGGAGGTATTGGCGATTGGACGTCGTTGGAAAGAAAACCCGCCCAGGCGACAGAAGCGCGCGCGCGCGACGGGAAGCTCTTTCTACTGGCGTGTCTGAAGGTTTCTGTGAGTGAGCAGACAGAGGCCATTGATTGGACCAAAATCAGAAAAGAGCATGTATCTTTTCTGCAGCATTTGTATGACAAGCTACATGTCTCGCTTCCCTGCCAATTAAAACGTTGTTGGGGGCCGTTATCCCCGGAGAAAACCCGCGCCAACCCCGAAGAGTACTAGCGATGCGTTCGGCGGCCCCGTAGCGTGTACAAGCGTGCCTGCCTGCTGGTGGACGACGACCTGGACCTGCACTTTTTATCCGTACCGTGCTTCCATTGTGGAAGGTACCACCTGCCTTGGTCCTCGGGTCGTGCCTTCCCAACTCTATCTCAATCTTACGGCAGTAAAATTCGGAAACCAATCAATTGGATCCCGTAGGCCGTAGGTACCTAGCCTTTCGTTGCAGCCTGGCCTGCTTGCTACCACTTTGCCTTCCTTCGCCTTGTCCTTACTATTACCTCACCTCGCCAATTCATCCTCCGCCTCTCAAACCTCTCGTCCGAATGTGCTCGTGCTCGGTCGGACGTGACGTGACCTGCGTCCTTGATCCTTCGTCCCGAAGGCGGAAACGCCTCGGAGGGTTGCTCTGAACGATGGCATCGAGATCTTCCATCGCCTGACTCTCTTTTGCCTCTTTTGCGGAATCAGAAACCCACGCAACATTGTGGGAACTTTCAACCTTCCCAGTCCATTACATGCTCTCGCAAGACGCTACGGACACGAACAAGATCAGAGAGATATCAGGCCACAATTATACCGGGCTACCCTACCACCCTATTCGCGTGCAGATAGCCTCAATCCTGCAAGGGACCGCGACCGCGACGGCCACCCTACCTTAATCACCGACTTCCACAATGACAGACTCTGCGAACTGACACCTGCAGAAACAACGGGCGTTGGAAGAAGATGCTCAAGACCAACCGGGTCAATTCCCGTCTACAGCCTCGGGGTGCTCGCTATGCCACAAACTATAGAGGGCTGGCCGCAAACAAGATTCGATCACGCCCTACTCCGAGATCTAGCATCAACCTCGAGGGGGACCTCTCCGTGTTGCATCTTATTGCCTCCCGTCTTGCTTTTTACTCTCAAATCCCGCCATGCGGTCTGGAGCTGAGGCGTCGTCCGATGTCCGACGTCTATAACGACTCTCAAGAGAGGTCACCCAACCTAAAAGCTGCCCGGAAACCATCACCGGCCACGAAAGCAAGGATTACCTCGATTTCGGCAAGTCTGAGCCGAAACTGACAACCATCGTAATGCCATCAAGCTTCGCCTCCAAAAGCCTCGACGCCGCCGAACCAATCCTGCCGATCAATATGCAAGTACGCCAAATCCACCGACGAACTGCTGCCCTGTCCTGGTTTGAAGGATCGCCCCAACTCCAAAAGCCGCATTCCAGAGTCTTTGCGCACGCGATCTGTGAGCGAGCCCATTACGTTGCTCAAGGTTTACCATTGCCGACATATGCTTCTTCTGAGTGCGGCGGCACGAACTCCTCGCGGCAATGTCCACAATCGGCCTAGCTCTGCCGTCTGACAACAACAAGCTCTGCGACCGGCAGCTCTTCAGCTGTTCAGTCCGCGCTGGTCCGCTGCACCAACCATCCGCCAACTCGCATGGTTGCCGCACTACGCAACGCCCTTCAGAAGAAATAAAAAAAAGTGTTAAAAATTGGAACACCATGTCGGCCGAGTTACGGAGGATGTTGCTGCCTTGATACAGGAGACGCAGCCATTTCAGAGCAGGCCCGGTTGGCTATAGAAGACATATATCAGAACTGCCAGACGACTGCTTACCTCGAGAGAAACCGAGGCTATGCGAACGCGATACCGAAGATCAAGGTTCAATGTTCGAACTTCGTCCCGTGTCGGGGACATCTGTGCTTCTTGTTGAGCCCGTCCGACTGAGCCTCCCTACTCGAGACTCGAGTACCCCCAACTCAAAGGACTACTGCGTCAGTCGACCCCAGGAACGGTCAGAGGGCCAAGGTCACTGGTGCGCCGCAGAGGAGATAGGCTCGGAGCCGACGCGCGACTTTTCCGCTGCCATATGGGGCCAATGGAGCCGCAACACTGAATCTGAGGGGACCGCCGTGGGTACTCTGTACCTACTTTATTGCGACTTGATGTCGTGCTGGCCAGTTTCCAAGGCCTTCCCTCGTGCACGACAGGGATTGATGCGTTTTCGTTAACGGCACGCGTCCCTGAAGTCCGGCCACCTAGCCCAGCACGCTGCGCTGCACTCCACTGGATTTGCTGTTTGCTGGAGGAGATAACGCCGAAACGCGCCCCAGATGGATGCTGGGTGTCCTGGTCTGGGTTGGCATCCCTGTTCCGTCAATCACGTCTGCAGTTCCCAATTCAACGGCTGGTCCGCGTCGTCTCTCTCTGCCTCTGGGGTTTGATGGCCGATTCGGCTACGACTAGAAATGCTTGTCCAATGCCGGCTCGAATTCGAGACTCTACCTCTTATGAATGCGCAAATCTTGGGCGGCAACGACGAACGCGGTACCGAACCAGACACGCAACGCAGAGTTCGGGGGATCTCGATTAAGAGGCCGAATCGGGCAGTCGTTGTCCCTGTCTAAACACAAGCACAAGGCGACTAATGGACGGAGCCGACCTGCCTTATTTCCCCTGGGACAAGTCATAATGAAACCCGTCCCCCAGATCCAGCAAGCCATCCCACTGGCGGCCGCTTCGGCGGCAAGTTGAGTGGCATCGCTGGGCTCGCCGCGCAGGGCCCTGGCCGCCCTAGGCTCGAGCCGACAGTCATCATAGCCCGTCGACGACACAAACAGGCGAGACCGAGATTGGCAGCAAGACTTGCATGCATGCACAGCCTGTTTCGCGGGGCAAATCTGGGCCCGGGTAGGCAGTACGAGACAGTCAGTCTGAGTAAGTCTCGAGAAAAAAGCTTCCAAGTCAAGTCGGCCTGGCGGATAGAAGCCAGGAATGGGTGTGGATCACGAATTTGATCGTCACTGAGTATGGGATGAGGGATGGCACATACCCGTGGTCACCAAGCGTGCGAGAAGAATTCGCGCGTGCGCTGGTGTCTGCGACCTGCGACAGCCACGAACTGTCGAGTCTAGCGGTTTCTGGGAGACGCCGACGCTTGTCTCTCATGTCTCATCCTAATTATCAAAGACAAACACACATACACGGTTTGCGGTCAGCAATCTGTCGGTAAAAGGTTGGCTCATATCTGATGTAGGGAATTCATCAAAGTTTCCCATGGCCCCCACCTGCGAACCAGCAACTGGATCCGAACGACAAATTTGTCTGGAACACACAAGTCCTGCTACGGGTACACTATGGGGGTCGAAATTGCCGATGAAGAAGAAGGGGACGACGGGGACTGGGGGCCCTGGGGGAACGACTGGCGATCGACGAGGAGACGAAAGAAAAGATGGATGAAAGAAGCTTGGCTTGGCGGCGGGCGGTTGGGGGTGGACAACCTGAAAAGACTGCGGCAACGGGAGCGTAACGGCGCCGGACGAGAGAGAGGCCAGCATGAGCACCATCCAGCACCAACAACACGGCCATCACCATTCACAACCACGCAACGCCGCGGGAAGGGCATGGCACAGGGCCTAAGCCTGAGGCGCTCGCAATGTTTCCAGGTAAGGGTTTAGCTACAAAACGTGCGGAGCGGCGAGGCGGCGACTAGTCGCCCACGTCGCGCACATTGAGTTGCTTAGGTGAGGATCATGTCACAGTCCGAGATGCGTCGCGTCAAGGTTGGACCTGTCAGTGAGATACCCTCAGACGGGGTGGAAAGTGGAGGGAAGAGGGGAGGAAGGGTACGGGGATGCGGTTGACTTCGGACTGGACTCCGGCATGGCCTGAAGACATCAGCGCAAGGGAGGCCGGGGCACGCACGCCCGCGCCCACCACCAACTTGAGAGGTTGCCCACACCCGTCCGGGACGCAAGACAGACAGACACGCAGACACACAGACACGCAGTCCTCGACTCCCATCTTGAGTTTGCATCGACGAGGTTGCTTGCAGCAATCGGGATCAGGAACGCAGGGCGACACTGCATGAAAAGCCTCCCGCGATAAACACATACGCGGTGCTATTCACAGAATGGTGGCCGCAGGTCGCCGACCTCGCGCGCCGCGGCCCAGTCTGTACAATACGTACATCACACTCAGTACTCTGTAAGTCTACGCACGTACGACCACCGGCATACGGGATACGCAGGGGCGTCATCAGGCGGCTCATCAAAGCATGTGGCTTGTCTGGTGAATTCGCAGCGACGGGATTGGATCGTAAGACTGAAATCCATTGACGACGACGACGACGACGATCCTCGAGGCAGTGGGCTGTTGGTACGACAGCCATGCCTTGCTTCGGTCCTTTGATTCTGATTTCGACTGCATGGTCATGCACGGCTTCCACACGAGGAGACAGATGCCTCGCACATGCACGTACGGATACGTGTCGTCGACATTGACATTGCCAGGCTCATCATCATTTATCTCAGTCTGGTCTCGGTGGGATTGACTGGACATGCAGATGTTGCTGGTGGGAGATTTTCACCAGCAGGCCCATCTGCGGGATCCACCTCGTCCACTTCATCTTGGCCATCAAACCTTCGACCCCGAAACCCTGAATCTTTCCAACTTGTTCCTCGCCCTCTTCACCAAGTTCAAGCTGCAACCTTCGGACGGCGGGGACAGCTTGCGCAGGACGAAGCTTGAGTGGATCGCACGCGTTCCAGGGAGGTTCCAGGCATCGGTCCAGTCAAGACCACTTGGTGACACCCGCTGCGCCCCCGGAAACTGTGGATTACTTCTGGGTTTTAAGGTGTTTGGGTGTCCTTTTTTTACCTTGACATCACGTGTATTTTTGGACTCTCCGGCCGGGAACGCTTGGAGCCGTTCGCAAGACACGCGACGGGATTACTTGCAAGTCCCCAAAGGGTACTTGTGTCCTTGGTGTCCATTCGAGAGAAGGACATGTACTCGCCCCTTGTCGCTCAGCTTCGTGTCCTCTTATTATGCTGGCAGGAGTACTCTGTATGAATACAAGGACAAGGACCTGGAGCGTGGAGGCGTAACCTTCCATACGCCTTCGATACCTCTTACACCACATACCAGCAGATGCCCTTCGGCCCTTGGTCTTTTTCTTCTCGAAAATTGTGCCAGATAAAAATAGGTACGTACCGAGAATGCCGAAGACGCTTGTCTGAACGAGTCTTTCCTCACTCATCCGTAACTCAACAATCCGTATACGACAAGTCCTTCATCTCAGCTCGACGGCTTGGTACCCGGTACGTACAAAACAGGGCACAGTTGGATGAAAGAGATAAGGTACGCAGGAACCGGCATTAAGGTACGAGCACGCAGCCCTCCGCGAACTTGCTCCTGGAAAAGTACGCCGAAGACGACCACGGTAGCAGCCACGAGGCAGCAACAACATGAGCACTGAAGACGAGTTTTCCGAACCCCACCCGAGCGCTAAGTGACGACGGGACTCGGGGTCGGTGACGGTCGGCTCGAGGAAAGGAAGCATTCCGACGTGCATATGGATGATTGGGGGCTGCATGGCCACTCACTACTAGGTGGTGACCACACTACTTCTACCTGCCTGTACACTACTTGGTACCGATTTCAAAGACGACGCTAGAACAAGGACACTCGAGTTAAGACGCAGGGGGACTTTTCTATGCGACAACAACATTAGCTACCTGGCCCGGCCTTTGGCAAGGGTACCTGGCACGCCGATCCCTCATCCAGCGAGCTTCGGTCCAGGCCCTGTGGTGGCCTTGTGGTGCCCCTCGGCCGGTGTTGTCTTTACGCAGTAGACGCCAGTAGCTGGGTCGACGATTCAACAGAGGTTGTCTATTCGTAGGACTAGCCGTCCTACCGGGCGTTTTTCTGCCCGGCCTTCTGCAAAACCGTACCAGGAGCCCACTTGCTGGAACCTGAGGTTCCTCTCAGCTGCATCCCGGCCGTGGATGTGTGTCTCTCCGGACATATTGTGTCGCCTCCCTGAATATACGACGTACCTACGTACCGTACCTGGTCCTTCCTGTGCCTGGCTGCATCTACGGATACGGATACCGTGCCTTGCGTGCTTCGTTCTTCAGGAGACACGAACGGCAGCATCATCTGTTGGCAGCAACTACAGCAACATCCATCCAGCCATCCCGTCTGGGGGGCCTTTTCCAAGCATCTTCGACGGTGCTTTATGGATGCAAGCACCATCTTCCTCGCCCCTCCTCCTCCTCCTCCTCCTCCACCACCACCACCACCACAACTGGCAGCAAGACCCTACCTGCCTTACCCTAGTAGACCAGGCTCTACTACGTACCCTCACTCTCACCTCCAATCTGAAGTGGCCTGGAACAACCTCCGAGAAGGGGGGTGGATCACTAAATCATCACTAACCACACCACCTCGACCTTCTTTTCCTGGGCCTACCTTACCTCAACCTTCCAAACTTCCCGTCCCGTCCACTGCGAACCAGCCCAGCCTGGGCCAGGCCTGACGGTTGACCTGACCAGGGCTCCGTGTCCCTGCTCCTGCTCTCTCAGTCTCGACGCTTTTCTCCATCTCTCCTCGGCCATCCTGAGCATATCACGCTCACTCAAGGAAGAACTTGACCCTAGCTCCCAACCTCTTTTGTGAAAAAAGAGTCCAGCCGACGTCGAGCAACAAGCGAGACTGGAGAGATCATCACACACACAGAGAGACGTCGGAGAAAAGCGCGCGCGCGCCAGCCATCGTCTCGTCTCTTGTTTCTCACTGGCCAACATTCATAACAGTCTCCGTACACACACATACATACGCCTCAACAAGATCTCACACCCAATCCGAGAGATCGCAGAGGCAAATTCAAAATCAGCATAGACGCCATCCTGCCAGTCCCGTCTTACCGACCTCCACTCCCAAGTTAGTCAGTCAGGTCCCGTCGTCAAGTCGGCTCCGATACCTTGTCTTGCTGCAATAGACGAAGCACCAAAGTGCTGGACTGGACCTGGACCACACGGCACGGCACCGCCGCACCACACCCCCAAAGCCCCGAGGAAGCTTGGATCATTGCAACTAGCAATTTTGGTCTCTTTTTTCTGAAGCCCTTTTTCCTCTTCCTCTCCTCCACTTCTTTCTTCACCTGCAACTCCCATCACATCCGGAGCTTCGTCCGCTTCATTGACGACACTATTTGGGACTCCCGTTCGGAATACAACAGAGACCGGTCAGGAGAGACAGTCACCCGCCGTCCCTCCGTCCGTCACACGCCGTACGTCCACCACCAAGCTGGCAAGCAAGCAAGCAACGTCGACCAACAACACGCTTGCTACTGCTGCAGCTTCCGTTGATCCGTCGACTCGTTCCCGCCTGCGCCCACGCCACACCCCCCCATCCAGACCTCACCTGTAGTCACAGCATGTATGGCCAGCGTATGACTCGACACCAGTCAGAGTCAAGGTCAAGCAGCACAATCCGGATCCGAGGCAACCCCAGACGCGTCCGGGACCATCAATGAGAACAAGGTTGACCACTGCGCCGGTCTGTAGCTGTAGCTGTCGTTGTTGCTGCCGCCGCTGCTGCTCCTGAAAAGTAATCTACTCACTACCACGGGCGCCAATTTCGACAACCCCGAACCGACGGGTTTTTCGAGCTTGAAATATCGAGGCCGGCCACTCCCGCCGCCGCTGCGCAGCTGTGGTGTGCAGTTGTGTGTGCTGCGCTGCGCCGTACATAGGTTGTTCGTGTTCCTCGCTTCGCATAGGTCACCGCTTCCCGCACCGCTACCGCGAGCATTCCACACCGGTGCCGGACGGAGATTTTTCTGGAACTTTTGCAACAAACGGCCAAAATGGCCGCCGCCGCCTCGTCTGCCCCGGAATTGGGTGCCGCCGTCAACACGCTGCATCCAAATCCTAACCTCGTCGCCGTTGCTCCCATGGGCACGATGCCCTCCGCCGCTCCTTATGAGACATCACCTTCTCAACCTGCTCACCAGACTCTTGGCACCGCTCCCCCCGGTTCTGCGCCAACACCAGTGCCTGCATCGGGCCCTGTACCTGCGGGTGCTCCTGCGGGTGGCCTGTTGGCAGCCTCGGCCGCGACGCCGTCGGCATCGCGCAGTGTGAAGAGGCCACGGCCAGTCAAGTCGTGTACCGAATGTCGCAAGCGCAAGCTACGATGCGACCGGAATCTGCCCTGTTCCCAGTGCCAGAAGTCGCACCGCAACTGCAAGTACGCCGCCGAACATGACATGTCAATGCTATCCGACGGCTCGGACGTCGAAATGGGCGATCCTCAACGTCCACCCAAGAGGAACTGTTTACCCACGGGAACCGCTTCAGGGCCGCAGCCGGCAGAGTCATCGTCAGTGTTCGTTCCTCTGCGCAATGGAGATGGGACCGGGCACTCGGCCTTGGAGGAACTCACATCCCGACTGGACCGCTTAGAGAAGCAGTTCATGATCAAGAGCCCGGCAGGCACCGAGTTCAGCGGAGCTGGCCAGCGTTTGCCGCTATCGCCAGAGACAATACGAGGGCTGACAGTCAAGAGGGGCGCTTTGAGAACGCGCTTCTTCGGTCAGAATAGCGTACGTGTCTTGCTGAACCTGGTAACTACTTCCCCTAACCCGAATTCCCCTAGATCGTGCCCCTAACCGATCCCTCCCAGTTCGACGAAGCCAAGGAGTTCATGGCAAACCAATCCAAGATCGACGGTATTCGAGACACCATGTATGGCTTACAAGTGCTTCACAAGAGGATACAGGAAGAGTACCGAAAGTCCCTGTCGCCCATTTCTGTCTTTGCCGACTCGGTGGTTCCTGTACAGAAGCGCATGCAGGACATCCTTCCTAAAAAGGCAATCTGCGACAGGCTGCTGGCCTCTTACATCGATACGTCGGAAACCATCTACCGAATGATCCATGTCCCAACCTTTAAAGAGCAGCACGAGCTGTTTTGGGAGGGCAAATTACCGGGAGACGCATTTCTCCCCCAACTTCTCACCGTTCTCTCCATTGGGTCCAGGTTCGAGACGAAATCAAAGGGGCTTGGCCACGAACGCGTCGAGGGCGTGCATATTCCCACTGCTTGCGCGCTGGTCAGGTCGTGGTTGGACGGTCTGAAGGGAAAACAGCTTGTTGACCTGACTACGTTGCAGACGGAAATGCTACTGGTTCACGCACAGAGAATGACGACACCACGACCGCAGGATTCTTGGGCGCAGCTGGGCTACATCGTGCGGATGGCGATGACGATGGGCTTGCACAGAGACCCTTCGGAATTCGAGCCTCGTGTACCCGTGTTCTTCGGCGAGCTGAGGAGAAGACTATGGTTCACGATCCTGGACATGGATTTGCATCTTTCGCTCGCCTGCAACCTCTCATGTCTCGTCCGGGAAGGAGACTTTACTTGCAGACCACCACGAAACCTCGACGACAACGACTTGTTCCTTGAGATGAAGGAGTTGCCACCAAGCAAGCCGATTGACCAACTCACCGACAACCAAATGCAGGTGTATGCTGCCATGACTTTAGGTGTCCGAATGCAGGTCGCGCACCTGATCAACCGCGTCGATTCGATCCGGGACTACAGCGAGGTCCTGGAAGTCGGAACCAAACTCGATAGGTTCTTGGAGGATATCAACTACTTGTTTCCCCGACACGGTATTCTGAACGAGGTGGAGAAGAGCAAGCAGTGGAGGTCTAGGGTCATACTCGACATGCACGTTCGACGGCCATTATTGGCCCTGTATCGACCGTTCGCCTTGGGCTTGCCAGACGCACCATCACAAATCTCGAGGGCGTACCTGCGATCTTCCATGGTCATAATGCGATACCTCGACGAACTCGATCCGCTTCTCACACACTTCCAAGACATCAGCGACATGTATCACATGGTTTTGAAGAAGGACATCCTGCAAGCAGCTTTCAGCGTCTGCTTCTACATCAAGGCGGCGATCGAGTCGCATGCCAATGGCAACACCCTCGGCATCTCGTCGACTGTGGCAATGTCACCCGATCCTATGGACGACGGCGTGGCTTTCAGCACGGAGACCTTCGCTCTGTGGTCGCCATCGCGCTTGATCAAGACGGTCGAGAAGACTCTCAACCTGCTGGTCCGTAACGTTGGTGGGAACGACGTGAAGGACATTGTTGCCCTGTCCGTTGTCTTGTCATCGGTGCAGTCCACGAATCAAGAGCAGAAATTGCACGACATCCGCCGCAATCTCCAGACCGTCCTGGAAGCATGCCAGGCCGCGACCAACACCAATCCCGAAAAGATGTCAATGCCGATTCCGAACACGGCCGATCCAATGGATCCGTACATGCAGACGAGACCGCAATTCATGTTCCACGCGAATGCGTCAACGGCTGCGGTAAGTGACTATGGCGGCTGGACGCTGTGGGAAGGATGGGACTGGGCTGATGCGTGGTCGGCAGACTCCGGATGATTATGCTGATTGGGATCTGGACTACTGGAACCCGATGATACCAGGACCTTCCTAACAACATGCGGGGTTAAGGAGACGGGATCCGATATGTGAAGTCGGATAACCCCAACGAGAATCCGCACCATGATCCCGGGACGCATATGAGGGGTTTGAGTGGGACTGAGCTGATCACTGAGAACGACGACGACGACGGAAGGGCAATACGAGAAGAGAGGTGCTGCAGCCCTTTGTTGGCCTCCAACGTCGATTTCCACGACAACTTGCCGCGCGGCTACAGTCAAGAGCATGGCAACCGAACCGAGCATCATCTGCCGATGGAACCAACATCAGCAAACATAATTCAGCAAGTGTCTTTGCTGCACTTAATTACGCGGGAACATATGGATGCCGGGAAATTGCGTTCATGGCCATCCCGGCACAGGAAGTGAAACACGAAAACGCCCCGGACGGGTCAAAAAAGCATACGAAAGAAACATGTATATATACTACATCGACGATACCAGTCAGCAGCGGAGGATACCAAAAAAGGAGGGCATGGGCGGCGTTTCCCAAGCATGCATTACATTACACGAAGCTTTACAGCCCGTCCTCTACTCCGCGGTGATGTTCGCATCTGTCCAACGCTAACCAGACTAGTTCGTGATGACCGGGGCCCTGCGCTTCCATTCCGGGTTCTCAGCGACATCAACGATGAAGGCCGCGACACTCTTCCTGGTGATTTTCGGCAGCCAGGATATCCCCTTGCCATCGTCACCGAGATTCTTGATCGGCAACGCCTCTCCCTCGGTAAGCATAGGCGGTCGAACCATGATCCAGTCGATGTCCTCCCCTTCCTTCCCATTCATTAACTCGTCGACGGCTCGGTGCTCGTCGACGGTGTACTTCATGTTGGTGTGCTCGAACAACACGCGCAACGGCATGAGCATGCTCCCGCTGCTGGCGCCGATGCCCTGCATGCTGTTGATGACGATCTTGCGCACGCCGTTCTCTCTCATGGCCTCCAGTGCGTTACGGACCGAGTCGTGGATCAGTGCCGGGGGCGTCTCGGGGTGCGGCGCCGCGAAGGGCGAGTCGGACAGCCGGCGCGGGTTGAGGGCCACGACGACGGCGTCCGGGGCGCGGGGGGTTCGGAAGGCGGCCCGGATGTCGGGGAGGGATAGCGGCGTTCCGCGGACGAGAGTTACGTCGGGGTGAGATGTGAGGGAAGACGGGTCGCGGACTAGGGTTGTCACGGTGTGGCCGCGGGAGAGGGCTTCGGCCTGGACGAGGGCGCCGTTGCGGCCCGTTGCGCCGATGATGAGGATGTGCATTTTGGGATTTGGTGATGGTGGATGTGAGTGAGTTTGGATGTGAGTGAGTCTGGGTGAAATGGTATTGCTCAAGACTGAAGTGATGAAGCAGGTTGTAAGCTGAGTTTTGGATACGACTGACTTCATGGCGATGACGAGTATCTTATACCAACTCGTCTCCCTCTAGCGTGAGAATCTCACAAGCCGCATTTCTCATCATATCGGCCGAGTGCACGAAGGATCACGGTGTTATTCGAAGGCGCTCACGATTATCCAGCCAGATGACCACTTGTATCGGCCGAGTGGCGTTCTTACCTTCGTTGGGGATAGCTTCGTCTATTGTATCGGCCGAGACAGTCAGCCCCGGCCGAGGACGTACGGATAAGCGTCATCACAAAGGCTGACCAAGCGGTCCTCTCACGGAGCCGGTCGGTCTTGTCTCGTTCTCCGGCCGGTTGGATGGCTTCTAAGTCACATAGCACGGAAAACCGGAAAGTCAAAATAGGAAGCGATGTATCGGTCCGTTTTTGTGTGTTTTGTGTGATTGATTAGTGATTCAACCGTTTAACACGCCCTACGCGATGCGCAAGGTTGGGCTGGGTTCGCTTGCGTCTGGCGTGTTGTTGTGTGTTGTGTGTGTGGTGGTGGTGGTGGCAGCCGTCAGCATAAGGTCAGCGAAGCAACGGTGACAATCCACCACGCCCTAGTGATTGACGGTTGAGAATTCCTTTTCTTTTCTGTTATTGGATTGACGCCCACACACCTACACATTTCACGTTCTCTTATGTGTGTGTGTGTGTGTGTGTATATATGTGTGTGTAGGGGCGGATGGGTGGGTGGGTGTAGGTTTTGGGTCCGGGGTCTGCGGTGGAGGGAGGACGAAGGTTCATAGAGCGAGTTGCCCATGGGTTCTGTTAATGGGGAAATTCGGTTCAGGTGTTTTGGGGGTCGGTTCGGCTTGTGTGGAGGATGTCATGATCGGGAACAGAGGGAAGGTAAAACGGGAGAATGACGATGGTGATGATGGGTGGTGATGGGTGACGATGGGTGAAGGGGTCAGCATCAGCAGGCCGCATTGCGCCGGGCCCACTCGGCCGAGAGTGGGGGCGGGGGAGACGGACCGTGTGTTGGAAGGTAAGGTGAACCTAGACCGGCCGGGTGGAGAGTTGAGGGTGTGGGTGTTTGTTTGGATGTTTTTTTTGTTTGCAAGTATGGTGTGTGGAATTGGTAGGTTTATTTTCTTCTTTTGTTCGGTGTGTTGGTGGTGATGGTGGGTAGGAAAAGGGTCAAAAGTATGAGAGGATGTTACGATTTTGGGTTCGGGGCCGCAGATGTGAGGGCACTGCCTGGTGCGTGATGGGTGGCCTTTCTTTCTTTTCTTTTCTTCGGTGAGAAAAAAGTCTAAGTATGTCTTGCTTCTCGGGAACGAATGGTTCCCTTGTCGTGGGCTCTGTTACGGGCAGCATTTGCAATATGCTAGTAAGCCAGTTTGTTCCCCTTCATAACTGGGATATAGGCAGTATCGGAAAAAGACGAAAGTAGGTTGTACTATGGTAGGAGGCGGGGGGGAGTGTACGGAGTACTACGTAGCTAGGTAGCTGGGATTCGCGGTGCTCGGTTTCGGACTTCGGGGTGGGAACTCAAGTCCGGCGCGCGCGACTCGGCCGGGTCGGCGAGGGGAGGAGGAGGGTTCACGGAGACTATTCCCGAAGGGGTGTTTCGTACTGTTTCCTCGGCCGAGAGGTGGGGTCCGTAAGACGGGCGCGGAGGCGTTGACGCTTGGCGATGTGTTGGAATGGGAAGATTTGCTGGTTTTGAGAAGGATTTTGGGACTTAGGTGGCTTATGGCTTTTATCTTCGACTTTTTTGTATTACGAAGCGGGAGGGGGATGAGGAGTCGTTTGGACAGGATGAGGACGAGGGAGATGGGTATAAATGCTGGTGTTGGGTGAGGTTGAGAGGAGGAATTTGGGTCGTTGCTCAGCGGCTCATCTCAGTCTTCACTCTCATCACGAAGGCTCATACAGTCTCACTCATTCTCATCGTACACTTGCACATCTCACTTCATCACATCACTCACTCACTCACTCACTCACTCACATCACGCCAGTCACATCTCATCATGTCCACCACCAAAGACGACGTCGCCATCATCGGCGGCGGCATCGCGGGCATGGCCCTCGCCCTCACCCTCGCCTCCCACTCCATCCACTCCACAATCTACGAGATGCGCCCCGAGACGCCCCTCCCGCACCACGCCGGCGGCGGCATGATGCTGTGCCCCAACGCCCTGCGCATCCTCGACTCCCTCGGCCTCTACGAGCCGCTGCTCCAGCACGCCTTCCCCTTCGACTACGTCTACTACAAGGACGTCGACGAGAAGACCGTCGACCGCTACCCCATGGGCGGCGTCGCGCAGTTCGGGTACCAGGCCGTGCGCATCTTCCGGCAGGAGCTGATCGAGGTGCTCGCCGGGGCGTGCCGCGAGCGCGGAGTCGTCAGGATCGAACACGGCATGCGATTCACGCGCGTCGTGGGCGAGACCGAGGCCGGGGTCGAGTTCGAGTTCGAGGGCGGCGAGAGGCGCAATGCGAGTCTGCTCGTCGGCGCGGACGGGATTCATTCCAAAGTGCGCGGCGCACACGTCGCGCCCGAGGCGAGGCCGGGCTTCGTGGGCCTCGCGGCGCTGACGTTCGCGGTCCCGACGGCGCGGCTGCGCGTCCCGGGGGACAAGGACTACAGGTTCCCCGTGAGCGTGGCGAGCGGCAACGGGGTGTTCGTGCTGGCGCCGCAGAGGCCGGACGGCGGGGAGATGCTGGCGGGGACGCAGGTGCCGTGCGACGAGGCCGCGGCGGGCCGGCGGGAGGCGTTGCTGGCGGACAAGGAGGGCCTCAAGGCGCGGCTGCGCAGGAACGAGGAGGCGTGGCCGGGGATCGTGAGGTCCGCGCTGGAGGGGATCGAGGACGAGACGATGAACGTGTGGCCGTTTTACATGCTCCCCGCGCTCGAGAGGTGGGCGTCGCCGGGGGGCCGGGTCGTGGTCCTTGGGGACGCGGCGCACGCGATCCCGCCGACGACGGGGCAGGGAGGGTCGATGGCGTTAGAGGACGCGGCGAGTCTGGCGCTGGTGTTGAAGAGGGTGAGGGAGAGCGAGGGGCGGATCGGCTGGGAGGAGGGGGTCGGGTTTTGGCAGGGGATTCGAAGGGAGAGGTTGAGGGACCTGGTTGTGTTGACGAAGCAGTTGAACAATAAGAGGTTGCCGAGCCACGAGATGGAGAAGTTGCCGAAGGAGGAGGTCTGGTTTGAGAAGGGGGAGGGACAGATGAAGTGGTTGTATGTTCCTGAGATTGAGAACAAGGTCGAGGAGTGGGTGAAGGGCAAGCTTGAGTGAGCGGGTGAGGCTTGAGATGAGTTTCGCTCAGTTACTGTAGTCTCGATTGAGGTTGATGAGGCTCTTTTCATCGAAGATCTATACCTAGACATAGCCATGATATTCTTCTTTCATAATCAACCTCGATATAACACCCGTCTTGAGAATTGTGTAATGAATCACCTGTCTCGAGTCAGCAGATGATTTGACAGCTCCGACGAAAAGGTTACCAAATGGAGAGATGCCCCTTGTTAACGGGGCCGATTTACCTCGGCAAGCCGTGTGATTGGTCAATATTTAGACGATCTTTCTGGCGCCCGGGGCCTCGGCTTGCAGCTCTTCGAGACGCCGTTTCCCCGCAGGGAAGCTGTTTTGATGCGGGTTTCTGGCTGGTCGCGGGAGCGCGGAATTGGGGCCGTTTGGGGGTAAAACCTGGAGAAGCTCATCCCGGGGGACCGAATGGTTAAGACCGGGAGGCGGGATTGGATGAGGGGGCGGCGAAAGCTTGCAACTTCACCTCGTTGGTTTGTCCGGAGCACATGTTAAGACGGTTCGGAGGATATATCATCAAAGATCCCCGGTTGTTGTCTCTTTTATTGACATAGGTTTTTTCCATCTACATAAAGCAATCCGACTTAGTGATCTGCGATCAAGAGAAAACAACAACAGCACCAAAGAGCTCTCATAACAGACCAAGATGGCCCCCCGACAGAAACGCGAAAAGGCGCCGTGCTACGTCCTCGGCGTTGGCATGACAAAGTTCATCAAGCCCCGCGGCAAGGTCGACTACACGGAGCTGGGCTTCGAGGCCGGCGTCAAGGCCATGCTGGACGCCCAGATCAACTACGACGACGTCGAGCAGGGCATCGCCTGCTACTGCTACGGCGACAGCACCTGCGGCCAGCGCGTCTTCTACCAGTTCGGCATGACCTCCATCCCCATCTACAACGTCAACAACAACTGCTCCACGGGTTCCACGGGCCTCGCCATGGCCCGCAACTTCGTCTCCTCCGGCGCCGCCGACTGCGTGTTGGTCGTGGGCTTCGAGAAGATGATGCCGGGGAGCCTGCAGAGCTTCTTCAACGACCGCGAGAACCCCACGGGGACCTCGGTCAAGATGATGGCCGAGACGAGGGGCATCACGAACGCGCCTGGCGCGGCGCAGATGTTTGGTAACGCCGGACGGGAGTACATGGAGAAGTGAGTCTTCTCCCGTGACTGTGAAAACAGATTGGATGAGTGATACTGACCGTCACGTCAGGTACGGCGCCAAGCCCGAGGACTTCGCGGAGATCGCCCGCATCAACCACGAGCACTCGACCCGCAACCCCTACTCGCAGTTCCAGGACGTCTACACCCAGGAGCAGATCCTCAAGGCCCCCGAGATCTTCGCCCCGCTCACCAAGCTCCAGTGCTGCCCGACCTCGGACGGCGGCGCCGCCGCCGTCCTCGTCTCCCAGGCCTTCCTCGACGAGCGGCCCCACCTCAAGGACCAGGCCGTCCTGGTCGCCGGCCAGTGCCTCGCCACCGACGCCCCCTCGCTCTTCTCCCGCTCCGCCATCGACCTCATGGGCTTCGAGATGACGCAGCACGCCGTCAAGGCCGCCATGGGCGAGGCCAAGGTGACCCCCGACGACGTCCAGGTCGTCGAGCTGCACGACTGCTTCTCGGCCAACGAGATGATCGTGCTCGACTCGCTCGGCCTCGCGGAGCACGGCAAGGCGCACGAGCTCGTCCGCCGCGGGGACATCACGTACGGCGGCAAGTACGTCGTGAACCCGTCCGGCGGGCTGATTTCCAAGGGCCACCCGCTCGGGGCGACCGGTATCGCGCAGTGCGCTGAGCTGGTCTGGCACCTGCGTGGGTGGGCGAACAACCGCGCTGTTCCGCACACCAAGGCGGCGCTGCAGCACAACCTCGGTCTGGGTGGCGCCGTCGTGGTCACGGTCTACCGCCGCGCGGATGGCAAGGAGGCGCCCAAGATCGACTCGGCGACTGTTGGGAAGGTCAACAAGCTTGGATATAACCCGGCTGTTGAGGCGAAGGGGTTCACGGCGCAGCAGGCGGCGAGTGTGAGGAGCAGGACCAAGGTCAGTGACTGGGCTCTGCAAGACACGGAAGAGAAGGTCGAGGCGAGGTTCTAAGCTAGTGAGGATGTATGTACATTTTACAAATTGATGAAATAAATTCGCGGGCCCTTTTCTTTCTTCTTTCGCCATTGTCTGCGGTGTTTGATCTTCGTCTTCGTCCACGATGTTTACCCAGGTGCTCTACCTGATGAGGATTTCCGAGTATGTTTTACACGAGACTCGTGTCAACATTGTTTCCTTTGCTCGTAGCAACTGTGATCTAGGCATGTAGATGTGTACCTTTTGTCGGAAAGCAGGCCTAAGGTCAAATGATTTCGATTGAAGACAATGCCCCCCGAACCAAGCACGTTAGTGTCTCATATCAGAGCTGTTTCGGTCAATACCTCTGTATCTTATGTGGAGCGCTCACGACTTCACAGCATCCGAAATGAGTGGTCTTCATCAGCTCAGTAGTTTGGGGCACGGAGGCTTGTTGATGAGTGAGGCGAGGCGAGGCGGTTGCTGAGCTGTTCATATGCTGGGGGTTCCAATACCCATTAATTTCACAGGAAGAAGAAGAATCCAAGTACAACTTATAATTCAAGCTACTGCTTTAATCCCCGGGGACATGGACCGCGAGCGGATGAGTTTTAGTCGCTCAACAGCCATCCTTCCTTTTCACTACACAGCGGACCACGTGGCCAAGCCGGCACAGGAGACTTGTTACCTTCTTAAAGTTCCTAAGTTCTCATTCAATAAGAACCTAGCAGAGAGACATAATTCCCCTTCGCTTAAAGCCCGAAAAGAAGCTAAAGTCTGCATGGATATTGTCTCGATGCCCCGGGGATATTCAACACCATCCGCGTGGGGCATTGCGTGATCCAAGATCCTGACAACCACTGCCGACTCCTCACATTTAAATCCCTAACTGGACCAAAATCCATCTTATCAGCATCCCGGGTTCTGTCATCGGCATGCAGATGTGGATCTAAGCTTTTGCGGCTAATGCTTGACGATGCTTGTCCGCGTCCACCTCCGATCCCACTCGTGATCGGAGACTTTGAAATTCGAGGCCTCTGGTGCGGCTATTCTTCGCCCGTCTATTCCCACTTGCGCAATTGCGTGCTGGTTCTTGTTATCTTCAAACCCGGATACAACACCGATTGCAAAAACTCTGAAATATCGCGTTTACGATGGGTCCTGACGTGCTCGTTCCTGCGGGATGCTGATCACAGTGATTAAATCTCAAGAAGCTGCTCTGAACCAGTTCTTTGGGGTGCGTCGAGTCGGCTCTTTCCTCTTCTCTCACCCAAGTCCCGCCCAGAAGAGATCTCACCATGGCTATCGCACGGTTGAAACAGGTCTACCGGTCATGCCTCTTCCAGATCATCATCGTCGGACTTGTAGCGTTCTGCGAGCCTGGTATCTGGACGGCACTGAACAACCTCGGCGCTGGAGGTAATGCGAAGGTAACGTCACGGACATCCACAACAGTATCAGAATCATCACAACTCACGCTCGTGTAGCCTTTCTTGAACAATGCCGCCAACGCCCTCACGTACGGCCTCATGTCCGTAGGCTGTTTCATAGCCGGAGGCGTCACGAACAAGCTCACGGCCAAATGGACTCTGTTCATCGGAGCAGCCTTCTACACACCCTACGCCGCCGGGTTGTACTGCAACAACCGCTACGGCAACGAGTGGTTCCTCTTGCTCGGCGCCGGTCTCTGCGGTATCGGAGCGTCCCTCCTGTGGGCGAGTGAGGCGGCCATCGCTGTCGGATACCCAGAAGCGGAAAAGAGAGGCCGGTGAGTCTCGACCACACCTTTCTCGTGAAATATCGCTGACCGAATCTCCAGATATGTCGGAATTTGGATGGGCATCCGCCAAATGGGACCCCTCGTCGGCGGCGCCATCTCCTTGGCGCTGAACATCAAGACGTCCGAGAAGGGCAAGGTCACATACACGACCTACCTCGGACTCGTCGCCATATCGTCACTGGGTGCGCCCTTCGCGCTTCTCCTGTCGCAGCCGCAGAAGGTGGTCAGGACCGACGGCACCAAGATCCCCTACATGAAGAAGACGAACTTCTCCACCGAGGCGCGCGCGATCTGGAAACAGCTCAAGAACAAGTACATGCTGCTGCTGATCCCCGTCTTCCTCGCCGGCCAATTCGGGACGACGTACCAAGGGAACTACCTCACAAGTGCGTCTCACTCACACGTTGACACGCTTTATACGCTCAGTAGCTGACAAGACTATGTAACCAGCCTACTTCACCGTCCGCTCCCGCGCCCTGGCCTCCTTCCTCACAGCCGTGGTCGGCGCCGCCGCCAACATCCTCACCGGCGCGATCCTCGACATCAAAACCGTCTCGCGCTCCGCCAAGTCCAAGGCCGTCTACCTCCTCATCCTCGTCTTCGTCACGGCCGCCTGGACCTGGAACGCCGTCATCGAGACGACGCTCTCGCGCATGGCGGACCCGCCCTCGTTCGACATCGGCGACGGCCATTTCTTCAACTCGGCCTTCACCGTCTACATGTTCTTCAAGTTCTTCTACGAGATGCTGCAGACGTACATCTACTGGCTCATGGCCGAGATCAAGGGCGCGCAGGGCGACGGCGACATCGCGCGCACGACGGGCATCCTCAGGTCCTGGGAGTCCATCGGGAGCACCATCGCGTACGCGGTGGGCGCGACCCACTGGCCGAACAGGAACCAGATGATACTGGGCTTCTCGCTGTGGGCCGTCACGATCCCGTTTACGTTGCTTGCGGTGTTTGGGAACTGGAATCAGGGGGGCGATGACGTTTTGGAGAACTCGGATGAGACTGAGAGCGATGTTGGGGTTGAGAGGGTGGCGGTTCAGGGGAAGACGCAGGATGTATGAGGTATTGCTAGGTGGGCGAAGAAACAGTGCCTTGAATGTTTCCTTTCTAGACAAAACCGATAGACCAGTCTCTACAGAGCTGATTGCTGTTTATAATTACAGTCATTGAAAGAGCCGAACAATGTCCCTCACAAGGGCGAGATAAACACTACTGGAGTAAAATGATTCCTCTCACCCCTCCAGCAGATCAAACTCGCCGGGGAAACCCAAGGCAGCATAATCGAAGGCATCTGCGTCAAGTGGCATGTTCGATTGGAAGAAATGAGGGGTGATAGGTTGGAAGATGTCGCCAGTGATACTCGTCCGCCAGGAAGGGGAGTCTTCTTCACCAAGATGAGCCGTGGCATCGGCGAGCATGTCGATCTCGTTATGCGACTTTTGGCCATCAGAAGGACGAGGGAATTCTTCCAGAGCCATCTCCCTGATCATGCGTAGCGTGTTGCGATGCACGACTATGACGTCCAGTTGGCCCATAAGTTCCATCAAGGAGTTCGCCGATTCCTGCCTCATCTTCCGCGGCGCCGTAGCGTCTGTTGATGATGAGACGGACTCGAAGAGAGGGATTTCTCGTGCGAGTATGTCGAATGCGTCCCGCAGACACTTCGACTGCGGCCACCTCTCTGCGAGGATCGAAAGAATGATGCTACATGCCCTCACCGCTTCAGAGGCGTCGGGAAGCTCATACGCCTCTGTTCTCAAGTGAGGCGGCGTCGCAAAGAAGCAGTACAACAAAGCCACGCCGCACTTGAACTGCGCAATCAGACCGAGCCAGAGCTCAGTTATCGGCGTCTCCCGTTGGAACTTGCGAAAAATGAGGCACGCCTGCACGCACGACTTGACCGTCCAATCACCCGCAGGACCCGTCACCGTCGACTTGGTGGGCTGGTACAACATGGCCAGGCTGTAGTTGTATATCATGTGCAGCCACTCGCTGCTCGTAAAGTTCCTCGACCGCGTGTCCGAGTAGCGGTGGCACAGCGCCCTCCATCGGTCAAGCTTCTCGAGCACGCGCAGGCGCCAGTGGGACAGCCTGTCAAACTGCGTGTTGAAGTCGCGGTGGAGCGTCGTGTTCAGGATCTCGGACTGGATCTGTCGACAGTAGACGACGTGGAGTGCCGCCGACACGCTCGTCAGACGTGGCCGGCTTTGCGGGGGGTCCTCTGGGAACGACTCGGCGCAGCGTGCGGCGAGGTCGTGGTCGTCCACGTTGGCGTACATCTTCACCGTGATCTGGTAGTCGGGGATGGAGAAGGGGAGGTCGAACATCGTGCCGACGGCGCGATCGAGGGTGTAGGCCGACCAAAAGACGCGGCGGCGCATTTGGGCCTCGATCTTGGCAGCGACATCCTTGGGTGCGGGCTCAGCGTCTGCGAGGTGTAGCTGGGCCATGACGCAGTAGCGCATCGTTGCTGAGGCTATGGAGATGATGCGCTCGGTCGAAGGAGAGTATATGGCATGCATTGCCAGCAGGAGGTAGGCCTGGATGTGAAGCAGTCTGTCTTGTTGGGCGAAGACGTGCGAGAGGTATTTCGTGACGGCAACGCGGTAGAAGGCCTGGTGGCTATGACGGGAGGGATCGGTGGTGTTCTTCTCAAGGAGAAGGCCTATTGAGAAGATCATATTGATGAAATATGCCGCCCAGGCACCACTGGGCCGCTTTGACTGATCACGGAAGTCATCTAGGCGGAGGAAGGGGTATCTGCAGTGAACTTTGTCGTGATAGATGCTGAAGAGAGCCTCCTCCGTGGCTCTGTCGACGGTCCCTTCAACGTCATGCTGGCTCACGGGTCTTCTCGCAGCACCACCATCATGGAAGCTGAGAGGCGAGGGGATGTCCTCGTCTGAGCGAGCAAAAGTGGCTAGAAGACCGATCGCAGGTGAACTCCTGGTGAGAGATCCTTCTCCAGTTCGAGATGCAAACGAGACTCTTCGTCGCAGGTGATCTTCGGAACAACTCGCCTGGGCTGCCTCAGCTGCCCGGGCATCCGCAGTCTGCCTATTCTGATCAATGACAGACTGAAGCCGAGCGTTGTTTTCTTCGAGACGAGATATGCGCTCCTCCAACGAGGCGATGTCACCCAGCCAAGCCAGGGGCATGTGTGTCGAAGGTTGATGGTCCGAACTGCTGGCATCACAATCAGATCAACATGATCTCCATTGGGGACGTTTCACGACCCCGATTGGCCAAACAGGCAATCTTGGTGAAACTTTTTCTGGGCAGGCGCACACATACGGACGGGGATGAAAGGCCGGCACCGCCTCGCTGCATGGCTCACCCGACCTGGAGCAGTTGGCACACGGTCTCTGATCGTCGCATTTTTGCTACGAGATCATCGGGGTCAGCTACCAACGTTTCAGATGAGGGGGTAAGAGAGGACCCCTTCGGAGCCGAACCAACCTTTCGACGACGGCAGCGCGAGCAGGCCTGCGTCTTGGCCCGTTTGGCCGGCGGCTGCTCGTGGTCCTCGGGCTCGGTGGCGGCGGTTGTGGGGTCATACGGCAACCCGCCCTGGACCGCCGGTGTCGCCATGGTTCTTGTCGGTTTGGTTGCGGCGTTTCTTCACAGCCCGCTAGGGTTGTTTCGCGTCGAAAGGGGGGTGGCGATTTCGTGACCAGGAGACCGGCTACATCTTCACCACAAGCTGGTTCGCGTATCGAGAAAGCGAAGCTGTGGTTGAGGGGAAAGGGGGGAGCTGTTGCGATGAAATGCCGAGATGCTGGATGTAACTGATAAGCTACTGGGCATCCGTCAGGTTCGGGTGATAACAACCGGACCCCTGCATCATGGGTGGAACCCGCCTTTCTCAAGAAGCGAAGACGACGAAGCAATGAGGTTGACGATTGCTCGGCTAATGACTTCGTAGTACTTTGTGGTTCGGCTTGTGGATGTTTGTGAAGGTCATATGATGAAGCGAAAGGTTGTGCAGCGTTCATCATGTTGGTGATACTCTCGCTGAGTTGTGCAAATGCCTCCAGCTTCTCGTCGCAGCATCCCTGTAGATGGGGATCCGGGGCTTCCAAGGGCCAAAGACACAATACAATGATGTCACAAATGAGAAGAGTGCGACTCTAATTTCGAAATCCAAACAATGCGGTGATCAAGACAGAATTCTTGTGGCTAACCCATGTGTTGAATACTGCTGTTTGCGAAGTTGCTGATTTGGTGGCAATAGGCTTCTCAGTGAGTTGCTGACTGAAGGCTCAGCTACATGCAGTCTCATCTTTTAGGTTGCCTTCGCCGTGAAATATTATAGTAAACTCACGACTATCTTCAGTGAGGATTCTTCCCGCTTTGAGATAGAAAAGTCCGCCTCTTTATTATATTAGCTTCTAAAGCCTTCAGCACGCTCTGTCACATGGCTTTCTAAGTACCCACCGGGAAGGAAGAGTCGAGGACCCTGCAACTTGGTATTGCAAAGTTCTGAACTCAGTAAAGGCAATAGAAATTTAAGAAATTCAGAGGTTATTGAGTATTACCAAAGCTGAATGGAATTGGTGGCAACTAATCAGGAGGCGGAAATATTCCGAGATGTGCTAGAAGATTGAAAGACGCAGGTTTCTGATTGATATCAATGATGAGGCTAAGCTGTTCATATGACATATACGACGAGCTTCGCCACATACTGTCCACAACGCTCATACTGCCAAAACAATACAGATGATCGGTTAGGGCTTCCTCCCGGAAGCTCCGAGCATAAGTGTCTGTGGTTGTTGTAGGATCCAACAGTAGGATTCGGTATGAGAATTCCGAGCAATGGCAACATATTTGAGCCACTGAGATTATGGCAATTCAAGGTAAACAGCAACCTAAAGAGACAGAAATGGGCAGCTGATGATGATCACGCTGCGTGGTTCCACTTAGATCCTCAATCCTCAAACAACATCCCAGTCCCCTGGTGTGGTCATTTTTAGCTAAAGATTTGCGAACCCGGACACTCGAGTGCCGTCTAATCCGCGACGAGTGCATTTTTCTCACCAGTTCACCGCCCTTCGACAGAAGATGGCTGTTCTTAACAGCGTGGACTAAGACTAATACTTGGGATTTTGGATATGATATCACGACTGTTACCAGCCCAATCAACACCAGGGCTTTCGATCGATATCGGCGTTGCTACCCTCTTTTGTATACCTCCGACAATGGCATCTTGTTCACAGCCTGGTCACAAGTTCAGACGACCGTCGAGGTGACGTGTCTCCCACCTCAACAGGCGATGCAAGTAAATCAACACACCACTCTGCGAGTGAGCGATCGAGGAGGAGGCCGAATTCGGTCTTCCGGTCACGCCCACTCCCCGAACCAAGGCAGGCCTTGTGTGTAAGATATCGGTGGGCCGTCGCCGCGTTTACTCCCCGCGGGAGGTGTTTTGACAGCAACTTGACTGCCGAGGTCATCCCCATCACGGCCATGCCTTACGGCTGTAAAACCAAGGGACTGGAGAGAGGCCATGCCGAGCGAACCGAACGACACAACAAGGAGGTCGTTGCAACGTTCACGGCCATAGGGCAGGAGGGAGAGAGGTCTGAGGGAGGGCAAGCCCGGCAAGGCTTGGAAAGTGGTCCTATGGATAGCGATGAACAATAGTCTCCAGACGCGTTTTCCCCCCTTCGCCGGGTGCCGAGATGGAGATCCCTCAACATGAGGCTCCCCTGATTGTCGTGCTTGGCGGCAGGTTGGTATCAGAAAAAGGGCGGCGGGCCAGGGATGCCAATGCTGAAGGAAGGGTGCGATCGGCGGGGTTCGGAGGGATTACGACGCGGGGATCATGCAGTTTCCGAGAAGAGGTTGGGGCGGTTTGACAGGTGACGCCGCGACGGGGGGGTTCCGACGTCAGGTTGGGCTGAATGGATGGAGATGGAGGCTCAAAAGAGAAGAGTGAGGTGTTAGTATTAGTGGATCAGAGAATAAGGGCCGGTATGCCAAGTTGATTAATTGAGCCTTACGCCGGATTGTCTCACGTCAATCCAACCCCAGTGACTACATCTTGAAATGTGGACAGCTTGACGTAAACTCTGACATCCTTTTCCACAACTCTAGTTGAGTGACAGAATCGCACGGTCTTCAAGGGAATTCTACCGCCCGGCGCCAAAGGATTTCACTTGATACCCGAGCTACCTTATTTTCAAGTTCGGGTTTGATAGACTGTCGCCCAGGTTGCCCAGAGGGCTGATCGAGAAATACTGAGGGAAGAGGGATGAGCCCTGGACGGTTTCTGCCCGCAAAGGGAAGTCCAAAGGTGGGACGAAGTAGGAATCGTGGGTTTCATTGGCCTGAAGAATATCAACTCAAACATTCCATGTCTGAAACAAGCTGGCAACAACCCTGCGGGGAAACACTACCGAAGCAACCACTTGCGCTTGAGCCTCCAGCTGGCGTGCAGGGATCAATACCATTGTGAGACGGCAGAGACCCCTGTAGATCCCTGCTTCACGTTCCCTTTGCACCCGTCTCCTCCGTCTTGTCTGTGTGGTTGTGTTGTATCCGTATGTGCGTGTGTGTACTGTAGGTGTCTCCCGACACTGCGTCACGTCAGTCAAAGGGCCACATACTGGGCAGAGAGAGGGTAAGGTTTCTCGGATGATAGACACTCGCAGTTACCGCTGTAAGGAGTGTGTGAGAGTCGCATGCGTGTTCGTTCTCACGGTGCGGAGCGGGAAAGAAAAAAGAGGGGACACACATGGGACAAGAGGGAGGGAGACCGTGGGATTGTTTAAAGACGGGCCTGGCGCGGCTCTTCGGGCCAGCCGTCCCTCTCTTGACTCTTTTTTTCTGGGACGGGAGCGACATCTTTTTTTGGGACTGCCATTGTATGAGATTTATTGATTGTTTAATTTGTGTTGTTTGAATCCGTTTTCACCTTGAACAGCTCTGTGGCTTGGCGACGATTGTAGAGCCGCTGGATCGACTTACATCGAACGACCGCCCGTTACCTTCATACAACCAAACAACTATACCACCGACCGGTCCGCCCTCTCCGCGACACAGACCGTCGACCAAACTTGGAGTTTTTCCGTCAACTCTGATCCATCTGAACTGGCTGCGAAGCCGTACAGAGATACCATCTAATCGGCTCACACAACCTTGGGTTCGACTGTACTCTATCACGACTTGAAATAATCACACGAACGAACGAAGAACATACCCAGGGACAACCCACGATACCACAATACGCTACTTCAACGACAGAGTAATACGACACAACTCCGACATCATGGCCGGTCTACTTCCTAAGCTTGGAGACACCCTCGGCGTCTCGAGCAATGTCCCCGTACTTGGACCTATTCTCGGAGGAGGGGGAACAGGCGATGCGGGACAGACGAGCACACCAAACTCGTCTTTCAGCCAGGCTACGCGAGCACAATCATCATCAACACCACCATCCTCGGCACCAGCTACGACGACACCGTCATCAGCGCCGCCGAGGAGCACTTCCACACCTTCAAAGACGTCGACGCCCTCGCTATCTTCGTCACAGACGCCATCCGCTCGCCCTCTCACAACCTTCATCATCTCAACAACTACCAGTATCTCAGTAACACCTACACCATCACTATCAGACACACCACCACTGCCGTCACCGACGTCAATTCCTCCGTCGGTAGCTCCTTCAGTCGCGCCATCACAGCCACCAGTGATACCCATCTCCACCCCCGAAGTATCACCCTCACCGGTACCTTCTTTCATCCCCCCTCCGCCAGAGTCGACACCATCGTTGGCTCCCACACCGACACCAACGCCGACGCCGCTGCCCAGTAGTATCGCAGCACCCAGTCAGGCGGAGAGCTCGGGAGGAGGAGGCGGCGCCAAGTTGATGCCGGCGCTGCCCATTACTCTCGGTTCAGTCGGAGGCGTTCTGATTTTTGGACTCCTCTTTGGCATCCTGTACAGGAAGAGCCGCTGGCCATTCCACAAGAGGAGGAAGTTTGCGGAGATTGACGAGTTGGAAATTGAGAGACAGCAGGAGATTGAGAGGCAGCAGAAAATGAAGTGGGATCCTAGAGTGACTAGGTCTTTCAAGCAACAGCAGGCAGCTAGTGCGGGCGTCAACTTCTAGAGAAGCCGGCGTTACCAACCAAACCAAATCAAAATACCAAATATTTACGCTCGCTACATGAACTCTCAGTGAAAACAGATTTAAGTAGCTGCAAAGAATCCCATAATTGTGCTCGACGGTCCTCTGATACGATCTCCAATACACAGCTACTCGTTGTGGAATGCTTTCGATCGATACAACGTGGCTTCTCTCAATCTGTTTCAGCGATCATCTTCATTCCATACCAGCCATATGTTTCACTGGCTTTCCGATCCCGCCTGGTGCCATTACCGACGTCCCGGGTGAGGCTCATTCTGCTTCCTGTCAAGACACTCACTAGTCGAACTTTGGTGTTTCAGACTTCAATGCCTTTCGGTATACTCAATGTTCCGCAGCACAATCTTTGGGGTCCGCAACTGTCCCCGAGGCTTGGTGAGCTTCGTACGACGCGCGGCATGTGAGTCGGCAGACAGAATTGCAGTGAAGTTAACCAGGAGGCCTCAGGGATCTCGTCTGAGGCTGAGAACCAGTCCGAGTCCCATTGGTGCGGTGCTTCCACCGCCGCCCAATGGAGCAAAACCCTCTCACACCACTCCGGTTGCCGCGTCTAGTTGAGAAATAAGGCGAACATGTACGGTTTTGGGAGGGAAAACTGTAACTGTGGTGGTTGCCGCCGCTGGTCTGGATTTCGGACAAACTGAAATAGAGTTAACAAGCACCATGAAACTGGGACATCGCCTTCATCGGAGGCAGGGAGCTGCCTTGGGGATATCTAAGGTTTGTGCCGGCCTTTGGGTACGCCGTGACCGGGTTTCCACGTCGATGTTATTTGACACTGCTAGTCATGACGCGCGGTAAGCGCGGTTTTCTCTGTTTGAGAAGAAGATTTACCACCTATCACAAAAGATCAGAATTGTGACAGACGGCTGACATGAACGGTTGTTGCTTGACATTCTCTGGCAGGCTTGGGAGAAGCAAACTCAAATTCGGAACAGCTGTCGTTTAGGTGTGTCAATTTGAACTTCTATTGAGATTTCCGGTCACAGCATGAAGCAGAAGTGAGATTCGTACAGAAGTAACCTCTACGTCACTGCAATGTTTTCCCGGTGCACTATTCACCTGCTTGGGAAACTATTTCAGTGTCTCAGCTCAAATAGCATTTAGCTAGAGAGAGACAGGCTATAGCGAATTTGAAAGTTATATTGGCAATAAGGAGTAGTCATATGGCAAAACTTTGCCGTGTTATGAAAGTATTTGTTTTCCGATTCCAATGATGGAAGTTGCGTCAGCTATGTTGTCGGTACTAGGAGGTCTATTTGGTTATACGAGTATTTTCTCCGCTTGCTCGCAATGAATTGAAGCTATCTTTAACATCCGTATGTGCATTTATCTGAGCTGACTGTAATTCCAGTGGTTTACCTCTGCCATCGAAGCTGTGGCATGTCATCTAACCGCCGTCGTGCTATTGTATCATGTGGCGTGGATGAATATCGACAACAGGTATGGGACCTAGAAACATGGAGGACGCCGACTATCATATTGGTGAAACTTGGCTTGTAATTTAGTGAGAAAGGCATAGTATAATCCAAGCTCGACTTCACATGTGACATAGTATGCAATTAGAATTATCTGGTCACGCCAAAGTGTATGGACAGATGGCCTCTCAGGGTTGATGTCCTCAGAGGTACTCTAAGACCTCAAAAACCCCGTGATCCTCTAAGAATCTGTAACCCTGATGAGCCAGAAACACGTACTGGATTGCAGGCACCCTCCGCCCGTCCTTGCGCGTGACCATCCGGACGCAATCTTCCGTGATATCCTCCGTAAATCTCATATGCTCGTAGACTTCGTCCGCCCCTTCAGCTTGTGTCCCAATGATGAGAGTCGCGTTTTCAAACTTCCGAAGCGCATCCAGGTGGCAGATATTCCTTCTGTTTCGTGACCGCCATACCAACTCTCTCCATTCAGGACTCGGCCAGCACGCCGACCCGAATTCGTCCTCTTGTAAATTTTGGATCGAGTCGCGCGGAATCTTGATGGAAATCAAAGCAACTTTCGAACAGGGTGCTCTTCTTTTGGCGTAAGAACCCTCCAGCTGCGCGATTTCGTAGTCTTGGCTGAAACAGAAAGCCGATAATAAGACGCTGAAGTCTGACTGGGGAGAAGTGAGATGCCCGAGGCAGTCGAAATTTCCGTTGTCGTCAAATAGTCTGCAAGCACGACCCAGATCTACAGATTTATACAGTGTGATATGACTGGAACTCTCGACTGAGGCTGCCTCTGGCGGGTGATTGTGTGATTGAGTTACCGGCTCCGGGTATACCGCCGGCGTCGAATTATAAGCATCTCTCTGGAGCCTTGCGTAACGCATTTCAACTGTATCTCTAACCCAGTATCGAGCGGACCGTGACAAGCGCATGGTCTTAAACCTCGGGTCCATGATGGCGGCTTGTGTGTCGTTGTTGATGCCGTAATGAAGCAGAGATTTTCGCCATTCTTCATCGTTATCGTTCCAAGCATCACCGTCGTCTTTTTCTAGGCCTCCGGTAAAGAAGTCGTCGAAGGTCATATACAGACCACCGTCGAGAGGGTCAGTCTCTCGAAATGGAGGGCCTGGAGGCCAGTTTGTCCACCTATCCCAGAGTTGATTGGCCTTCTCCTCAGAGAACCCAATCTCAACTAGGGTGCGGAGGGAGATCAGATCTGTGGACATCGTAGCTAATGAAATCTGCTTTCTTGCACATTCACAGAAATTTATCAGACTTATTAAAGCAATGATAACTAGTGATATAAACGTGGGACATACTTGTAGACCTGAGTTTGGGGCGAAGGCTTGCCCTTAAATACCTAGTCACGAGATAATACCTGTGTGGCGTGGGCGCCATCACCAAAGTTTAAGGGACTACCTACAATTAACCACGGTTCTCTACAACTGAAATTGAAGTACCTGTTCTGGCAGCTCCATCAAGGTAGGTTGGGTCAGGGTGAGCCCCATGTTATCGACCTCACGGGACTTGAGTAGAACGAGGACACGCCAAGGTCTCGACGACTTCGTTACGAATAGTTTTACTGCTTTTGCACTGATCTTGGTGATTCTAAATTGTTAGGAAACTTAGTGACGAGGGTTTTCATGCCGTATAAGTAAATGGCTCAGAGGCCCTTGCTGAGGCAGCTATCTTTAAGTCTCGATCACACGGTGCCTGGACATTGACAACGCCTCAACTTGCAAAAACGTGACGCTAGATGCTATCCATGCTTCATGTTAAAACCTGGGCTACTTTCTAACAGCAACACCCTCAACCTCTAAATCCTATCTATCTTCCGTCGTTTCCGCGTTCCCATCTCTTTCTTCGTTCCCATCTTCATCGTGTTCCCTGTCGTTGTACTTCTCCTCATCAGAGTTCTCCTCATCAGAGTCCTCATCAGAGTCCCATTCTTCAGACAGCCAAGCCTTGATTTCTTCCATATGACCATACCTTTCTGAAATCAAAGATATGATTCTCTCCCCAAGTATCCAGTTTTTTCCCGCAGCTTTTATGACATCTCGCGTAACTTTGACTTTGTCGCCGTGCTCTTCTAGAAGAAAGTCTACAGTCGTCATGCTCCCTTTGCGGGCTGCAGTAAGGAGGACCTCCTGATTAATCCTGACCCCTTCACCGCCCTTCTCTAGAATTGAAGCCATCCCGTATGCATTTCCCAAGCACTTCGTCGCTCTGGCTAGAATCACCTCTTGCGTGACCTGAACCTTGTTGTCATACCTTTCCAGAAGAAAATCCATGATCGAATCTGAACCTTCCGCAGCCGCAGCAAGCAAAACCTCTTGTGTAATTTCAACCTCCTCTCCACCCTTTTCCAGAAGCAAACCTATCGTGTCCCTGTCAGCTTCCCTGTTCATTGCAAGGGCAATAACGGCATCTTGCGTGACCTTGATCTCATAACCGCGTTGCTCTAAGAGTAACGCGATTGTCTCCGGCACGGAGCTTCGCGCTGCAAGACGAAAGACGGACGGCGTTATCTTGAACCAATCTCCACACTTTTTCAACAACAGGGCAATAATTTCCTTTCCTTTCCAATTTCTTACTGCGCTTATGAGAACCAACTCCACGTTGCCAGCAATAATGAAGCCCTTTTCAAGCAAAAGCTTTACGATTTCTTTGCCACAAGAACCATTATTTACCGCAACTATAATGTCGTCCAGCGTGATTTTGATCGTACTCGCAAACCTCTCAAGGAGGAAAGCTAGTATCTTGTGCCCTGTTACAGACTGGACGGCGGCTCTGACGACCTCTGACATGGGTTCGACTTTGTCTTCATGCCTCTGTAGGAGGAAAGACAACATCTCTTTTCCTCTATGTGAGCCTGCTGCAGCTTGAATAACCTCCGATGTGATTTTGACAGCAGCGCCATACCTCTCTTGGAGAAGAGTCAACATCCCGACTGGGGCCCATCCTGCTACGCATTCGACAACCTCCGAAGTGAGTCTTACCTGGTTGCCATGTCTCTCCAAGAGTAAAAGCAATAGCTCCATTTTACCCGTTCTTATGATATCGACCAGTAGAGCTTGTGTGATTTCGACTTCTGGGAACTTTTCCAAAAGCAAAGACATCAACTCTTTGCTAACGCTATAGCTGCATGTCGCAATTTGGAAGACCTCTTGGGCGCTGTGGGCTCTCGTTCTCCCACTGAGAAGATAGGCTGCCACTTCAACATGTCCGTGTTCTATGGCTGCCAGAAGAGCTGTTCGATATCGATGATTCCCAGCATTGCAATCAGCGTCGTGCTCCCACAGCGTTTGAACTATGCCGACATGGCCTTCTTGTGACGCCGCCAAAACCGCCGTCCCAAATGAGTAGTTTTTCTCATTGACATTGGTCTTTTCCCGATCAAGCAGGTGCACAACGACTTCTACTAAGCCAAGACAGCTTGCGAGTATCAAGTCTGTCCAGTCATTTCTACGTCCCAAGGCGATTGCCCCGTGTTCTGTCTTGGTCTCAAGCCATGACGGTTTTCTTCGACGTTCGGCTATGCGGCATAGCTCACGCGCATCTTGGTGGACCTTGTCCCTGTCCTTCTCATCTTGTGAGTTGTAGTGATCGACCCAGTTCTTAGCAGCGTATACCATGAATGGGGGGGCTTTTTTGGCTTTCAAAAGCACATTGAAATCCTGCAGTGATAGAAAACGAAAGCAGGAAATGAACATGAGGTTGTGTGCTGAAGGCAGGTGGAACTTTCCCTGCCAATCAGAAGTCTGCGAGCCAAACTCTGCAATGAGGAAGTCTCTTGCCGTCTTGTGAATGAAGGAGACCTTGTCATTGCAAACGCTGAGAAAAAGTCCACTGAGATTTCGTATCGTGCTCTTGACCGTCTCACTGGTCCATAGCTCAGTCTCAAGATCGTCATATGAATATGATGAGCCCCTGCTGAACCTTTCCTCTTGCAGTGCGAAGCAATGGTTGACCTCCTCAAGCGTCAAAGGGTACTTTGCGGCCAGTACGATCTGAAGAAGGCATCTGGCATCCAACGCATTCGGGCTGCGACTTAGAATCTTTTCGTATGCTTCAGTTACATCCGATGGAAGGTCTTTCAGTAATTTTTCAATCCTGGAGAGCTTGCCGTACGCGCTCCGTCTTTCATCGATGATGCCCATAGTGAGATGAAGCCAGAGGTAGGTGCGATGGTCCATATCCTTCAGATGCTTCAGCAGCTTTTGACGTTGTTCAATGGAAAACCGTTCCGCAATTTCGTTGACTCTGTAGTCAATAACGAGATTGATCTCGACTCCTATGTCTGCGGACTTGTCGTCTCCGTCTAGTCGGACGTATAATCCGCCGTCGGAAAACTTCAAGAATTCGGACTCTAGGTGATCATATGGACGGCTTGTGATGATGAACTTGAGTCGCGAAGAAGCGCGCGTTTTGTCTCCGAAATAGAAGGTTTTGAGTACCCGGAGAATCTCTTTGCCGCATCTTTCATTGCACTCATCCAACGCGTCAAGGATACAGACGATTTCGCCGGCGTTAGGGTCTTTGGCGCAATTAACCAGAATCTCCCAGAGCTGGTAAAAGTTGTCTCGAAGCTTTTCTTCGTGACTTTTGAAGGGGTTTTGTGCGTGGCGGATCAGTCCATTGGCTCTCTTTGGGTCGAAGAGCTGGTGTAAGATGGCAGATAGTGCGTCAGAGCTGCTCGTGCGCCGCTCTTGGCCGTCCTTGAAGAAGAAGTGGCAGACAGTAGCCTTTTCCGGGTTTGTCGACAACATGTTCTCGTCGATTAAGGACCTTGCTAGCACTGACTTGCCGCAGCCAGGTCCGGCGGAGACCCAGATGATGCCTGACGAACTCTCGAGCCATTCCCGGAACTTCCGGTCCTTGAGAAACCATTCACAAGTGCCCCTGACTCTAGGGGGGTTGAAGTTCTTGTATCTTTCGTGTTCCGCCGCAAGCAATGGGAGTAGTTTGCTTTCAATTTCGTCGTATTCTCCTTTAGAATGTCCGGCAATGAAACTGTCGGTTCTGCTTTCCACTCCGGTCTGTGTCGTAAGTTGTGGGTTCCCACCGAATTCGACAAGTTCTAATTCCTATTAGTCAAGAACATTTTATTGGGAAAGATACTTACGGCTTGTGCATGGAATCTTTGGTTCGCATGAGAAGCTTTCCAGGACAGCTTTTGTCGCAGAAGCCGCTACCGCTGCCGAGAAGTTTTGCCAGCTCTTGTTCTTGTGGCTGTCTGCGTAGTCGCAAACTGCCTTGACAATGATGCTGTCATGATTGTGACTGCGGACGCCGGCCCCCTCCATCTCAAAAGCCATGAGACCGTGTTGCGACGCAATTGTATCGCGATCCCGTCCACTCTTCATGACGGTATCGCCAGATCCGAAACGACCGAATCTCACGCGAACTTGTGGTGAAACATCAAGGCTGCTGCTGTTTCCATCTTGTAACTTCTGCCTCTTGCGAGGTCTTGGAACACGATGAGAATCCTCGCAACCGAGCTCATCACAGGATGCATCGCGTGCCTCCTCACAAGCACCAGACTCCTTGCAGTCACACTGTCGAGAATCGCGATGCCTGTGAACATAGTCCGCTTCGTAGAGGTAATCATCTTCTTCGTCGGGGCGTCCGTACTTGGGTATATCATACTTTTCGACCTCCTGCCGCTGTACCACTTGAAGAATCCGATTGGTTTCAAGCTGTAGGGCAAGGTTGGCGTCGCGTTGTTGTAGGTTGCTCAGAAAGGAACGAATTTGCCTGCCAGGCATAGGAAGCACGTCTTCGATGTCTTCTTTTGGGCGAAACTTGTCAGGATTCTTTCGGCCGTAGTCGTATTGGAAGATGCTTTTGCTGATCACCACGTCTCCCAGACGAAGTTCTTGATCGGTGCCGATACGTGGTACTCCGCCGCATATGCCAGCTACAACGGCTAGCTTGATTCCGGTGTAGGTGACTTGGATCGAACCCGTTACGGTCGCTGCGTTGACCTTTCCCGGCTCGCAGGACACTAGTAAGGAAGTGTGGCCGCCGATTTGGCCGACGCAGTAACAGTAGCCATCTTGAGTGTCGTATCTAGTCCCCTCCCATGTCATATCAAAAGCAAGTTTGACAGCATCGTACTCGAGATTCAAGGCGCATATTATGGCGATCCGAATGTCCTCATTGCGAGGACGAGGGTTTTGGCTAGCCATGGCTTGCGATCGGACGTTCACCGATTGCGCTCATGGGAGGCGTAGGAGCGTAACTGGGTGTTGTGTAAAGTGTAAACATTGTTGGGCACCCTCGGGACTAACCACCAGACTGTATCCAGAGCGAAATCAGGCTGGCGCCAGCTCCATGGTGCCAATTGGTTCGTTTCGCCATGTTGGCGCAGCTGCTTATGACCCTCCATGATGCACGTCAGACCAATGAGACACCACCACAGCTTGGAGTCCATGTCATCCCCCCTCTCTCCCGGCATTGCGTTGTGGCTGAGGACGAGGCAGAATGACAATCGCGGAGAGAAGGGCCCGAGCCGTAAGGGAGGGAACCGAAGAGAATGGGGAAACACTCAACATGGACAACAGTGCGCGAGCAAAATGGCATCAGGGGATCGCGGTATGAACAAGAAAGGTTATCAGTCTCGATATTCAAAATTATGCAGAGATTGATTCCCTTGTCGGGACGCTTTGAAATTGGATGGTATTATGAACAAGTGTGATACGCCATTTACAACTATCTTTGCCTTCTGGCCTCGCCCGCCTCCTTGCCCAGCTTCTCCAAAGCCTCCTCATACTTCTGTACCCTCTCGTCTCCGAAGCCACCGCTGTCAGGGTCTCCAATGCGCAGACGGTCAACCTTGGCAGAGCGGCGGATGCCGCTGCTCGGCTTGGCGATCTTGCCCCAGAACCAACCACTCTCTCCGTCCTCAACCAAGGTCCAGGCGGCACCAGCGCGCCCGGCACGAGCCGTACGACCGACACGGTGGACGTAGCCTGCAGCACTGGCGGGCAGGTCGTAATTGATGACGTTGTCGAGCTGCGAGAGATCGATACCGCGAGCCACCAGGTCGGAGGCGACCAAGAGACGGAGACGTTTGGCAGCAAAGGCGCGGAGGGCGCGGCGACGGTCGGATGTCTTTTGGGTGGATGTGAGGGTCGCGATGTACGGTGCCAGCTCGGGGTGGAGGAGGGAGATGAGACGGGACAGACGGAGCGCGGCTTCGTTCGATTTGGTGAAGATGAGGGCTGTTGTTGCGAAAGGCTTTGTGGATGTTGTAGCCTTGGTCTCGGAGGCCTCTGAGCTGGTATCCGAGTCTGAACTTGAGTCGGAATCTGAGCTTGTATCCGATCCTGCTTCAGAGCTAGTATCTGAAGATGCGTCTGAAGATGTGTCTGAGGATCCGTCTGACGAAGACGTAGCGTCATCGTCGTCCTGTGCTGTAGTTGTAGACTCTGCCTTAGTTGCTGTTTCGGACATGAGGTGACCATCCAGCAGAAGATCGATGAGGTATAGGGGCTTGAGATTGGCATCGTGGACTCTGATCGCAGACTCTTTGAGCAGAGTTGGCAGAGTGTGTTCAGCAATCGGGGCTGTTCCATCGGCCTGTTGACCCTCCAGAACAATGAGCTGTGGCCGGCGAAGCTGCAGACCGCTGAGCAGACTCAAGTCTCGAGTGAGGGTCGCACTGAGAACAACCTTGCGGACGCCAGATAAGTTAGAGTCAGGGAAGTCGCGCGCGCTGAACTTGTTCGTGCGCAACTTGGACATGACAACGTCCAACCAACCCTGGAAACTCTGTGCCAGCAGCTTATCAGCTTCATCGACCACCAGCCAGCGAACGTAATCCAAAGAGAAGCCCGGGGTAAGCTTGATGTGCTCAACCAGTCTACCAGGAGTGCAGATCAGGACGTCAACTTTAGAGGCATAATCCACCACGTGATCCGGTAGCGAGCCGGCCTCTGTCCTCTGGACTGCTTCATCAGCCTCCAATACCGACTCTTCCACGTCTTTCCAGGCTTCGAGTTCGCGCTGGTTCGCGGCACGATAAGCATTTGGATCGTACTTTTCCTCCTTCTCAACGAGGTTCCCCTGTTCATACTTCAACTGCTGACTACCAATGGCAACACCCACGCGAACTCTCTTCTGATCACGACCGTCAAAAGCGCTAGCGCAGAGCTCAAAGACCTCCTGAGCCTGTTTGACCAGTTCACGCGTAGGAAGCACCACAAGAGCGCGCAGTCTCGTGACAGTGCCTTGGCTAATGTCACGGACGATTGGAAGAGCATACGCCAGTGTCTTTCCGGATCCAGTAGCTGCTGCAACAAGGAGATCGCCTTGACGATGCTTGCAAGATGGTAGAAGTAGGGGAAGGGCTGCTGTCTGAACAGCAAAAGCATCCTTGAAACCCTTGGATTCCAAGATCTCAGCTGCCTTAGGGTTGATGCCAATATCTGCGAACGGGGTCCGTGTGTCCGGTGCCACTCGTATAGGGGCAGCGAGCCAAGGTGGTAGGGTCTCGTAGGACGGTTTCGATGTATCGAGAGCGACTGGTTCGGGCTGGGGAAGCGGTTCCAGGCCGTGTTCTTCCACTTCTTCCTCCTCCTCGTCCACATCCATCTTATCCGGAACTTCATCGTGAGCCGTGTCAGCCGCCTTTTTCAGGTACTTACTTGCCTTGGCAAGTACGGCCTTGTGTCGAGCTGCAACTCCATCATCTTCGGTTTCGGCCAAAGCCTCCTCGCTCTTCTTTTTCTTCTTCTTTGACTTGTCCTTCTTTTCCTTTACGACATCCTCCTCCTCCTCGTCAGATGCGCGCTTCTTCTTCCTTTTCTTCTCGTCTGATTCCGTTTTCTCGTCTTCGCGTGTGTCCATAGCGTCCCCGGCCGATTCTTCGTCGGCGTCGGAGTCGACAACTTTCTTGGACTTTTTGGACTTTTTCTCCTTCTTCGACTCTTTCGAGGGAGTAGACCCTGCTTCTTCTAAAGGGGCAACTTCTTCTGACTTCCTAGACTTCTTCTTTTTGGCGGGAGTCTCTTCGACTTCAGCTTCGGCTTCGACCTCGACCTCATGCTTGCGCTTTGTTGCAGGAGACAAGACTTCGGCGTCATGTTGCGCCACACTTGCGAGTGATGTTCGGGATTTCTTCTTAGAAGGTACGAATCGAGCGTATGGGCTGGAGGTTGAGTCGCCGGCCGTGACGGTTCCGGTCGCAGCATTTTCGTTCGTCCATGTAGGTGCGGGCTCCGGCGCAGGAGGTGCCGACTGAGGTACTGGAGGCTGGACGGGCGCTTGCGCCTCCTTGTTCTTCTTCGGAGGAACGTATCGGTTATACATCGTGTCAATTGGGTGCTCGGGACCCTGCCGAAGCTATTCAGTCGGGTTGCCGCCTTCGTCAAGGACTTTTTGTGAGATGGGAGGGGCTGTTTACAGACGGGAAGCACTGGACTCCAGAAAAAAAGTTGGGCGCAACATCCTTATCAGTTCTGCCGTATTTTACCGCTTTCCGAAAGCTTCTTATCGCTCTGCAACCCCTGGAGCTTAACGTCAGGAAGGCACCTACCTACCTAGGTGCCTTGGGGGTTACTTCGACCACCTTGTTGCGAATGCGACCACAGCTCTTTGCGACGCGATCTTCCCGCGTATGATGCATCAAATCCTCACATCACGGTGACGGCTGCTGATGACGAGCGACGACGACGACAGCGACAGAAAATGGCTCGAACATATAACATCGCTATGGTCAGCGACTTCTTCTTCCCGCAACCCGGAGGAGTCGAAAGTCACATCTACCAGTTGTCCTCCAAGCTGATTGACCGCGGACACAAGGTCATCATCATCACCCACGCCTACGAGGACCGCAGCGGCGTGCGCAACTTGACCAATGGCCTTAGAGTGTATTACGTCCCCTTCTTCGTCGTCTTCCGATCAGCCACCTTCCCGACCGTCTTCTCCGCCTTCCCAATCCTCCGCAACATCCTCATCCGCGAGCAGATCGAGATCGTCCATGGCCACGCCAGCTTAAGCACTCTGTGCCACGAGGCCATCCTCCATGGTAGGACCATGGGCCTCCGTACCGTCTTCACGGATCACTCTCTATTTGGTTTCGCGGATGCTACTAGCATTCTGACGAACAAGATCTTGAAGTTCTCCCTCAGCGACGTCGACCATGTCATCTGTGTTAGCCATACATGGTAAGCTTGCGCCGCCCGCCTCTTTTCCCCCGACTATTCTGACATCAAATCACAGTAAAGAAAACACCGTTCTTCGAGCGTCGTTAGACCCCCTCATGGTTTCAGTCATCCCAAACGCCGTCGTCGCCGAGAACTTCCGTCCGCTCGATTATCCGATATCCGAGACAGGGCAAAGCTTTGGACAGAACCCACCTCCAGCTCACCACCTGGGCCCGAACGACATGATTACAATTGTAGTCATATCCCGCCTTTTCTATAACAAAGGAACGGATCTTCTGACGGCTGCGATCCCCCGCATCCTGGAGAACCACCCAAATACGAGATTCATTATCGCTGGATCGGGCCCGAAGGCAATCGACCTCGAACAGATGATTGAACAGAACGTGTTGCAAGACAGGGTAGAGATGTTGGGTCCTATCCGGCATGAGGAGGTGCGGGACGTCATGGTACGGGGCCATATCTACCTCCATCCTAGTCTCACGGAGGCGTTTGGCACTGTCATTGTTGAGGCAGCCAGTTGTGGTCTCTACGTCGTGTGTACGCAAGTTGGAGGTATCCCTGAAGTTCTTCCATCGCACATGACCGTCTTCGCCAAACCGGAAGAGGACGACCTGGTCTTTGCAACCGGCAAGGCCATTGCTGCCTTGAGAGCCAACAAGGTCCGCACAGAGCGCTTTCACGAGCAGGTCCAGAAGATGTACTCTTGGACCAACGTAGCGCTGCGAACAGAGCGAGTCTACCACGGTATTTCTGGCGAGCTGAGCGAGGCGGAGTTTTACGGCATCGATGCAGCCAATGGGGCGAGCAGGGTTCGCTCTTTTACACTCATCGACCGGCTCAAGCGATACTACGGCTGTGGTATCTGGGCTGGCAAGCTGTTCTGTCTCGTTTGCATCATCGACTACTTGCTTTTCTTGCTCTTGGAACTTTGGTTCCCGCGGGACCAGATCGACATATGCCCGGAATGGCCACGAAAAGTTCTTGACGAGGCAGAAGACTCGAAGGAGGACTGACACCGCGACAGCCAAGCGAGACCTCGTGACCGCTAGATTTTCCTGCCGCAAATTTTGATGCCGGAATAAGCAGGAGGCAAAGAAGAATAAGCATAGACCGAAGGATGCCAAACACTGGCGACAATGGCAACGGCGACGATTGATGAGGCATCCCGCCAGAAGCAATACAGGGGCACGAAACCGCAGGAAGTGGCAGGAGCCGTCAGCCAAAGAGTTTGCCCAGCGCGACAGTGTCGACAGACTTCCGGTATGTTTCCACACTCAAATCTTCTCTGATCATTCTCTGACGGACATCAGTCGAACTGAGACGACCATGTTCAACGTCATTAGCTTCGCAACGAATGATTACAAGCAGAGGTTTTGCATGGAGTCAATTCGAACTACCGTATGAATAACGTTACCACGACAGGCGGTGCCCAAAACATGCCTCCCTGGGATATGGGTGGTCGTCCAGGGCTCCAGGAGTGTTCCAATCCAACCATGAGACGATCCCTTAAACGGGCATTAAGAGAAGAAGACATGAGTAGAACAACACATAGTAATACTTAATCCATCGTATCACGCATTTCCTTCAATCTTGAACCCAGGCCAAGTCTGCAGCTCCGCAATCAAATCCACAAAGTCCTCATCTCCCGCATCCGCCCTCTCCTTGAAGTCACTATAATTCTCCTGCGCCCACGCAAGCTCATCCCCGGCCAACGGTACCGAAAAGCTCGCCTTCATGCCCGCGATCAGCTCGCCGGTGATGAACACGGCCCTCAGCTCCAGCTCCTGAGGCGGTAACTGCCCTCCAGCGACATCTGGATGGACGACGCGGGCCCAGGCGGCACGGATTTCCCTGCAGAGAGAGTTGAAGTCTTCTTGCGTCCGAGAGGAGCCGCGGCGGACTCGTCCGACGATGCGGTTCGATTGGCGCTGTGCGGTGGGTGTTAGTTCCTTTTTCAGCAGGCTTGGGAGAGGGGTTCGGTTTGTTTACTCGTTTTCCCCCGACGTAAGTGGGTGTTTTTGAGGAGTCTACGAAGATGACGTTGATGAACATCTTTGGTACGGTGAACTTGCTGCTGTGTATTGTCGTGATGGCTTCTGCGAGAGCATCTTGCTGTGGTTGGGAGAGGGGAGTTGCGTGGGCGACTTCGTAGAGAGGCATATTGAATGGTTCGTACTGCGTATTTTTCTTATACCAATTTATGTTTTCAAAGCGGTTTGTAGACTTTTTGGGTTTGAATTTGAGGTTATCATTGAGAAAGACAACAGTCCAGAGCTCTTAAGTCTCCAAGTGAAATACATCTGCTTGGACGTCGTGAATGATTATTAATCTAGGTGCCGGGTACCGAAACTCCTGATCAGTCAGGATCTCGAGATCAGCAACCCATCATCCGGCAAATTCACCCGATCAGCATGTGACATTGAGTCCGAACATTATACGTAGTAACTTATTCTCGTTAGGCCCAAGGTCGGCGCAGAGTAGTGATTGAACAGGCTGTGAATAGAAGCGAGACACAGGAGAAAATCCCTACAGGCATACAATCGTTGAGGGCTTACATGACATGTTTAATATTGTACGGTTATGTCTTTCAAAAAACAGAGAAATGTTGACATTCCCAAATGATCGATCCAGATGTTGAATGGCCCCATTACACATTAACTATCAAGACTCAACTGCGGTTGATTAGAAGCAGGTATGGTTACGGTAGAAACTAGCATCAAAGCGTCAATGGTAATGGGAACCACCTCAAGGACAGCCGTCACATCCATACACGGTTGCGGGTGCAGCAGCAACCTCGAGAATGATATCGGACGGTATACCATCTCGCATGTCCAAAATTCAGACTTCACTTCAGACCACCGCTCAACAAGATGCTTTGCCCTGTCAAGTATCCCGTCTTACACAGCATCACGACCACGTTAGCACATTCCTGCGGCGTTCCCAGCCTCCCCACGGGAATATTCTTCACATCACCAGGCGTCCCCTCAACGCGCTTCTCGTCGGGTATCATGCCCGTCTCGCCAATCATGGCCGGCGCAACATCGTTGAGCGTGACCCCATCCTTCGCATGCTTCGACGCCAAGTTCTTCATCAGCCCGGTCATGCCAGCTTTGCTAGCGGCGTAGTGACACCCGTTGATGCCGCCGCCGATGGCCGAGATGGACGACACGAAGACGATGCGGCCCCAGTGCTGGGCGGTCATGTGGGGCATGGTCAGTTTACATAATAAGAAGGATGCGCGGAGGTTGATGGAGATAGTGAAGTCGAACTCTTCGAGCGAGATGTTCTCCAGGTAGGGGTTGGCTTTGTTGTTGAAGCCAGCTGTGCCGGCGTTCGAGACGAGGATGTCGGGGTGTTGGCCGTGCTCCTCCTTCATCTGTGCGAAAAGCTCCTCGATTCCCCTCGCAGAAGACATATCTACTACATGTAGGGAGATATTTATGTCTTGATCTGAGCTGTTTCTCAGTTCTTCGGCAAGCTCTGAGATTTTGGGCTTGGTATTCTCGGATGAACAGGTCAACGCCAGACGAGCACCGTGAGCGAAAAGCTCTCTGGCACAGGCGCCTCCGATCCTATGATCAATGAGCATACAACTGTTGCGAGTATCCGGCAAGTTGACTTACCCACCAGAAGCACCCGTTACCAGCGCCAATCTGCCCTTGATCTCATTGTCGACTGGGGCCATGCTGCTGGATGGGGTGAATTTGGCGAACTGGGCGTTAAGAGATGCCTGTGGATGGTTGTTTAACTAAATTCGACTTTCCAAAGACCTGACAGTTCTGTTTGAGTCCAGATTTGTGTGCAGGCACTTTGAATCGTGCCGCGCTATTAGGTGTCGTAGTCGCTCATCATCTCCCTTACAAAAGGTAGGTGATGGAGGATTGGACGCCTGTGTCACTTAACCCCGCCATGAGTTGCCCCACTGTAGCTCTGTTACCCCGCGATCTCCAATTCCAGACAACTCCTCTCGAGATGCTAACCAGATTTCGATCAATGCCATCCGAAGTCGCTGGCTGTAAACAGACGATTCGAAGAACGTGGCTGCAAGTCAATTCTTTCAAACTTGCAAATTGATGCAATGAAAGCCATCTTCTCCGTACGTAACTAAGCCAAGGACGGTGGAGAAGCGCCGGTTACGCTTGGTGCCAAGTTGAGTGTCAGTCTACCGTATCATCGACGGGCCAGAGCCTCCGCTGTCCCAAACTGTTCTGGGTAAAGCAGTTCAACCCATGGCGAACAGGGTGTTCCCAACAGCCATCGCGAAGCTTCCATGCGGCTTTATTTGGACTATGGCACAGGCAGCTGCGCGCTTGGTCCACCTGCATGAACAGCACTTTCGACAATTCCAGAGAAATTGAGTCAATGAATTGGAACTTTTCGCCAGGTTTACGGCGACTGACCGCTCTTGATGGTGTCATATTTCACGTAACCTTTATGTAATGCCTGGGTTATGAGAACTTCGTCGTTGAAAAAGAATATGCGATGGAAGCTCGGCGTTGGCCCCTTAACTGTGGCTTGACCCCTGTCATCCGACCCACTATTATCGGAACAACTGCCACCAACTCCCGGGACTAAGCTTATCGCACCAATGGCAAGCTTATCGTGGATTCAGCCTTGCAGTTTGCGCCACAACCTTTTTTTTTCCTTACAGCTGTCCTCTTCGCCCTGGACAGGTAAGCGATTAGCAGCGGGACCACATCCTTGCCGAGACGACCCAGTCTGGGGATGGCACCGAATCCAGTAGAGGACACCTTCACGTCTCTTTTAACGGCCCTCTGAATTGTCCATATTTCTGGGTCATATCTGCCTTGAGACCTTCCCTTCTTTCCGTTTCTTTAGGGTTTCTCGTTCTCTACCACCACGGCGCAAACGAGCTTCCCAAGTCTCTCGCCGGGATTTGTCTAACAGCAATCCAGAAGCACTGTTAGCACCGACCGACACTCGTCTCTACGACAAACCCACACTCAACAGCGCCATTGGGCGCAAACCATCTACACAATGGCGCAACGAACCTTCTCGCCGTTGAGGGTATTCCTCGGCTGCGTATTCTTCTTTTCCGCCCAGGTCTTTGCCGTCTCTGCGGTCCTGGGTGTTGACCTCGGTACCGAGTACATCAAGGCTGCCCTGGTCAAGCCCGGTATTCCTCTCGACATTGTCCTGACCAAGGACTCGCGCCGAAAGGAGATCTCCGCCGTCACATTCAAGCCTCTCTCGAGCGGCCCCAAGTCCGGATCTTACCCCGAGAGATTATACGGCTCCGACGCCGTCGCCCTCGCCGCCAGATTCCCCCACGATGTCTACCCCAACCTGAAGACCATCCTTGGTCTCACCGTCGACCACCCGATTGTCCAGGAATACGCTGCCCGACACCCCGCCCTGCAGCTCGAGAAGAACAAGGAGCGTGAGACCGCCGCTTTCAAGAGCAAGGCTTTCACCGAGGAAGAGGAGGCATGGCTCGTCGAGGAGCTGCTGGCCATGGAGCTCCAGGCTATCCAGAAGAACGCCGAGGCCGCCGCCGGATCTGGAACTTCTGTTCGTTCCATTGTCCTCACGGTCCCTCCCTACTTCACCACCGAGGAGAAGCGCGCCATCCAGACGGCCGCTGACCTCGCCGGGCTCAAGGTCCTCTCTCTCATCAGCGACGGCCTCGCGGTTGGTCTCAACTATGCCACCTCCCGCCAGTTCCCCAACATCAACGAGGGAGCCAAGCCCGAGTACCACCTCGTCTTCGACATGGGCGCCGGCTCCACCAAGGCCACCGTCATGAGATTCCAGAGCCGTAACGTCAAGGACGTTGGCAAGTACAACAAGACCGTCCAGGAGGTGACTGCTTTGGGTTCCGGTTGGGACAGGACCCTGGGCGGTGACGCTCTCAACTCTCTCATTATTGACGACATGGTCGCCCAATTTGTCGAGTCCAAGGGCGCCCAGAAGATTTCCGCCCAGTCTGACAAGGTCAAGACCCACGGCCGCGCCGTCGCGAAGCTGACCAAGGAGGCTGAGCGCATCCGTCACGTCCTCAGCGCCAACACCCAGACCGGCGCCAGCTTCGAGGGTCTCTACGAAGATGTCGACTTCAGGTACAAGATCAGCCGCGCTGACTTCGAGAAGATGGCCGAAGGCCACGCCGCTCGTGTCGGTGCCGTGGTTCAGAACGCTCTCAAGGCGGCCGGACTCGAGCTCTCCGACTTGACCTCCGTCATTCTCCACGGCGGTGCTTCTCGCACCCCCTTCGTCCAGAAGGAGCTGGAGTCCGTTGTCGGCTCCGCTGACAAGATTCGCAGCAACGTCAACTCGGATGAGTCTGCCGTCTTTGGCGCTGGCTTCCGCGCTGCTGAGTTGAGCCCCAGCTTCCGTGTCAAGGAGATCCGCATCGCCGAGGGCGCCAACTACCCCTCCGGTATGAAGTGGACCAACATCAAGGACAAGCTCCAGCACCAGCGTCTGTGGTCTGCCGTTTCTCCCCAGGGAGGTGTCCCTAAGGAGGTCACTTTCACCAACCACGACGACTTCTCCGTTACTTTCTACCAGCAGATCGACTCTGCTGAGCAGGACACCAAGATCCTCACTACCAAGAACCTCACTGCGACTGTCGCTCAGCTCAAGGAGAAGTACTCCTGCGTTGACAGCGACATTCACTTCAAGGTCGGCGTCAAGCTCAGCGGTGAGAATGGCGAGGTCGAGGTTGTTAAGGCCACTGTTGAGTGCGAAGCCGACGCCCCTGAGAAGGAGGGTTTCGTCGACGGTGTGAAGAACCTCTTCGGCTTCGGCAAGAAGGACCAGAAGGTCATGGACGGCGAGGAGGACACTGAGTCCGCTTCCGCCTCTACTGAGTCCTCTTCCTCCACCACCGCATCTACCAAGACCGATGCCACCTCCGCTTCCTCCTCCCCCATCCCTAGCGACGCCGCTGCCGATGGCAAGGACGCACCCAAGAAGAAGGAGCTCGTCGTCATCAACGTCGACTTCACCCTTGAGAAGACCGGCCGCCCCGAGCTCTCCCGCGATGCCCTGGTCAAGTCCAAGGACCGTCTCAAGGCCTTCGAAGCTTCCGACAAGGCCCGCCGCCTCAGGGAGGAGGCCCTCAACCAGCTCGAGGGCTTCACCTACAAGGTTCGCGACCTCCTGGAGAACGAGGCCTTCATCGCCGCCTCCACCGCCGAGGAGCGTGCTAGCCTCGAGAAGCTGAACAGCGAGGCCAGCGACTGGCTCTACGGAGACGGCGCCGATGCCTCTCGCGACGAGCTCAAGAAGAAGTACAAGGCACTGAACGACCCCGTCACCAAGATCCAGAAGAGAAGCGAGGAGGCCGAGAAGCGCCCCGAGCTGGTCAAGGCTCTCAAGGAGGCCCTGAACTCCACGCAATCCTTCGTCGCCAACATCAAGAAGCAGATTGACGAGTACGACGCCTGGCACGCTTCCGCGGCCAAGGAGTCCAGCACCTCCACCGAGACCCCATCAGCCACGCCTTCAGGCGACTTCGACGGTCTTGAGGACGACGAGGCCTCCGCAGACCGCCAGATGGACGACGTCATCAAGGAGAAGGGCCCCGTCCCGCCCCTGTACAAGCGCGAGGACCTTGACCTCGTCGAGGACCTGTACGACGACACTGTCAAGTGGCTCAAGGAGATGGAGAAGAAGCAGGAGGCCCTGATCGCCACCGCGGACCCCGTCCTCCTCGTCAAGGACCTCCAGGCCAAGCGCGACAAGCTCGACAAGGCCGGCATGGACCTCGCCATGAAGGGCGTCAAGCACTTTGAGAAGAACACCAAGAAGGCGAGCAAGGCCGCCAAGAAGAAGACCAAGTCCACCTCGTCCTCCTCGACGACCAACACCGCGTCCGCGTCCACCGAGGGGGCCAAGAAGCCCACAACCACCATCCCCCTGAAGAGCTCGACCGCCGAGCCGGAGCCCGCAGCCGGCCGGACCGTCGAGCTCCCGGGCGGCGGAAACTTCGTGCAGTACGGCGGCGACGGCGAGCAGCCCAGCGAGGAGGAGCTGGAGGAGATCCTCAAGAAGTTTGAGCAGTACCAGGAGGCGCAGAACCCGCCGGCCAAGGAGCAGGAGGATGCTCCCGACCATGATGAGCTGTAGTTGGGTACTATAGAAGGAGAACCTTTCTTTTGCTTTTGAAGTTATAAGCATACATACAAATACCTAGGCGTTCAGCTGATGAATTAAAAGAGTCAAGACAAATCACCGTGTTCTGTTTCATCAACGTGATAATGCCATCCACGACGCATCCGCAGCGTCCTCTTGTGCACGAGATCGTGCTTCATCTCACTCTCCTCCACAGCAAAATCATCGGCCAAAATGCAATTGCCCGTTCCTATTGCGTAAAAAAAGGGAATACAGGTAGCCAACCTTCTCACCCACCCATGAAGCTACTGCCACAAACACGCCCAGGAACCCAAGCCACAATCATATAGGAAGAGCCATTAACTGCAGTATAAAACTGTGAGCCACAGACTGAAGATGTTTACGGGGCACAGATTGTGGTCTACGTCAGTTAGTCAGCGGCAAGCCTGTCTCATTGGTGTCTAGAGCCCAAATAGCGTGATGATCTGACTTATGTGCCGCAGTTCGTCCAGGTAGCAAAGAAGATGTTCTGTGTCTTCTGTGATGCGTCGCTTGTCGTTGCTGTTGATTTCAAAGTATTTGATACTAATACTTCCACACTGAATCAAGAAAAAAGGAGAAAACTAGCAGATTCTCTATTCATATTCCAGACGAAAACGGGAAATCAAGAGCGAGGCTGTCCACTGAGGAGATCAATCGTTCTAGACTATACGTTGAGAACTACTGCGTTATGTATTAAACAATATGAGTTTCTCTTTGTGTTTTCCATTTGCAGCTACCTAGAATGGCGTTTTGATGTAGTAGACCACTTGTTCTCTTACCAAGCGCTCTGGTAATCCCCTGATTTATTTCTCCCAGTCATCTCACACCCTCAATACAGTTGCTGATGATTGAGCTGTATGTGAAATATGATCCCCCTTTTTCTTGTACCATACGACTGCGGTAACAAATTATCACAGCGTTTGCCCTCTTAAGGTGTATATAGAATGACGCCCAGAAACCTCTCAACATCAGGCAGCCAGAGTCCAAGCAGTCAAAGTTTCATGGCGATACCCTCAAGGTACAACTGATGATTGAGCAATGAGTTCGGCATAAATGGTTGGTCCCGAACAGACGAGAATGCTAGTCATCGCAGATACGCTTCGGCACGAGACTCACATATTCCAGTAAAATTCCATTTCCCAGAAAGTGGCGTATGAAGATCCAGCGTCGGCAATATGGATGAATGTGTAGGTAGATTGATGTTTGCTCACGGAACCCAAGACCCCTGGCCCCGGTCATCCCGGAGCGGGTTCGACCGCACGCGACATCCATGAAGGCCAAGTGGCGGGAACACACCCTCGATGGGAACAAGAGGACAACTATGTACAGATGACAATAGCCGTGCTTACCCGAGCTTACACTGCACTCACGATCTGCTGCAAAACGCACCGTCGATCTGGGGGGTTTCCTCCGTACCTAGGGGCGACATCTTGGGACGCTGCAGGTCTGATGTCGCGGTTCGCAAATGAAATGCGCTCCAAGGCAGGTACGGTACGGTACGGGGTCGCGGGAATGGGTCTGTTTCAGGAGGAAGGACAGCTGTATTTTGGTGCGAAATTGTCGTCGAGAGGTGAGCAAGTTTCAGAACGAGACCCTTTCGGCTGTCCGGGGGGTTAGCTAAGTAGGTTTGGGTGACGGGAAGGAGCTCTTGCGCCATCCAAGGCTGAAGCGCTGCGATTTTTCGAATTATTAATGCTATTTTGGATGAATATATAATCAACGACATCCAGTCCTGTTCCCCGACCATTCCGCCTCTTCTTTTCTTCAGATAGATCCTGCTTTAAGATACCCCCTTTTTTGTTCTTTCTGATAAAAGTTGCCGAGCGTTCGAGAACTGCCCCTCCTTTTTTTTAATAGCACGTCGGTAGGTACCTTCCTTGCTTTACCCCGCCAAAAACGCCATTCCGACAGCGAACCCTCCCATCCACAAACCACAGTACCCGAAAGCTTACTCTTCTTCCAACGACGCAGCAACACAACACACACACTACAAACAAAATGTCTGAGCACACCTACAAGTTCAACGTCAGCATGAGCTGCGGCGGCTGCTCCGGCGCCGTCGACCGCGTCCTGAAGAAGCTCGATGGTGAGTCGCCAGCGTTCCATTCTCCCTGGTTCCGGTTCGGCGCTGCGTGTGCACCTTGTTGGTCCTTTGGGCTACTATGCCACAAAGGCGGTCACCGGAGTGATGTCAGAGATCGGTGGCAGCTGTGGATGTTTTGAGAGAGTTGTTTGCTGACGAGCCGGTCCCGCGCGCAGGCGTCAAGTCCTACGAGGTCTCCCTCGACTCCCAGACCGCCACCGTCGTCGCCGAGGAGAGCCTGCCCTACGAGAAGGTCCTCCAGACCATCGCCAAGACCGGAAAGAAGGTCAACTCCGGCAGCGCCGACGGCGTCGAGCAGAGCGTCGAGGTCGCTGCCGCATAGATGGCGGGTTGCGTAATGCAAGAGAGGAGGAAGACGACGGCGCAGAATCGATATGGGCGGAAGCTGCGAGGTTATAAACCCCCTTTTGCGAGGAGTTCTTGTTGGGGCCGGGCCGTTCTTGATATCTATATGAATACGTACGCCTAGGAATCTTCTGCTTTGCGAATGCGAATACGGACTGGCGGGGACGCCGTCGTTCGAGATTACTTTCACGTGCTGGACTTGTTCATGCTGTGGTGGCCTGCGGATACTGGCAGACTCTGATGATCGGTTCATGGTAGCCTGTGACTCTGATCCTCCGTTCGAGAAGCATCCAAAAGGAATGGGAAACATAAGAACTACCGCAGTACTGATCATGATGTTCGTCGACAAGAAAGAGACAACTAGGTGCCAAATAGCCCGGCAGTAGTCTCGCTGGGAACTACGGCAAAGCCACTCATCACCTCGCCGAAAGGGTTGAACCCTTGAGTGTGCGTCCAACCAAGTGAACGACATGAAATCTCACAATGACGTGGAGATGGTCAATTTGAACCAAAACCAAGTACGACATGATGTATTGATTCTAGGCCTTCGCGGACTGGACACTTCAAGCTTTTTGGTGGTCACTGCCATGATTAGATATCGATGTCCATGAAATACTTGGAAATATGTTAGAAACTTGATGAAGCCGTGTACTGCGTAAACGATGCACCAAACATAGGTCTCAATGATCATGCGTGGCCAACAAGATCACGAGGCTTTGCAACTGAAAGGACTTAGCCCTACGGCACATTTAGACATCTGTGCCCCGAGCAAGCTCATTGAAAGCACTTCTGAAGTAGCGTTGAGATTTTTGGGGCTGGGACAAACAGGATATCCAATAGGACATTCACGGGTATCAATTAGCAGGGTCAAAGACAGCCTCTCGCAACTATTCCATTGTCTCCTCGCGCAGGCGGCAATAGTAAGGTAGGGTTACCTTCCAGTCGAATTCGCCGTCTCGCCAAGTCGCATACTGGAGCCCTCAGATCTGCATATGCCGATCTTGATACCTTGCCCAATGGAAACCAAAGAATGCAGCATGCGACGGAAGCACACGTGAAATGAAGGACCCTGAAAGCTGGTGCCAGAGAGAAGAAGAGACAGGTACGCCGGAGTCCGGTCCTGAAAGGCCCCCACACGCCGCTTGGATCGGCGGATTGCACGCCACCCGGGAGACCGGGGAAGGTGTGCCTGCCAACGTCATATTCTGCCAGTGTCGCAGGGCAGGTGATGGTTCCCCGCCTCTTTCGACGTACAACGTTGAGATATTCCTTCTCTGTTCTGTAGGCTGCGCTGAAGTTTGAGCACCTGAATACGTCGCGCAGTCTGGATGGTAGGAGAGGAATCTCGGATGACGAAGACCGGGGGGCCTATCACACCTGGTGGCGGTGGTACTTTCCCCGGTTTTCTTGTTTGCTTCAGTGCGTGCGCGCCTTCCCGTCAACAAGCGCAGTTACCCCAAAGAATAGGTATGAGTCTTACCTGCCTTAAACTTCGTGGCTTTTCATGCATTAAGATGAGACCTCCACGTTGCGCTTCTCATTCAACCCAAACTTCTCTCCAACCTCAACAACTCCATGCCACCATAAAACAGAAACGCAACTTTACCGCTTCCGTTTGACTTTTACCTCACCCTTGCAACAACGCTTTTAAGAAGAACCTACTTCCAGAACGACAGCAGTACACCAACCCGTTCGTCGCATCTTACACAACTCAAACAGCCAAAACTCTCAACTCATCGCCAACATGGCACCCGACGGAACACCTTTTGTGTCCCTACTCGAGCCCCCAAGCCTCGACACTTTCATTCGCGGCAAGCCACACAATGAGCAACCAGACTCCGTTCCCCAGTTGTTCCGCGACGCTATGGAGGTCCGCGAGAAAGTCTTTGTGAAGGAGCAGGGCGTACCCCTCGAGAACGAGGTTGACGCCGACGACAACCGTTCCTTCCACTGGGTCACTTACGCCTCGATCAACAAAAAAATCCAGGACGAGGTTCTGGACGCCGATGGCAACATCCTCGAGCCTCAACGCAGCAGCACCCGCAGCACACCCATCGGCACCATCCGAGTGGTGCCCTTCCCCCATGACCCGCACCCCCGAAATGGCGGTGTCTACTGGGACGGCAAACTCGTGGAAGAGAAGGTCGATGGCGACGTGGTCAAGTCAGCCGAGGAGCAGAAGAGCCCCGTCAAGGCAGACGGCGTGGCAGGTGCGGCCGAGCATGTGGGCGACGAGAGGAGGTCGTCCATGCCGAAGCCGTACGCAGGGCCGGATCGTGCGACGGACATGCATGACGGGATCGAGCCGTACGTCAAGCTAGGCCGGCTCGCCGTCGACAAGGAACTCAGAGGACACCGCGTTGCGAACCTGCTGGTCACAACGGCCCTGGCCTGGCTTAAGAGTAACCCGCGCCGCTTCGATCCTAGCATCAAGGAGATGGGGATCGACGGGATTGGAGCTTCGACGCTGGACGAGCTGCCCAAGTGGAAGGGTCTCGTGTGCGTGCATGCGCAGGCGCAAGTTGTGAGGCTGTGGGAGAAGATGGGGTTTAAGGTTGACGAGGCAATGGGCACCTGGACAGAAGAAGGCATTGAGCACAAGGGGATGTTCAAGCGGTTGGAGGTTGACAGGGAGCCTTCTGTTGTTCCTTCGACACTTCCATCGACTCTGATATGATCTGAGAGGGTTGTAACTCATGATGGCTCGAGTAGAGGGTCTCGTGGTTGAGGTTGGGTATCCGTCGGCCCAGGGAAATTTACGACTTACGATTGACGATGGGCTAGTTGCTTTCATTCTAGGCTACGAGCCGTTAATATTCTTAGGTTTGCCACTTGGCAGAAGATGATAGAGGCGGAACGAGACCAGGTTTTGGAGATATGGAGAAATACCATCTTACACCAATGCAGCAGACGGCCATGCGTTGCGTGAGCAAAGCGGATGGTGCTTGGAATACTATCTCAATCCCATTTACAGAGCATAACCAGGAGAGCCAGAGGCCAACCATGTCTCCCTTTGCAACTCAATAGCGTACCTGGCATAACAAATCGCAAGGAACCAACGTGGCGTTTCGGGACTACAACTTCAGAGTCCTGTATCGTCATATCACATGGCTCCCCAGGCCTGTCCCTTCTCTCAGAGAGGGTATCGTGTCCAATTCACCAAGGCACTGCGGAACGCGGGGGTTGTTCTTTTTGATCATTTGCTCTGACGAGCTTTGGCTTTTATTGGAAAACCACCTTGAAGCCGCAAGAGACATTGATGCCGTAGCCGCGTTCCCCATTCCCGAACGCGCAAACGAATAAAGCTTTTTCAGCGCAACATTCTTTTTTCTCTTCTTGAGGGATGTGTTTGGAAAAAAAAAGATGATGATTGCCCTGTTATGTAATACCACGCCTCCGTTGATTTGTCCCCAAAAGCAAGTTTTACGACGTTAAGAAGGGAAAAAAAGAAGCCCGCTGGTCCCTCCAGTTTCTTCCAAACCAGATGGCCCCGTGGTCGCCTCCCAATTTCCTTCACAGCGTGATGACGAAGATGGGAGGGAGCTTTTTCCTCCTCATCCCCGACAACACACCAGATGATCTCCTCCCCCACCCAACCAGCGAAAAAAGGTGCAGTAGTAGTTCCCCCCAAATGACAATTCCGTCCTGGGGCGAAACGACACACACATACACCCTCCCCACAGCGAGAAAAAGGTTGAAACCCTTTACCGGTTGGACTTGGCGACACGCTCGAGCTCGTCCTTCTTCTTGATGGCGTAGGAGTTGCTGGAGCCCTTGGCGGCGTTGATCAGCTCCTCGGCGAGGCACTCGGCGATGGACTTGACGTTGCGGAAGGAGGCCTCGCGGGCGCCGGTGGTGAGGAGGGCGATGGCCTGGTTGACGCGGCGCAGGGGGGAGACATCGACGGCCTGGCGACGGACGGTACCGGCGGAACCGATACGGGTGGAGTCTTCGCGGGGACCGCAGTTGACGATGGCGTCGACGGCGATCTGGATGGGGTTCTGGTCGGTCATCAGGTGGATCTGTGTGGTTGAGTGTTAGTCTGCGTGTGTTCTCTCTGTCCTGTGTCCCTCCTCAAGTCTCGATCCTGGGTAGGGCTTTTCGTTGCCGAGGGGGGCAGATTCGGGGTGGGACGTACGATCTCGAAGGCGTGGGCAACGATGCGGACGGCCATGAGCTTCTTTCCGTTGTTGCGGCCGTGCATCATGAGGGAGTTGGTGAGGCGCTCAATGATGGGGCAGTTGGCCTTGCGGAAACGCTTGACGGCATAGCGGCCAGCGGAGTGGGTGACATAGACGGGGTTGCGGAGGGAGATGTAGTCACTATTTCGATTGATATCGCAATTAGCACTCGATTCCCTCTTTCGTGTTGTGTTTCTCGTCGTTTTGCGCGCGCGCGCAGCCAAAATTCTTCGTGCTTTTGGGAGGGGAGGGAGAGGCTCACGTCAGAGAGATGTCGCGGACCTCAACATCGTAATCCCACTTGTTGAAGAGCTTGACGTTGCCGACCTCCTTGACAACGTCCTTGGGGAGAACGTCGTAGGTGCCGACGTTCTCGACCTCGATATCACCGCCGTCAGACATTTTCGCTTTCGACCTTAAGGGTTAGTAGGGGGGAAGCCTTTGGGAAAGTGGTGGGAGGGAAAATGTGGTTGGTCGTGGTGGTTGAGGGAAAAGTCCAAACTTGGAGATCACGGCAAGGCCTGGGTGGATTTTTTTCGACGGCGGGCTTCGAAAGGCGAAAACGGGCTTTCGTTGAGTGCGCGCGCCAGAGCGGGCAGGGCATTTTTTCCCAGCCCGTGAGGGCCAATCAGAGCCCCCCGTGACGGAGGGTGGAGACCGCCCGGCTGGAAAAATCAGGGCTCCTCTGCCCTAGGCCGGGCCTCAGCCGAAGTGGGCGGGCCCCCCGTCGAACCTCTTTCACGCTTTGTTGAAATCACATCTTCCGCCCAACCCGACCCAGGTGCCTGCATTCCCACGACGACATCACAAATCAGACAAAATGGTACGGGCCCCCTTTTGGCGATGTCGTGTCGCGACGTTGGGCTGGGAAAAATTGTACTGACTATTTCTGAAGGCGCCCGCAGCTGGAGCTAAGAAGCAAAAGAAGAAGGTTCGTCGAGACTTGTCCCTAATGTGATTGTTTCCAAAATCGTCGCTAACATCGAGATAGTGGTACGTATGAAATCTTAGAAGAGTGCGCGCGAGAAAGACGAGTTTTCATCGAAAGACCGACGACTTTTTGCCGTGCCTCGAACGCCTCCACCCCCAATCCATCGACAGCCGACTTACCACCCCGTTCGTTACAGGTCCAAGGGAAAGGTCAAGGACAAGGCCCAGCACGCCGTCATCCTCGACAAGAACACTTCCGACAAGCTCTACAAGGATGTCCAGTCCTACCGTCTGGTGACCGTCGCCGTCCTGGTCGACCGTCTCAAGATCAACGGCTCCCTGGCCCGCCAGTGCCTTGCCGACCTCGAGGAGAAGGGCATCATCAAGCCCGTGGTGCAGCACAGCAAGATGAAGATCTACAGTACGTCGAAACCCCATGGACAAATTTTCTCGAGGGCGCGCTCGCGATGAACACAATGTCCCGATCACACGACGAAGTAAATGTTGGCTAACACGCGCGACAGCCCGTGCCGTTGGTGGCTCTGACTAAACCCGCCTCACTCAAGTGTGGTAACGCATGAACGAAGACAAAAAAAGGCATTCGGGAGGACAAGGGACGGATATGGTCATATCATCTGCCTGGTCAGGAGGGCTTTACAGATGCTCGATGAAGAAGCATTTATACCTTGGGCCTTAGGGATCGGATTTGCTTAGCATCGCAAATGGAACGGAGTTGATCGTACATTCGCTGCGTCGTCAGTCAAAGAAATAAAATGAACACGTCCAGACCTCCCAATGATGGTGCCCCTGCTTCCTCTCCTCCTTTCCGATTCATACGTCTGTGCTTGCCGACCTTTCCTATCCCTCGAAATATCGAGGCTCGTGGTGGATGGACTTGACCGTCGAACCCTGCTCGGAGAGACGAGTTACGCCTGGATGACTGTCGCATCTTGGGGTCAGGTTCGCCGCAATGCTCGTTGACGAAGGGCGCCTGGTGGCCTGCCTTGATTCACCTGCCACGAGGATTGCTGGTGCGGAGGTGGTGATCGGGCGCGGGGTATGCGTCATACACCCAACTGGAGGAGTTGGCGACGGTCGGGGCCGAGTCGCTGAGGGAGCTAGCTACGTTACCGAGGTCAGTGACGACTCGGTGAAGCTTCGCCTTCAACTGTCAACCCAAACCGAGTAGACGGATCACTGTCGGTTCTGGGATCGCGACGTCTCTGACAACTCGGAAGGTACCGCGGTCCAAAGCTTGCCGTCTGAATTATACGATGTCTGAACATGTCACAGTGAAGACGCACAGAGGGGGATCGCAACGTCTATGCCGCAGGCCAGCCGATGTGATCAAGCAGCGTTTTCTTTCCCCCAGTTCTTGGCATGCGGGAGACGGGACTACCGAATACCTGGGCTCACATCTTCTGCAAGCAAGCTGGCACAGTTGCCAGGTCAAAATAAGCTTGCCATAGCTGCCAGGTCTGAGCGACGCTGTCCTTGGAAGGATCCTTCGATAGTAGATTCCAATCAAACTCTACGGCCGCTTCGACGGCAACGCTATTTGAGCCTCTTTGAACGCAACTGAAGAGCTGGCGACGAGACAGCTGGGAAAACCTCCAGCAAACGTGTGCTTCTCGTAACGGCATTCATCCCATCGTACAATAATCGTCTCTTCAAGGCTACTTGTGCGCGCACCACTTGTGCTCTCGACGCGGATTTTCGCGTCCGGTCACGTAATTAATGGTTTTTTGTGCTGTATTAGTGGAGTGGAGGCAATATGTCAATCTGTCACTCGCTTGAGGAATTACTCGCATCGGGCTGGGCCCCGGAGAAAGCGGCAGACAGGACTTGGTCGAGAAGATTTCCCCCTTGCGTCATCGTTGCTTTTGGTCCGTTCTGCCGCAACTTGGATGATACGATGGTGAGCCCTGCGCTGATGAGGGGGGGATATTAAGCTATGAATCGCAGGGCTCGTGTTGAGTTGCTGGGGCTGTTCTGGGCGCGCTTCGGCGGGGAGAAAGATATCTACACCGTGTGAAAAGTAAGAGGAACCCAGCCGCGGGAGCCCGAGATGTTGGAGAAAGAGGCCCATTACACGAGGGCTCCGGGAATGGTTCGTGGTGGTTTGCGGTTCGACGTTGGGCGTTCATCCACCGCGAGGATTGGCGAGATTAAACACAGAGGCAAGATGTTGGCGGCTGGGCGCTACGGCGGGACTTCCCTTCGCGCTTTGGTCGGGTTTTGGGGGTGGTTTGACCAGGAAGTCAAATTGATCAGGGCAGACCGAAATTTGATGTCATGTCAAATTGGCAGAGTCGCGAAGTTGGGACCCCCTTTTTCCTATCCTTTATTTTATCGGCAGGGAGGAAGAATGATGGCAGTGGGAGGGGAGGGGTAAATACCTAGGTGAGATCTGACGATGAAGTCGGGCGCAATGACGGCGTTGCGTGTGCGTGTGTGTTGCATCGAGCCTCGGAGGTTTGTGCAAGATGTCGATGTAGTTGGGTTTGGGATCTGAAGGCGCATGCAGGGTATCTCATCTGAGGTGTGCTTGGGGTATTAGACAAAGGACTGCTGATGCGGCTGCGAGACTCGGACGTCATGTGGTGACTGGCGAATGACAGCCAACGGTTCATGGAAAAACACGGCACAGCTGACTGGCCGGGCGTGGAATATGTGAAGAATTTGTCTGGAAACGAACTGGACGGGCCGGGTCACTTGGTTCGTTTCGAGTAGCTGAGTAGTTTGGGGAAGGCGTAATTTGCCGGCATGATGAAAGGGACTTATTTAAGGTAAGGTCTGGTGGGAGGTGGTGGTTGTTCGGGTGTTCGTGGAGAGCGCGCAGGTGGAGGGGAAAGAGTTCGTGGTGATGCTCCCGGGACCGGGGGTACGTACCTTAGCTTATCTGCCGTCATCGCGCCCGACGGCAGGTGCGAGCTGGACTGGACGCTGGACTGGAATGTGGCCGTACGGCGCCGTGGCTGCTGGCAGGAAGGGTTGGCACGTAGGATTTCCAGTGTCCCAGCTGCACATGGAAGGGGAACGGAACATTACATTATTTTAAGGTAAGGCAGCTTGCCGCTAGTAGCGCTTAGCGAGAACAACTGCCTTGTGGTGCAGAGGAGACACGTGCAGAGTGATTAAGTGGTGGCTTTCTTGCCGTGATGGCCATGTCTGAAGTAGGTATTCGCAGGGCGCGATGGCATCTTTCTGAGGTGAGCAAGTGAGGTATCCGTACGCTCCCACCCAAATACGTCGACACAAGGCGCTCTGTGGCCCGTACAGCTGGATTGGCGATGAGTCGATACATGGCCTCAAACAAACCCCCTCCATCATCTTCATGCTTTCCCCCGCCATGGCCGAGGTAGGTAAGGTACTTGGACTTGGTATGTGTGCGCTGTAAGGTGTCAGGAGGGTAATTAATGCAGTCAATTCCATGCGGACCACCCCATTTGCGGTGCTTTTTAGATTTGGATCGCCTGTCCCGGTCATGTCGCATGAACACTCCCACACTGCAGTCCTTGACTCCCCCCTTCTCGATCTTCTGCGCCCAATTGAATGGGTCTCGAGGCCTTTGCTTTCGCAGCTGATTGCAGATGGTAACCTGGTAATTGCACCTCCACCAGCTGGACCAAGGTCTCGCAGTGAGTGGGCGAGCATACCTTGATACCGTACGTAGCACGGGTGTTTTCCTGTATTCTTCTTCGTCCTCCTTGCGTGTCTGCTGTCAGATGATAGATGAAGTCAAGAAGGAAATCTGGAAGGAAAAGAAGTCATCGGTAGTGAAGCAGAGGAAATAGACGATGAAGGAAAGAAGAACATGAACATAATGTACCCCACAATCATCGGGTACACCGTTGGTTTGCTTCTGCCAACACCTCATACTGTGCAGCGTGTGCTTGTACCTGTGCCTGTGTGCCTGTGCCTGTGCCTGGCCCTTATCCCTTCCCAGCCTGTGATCTAAAGTGATGTACGGACACCAACCGGCCCTGATGTCAGGCACCGCTCTATCGACAACCTAGAACCACCTGCTTTCCTCCGAATCTAAGCTGCCAGTCGGCAGTCTGGCGGGCACTGTTCCAAGGTCAAGGTCAAGGTCAAGGTCAAGCGGTCGGCTCTGGCTCTCCCCTTGCCTCGTCTTACAAAGTCCAAGTCATCCCGCATCTAAATCTCGACCGCCATCCATCTTGCCCTTCCTTGCCTTTTCCTCCTCCCCTCCCACCTGCTCCCACCATTAACCAACGATCCCCTTTTCCCTGCCGCTTGCAGACGAAACAGCTCCTCCGGCCGCTGCCATCCTCGTCCACGACGGCGCATTAAAGATACATCCTCCGCCACACCTCTACTCTACACGACCTGGACTTCGTCTCTTTTTTGCGACACAGCATTCAGCATATTGCTTCACCGTTTCCATCTTACTTCCATATCATCGTTTGCCCATCCACCGCATATTACAACCGCCTGCCTGGGTTACCGCTTTACTAGTGTGACAAGCACCCTGTCGATACTGTCAACCACCCACTAGTTGCTGATCATCCTCCCTTTTCGTCCACTGCGAACCCAACCTTCTCCGATCCCTGGTCTCTCGCCGTCCTCTCTCCCAACTTCACCTCTTCAACCTACTTTTAGTCTCTGCAGCAGACCAGAAACACCGACGAAATGGCGCACAACATGACCGACGCTGAGCTCGACCGCGACTGGGTCCCCAACGGCCGTCGCCCGCAATCGTGCGTCCCCAATTGCAACTGCCTCGACATACTGGATTGAGCCGCCGTGCTGACTGCCAACTCGCAGTACTATTGCCCGCTCTTTTTCCGCGGAGCTGATGGACATCTTCCGCATCGAGAACAGCGTTGCCGACCTCGACGAAAAGATTGACCAGCGGTAAGCCCACCAATCACGTTCTCTGCCTTTTCCGTCGCGAATAGACCACTGACGGCCCCCGTAGCAAGCAAACCGTTCAGACCCAGACAAGCGAGCTCGAGGCCCTCGAGCGCCGCATTCGCGAAATGGAGGAGCGCCTGAAGAGCAACAACACCAACCAGAAGCCTGCCGACCGGCAAGCCACCAAGGACGCGGTCGCCGCCTTGTCCAAGGAAGCTGAGATGGTCAGGTCACGACCAGGTACGGCGCGCCAGAACCAGCCTCATGCCCCGTCCTCGGCCAACATGCCGCCTACACCCACTGCCAGCGAAGGTGAATACGAATTCGTCGGCAAGGATGACCTTGACGACAAGCCTCCCCGACACTGAACAGCTACTCTACCTACCTACTCCTCCTGATTCACCATTTCGCATGATACCCACATTACTACGTCCCGCCTGAGTTCCCTCCCTCCCAACAGAGCCATCACTACTACGAGCAAGCCATGACAGTCACCTTATTCCTTGGAGCCGCGAAATGCTGACTTGCTCGTTTTGCCCAATCAGACGGCGACCGTGGACGGGCGTGAGGGTAGAGATCCCTTATTTTAGACTGCGACACCGGACTCTTTTACATCAATGCTCGAGCGCATTCCCGCATATACCCGCACTCTGCGATTCTCACGGCCTACCCCATTCCACGACGTCGGCATTGGATCTTCGAGGCTTCTCGCGCGTAGTGAGATGCCTGAGTTGGATCACCGCCGCTCTTGGCATTATCGCATGCCGGAGATCACACTTTGTGATGGGGCGTCGCTCGCTATACCAGCCACTGGCCTCTTCACGGGCGCTTAGAGGCATGCCATTCCTGATTCGCCACGATATCTTTTGCACTTGGTTTTTCTTCATCTGCCGCCCTACAGGGCCCAGCATCTTTTTTTTATCGTCACGTCGGGGAGTTTTAGCATACAGAGTGGAAGGTCCGGACTAGGACACGCGCCCTATGATGACTGAGACCAGCAGATAGGGCTGCGTCTGTATATACCAGGGGAAGCAGAGGAATTCATCTGAATCGTTACGAACTATGTATTTGCGCTAGCTGTGTCTGAGTGATGACTCGGCCATCTCAACCTATGGCGGCGGTGTGGTTTCATGTGGGAAAAGGTATCATTGCAATTTGATTGCGGATATCAGCCGAAAGCACTAATCTGGATAAAGGACATTACAACTTGGAGATTCGACGAGATAGACAGGACCTTCTAACGGGTTTTCACCGACGGACATTCGACGACGAGACAGCCCACATTCCGAGATTGTCAACCCATCACCCATTCCTCCGTCATCTCAGTCGCAGCCACAACCTACACCGTGCAGGTGCTGGTAAACGAACAAGCATCAAGTCCTTTCTTGCCGAAACTGACAAAACTGCCCTGCTCGCCATAATTCAGCTGGACATACATTGTCTTGAGGACCGCCGCACCGAAAATGGCCTGCTTGCTGGCGCTGTTCTGGATGCTGCCGAAGCACTTGTCGGTAGCGCTAGGCACCGGACCAAAGTTGATGTACTCCTTGGGAAGCTTACCGCGATAGCCGCCGCTCGTCTGGAACTCAAAGTCCGGGATGCCAGACGCGATGTCGCAGGGGAACAGCCACGACTGCAGGTCCGTGTCGAACGTGGCGCCCGGGATCTCGGAGTAGTACTTGGCGACGTAGATGCCGGGCAGCAGGAGCAGGCTGGTGCCCGTGTCGACGGTCGCCAGGAAGGCCGTCGTCCACCACTCGGACTCGCCCATGGTGCTCATGCGGAACAGGCTCACGCGGAAGTCCCAGTGGTCGGTGGCGGGCACGGGGACGGGCTCGTGGACGAGGTCGGCGGCGCCGCCGGTGCGGCCGGAGCCGAAGTCGAAGAAGCCCCGGGAGGAGTTGTGGCGCAGGTCGATCCCGATGGACTCGAAGTGCAGCTCGGCGCGCAGGCGGTCCATGGTCGTGGGCATCTGCGGGGTGATTGTGGAGCGGCGGGTCTTTGCGATGCCGAGGACGCCGGTGCGGCGCGGGTCGACGGCGATGCGCGGGCCGATGGTCACGGCGGACTGGATCGTCGCGTTGGTGATGTTGAACCAGTGCAGGTCCCCGATCTTGCCGATGCGGAGGTTGTCGAAGTAGACCTTTCCTCGGAGGTCGCTGCTGCCTTTGTCGCCTGAGGGGGGGGTTTGTTAGCGGGTGGAGAGACGGAAAGGGGGGACGGGATGGGATGGGACCTACTGTACTGGACGTTCCAGGCGAAGCCGGGGACTTCTTGGCTTGCTTCGGACAACTTGGGGTTGTAGAGGGGAGGTCTCGCCACCAACGAAGCCACCTCGGGGAATTGGGTGTCGGTGGACAACAGCCAGCTAGCGTTGCTGTCAGCACTTGTTCTACTCGTCCAAGAGCACCTGATCGAAGGGACGCAAGACGACTTACAAGTCGGGGGATCCGGAGTCGATCATGACCGGGAGGGCCTGCGCCTCGGGGTAGCCGACGTAGATGTCGCTGAGCCAGTAGCTGTCGCCGCCGGTGCTAGTCGCGGCCGAGATTCCGGCTAGGCAGGGTGATATTAGCCGCAATACATATGCCTTTCTTCTTCTTTGAAGGGCGAATTGATCCAACTTACAGGAGTATCCGGCGCGGCGTGACAGCTCGTGCCTCTCGAGGCCCTCCGGCACGGGCATGTCCCACTTGCGGTACGCGGCCGCGAGCTCGGCCGGGCCGTCGGGGACGTGGTGCGGGTTGGCGCGGACGGGGATCGTGAAGGGAGATCCGGGGCGGGCCGGGGCGGCGGCGGGGTCATTGTCGACGTCGGCCTGGGTTGTCGGGACCGCGTGGCCCAGCGCTGGGAGCAGCGTCAAGAGGAGCGAGAGGGGCAACATGCTTTTCTTGGAGAACATAGTCGAACAACTAACTTTGATAAAATATGATTAAGATTAAGAGATGGACGGTAAAACCTGGATGGAGCGAGTGAAGGATGCCGATGCGGTCTTCTTCTTCTTCTGTCGACAAAACTTCAACGGAGGTTGTCCTGTCAATATATATACATGAGGACTCCCTTCATGGCCTGATACGATGTCTCGAACCCTCTTTTCTTCATTTTGACAATGACAGCGACAGCGACAGTGACAGATCGTCCCAGGGGCGGGGAGGGGGGTGGGTTGGTCTCATGTTGCCCTTACATCTAGCGTTGTTTGCTGTTTCGCAAGAGAGACGGGAAGAGCAAGGAAAGGAAAACCTGTCTGGCTGGAAATAAAATTAATGTACGTTTTGCTTTGCGATTTCTTGTTTCCCCATGGTTGTTGTCTTTGGGGGAACAAGAGGTTTGTCTTTCTTTCTCTTTCCTGTCGGTCTCTATCTTGTTTTGTGGAATGTGTGTGTGTTACGCACCGGATCTGCGTCCCGGTGCGGGTACCCGCGTGTTTTTTGAGCCGAGAGGATGGTTTTTAGACGAGAGGAGAGGAGGGAAAGGGTCAGATCGGGAGATGAGATTGGCATGGGGGTTTGGAATTGTCTTATCCTGATGACGACGGGTCTTGGTGGACAATGAGGAGGGGTGGTTTCGGCGGGACTGATGGGACAAACATGCGTCTTTTGGTGTGAGGTTGTCATGACGTTAGACTGAGATGGAGATGGAGATGGACAGAAGAGGGGGCAAGACGGAAAAGTGAGGCGGGAGTTAGCGTGCGTTCGCGATATCTTCCGGCGGTGTTTGTTTCTTTAGTGTGTCCGAAGATTAGACCGGGAGTGTCTGCGGGATACGTCCCCCGTGATGGCTGGTGGGAGCTTGCCTTTGGGTAGGTGAGGAGACGTTTGTGCTTCTGACGGGACGGGTAGTAGTACTATCTCTTTCGTACCACGTTTGTGGAGCTGGACTCGGTGAGAAAGATGGAGATCTTCGGGCCGTTCAGTGTCCCATGATGGGGTGGGTATTTTGGGACGAGAAGTTGGGGGTGAGTTCTGTCAATTACGGATATCTACCTAAGCTTCTCGAGAGCAAGTGTCCGTCTTTCTAATAATACCTCTCCTGGTCCAACAAAGTCAGCACCGCCATGGCCACTCCCGCCTAGTTGAATCCGCCAGGCGGCTGAGGGAAACGGTCGTCGACGCGCTCGTCGGCATCCACCAACGGCGGCAGCTCGTCGTCGTCGTCCGGGTCTGCGTCCTCTTCCTCTTCCTCCTCCCCTTCTGGTCCTCCTGCTCCTCCATACCCAGTCAGCCAGCCGCCGGGAGCCAGGTTCGCCAACAGGTCCGCGAGCCTCTGCACGACGCTGGCGGAGGGTGCCTGTTCCCCGTCACCCTCGCCATCCTCGTCGACGAACTCGCCCTCCCAGGCGTCGCCGCCGGCGTCGCCAAAGTCGTCATCACCGAAACCATCGTCGTCGCCCTCGTCATCGGGGAACGCGCCCATCATCGCCCCGGCACCGGCCGCCGCGCCGCCAGCAGCAGCGCCGCCGGCCATCGCACGTCTCCGCCCGTTCTGTCTCGCGAGTTGTCTCTCGAGCGCGCGGAGCTGCTGTTCGAGCATGTGGTCGCCCTCCAGTCCCGAGTGCGAGCCCGCGCGCCACGGCATTTGCGTTCCCGAGCTCGTGAAGATGTTGGACTCCTTCGGGGGCGGGAGCGGGTCGAAGGCGTAGTTGGGCTCCTGCGTGAGGATCGATCTCGGAATGCCGCTGAGCAAGCTCGGGGTATCCTCCAGCCACACCCATCTGGCCGTCCGCGTGTCCGCCTGCTTGTCCTGCGGGAGGCTCTGCGTCGGCTTCTTCGCGATCTTGACGGCGTCCTTGAGCAAGTCGATGGCCTGCGTGTTGTTCCAAATGTCCTTCGCCTGGTGAACGTACAGCCTCGTCCAGAAATCGCGTTCGTCGGTGTCGGGTTGTACACCCCAGAGGGGAGCCGGCGCCTCGAGGTTGAGGGCCTGGAAGAGGGCACAGTACAGCCAGGGGAGACGTTCCATTCCGGCCACGGCAGCAAGCTTTGCGCCTTCGACGTCGCCCACTTGAAGCTTCGCGAGGACCAGAGTTTGCGTGATGTAGGTGTCATCCGTCTCATCGGACACGTATTCCGGGGTGTTCATAAAGTCGATGAGCCAGGCAGCCTGACGCGCGCGGATGGCGAGAACGTGGATGAAGTACTTCATGCCGTAAGGGTCGTTGGGATTAAGTCCGTAGAGCAACTTGGCCCACTCCAGCGCCGTTCGATAGGTTCCCTTGCGGACCAAGCTCTTGAGATATGTGTATCCAGCAAGCCAGAGTTCGCGGTTCTCAGGACGCCGGAAGTCCAACCGAGCCTTGCCCTGCTCCAGCTTCTGGCGGAAAGCAGATGTCGTAGCTCGACCGAACGTGAACAGTGCCCTTTCGCACAAGTCCGCCGCGAGGGCCTGGTTCTGATCCTGCACAGCGACTTTGCTCACTTGGAGCAGGGTCGAGATGTGGTAAGGGTGCCGCAACAGCATCTGGACCAATTGCATCGGATCGCCCATCTGGACGCAGCTGAAGAACATCAACTGGACATTATCGTAGGCCTTCTCGTGGACGAAGGCGAATTCAACGAGGCCGTCCGTACCCTTCTTGATCTCCTTCATGACCAGGCCAGCGGCCGTCGCGCGGGGCCACGTCTCCTTGCCCTGGACGAACACGTTGCGGCGGAGGGTGACCTCGGAGAGCTTGTCTCGCGGGTCGCCCCGAAGCGCCGTCTCGAGGTCGACGCCTTGTCTGTTGTTGCGTTGTGCGCGGCGCGCCGCCTCCATCTCAGCCCGCTCTTCGTCCTGCGCGGCCTGGATTGCTTCCTTTCCGAACAGCGCGCGCATCTCGTTGATGGCGCGGAGGTTCTGGGTGTTGATCTGCAAGAGCTCGTCGATGTCGCGGCTTCGCTGGGCGAGGTTGTCCGTCGCGCTCGAGTTGGCCTTGCGAGCGGCGCTGAGCTCCTGGAGCGCGCGTTCGATCTCGTCGTCCTTCTCATCGTCCGAGTCGTCCTTAGCCTGCGCGGCTTGCTTCTTGGCCTTCTTCTTCTTTTTCTTGTTCTTCTTCTTCGCCGGCTGGGGCACTGGCTCGGGCTCGGAGTCCGGCTTCACTTCCTCTTGTGCGTCGTCGGACTTCTCGTCATCGTCGTCCTCGTTGTCGTCGCCGCCTAGGGCTGCAAACAAGCTCTGTCGGGGCTTGACCGGGGCGGGCTCGGGCGCGTCATCGTCGCTGGATTCTTCGGCTTTAGTCTCCTGGAGCTGCTCGAGCTCTTTTTGCTTCTGCAGCTTCCGAAGCTGGCGGGTCGACATGATGGGAAAATATTCAGAGGTTTGCAGAACTTAAGAATGTTGCAACTAGAATAGATGCATCTACCACTTCGGGCGTTCCAGTCGAGGTAGGCAAGGTAAGTTGTTTGTGTGGTGGGAAAGGCTGCTTGCAGTGATGCGTCACGCCGGGAAGGCCCCGATAAGAATATGACGTGTGGCGGGGTTTGGCGGGGCAAAAATTCACTGCAGCACATACCGAAGAATGACCATCACACCAGATGAATGATTCCTTTGTCTGCAGCTGTCATCTTAACATACCTACCTCAAGCCCCAGCCATTCGACCTTGAGGGCGAGGCCATTCACATAGCCACAGTTGCCTGAAAACTTACCAGGCCAGATTTTATTTTCTGGATATATCATGAAGCATATATACTCTCTAGGTGTGGTGAGATTTTGAAGAGATATAGAAGAAGGGTTACTACATAACATTGCACAGCAAATAACAGTTGTCCCCATAAGACTTACACCCTACTCTCAAGGCTGTGAAATCAAACTTCGTGCAAAAGCAGTACCATTCTTCACCAACATCCACATCTTTGGATACTGCTGACTCTTACCAAGAATGAGAATCATGGACATGCACGTTCACAAGCGGCCAAAGTAATAGGTGGCGGTAGACGCTTTCTATTATCCAGCAAACGAGGCTTTGTTCCCGTCCAACACTCGTTGCCTATGTTTAGGGGGTCACCACCAAAATTCTTCTTTCTCCTGTTCTTCAATCCATATCTTATGGACCTTCCTTCCTATGTTCATCCCTTTTTGTCCAGAGACCGGACACATCTCTGTCATAGCATCACGCTGTCTTGGATACCTCTTGCCCCCAAAAGGATAACTCAATGCTTACTTTCCACGCCTGAAACCCATTTTGTCGTCACTGCACACTCATAAGACCGCAGCCCCATTGCGCGCGGCCAGCACTTGCCAAACTCCATCCGATTCCATGCGTGTCAAAAAAAGCAGTCCTATGATTCCTGCCCATCTGGCCAACTCAACGTAGAGGACTTGCCAGCCCAGTGCTCCATCGCCAACGGAATCCTTAGAAAACCCGAAATCGAGGGAGTGGTAATACATGGTAGAAAGTGTCGAGACCTCATTTCAGAGTGTCCAATGCAAAAACCGAGACGTCCAGAAGAAATCATGAACTTTTTCGTTAAACCACCGATGTCTCTTGAAGAGTACCCCGGGTCACCTTCGTAGGCATCCGAGCCAGAGGAATCTTCTAGTTTGCAGCAGGAGATGCGGCATCCGAGCCGCCACGGCCACGGTATGCGCCTCTTCCACCACGACCGAAGCCACGGCCACGACCGCGGCCCCGACCGCGATAACCACGGTATCCGCCGTCAACACTGCCCTGGCCAAAGGTCTCCATGTTCTTGCGCTGCTCCTCACCGCGCCATTCACGGCCGCCGGGCTTCTGACCGTTGTTCTCTGCGCGATCCTTGGCTTCGCTCGAGATGTTGTCAAAGAAGGAACGGGTCTTGTTGTACGCGTTGGGAGGGTTTCCGCCAATTGCCTCAGCGGCAGGTGCCTCCGTCACCGCGTTAGGCACGGCTCCGTTGGTGGGAGTCTCGCCCAGGGGAGAGCCAGCGATGGCTTCCTTGACCAAGTCGCCCTTGTTGAACTTGGCGTTGGCTCCAGCGAAGTCAAAGTCGGCGTCAGGGACCTCGACCTTGGCTTGACCCTGGCCTTGACGTCCGCCGCGGCCGCGACCACGACCGCCTCCGGGCGTAGGTCGAGCGGCGTTGACCCTCATCTCGTTGACCTTCTTGGTCAAGTTGTCCATGGCGTTGCCGTTGCCCTGGGGAGGGGCTGATACGGCGGCGGCACCGGCGTTCATGTTGGCCATGGCAAGAGCAACAGCGGCCTTGGCTGCCTCGGTGGCGTCGCGCACAGCTGCAGCGGTAGGGGCGGCAGCGGCCTTGGGAGCGGACTGCGCGGCGCTGTTCTCGTTTACAGGAACAGGGAAAGCCTTGGGCATGGAGCCTGCGAGAGGAATGGCAGGCTGAACGCGCGCGGGGTTCTTGGGTCCCGTCGGAACTGGTAGCTCAACAGGCTTCGACGGACCAGCTGTACCCAGATGTGCAGCCGTGGCCTTGACCTCGGCGACGGAAGGCTTTGAATCGACTGGGGGTGTTGGTGCAGGAGCTTGCTGCTGCAAGCCAGGCGGGGCGGTCGTCTTGGGCTCGCTCGGGGTTCCCTGTGCCGCCGGGGTAGCGGGCTTCTGCTTGTCACCAGCAGCGCCGATCGGCGTGGGCTTCGCCTCCTGGGCGCCAGGAGTGCCGCGGTTCTCAGGAGCTTGACCGGGTGCAGCACCAGGTGCCTGAGGGCCTTGGGGCCCAGGAGGACCACGAGGACCGGGAGGGCCAGGAGGGTAGTTGTAGTTGTTCCATCCATCAGGGCCGGGGGGGAATCCTTGACCCGGAGGACCAGGAGGGAACCATCCAGGAGGCGGAGGGTAGGGCATACCACCCATTCCAGCACCTGGACCACCACGGCCAGGAGGAGCAGGACCCCATGGTCCGGGAGGCGGGTAGAAGTTGTTCTGGAAAGGAGGCTGGCCGAAGCCGGGTGCCGGTGGAGGTTGGTTGTTAGGTCCTTGTCCAGGACGAGGGCGAGCCTAAAGTTGGAAGAACATGTTAGCCGTGTCCCACAGAATGCCAAGTGCATGTTCCAAGACAACATGACGCCGAGAGTCAGAAGGAAGGCAACGGAAATTTCGACATCGTTTTTGCGCTTTTCCGACAAGACGATAATTTTTACATCCGCAATACTTCATCATACAGGCGTTGTCAAGGAGGGGAGAGTGCTGCACTGAGGGCTCGACTTACGTTGACAATGGCAGGATCCTCGGGCATGGCAGGAGGCTTGTTCTCCTTGATGCCCGGGTGGTCCTCGATCCTCAAGTCCTTGACATCGCTGCCGCGGAAAATGATGTAGTCGTAAACCTGATCGGAAGGTGCTATCTCTTCTTCGGGTCTACTCCTCCGGCCCTCGGTGCCGAAAGAGCGAACATTCTCGAGCGACACGGTCGACTCGTCCGAGTTGATCTCGTGAAGAATGCCGACATATCTAGAGGCGATGAGCAAGGGGACTGGGGAGCAGCATTGAACGTCCACCAAGTCCTTACCGAATGTCGCTTTTGGAGATGAGGGAGATGCGAGATCTAGGAGGAAGAGTTAGCGAAATTGTTGAGATTGCGCGCATTTAAAGACGCGATTGGGGAGTGGATCGGGGGGGCGTGGTGGCCAGGTCTCCGTACCCTAAGAATTCTGACATCTCGGTTATGGGAGGGGTCGCGTAAAGCACGCAACGAAGCTGATGTTGCGACTGTCGGAACGATAAAGGAAAGATAAAACTTCAAGGTGCGATTGACGCGCTCCCGTTGATGGAGTAAAATACGAAGTGAGAAAGGTTGCGCGACGGTAGAGATGGAATTGGGGGGGGGCGGGCGGTGGGAGGTGGTGAGGAGGCGACGGCGGCAGAGGAGCGAGTAGGAGAGGTTTATTTGTGTGGAGGGAAGATTTGACCAGGACGTGGACCCGGCGGTACGTGGAAGGACAGCAAGCAAGAAAGAGAGAGGCTGAGGTGAGGTGAGGTGAATTGGAAGGCCCCACCACTCACCGCATTTGGGTAGAGCCCTCCAGTGTCCTACCCAACTACCTCCAGCTTAGGTAGGCGAGCGGCTGCCCTCTAGATGCTCTCCAGCTGCGCGTAGGTACCTTAGCGTACGGCTGAACCTCGGTTATACCTGCTGCCGTCCATCGAATGAACTGGACCTAACCTGTTCCCGTCTGAGCCAAAATTAGCTGCTCTTCAGGAGCTCTACTTCAGTGCGGGGAGAGCTCCTCAGCTCTCCTAGAAGCTTAGGTGGCAAGCGCGCTCTTGTCAACAGAAATAATCGCAGATATCCGTATATGAGATATAGGTAAGTAGCCGTACAATCAGCAAACTCCAGCTGCTTGACGACAGCAGTTCGATATGGAGCCATGTAAGGTATGATGACGTGACCTTTTCACGCAAACCTTGATCGGTCATTTTGCCAGTGTGTATACACACATTGTGCAGCTAATGAAATACGATTCTCCCGTCTTTATTGAATTGGGCGTGAAGTCAAGTCCCTCCCTTCGAAATTAGCAGATATATGGATATTGGTATATGTGTTCCTCTGTCCAAACTTTGCAAACTTGCCCTCCTCCACCTTCTCTCTCGGCGAGTCACTGAGATCCCTACCAGATGTCCAAAACACCAAAACGAAGCTGTCCAAAAGAAAATGCATTTGTCCCAGCTAATGTCTCGCTGCAACCGCTCCCGATATTGGCCTCTACCCAGAAGGGATACGCTGTACACAACACCGTCCCATCCGTTCCCTCCGCCAAAGCCCTCTGATAAGACCAAGAAAATAAGACTCGCTATCCCCCAGAACTTTGCAAATGCTGTGTTTTCCAAGCCAGAGTTGCAAATGCTCAAAGACCCAGAACTGTAGGTCATTCAACCAGGTATTTTCGCCACGCTTCTTCATCCCCAGATTCGTTTTCCTTCTCTTGCAGTTGTCTTTCTTTGTTCTCCGATTCTTCCTGGATTTTTCTATCCGTATCTTCGTCGATGAAGTCGATAAGTTCCCTCGGATACCAGCTCTCACGGCTGGGCTCTGGATCGCCAATGGACATTTCCAGAGACTCCTCTTCTGAGATGGCCTTCTGGGTCGGCCCCAGGAAGTAGTTGGCCGATTTGTCTCTCGTGTTCGCATCAACACCGTCTTGCTCGGCTTTGTTTTCCGGGGGCGAGCATAAAGATCGTGGCGAATTGCGGCTCTTATTCCCGTCGCCAACCCTCTTCTGATCCGGAACAGAGGGCCATATGCTGCCGCCAACGGCTGGCACAGCTCTGTCCCACCACATTTCCACGAAGAATGGTGTGAACAGGTCGCGCCTGGCGAGTTTTGCCTCCCGCAGTTTCCGGATTTCCTCATCACGCTCCATGTCTGTCTTTCTTTTTGTCGCTCTTCGTTGCCTAGTTGCATTCCTCGCCGCCTCTTTTCTATTCATAAGGCGGAAATTGCGATTTGAGCAGCTTGAACGGAGAAATATATACTGTTGAAAATTAGGCGCGCGGGACTCGTTTTTGACACCCATGATGTTCATAAAGTTGTTGTACTTCTCGAAGTCTTCGTGCAGTTCCTTAGCATCGCTTTTCCACGTCATGGAGTACGAAACTTGGCCGCTGGCCAGATATGTCGGCTCCTGTTGCGGTTGCCGCTTTTTACGTCGTTGATCTTGGATTCGCATAGCCGCAGGGCCTGTCGGAGCATTGGGAGGCGGACCATTTTGTCTAGTGGCAGAACAAGATGATTGCTGTTGACGTCCAGAGGGACCTTTCGGGGCGTTGGCCGGCGGGCCGACCGAAGCGTTTCTCTGCACATGTCCTTGGGAAAGGTTTTTATGGTAGGTATTTTCGCCGACGGAAGCGGGCGAGCCGGCGGGCGTTGTGAACGGCGAGCTTCGAGCCTGGCTTGATGCGCGGGAGGACGACGCACGCTCGATGTCGTGGTGGGGCGCCGCAACAGGAATCGATGCGGGTGCAGTGTAGCCGCCTTGATGGCAGTCACGACCGTCGACGTTCCGCGGGCGGGAAGGAGAGTTTCCATTGTCATCGGTCGGAGAACGTTGGTCCATAGCCTCGGTGTGGTGATCGCGACCAGGGACAAATTCGTATCCGGGAGGCGACAATGGGGCCTCGGGCATGATATAGAGGCGTAATGGTACGCCCTTCGAGGGTCGGCAAGACACGGGGCGTTGCTGGTCCATGGGTACCGGACTATGTGCAGTGTTGAAAGTAAGTGATGATGTTGCACTCGGAGTACCAAGACGATAAAGGATTGATGAAGCACTGATGCGTCGAGCAAAAGAATGATGGCCAAATGATGATGTCGAATCGCTTTGCAGGTTGGAACGACGAGGTGTTTGATGCTAGTTGGCGTGTTGTCGTAGGTGAGAGCGGGAGAAAGGTAAAGAGTTTTCAGCATTGGGCGAAGTCGCGCCTGCCGTGTCTACGACTTTACAACTGCAGAAGAGGGAAACGCTTCGCTCAGGGCGGGCAGCTGGCAAGTCGGCATCGAAAGCTTTTATCTTCTTCTGCGACAGAAACAGCGACTGCAGGCCAGGACAATACCACTCTTAGTAGAGCTTAACGGAGATCACCTTACCACCGGACTTGCCTTACCCAAAGGACCGTGAGTCTGCCCCAGAATCAGAACCAGAGTAACCCTTAGAGGTGTTCACCGCCGGCGTCCATTTTTGCGAACTACGTACGATTGGTTCGCACAAGGCCAGCAGCTTCAAATATTTACCTTTGCGATCTCTCCGGCCTATGGCAAGGCGGCTTGCGGAGCCTTTTCGATAAGCAGAACTCAGTCGGATGGCTGTCGTTTAGACAAAGGAGCTGTGGCAGGAACAGCACATTTGAAGGAGGAAACAGATTGGGAAGCTGTGGCGAAGAATGCACGAGGATACACCACAAATTTCTCTTCGAATATCACGAGAGGACCGCAAGCAACTATGTGGTCGTTCATGAACAGGATTTATGAGGAAGAAATGAACCGTGGTCAGCACATCACTGAGGTCCCATGACTCCCCGGCTGGGAAACATTTACAGGAACACATTCTTTGTTGACGTTATGAATAGCATCTTCAATATCATTGAAAGGACCAGGTTTAGCTTCATGTCCAGTACACAGCGTACCTATTCGAGCATATTGAGAGTTTGCGGAAAATTCATCAGTCAGCAAGTGCAGGGGCGTATTGTCTGCTGCTACGGAATGGTAAAGGCCACAAAGGTTGATGTGCAAGAACCAGTTCGATGCTGTTCAATTAATTGGGGCCAATCGTCTACGCCGGTCTTCAGTCTGAGTTACCATGTCGTCTGTCACGATCAGTAAGCGGAGCGCCCTACGCCGAATGTGCACTTCTCGATACAGGCCATGTGGTGTTCTCATTTACATAGATGTATCAGTCTCTAAACGGGCTCTCTCTTTCTTTCGTGTTGCTCGTACGTACTGCTCTCAAAGTACTACTGTGGCTGCCAAAAAGGCTGCCAAAAAAAAAAAAAAAAAAAAGGCCGGTTTCAACTTTCTCCGCCTCGTCCTCGAAGGTATCCAGTCAAGTTTTGGTGTCACTCTTCTCATGCTGCTACAGTTGGTCTAGATGACGCAACCCACGAGGCATCTCCTGTCCCTGAAAACGATGGAAAGGTACAACAGAGCGCATCGAATCAATCTTACCTTGCAACCACTGAGAAAGCCTCTGCTGCGAATTAGCCATCTTGAACATGTTCGTAAGCGTCAGAAAGGCACAATCGACAGAGCAGTCCAATTGAAACAGTCGACTCCAACATGCGGTCGTTCTTCTGGCTGACGTGCGACTGACAGTTCCAAGGCTGAGTCCAAGGACAGAAACCCGTCTATAAATTCCAAACGAACCTCATTTTGGTGTTTTTCCCTCCATCTTTCTTTCATCGTTGTGACCCGCGACGCTCAAAGATCGCGAAGCGGAGTGTTCGACGTCGAAAGTCCCTCGCTTAAGAACAAGCCAAGATGCATCACTAAGACATTATGCGACTATCAGTAATAAACGTCAATGCGTAAGAACCCCACACATACCGAGGTTTCCAACGACCGTGCAGTAGCTTCTCAACAATCGCTCGAAACCCAATACTCGAAAGCGCCCGCCCTCGAGCTGATCTCGTTCAACACACAGCTCGGAACACACACCGCACTCTAATTCAGCTGGGCGCGAACGACTGTCCAAAATGGCCGCAAAAATCACGCTCAAGCTGAGCAGCCGCTGTAAGCAATATCCCTCTTCTGTCTACAAAATAGTCCTTCCAGAAGAAGGAAACCCCCTTGCTCTAAAAAATTACTTACACCCGCGCGAAGCTCCCAAGAAGCCGATCAAGAAGCTCCCCGACTCCATTGAGATCTCCCCCGACACCACCGTCGAGGATGTCAAGAAGATCATCGCCAGCAAGACGGGCCTGGGCGACTTCAACCGCGTCGGCCTCTTCGACCCCTCGACCCAGAAGACCCTGAAGAACCGCAAGGCCCAGATCGGCGCCGAGCAGGCCGTCATGGCCGCCGGCCAGGTCCTGGTCAAGGATCTCGGTGCGTCAAGGCCTCCCCAATCTACACCGACTGCCTCCGAGTACTAACCCAGCGAATCCGCAGGCCCTCAGATGGCATGGAGCACCGTCTTCGTGATCGAATACCTCGGCCCCCTCCTGATCCACGGCCTCTTCGTCGCCTTCCGCCCCTACATCTACGCCGACGCCGCCAAGAAGCCCCTCTCCCCGACGCAGCTCCTCGTCTTCGCCATGTTCCTCGGCCACTTCATGAAGCGCGAGTACGAGACCCTCTTCGTCCACAAGTTCTCCGCCAACACCATGCCCATGCGCAACATCTTCAAGAACTCCTTCTTCTACTGGGCCTTCTCCGGCGCCCTCTGCGCCTGGCACGTCTACTCCCCCGCCTCGCCCACCGCCCTCGCCCGCAACGACGCCGTCGACGTCCTCGGCACCATCGTCTTCCTCTTCGGCGAGGCCTCCAACGCCCTCGTCCACCTCAACCTCGCCGGCCTCCGCTCCCGCGGCGGCACCGAGCGCCAGATCCCCCGCGGCTACGGCTTCTCCCTCGTCACCTGCCCCAACTACATGTTCGAGATCATCTCCTGGGTCGGCGTCGTCATCGCCAGCCGCAGCTGGGCCGTCCTCCTCTTCATCGTCATCGGCGCCGTCCAGATGTCCCAGTGGGCCAAGGGCAAGGAGCGCGCCTACCGCAAGGAGTTCCCCGACACGTACAAGAAGAAGAAGTTCGTCCTGCTGCCCGGCATCTATTGAGCGCTTTCTATTTCGTAGGAACGAGTTCGAAACGCAGATATCAAGCCACATTTTGCGACGGCCGCAAAGTCCCGCCCTTGCGAGTGGTATCGTGAAGTGTATTAAAACGCAAAAAGATGTATAGAAGAGAGGGAAACCAATACCAGGCGCGAATTCGTTACCGCTGCCTCCATGTGCATCTCGTGTCATAGCCGTTCGTCCCGTCGTAGAGTGGTATCATGCCCCGCCCGTCGTGAATCACAACGTGGAAATAGAAGTCGTCTCGGACCCTTTAGCCCGTCCTTCCGTGCCATTACTCGACCCAGCCTCCGTCACACTACGACTCGCCTCCGAACAATCCTCCCGGCTCCCGTCCAACTCCATCGCCCCCTCCACCTCACCCTCCCTCCCCTTCCCCTTCCCCTTCTCGCCCGGGCCCCCATTCCCCATACTGACATCCCCGTCCGCATCCCCCGCCTCGCTTCCGCCGCTCCAACTCCCGCTCCCGCTCCAGCTGCCACTCCCACAACTATCGCTGCTCCCCTCCCTCACGAGCCGGAACGTCTCCTCCAGCACCAGGAAGTCCCGCTCCAGCACCTCGGCCCAGTTCTGCACGTTGCCCAGCTCCTTGACCCGCCGCGCCGCGTCCGCCGTGAACTTGCCCAGCTTGTCGTTCTCCCGCCGCAGCGCCTCCGTCGCCCGCGCCACGTCCCGCTCCTGCTTGTCCAGCGCCGACGCGTTCGCGTGCAGCATCCGCGCCCGGCTCTGCAGCTCCCCGTCCAGCATGTTCCCGATCGAGGCCACCACCGCCGACCGCGCCTCCGCGATGTGCCGCTGCTGGTCCTCGGACGGGAGGGTCTGGTGGAGCTGTTGTGGTTGCTGCTGCTGCTGCGGGGGCGGGGCCGGTCCCGGGGCGCCGGAGACGGAGGTCGCGGACGACTGCGAGTGTTGCGGCCGCGCCGAGGAGACACTCAGGTGCTGGGATGTGCTCGGTGCGGTAGAGGCAGATGACGGCGGGGCCGGGGCCGCAGCCGAAGCTGCTGCCGCTGCCTGTGCAGGGTTCCTCGCCGAGGAGGACGAAGAGGAGGAGAACATGTCGTCTTGCGTATCTTTCTTTTCTTACTGGCGCACGGGTATCTGCCTCACCGCCGTCAACCAAAGAGACGCTTTCGGTGGTGCTCTCCGAAAAATCGCAAAGCAAAGACAAATTAACAGTCCTAGATGGCTGGACGTTGCAGAGGAGGGGGGATCCCGCCGGGTCTAAAAAAAGGCAGACCAGCCCGGATCGGGAAACTCGCGGACCCGACGAATCACAGCGCGTCGTCGGGGGGAGACGAGAGGTCCCCGCATGGAAGGATCCCGCTTGTGGCGGGGTAGCTTACCGGCGGCCAGGGGGGGTCGCTCGCCGACCCGCCCGGTCCCGGGATTCGACGTTCCTTCGCCGGGTGTGTTGATGCTGCTTTTCCTTCATTCCCGACACTCTTAGCGTCCATTTCGCAGACCAAAGCCGTTTTTGTTCGTCTTTGAGCCCCGTCGGCGTTTCTGAGTTTCTCTCAATAGGGTTTGGAACATTGTCCTTCTCACGTCAGCACTTGAGGTTTCTACATACGGCAGCGCATGCCGGTATCCGCAGAGCGGAGCGGACTTTTGGGAATATTTGTGTTCCTGGATTTGGGTCAATAAGCAGGCACAAAAGTAGACTAGACACGGAAGCCTCATGACGACAGGCCGGCAAACAGCTTGGCTATCTTGTAGGACACCTCGAATTCACGACAGGGTTGAGAGACAGATCCTTTGAGCCAGGGACACTTTGGCTCCACGATTGGAATATGTCCGGGAAGAAATGTAGATAAATAGGGGCTCTCCTTCTCGTGCTGGAAACGAATTTCCTCAATCTCATCCTCACAAGTTTTCCAAACTATATACTCACTCTACACTCGTCTAATCCCATTCCATAAAACCAAACACGCCTCCAACACCGCCAAGATGGTCACCCTCTACGACGCCTGCATCCCGATGATGATCAAGTACCTCGGCAACCTCAAACACATCCTCAAAAAAGCCGAAGAACACTGCGTCGCAAAGGGCCTGAACCAGGAGGAGATGATCAAATTCCGCCTCATCGAAGACATGCGAAGGTACCATTCTTCCCTGCCCATCCCACTCCCCCCGTCTTTCAGCCCTCACACTCACCCTCACCCTCAACTTCAACCTCATCCTACTAACCACGGCAAAATAGCCTCGACTTCCAAGTCCAATCCGTCTCCAACACGGCAAAATTCATCCCCACCCGCCTCGCCGCCCTCCCGGACGTCTTCTTCGCCGACGACGAGTCCACCTTCCCGCAGCTGCAATCCCGCGTCGACGCCACCGTCGACGTCCTGCGCGCCATCCCCCGCGACGCCTTCGACGGCCGCGAGGACGCCGAGGTCGTGCTCGCGTCCAAGATGGGCGACTTCAAGTTCACGGGCTACGCGTACGTCGTGCAGTACGCGTGCCCGAATTTCCACTTCCACCTGGCGTCGGCGTATTGCATCCTCAGGCACCTGGGCGTGCCGCTGACGGCGTTTGATTACCTCGACTCGCAGAAGGATTTGTTCGTCAAGGTGGAGAAGGCCGAGTAGGATGATAGTGATGGGATATGGTGCCGGGATGTTGGAAAGTTATGGTAGACGAGCAGCGAAGCCTTTGGGGGTGTTCTCCACAGCCAAAATAAATCGTTTCTAAAGCCGTCACAATGAATGGTTGTAAATATAATTGATTTGTGTTCAGTAGCCCAAACCTAGCATTGTCGTTGATGCGGGTGTAAAAGAACACATAAAGCTTAGCAGCCAGGCAATATATTTGGCAAGAAATCTATCCATCGTTACAGAACGATACGTTTATCAGGTTTCAAGGTAACCAGTCTATGCCTCTATTCATCTTTTTTTAGTCCCCTCGTAAACGCCAGCCAGCCTGTCCAGGGTATCTTTTTGTATCACCACCCGAAACCAAAGTTCTCTCTAGTCGTCATAATAGCCTTCATATCGGCCGTACTCAGCCTGTGTGCTGACCCATTCCTCGTCCGCCAAGCCGCGCATCATCCGCCTCTGGAGACCCGAGGCGTCCTTGTGCCAGTCGCAGGCGAAGTCGCACTTGGGCACCTCGCTCTCCCCAAAGTACTTGCATATCTGCGCGTGGCGGCAGCACGTCGTGTCCTCGCAGTAGAGCGCGAGCTTCTGCAGTCTCTTCGCCTGCGCCTCCCAGTTCGAGCCGTCGCGGTTGCCTTTCCTAATCATGCTCTGCACGCGCTGCAAATCTTCTCGACTGTAGTACAGGAAACAGAAGCTGGCGTTGCCGTCTCGGCCCGCGCGCCCCGCCTCTTGGTAGTACCCCTCGAACGACTTGGGCAACCGCCAATGGACGACGAACCGGACGTCGTTCTTGTCAATGCCCATCCCGAAGGCCGTGGTCGCCACGATGACGTCGTATCCGGGCTCGTTGTTCACCCAACGGGCCAGCGTCTGTTCATTGGTCTCCTTGGTGAGCTTCGCGTGGAAGGGCCTTGCCCCCACGCCTTCGTTGCTCAGCTGTCCGGCTAACGACTCGCACTCGTCTCTCGATATGGTGTAGATGATACCAGAGACGTTGTCAACTCTCTCGCCAGCAGCTTCGAGCTCTGATTTGCGCGGCTCTTCTCTTCTTCTGTCATACACGCTACGTATCCAGGCGAGGAAATCAGAAAGGCGGTTGTCATCCTGGTCCTTGGTGTACCTAATTTCAATATGCAGGTTGGGACGGTGCGCAGACATGACAAAGCTTTGAAGCCTGTCAGGCTGCTCTAGAAGACCAAGGGTCTTGAGCAAGTCCTGGCGAACCACTGGGTTCGCCGTGGCTGTCAAACACATGATGGGCACGCTTGGGAACGTCTCTCGAAACCATGACAGACGCTTAAAGTCTTTGCGGAAATCGTGGCCCCATTCCGAGATGCAGTGCGCCTCGTCGACGGCGATGCGCGACAGCTCGCATTGCTCGTGGACCAACTTGAGGCGTTTTCTGAAGGAGTCGCCAGAGCACAGCTCGGGGGTGACGTAGAGCAGCCTGATACGCGGGTGACCGCTGGCCAAATCCTGATTGATGCGATCTCTCTCGCGGGGCGGCGTGTTGCTGTTTAAGGAGCTGGCGTCGATGCCCGCCAATCGCAGAGCTTCGACCTGATTCATCTGATGGAGCTGTCAGCTGTCGCGCCTGACTAAGGCTACATGGGCTATCCCTCACCATGAGACTGAGCAGTGGCGAAACGACAACGGTGACTGCGGCGGACAAATCATGTTAGTTGACGACGCGTGCGTGAGAGCGAGCTCGGGGCAGTTTCGGGTGCTTACTGCCGTGGTCAATGCAGGCAGGGAGTTGGAAGCAGAGACTCTTGCCAAAGGACGTGGCGGCCTGGACGAAGACATCTTTGCCGTCGAGAGCCGCGACGATGATTTCCCGCTGCTGAGGTCTGAGAAGAAGAAGCAGTGTCAGTTAATTGTCATGGGGCCGCTTAACGGACGGTGTGGGTTGATGTAATTGGGCGTGTGCGGGGGCGAGTCTCTTCACCTAAAGGACGACTTCTTGAACTGGCGTCTGAGGGTAAAGTCGATATCAACGCATGAGTTTGAGCGCGATAGAGGAGGCATGATGATGTGTGCGTGGAGTTGATGAGGATGTCGTGACCGGACAGCGCCCAGTCCCGATCGGTCGATGTTGGCCGAGCTTTGATGGTTGGTGGTCGTGGTGGAGGGCTCAGTGGCATAATGTTGCACTATGCCTAGAGAAGATTCCGGGTGTGATCATGATCGAGCTCGGGTCCGGAGGTGGTCCGTCTGACGTTGGGCCTTTGGGGGCCTTGGAGTCTTGGACAGCCGGCGTGGCCGAAAGCCCTCAGACCCGGGGAACGGAGCTTGGCCAGGACGAAGCAAGAAAAAGCCGGGAAGAAGTGGCCGGTGAGTGATGGAAGTGAAGTGAACGCGTGTCGCACAAGCAATCGCGACGATCCAGTCGGTCGGAGTCGGACTGGAGATGTTCTGACAGATGGGGCCCGGGTGGCTGAGCAGCTTCTGAGGATCAAGGCTGAAAATGCATGGGAAACGCGAACCGGGTTCATGGAAGAGGCGTGGAGTTGGAGTTGGTTGGGGCTGGCCAATTGGATTATCCGGGCAAACAAGGTGAGCCTCAGGAAGGATGCTGACCTTATCTCGGTGAGGGTGCTGTATACTCGGTGAGAAACGAGAGGTGAGGACGCCTGACGTCGGGGCAATTGCTGACAAAGGATGCACCCTGAAAGCTGTGGAGGCGACCGGAGCACGCAACAGCGCCAGCAAGGAGGTGCCAAGACGCAACACGGAGGCGCTACGGTAAGAAGGGGATCGAAGGAGAGCTTCACCACTACGAGAAAAAAGAAAAGAAGAGACAAAAGAGAAACAAGTCTCCAGTCCCCAGTCCTTCTCGGCCATTTCCTATTCTGGTGAGCTTTGCAGACAACCTGACGCTGTCAAAGTCGCCAACCCGGGCCACCCCTTCCCGCACAGCTGGGACACTGACTGGGAACTTGGAAGCATTTCAGCATCATGACCATGATTCACGCGCCAGTCTAACAGCAAGGCAGGTAAAGCAAGGCAAGGCAAGGCAAGCCGGGGAAGGGGAAGGGGAAGCGCAGTAGCGGCGGCTGCAGTGTCAAGTTAACCTTACAGCGGGCATGTAGCTGTGGCAGCGGCCGCAACGGCCAAGCAGCGGCGGGAGCAGCATCACGGACTCTGTGTGTTTGTGCTTCTGCCTCTGCTTCTGCGTCTGCGTCTCCGTCTGCGGCACGCCTTACGAGCCCCCTTGCGAGATTCCGTGCCTCGTCCTCCCTGGGCTGTCTCTGGTCTTCGGTGCTATTTCAATTTCTGTAAATGGCGTGGACGTTGAACATGCCACAACAGGCGAGTCGGAGGTCGTGATTCAGGCCGCGTCTGTGTGGTTTTCCCTTTCGTCTAGATCGGACTGAGCTGGAACACAGCTGGAGAACGGCAGTCGCAGTTGGCGACGTTGAGGTCAAAAATAGGGGACGACGACGACGGCGACGACTCACCTGAGTGGCACTCTGTACAAAGTTGCGAGGCACGCGACGTGAGATCACGGACAGAACATCTGACAGGCCGCGGGGGACACGGCCCCAGATCTGCACAGAGGCACAGCTTGAGTTGCTGCAGAAGCGTTGTCCATCCAATTGATAGACGTGTGTTTCCGGCATCGACATCGCCAACACCAGGAGGTGGAGGTACCGGAAAAGTTAGACACCCGATGTAACAGCGAACTGGTCGGGCGGGCGAGAAGATACAGACGGTCGTTGTACTCGACCCTTCCTTTCCCCCGCCTAGGTCGTCACGGCCGGGTGCCATGACTGATGCGAACTATCCAGACTCTGTAACACCCTAACAGCGAACTGGATGTGTTCGTTTCCATTGACTTTGCTAGCCTGCTGCGCCTCTCCTTCAGAGTTCATCTCACCGAAACCCAGCTGCCAAGGATGACAACCGGGACTCTGTTGGATGTGAGTGGAGAGATTTGAAGAAAAAAAAGAGAGAGAGACAGAAACCGAGAGAGATCTGTGTGCGAGGTTGTACGGAATGCGACGCTATCAATTTTGTTGCTTCTTTTTTTCAAACTCGGGTGTTTCCCGATGTTTCTGTTTCTCGTCGGTGCTAGTCGTTGTTGGCCTCTAACCAGGCCCAAGGAATGTTCCGTTTGGATGTGTCGCAGCAGGGCCAGTGGTAGGTCATTGTCGCCGCACCTGTCTCTCAATCGTTTCCATTGGGAGACGGCAACCAGGTAGGAATAGAGTGCAGTGCCGAGTGAGGTGAGGCATGGATACTTAAGGCGAGACAAGGCAGGGCGAGACGGTTGAGTGACACGACAGGACAGCTGCAGTGCAGGTGCATCTGCATCGAGATAGGTGAGGGCTGAGGGCTGTCTCTGGACGTGACATCAACCCGCAACAGCTAAGACCGGGTGCTCGAGGGCTTCTTTGTCTTTTCCTTGGAGATGGTGTGTGGCCCAAGTGTAGCTGATTGGTAGTGTGGCCATCAATGCCTTACCTTATTCCAAACCATGTGCCGTCATGAGTATGCCGCTGATATTGAATATTGTGTCATTTGGACGTCTTGCTGGGAGAATTCGTGCAACAGACGCAGATGATGTTTCTTAGAGAACATTAGGAGAATTGCCCCTTGATAGGATCGACTGCCTCGTCTTCAGTCTTCACCAACAAGATGCGCTACGTGTCGAGGTTCCTTGCATTTTTGCGGCGGCGCTAGAGAGGCGTTTTAGCCTTGACACTGGACCGACGCCCCCTTTCTTGGCCACAGCCACACCCCTGCTATCTTTTTTTTTCTCTTCTTTTTTTTCCCTCCTTCCCTGCCCTTTCCATCTCACTGGCGGTCGTCTTTCCGCCCAGCTTCCAGTCCCAGACGAGCCGTCCATCCAGTCGCGTGTTCTAGCGAGGGAGCGCGTGCTGTAAAGAATCCTTAGAGCCCCTGATTGGCAGGCTTAAGCCGCTGCAGCAGCAGCTGCACTCCAGTTGGCAATAGTCCACGGGCACCTCGGTCTGTGCGGCCCATTCAACCCCCAAAAAGGGTCCCGCCCGGTCCCGTCCCCCATGTCGCGTCACTGAGTGTCTGCTGAAGGTCTCGGGCTTGTGTCTGTGAGAGTGAGGCCCTGAATTGCCTTCTTCCAGCGATTAAGGTACGGATATCGCGTGCAAGTCTTTAGCAAGGCGGAAGCCAGAACTGGAAAGAAGTCCCGCCGTGTCCACCACTGCACCCAGGCTGTTCCTGCCCCTTTTTACCTGCCTTGCAGATTCAACGGCAACGGGGAGGTGACCTCGTACTCCTGCTCCTCGAGTGCTCCTGCCTCTGCTCCTGCTCCTGCTGCTGTTGCTACTGCTGCAACGCTGTTTCCTTCCATTCGTTCCTTCCTTGGCCCCTTCTTCCTTCCCTCCAGCGTCCAGCCCCGGTTCCAGGCCATTCAAAGTGGAGGCGTGCGGCTCGCGACTTGCAGGGGGCGTGAACTCAGAATTCCGTGTTGCGGACTGGGACTGGCAAGGCAAGGGCCAAGGGCCACCACCAAAGAATCCTCATCCCTTCTTCCCAAGTTCAAGTGCCCAATCCATCCACGTCCATCACCCAGAGAGAGAGAGAAGCTCCGGCTGGAAGATGTCAGTTTCATAGTACCACCAACCTGACAACCATCTCCACTCTTTTCGTTCCTCTCCGATCCGCTCCTGCCTTGCCGTGCCTGCGCTGCGCTGCGCTGCGTTGCGGGAAACAATAATTCAGCAACTGCAACACCAGAGAGAAACACACTCTTCCGTCAAGGCAAGGCAAGACAAGAAAGACCACCACCAACGCCAAACGCCAACGCCAAACGACTTGCATCTCGCCGTCTCCCGTCCTCTCCACTACCTACGGTATCGACTGGCGCTGCCCTGCTGAGCGAGGTGTGACGGTCCACCTGCCTCTTTTCCGCCTGCCGTCGCCGTCGCCGTCGCCTTTCGCTTCGCTTCGCTTCCCGTTTCGCTGGCTCGTCTTCGCTTCTTCGTCCTTTCCGACACCACGCACTCGATTCCATCTTGGCTTCTTTTTTTCTTCCTTCCCAATTCTCCTCAGTCGTCGGTCTCACGACACCACCCCCCGATTCACGCACCCACACACCTTCTCCATCGCATGTCCGACTATCCATAATGATCTCGCCCGCCTTGCAGCTCAGCCTGTCCCGTTCCGAAAGTCCATTGGCTTAAACTTCCAGCTTCCGTCCTCCTGTTGTTTGAGAGGCCCGACCAACCCTCGCCCGACAATCGAGCAACCAGAGGGAACCCTGAAACGCTGCATTCGACCCAAACCTTCCTGTCCGACAACAATAGAACATCGCCCTTTCTCGTTCAAAATCCATCTCCTTTCGAATTATCGATCGAATCCATACCATCATGGTCGAGCGAACCGATCGCTCAGAACGACCCTCGGGTCCGCTGGGCCCTGCGGCAATGGGCATGGGCATAGCTCGCGGCTTGCCAGAGAATCCCGCCCAGGGCCGACGCCAACTTCAAAAAGATGTCGCCCTCGGCAACATCCCTCCTCCCCCTCCCCTCCCGCCGATGCCCAAAGATCTCCGGAGCCTGCCCGGCGGCCTGTCCGCCTCGGCCCCCATGACCTCGGCTCAGGTCATCGCTCTTGCCCGCGACGCCATGCAGAGCGCCCTCCACGAAAACGAATCCCAAGCCGCCGAGGCGAGCGCCGTCAGCAACGAGCTGAAGCCCGGTGTCACAATTGACTTGAGCCGCAAGGGTATCCAGAAGCTGCCGGATGAGGTTGTTGATATCATCAAGAACGAACTAGAGCGGTTCGTCCACCTTTCACACCTTCGCATTGCATTGCATGGCATTGGCAAATACTAACGCGACTGCAGTCTTGCCCTCTCCCACAACCAGGTCTCCTCTTTCCCGGCACGGTTTTCCGAGTGCACCTCCCTTCGATACTTGAACGTTAGAAACAACCAAATCAGGGAGTTCCCACTACCGGTCCGTACACCCGCCCAAGAAATTCCATTGCCATCATCTAATGCCTTCCCAGCTCTGCGATCTCAAGTCGCTCGAGATTCTTGATCTTAGCAAGAACAAGCTCCGCGCCTTGCCCCCTGACATTGTCAAACTCGCTTCTTTGAAGGTCTTTTCGGTACAAAAGAACCGCATTGAGGAGCTGCCCGTCGCACTTGCCGATATGGTGTCCTTGCAGGTGCTCAAATTTGACGGTAATCCCATCACATTTCCTCCTCGAGAGGTGCTGCAGGTACAGGCGAGCAGCCCCCCCAATGAAGGCTACTTGAAAGAGAGCGAGGTCACCGAGGTGGCTGTCACTGCACACATCAAGCGCTTCCTAAGACAGCACGCAATGAATGGCCGTGCAGAGTCAGACACTGCTGGCGAAGAGTCCAGCGAAGGCATGGAAACACCCCGGATGCCTCCAATCAAGCGTGTTGTCAGTGGTCGTTTCCCGATCAAAGTCAATGGCACCGATGTTCCAGATATTCGATCCCCAAACCTTGTCCGGCCGCCTCCCATCCCCAATAGGTCTCACTACAGAGGATTGTCTCAGCAGAATACCGCCATCCGCCGCCCTGGCGTCATGCCTCTGACCATAGGAAATGTCAACGAGAGACTTCGAAGCAACTCGGAGACGCTGCTGCAGGCCACTCGCGACCGACCCGAATCTCGAGCAAGACGAATGGGGGTGGTATCGCAGAAGGCCTCGCAACTCGGTACTTTGGACGAAACTCAGGCCAACAACCGCTTCAGTCACTATCGGGGTCTGAGCCACGGCTCCGCAATGCAGCCTCCGCCGGCAAGCATGTCGGTCAAGAGTCCCAACAGCCCAGCTGACTCATTCCTCCAACGTCCGATCTACGTCCGACGACTCTCTGTCCTCCCCGAGCGAAGACGCGAATCCAAAGTCTACGACCCGATTCTTGAGGCTGCTAAGGGCATCCTCTACGCCGTTTTCCAGATTCATCCCATGATCCAGATGCTCATGAGCTTGACGAGCGATGGTTCTTCTAAGCGATCCAGCCTCGAGATAGTCTTCTACAACACGAACTCGCATGTCGAGGAACTGGAGCAGGAGATCCAAAAGCACGATCCTGCGGTGGGAGGCGACGAGATGGCTGGGGGCGAAAACGAAAGCGTTCACCGGGCATGCCAGACTCTGGTCAGCGCCTACACACATGTTTGCACGCTCCTCGCGGGCAACATCGACTCTTTTGTCGACAACGGAGACCCACGATACATCCGCACGCTTCTGATGCTCATCTATAATAGCATTATGGAGATCAGGTGCACCCTAGCGTCCTTGTCCCCTGAAGCTGGCCTAGGAAAGTCGGTCACTCGGGGTATGGCCATGGGGGATACGATCAAGCCGCACTCCCGCGAGAACTCTATTACCCCCACTGCCGAACGACTCGGACTCTCGCAGCGCCCCCGACCGGGACCGATTCTCCACAACCCAAGCAATCTCAGAGTTGCGACAGACGTGCCGATCAACTACATGAATGGAGCCGTAGCCACGCGCACCGCGACCCTTACATCAGCAACTCCCCGTTCGGGAGAGTCCTTCGTCTCAGCGTCGTCTGGCGGACGCGGCATCTCCGACTTCACGGAGGAGGACAGATACTTTGAGAAGATCTTCCTGTCCCTTCAACGGTCGTCCGAACTTGTCATGAGGACCCTTCCCATGTTCCAGAACCACATGTCCGTACTCGCGAAGAAGGCCATGAGCCGTCGCGCGTCAGACGAAGAGATGAGATGCTGGAAGGCCCTCATCAACAAATGTGGCACGGCAATCCAGCAGACTGAGATGCTCCGGAGCCGTCTCTCTCACATCAAGCTCAAGGAGCCGGGCATTATGAGCCAACCCGCCTTCAGAGGCTTGATCAACAACTTTATCGACTCCTGGTACGAGTTCGGTAATAAGATACGCTACGCATTCACCGAAGTCAACCTCCCTCCCGACACCAGGGTCAGGTTGCGTCCTATCCAGCAAGCCATGAAGGAGGCGAGGGATACGATTCTCCAGTCGCCATGGAACTATCTGCTGCGGCAGTCATCCGGCTCCAACGTGTTCAGCCCCAACAACGGACCAGCGATGCCACCCATGCAGCTGCCGATGACTCCCCAAAGCGCCGCTCTCGGTCCCGCGGTCCAAGCGACAGTTCCCTCGACCCCTCAGAGCGCTTCGTTCGCAGGCGCTTTCAACGGCGGCGTCTTCGAACGGGCAGATGCCCTCATCTCCATGGGCGGCCTTTCGATGTCGCGAAACGGGACGATGACGAACAGCTCGGCCGCTAGCTTCACCATGTCTTCGATGTCATCCCTTTCTTCGGACGGAGGAGCCATGACTCCATCGTCCGTCATTAGCCCGAACGGCTTCGGCCCCGGCCCGGTGCCCCTACGACTCAACGGCAGCAAAGTTGCCTTCTAGTCGAAGCGCAGAGCAAGTCCTTGGATTCGTCGCACATTTTTGGGCAAGAGACACAGGTCAAAATAGACCTGGTTTGTACTTTACCCTATTCGTTTTCTTTTTTGGGCGGTCTCGACGACCGACACACGTTTTTGTGGAACGTTCATCTTTCACCCACGCATAGCATGGCGTCATGGTCAGAATCATTTAGGGGTGGAAACCATACACTCATTCAGAAGGGAATTCCTGGGCGGACTCTGGTTCAAGGAATGCCAGTAATGTTATAGCTACGAAGCAAAGTTGATGCCATTCCCATGCATATTGGACATGGAGGGCGGGGTTTCCAGAGGGATCACCGCTACGAGTTCATGCGCCCCGGTCAAACATCAACTGCTGCTCGATTGTACTTTAGATGCTGCTACTCAGCGATATAATGAACACATAGAAGTTCATATCTCATGTTGTGCCCCGTCTTAGTTCTCGTGAAGACGTGAGTGTCGACCAACACGGTTGCTCCCAGAGGCTCCCAATGGCTCAAGAAGCCACCTGCAGCCCCAAGACATCACATGCGGCCATACCCACTGGAGAACTCGGGATCCCGTCCGCTCTCCCATCGATAAACCAGTGAGGGCTGAAGTAGTAGTTGGGTCGGAGACGACCAGCGAATGCTCAGTGTTGCATGTATTTTTGCTCCGGCCCCCGTCCGGCACGTTTACGTAGCGTGGAGCCAAGCTTTTGTTGGAGGAATTGGTCTTGGACTACCTACCTACCCGGCCTAGCCAGTCGATGACGTCTGCAGCTCTCACTTCGGCCGGTTGTCTAATCTGTCACGTAGCTCAGCTTTAAGCTTCCGAAGTAGTATTTTTTGTACCTTGTCACAACCACGAAGAGTGTGTAAAGTCAAGAGCCAGGCTGTGTTGGTCGCCTTGTAGATGTGTAATTGTCAGCCTTGGACGTCGTCTCGATGTCACCAAAAACACCGCTAGCTCCATGGCTCCCGCGGCGGCGGGCGGCGACACCGTCCGTCCAGTCCATGTTGCCTCGGCCGAGGTGTGGGGTTTCCATTTGGAATCCGTGGATTCCGCAGCGCAACCCGTCCACAGCCAGGACCCCTGTCCACGTCAATCGGTTCCGAGGTGTCTTGTCTGTACGGCGCTTAGTTATCACCCATTCCACGACTTTCTCTAGCGGACTGCGGGCATTGTATGCCACTGGATGGAAAGCTACTAAGCAACTTGCATCAAGTAGCTCAGAATACCTCGGAAAAGATAGGTTCGATGTGACATGATTTGCAATTGACATCAAGACAAACGCCCCTCCCGAGAAATACCTTGGCCCCGTTCACACGTCGCCAGGCTCAAACTCCACTTTCCCTCCCGAGGGACCGGCGTAGAAAAACTTACATCAGCGACATTTTGGACCGGCCGCGCCCGCCATCCCGCACCGTCTCTCCCGCCCGTGTCGTCTGTCTGTCTGTCCCGCCATCCCGCTCGCTCGCTGCATTTGTCAGGTCGCGCATCCGCAAGCATATAAGACGTTACCCTTACGAGCCCCACCACCGTACATATTACTACTAGTAGGTATCTGCCTCACCTACCTTACTTAGTATAATTACAAAAAGGGCCATTCCCTCTCCTCCACCCCCCTCCCCCGCGATCTCGGCGTCCTTTCTTCCCCCCATGCAAGCCCTCTACCACACATCCCGACGAGCAGCAGCAGCCACGGCAGCAGCCCCCACGACGAGAATCGCATCCATACAGAGGCACCTGTCTTCCACAGCCCGCACCATGGCCCCCATCACCAAGGAGACCGACTTCCTCGTCATCGGCGGCGGCAGCGGCGGCCTGGCCTCCGCGCGCAAGGCCAGCGGGCAGTTCGGCGCAAAGGCCCTGATCGTCGAGGGCTCGAGGCTGGGAGGAACCTGCGTGAACGTTGGGTGAGTCGAATCGGCCCCTCTCTCGCGAAACAGTAAGAATCGTTACTAACGAAGACCTTCTCGCACAGCTGCGTCCCCAAAAAGGTCACCTTCAACGCCGCCGCCATCGCCGAGACGATCCACCAGGCCAAGTCGTACGGCTTCTCCGTCTCCGAGACGGCCCCCTTCGACTGGACCACCTTCAAGAACAAGCGCGACGCCTACATCAAGCGCCTCAACGGCATCTACGAGCGCAACCTCAACAACGACAAGGTCGAGTACCTCCACGGCTGGGCCCGCCTGACCTCCCGCAACGAGGCCGAGGTCACCCTCGACGACGGCTCCAAGGCCCTCGTCAAGGCCAAGAAGATCCTCGTCGCCGTCGGCGGCAACCCCACCATCCCCCCCGAGATCCCCGGCGCCGAGCTCGGCACCAACTCGGACGGCTTCTTCGACATCGACGTCCAGCCCAAGAAGGTCGCCCTCGTCGGCGCCGGTTACATCGCCGTCGAGTTCGCCGGCATGTTCAACGCCCTGGGTACGGAGACCCACCTCTTCATCCGCCACGACACCTTCCTGCGCAACTTCGACCCCATGATCCAGGAGACCGTCACCAAGGAGTACGAGCGCCTCGGCGTCAACCTGCACAAGCGCAGCCAGCCGACAAAGGTGGAGAAGGACGCCCAGGGCAAGCTGACCATCACGTACAAGGACGGCAGCGGCAAGGAGACCTCCGAGGGCGGCTTCGACCACCTCATCTGGGCCATCGGCCGCACCCCCGCGACCAAGGACATCGGGCTGGAGGAGGCCGGCTTGAAGCTCAACGAGAAGGGGTACATCCCCGTCGACAAGTTCCAGAACACCAACGTCGACAACATCTACGCCCTTGGCGACGTCACCGGCCAGGTCGAGCTGACACCCGTGGCCATCGCTGCGGGACGCCGTCTGGCGGAGCGCCTCTTCGGCGGGGAGCAGTACGCCCAGGCGCACCTGGACTACTCCAACATCCCCTCCGTCGTCTTCTCGCACCCCGAGGTCGGCAGCATCGGTCTGACGGAGCCCGAGGCCGTGGAGAAGTACGGAAAGGACAACATCAAGGTGTACAAGACCAACTTCACGGCCATGTACTACGCCATGATGGAGCCCGAGGAGAAGGGCCCGACCGCGTACAAGCTGGTCGTGGCCGGCCCGGAGGAGAAGGTTGTCGGTCTGCACATTGCCGGTCTCGGCAGCGGAGAGATGCTGCAGGGCTTCGGTGTTGCCGTCAAGATGGGTGCGACCAAGAAGGATTTCGACAGCTGTGTTGCCATCCACCCGACCAGCGCCGAGGAGCTTGTCACTTTGAAATAGACTTTGCATATAGAGAGGTCGGGGTGAGGTATAGAGGAGGAAAGATACCAATTCAGTAAAATTTTAGGTTCCTATGCTCGTTCCCCTAACGCCTTGCTATGCTGACATTGCTTTTTGGTTCCTTGACTCCATGCTAATTCCGTTTTGCCAATACCATTTAGGTCTTCTGTTGTCTTGTAGCTCATTCCGGTAGTTTGATTGCCAATTCGTGCGTACTGTTGTTCCACACTATCCCCGTCTCAGGAGCATGGTATTGCGTGTCAATTGCTCGTCTCCGGTCCTTCTCACAAGATCCTTCTCACAGGAACATCATGCTGAATAAACCCGTGGTGGAAAGACCGAGGATGGTGAAGATGACTGCGTGAGGTGCAATAGCAGCCGCCGCGCTGGCTGGCTTGCTCTCGCTGGGTGTGCTAGGCGTTGATGTCAGAACATTCTTCTTAATGACCATCTAGGTCAAGACTTACGGGGCTGGTGCCGACGGGGTAGGCAGAGCGGCAACATCGACATCCACCCCTTTGCAGACCTCGGCGAAGTGGTCGTAGGCCGGCTTGAGTTCGTTGGGAGCGCACTTTTTGACCAAGTCGGACAGGGTTTTCTTTTGGTCTTTGTGGCATATGGTGTCGATGTCGCTGGGCATGCCTTGCATCCCAACGACGTGTCCGATACAGGCGGGAGGGTCCGCGAGAACAGCGAGGGGAGAGAGAGCTGCGAAGATCAAGAAGGACTTCATTGTGTATTAGGTATCGTAGGTAGCAGGTTGCAAAGGAAACAAAATGCGAGACAAGTCAATGGAGACAGGGAAAAACGACGACGCCGGTAAGCGATGAAAGCAGGGTATGCAAAGTTGTAGGTTGCTTGGAGAAGAGAGGTTGACGATGTGAGGACCGGAGGGTTACATTGGCAACCTAACTCTCGTCGCCCGTGTAAGTCACACCTTATCCGTCCAGACGGGAAGGAAGGGACCCCTGGTGCATATGGGGGGTGATCATCCGGTAAATCTCCGATGTGAGTGTGGTTTTCCTGGGGAAGGAACGGAGGGTGGGGCCGGCGCGAACGTCTTTTCCTTCTGGAACATGTCCCAAACACCATCTTCACTTTCCCATCCGCCTTGCATTCGCCCATTTTGCACCCTCACGATCGACGCCGACTCGTTCCTGGCCGCTCTGCGGAATGGTGTGGAGCCCGGTCCTTCTTGTCACATCTTAATTCGAAGAGTTCCAAGATATCGCGCAACTACCTCACGCCTCGACTCGGTCCTTCTTCTCCTTGTTTCCAGCCCATTCCGCAGCCGCCGTTTCCTCGTCTTCATCCGTCACAATCGTCGTGGCCATCATCATCTTCGTCACGGTTGCCGTTTTTCGTAGTCTCTTAGGGGTCTTCGCTTCCCGAAATCACCGCCAAGAAGACCCTATCTCAGGGTAGCCACCACCTTCTACCACTCAATCGGTAAAGCGGCACCCAGCAGCCAACCGAAGGTAGTCGCCAGACACCGAATTGGATGGCAATCCCTCCGTCATTCTCATTATTGCGTAATGCCGGAACTTTCGTGTTGCCATCACTCGACTTTAGGTTCAAATGTCTGCGTTGATCACACTTGGCAGACCAGAAATAGCGGAATTGAGTTTCCGTCTTCCTTCTCGCCTCTTCATCGGACAATCCGCCTTGGTGGCCCTGTTTGTCCCATCCATTATGACAAGGCCTTCTTTAGAGTTCTCGGATCTCACCACGTGCGGGTGTGCTGACTCTCACTTCCTTTCTTGCGAATATCGACCTGACGGTTCAAGCTTCGCGGCTAATGGAAACTTTCGCTGCGGCGCTTTGGATTGCCGCTCCATCGCCGCCAGCTGCATGAGAAACCTTCAACAAATACACCCGTCTAGCAAGCCGCACCCAGCTTGCGAGGGCCAAGCGTTTTGCCTTGGAAGAGGAAACGGCGGCTCAAGTTATTAAGACGGCTTGTATGATTCTTCTCCGGGCGCCTGGATCTGCTAATTAGAACACAGCTGCCAAAACAATGCTCCCTCTGCGGCTGTAGTCGCCTCTGTGACGTTTCCCGTCACGAAACATGAGATGAGTTTCGCTTCGTCCACAAATAAACGACGAGTCAGGATTGCCGCCCTACAGAACGCTGAGCCACACCGGCGCCTCGCTTAATGAGGTGTCGCTCCCGACCAAAACCTCTCAGAACCACGCACACGCGCGTACCGTCGTCGTCGTTTCTGCAAGCAATCCCTCTCATGGTGAAGCCCTATTGGAGGGTATGCCACCTCTTCTATTGTTCCATCGTCAGCACAGTCGGCGTGACGGCGCTTACTCGTCCGTCATCTCCGACGACGGGAATCCTCCGAGCCTTCGGGATTCACCGCGGCGTGGAGACTGAAACCATTCACACGAAATCCCTCTGGCACACAACACGCCGCGACTCTGGGCGGATAACGTACCTTTCCCACATGCCGCTCTCCACCAAGAAGCTATCGCCGAGATTTGCTGCCGTCGTTCGGGTGTTTTCAGTCGTAAGCTCCGTGGGGCCAAGGGATGGCACGGCACGAAGGAGGAGTCCGGGAAGTTCTCCAAGGCCTTGCGCCGGCCATCAACCCACTGCGTCGGGGAGCGCAAGTGCCCTTCCAGTTGACGATCTGAAGCAGTTTGAGGCGGTGTTTCTCAACTCAAAGGTGTCCACGACGGACACTAGTCGTAGTCGGCCTCGATGTTCATCCTTCCACTCGTCGGGGAATAGCGGTCGGCACGCACAGACCGGCTTGTCACAATCAGCTCATGATCTTGGTTCAGTGTTTGAATGATTTAGATGAATAGTCCCAGAGGTCTGGCCAATGGTTGTGCCGAGAGAATTCCCCGAAGCGGCTTGGACGACTTTACTCATGCGTTTGGTCGAACGGCCGCCTATCACAGCTAGACAAGGCCAAGCCAACGGCAAGGAAAATGCAACTCACCTGTGCTCGAATATACGGTATTCTCGAATGACGAACGGCCAATTAAGTTGAATGCTATTGAGCGAACAGAGAGCATGACCACCAGATCGATCTAGTGCCAGACTTGAGAGTTTGAGGCTATTAGCTGGCCGGTAGGTTTGGGCATTGACCTTCAACCACGCAGTTCCGCACGATGTCCAGACGAGTCATTGGGCAACCATCTCAATCGGCAGGCAGAGCAGATGTTCTCGAAGTTCTGCTCGATTTCCTCGATGGGCAAAGAACATGGCCTCGCCGCACGCTATGGACGTCGGACGTGCATGATGTAAGTCGTCTCTGCACGGGTCTCCACTTGGTCTTCCCCGGATTCCCCTGTGGACTCTCGCAAGGTCGACCCGTCGGCGACTTCAAGCCGTTGGGCTTTCGCGTCATGCTCTACCAATCACACCGTCGGATCGACTCGACATGTGGCCCGTCTTGCAGCAGAGCCTGATGTTCTGAACGGCCTTCCCTGCGGTCGATCAACCAGCCCTTGGACTTTGAAACTTGGCTGTTGGAAGTTTAACCTCGCAAGCAAGGGACTCGCAAGTAAACCTCACGACAGGAAGCTGCGGAAAGCCTACGCGACGGTCCCGGAGCCGGTAGAACTCGTTCACACGCAGGTATGCTGATGCCCGGTTGGCCGTCCACCACCGGACACCCTCTGCACTACGCATGGCCCAGGATGTGGACATTCTAGACCATCTCTTTCTTCGGACAATCTTGGCCCAACCCAGACCGGGAGCATCGATGGAGAGTTCAGACAGCAGTTGAAGGGTCGGGTGCTGGGTTCGCATTCGTTGTTCGTACAGCTTAATGCATCGGGCGGTTCGATGGGGTCCTTGTCAGGTACAAATGTAGGGGACCACCTGTCAGTCATGGTCCATCCTCCAATACGCACCTTCTCTGCAGTCCTGTCCCGTTGGCTGTGCGGGCTGATGATAAACTAACCTGCCCCCGCTCTCCTTCTCGAGATCCATTCGAAAGGACACCATCTTGGACCTGCAGTGTAACCACATCAGCAAACATGGCGGACGACAAGGTCGGCCAGACGGCCAGTGTGACCATCATGCTGATGACCTTCATCACGCTTACAGTGGTGATGAGAACGTTTGTACGAAGCGTATTGCTGAGGAGTGTTGGGTGGGATGACAGTGAGTGCCAACGAGGATTAAAGTTTTCAGTGATGTAAACTGACAAGTCTCTAGCACTGGTGATTATAAGCTGGGTAAGGAGAACCGTATCTTTGTTCGAGATCGTATCTAACAGCAACAGGTGCTGGCAATGGCCCTTTGCAGTGCAATACTTGCCAGTAAGTCACGTCTCATCGATATCGACAACTTCCTACTAACAGTTGATAGTGACTGGCGTCGGCTTGGGAGAACATTTCCAGGAAGTGTCAAAATCAGACTTTGCGGAGTTCCTAAAGGTAAACAGATATGCTCGATGCTCTAGAACTAATTGCTAACATGAACTTGCAGTACCAAGTTGTCACGCAGCTGACTTACATCTGGGCTTTTGTGACAGTCAAGATGTCATTCGCCGTGCTTTACCTTCGACTACTTCCCGACCAGCTTTACCAACGGATAAACAAGTTTCTCATTATCTTGCTGCTAGCAGAGGGCATTGAGGAAACAGCCGTTGTTATCTTCAGATGCAATCCGATCGACAGAGCCTGGACACCGTCCAGAGCAGGAACGTGTCTTGACTTGACCATCTTTTACTATTCTGCTGTACGCCGCTTCCCTGTACTAGAAAAGTCGATGGCACATGCTAACTACAGGCAGTTCGTCATCAAGCTGTTGACAGACTTGGTGCTCTTCATTCAACCCATCCCGACGATCTGGAAGCTCCAACTGCCGATGGCCAAGAGATGCGGTGTTATCTTCATGCTGTCATTGGGTTTACTGTAAGTTTTCTCGATTGAGGTTACTGACTCGACAAAAGCTGACGATCCAAAGTGTTTGCGTCATTTCCGTCATCAGAGTCAGTTACATCAATGCTTTCGACAAAGACGTCACCTGTAAGTGCCTTACCCCAACGATAAACACCAGAAACCGGTTAACCGACCATCGCAGTCTTGGTCGCGGACCCCCTGCTCTGGTCAGAAGTCGAAGTCTGCGCCCTCATCATCTGCTCCGGCGTCCCCTCCCTACGACCCCTGATATCCCGCTTCCCCGCATTGAACAAGGCCCTCGGCCTGTCCACGGGCAAGTTCTCCAAGAACTACTACGCCGACCAACGGACGACGATAGGCGGCTCGAAGCCGTACCTCGCACAGAATGCGTACGCCCGCGCCGCGCAAAAACAAGGCTTCGGAAAGCTGTCCCAGAGCTCGAGCTCTTACGCAACAGCGAGCCGCAGCAACACGGAGAGCATGGAGAATATCCTCCCGCTAGACCTCGGCAAGCCTTCTCTCACGCAAAGCGTCGAGATGGGCATTATCAAAGTAAAGAACGACATCAGGCAGGAGGTCAGGCCGGCGTCGCCGGACGTCATAGACCCATACTTCCCGGCCGGACGACCCATGGTCCGACGGAAGAGTCGAGGCGATATTCGCAACGGCACCGGTTGGATCTCGGACGACTGATTTGATACCGGTCGCCGGGACGGCGTTGGGAGGGGGTGACGGGGAATGAGGAAGGAAAAAATATCGGTACATAACGCACGCCGTTCATTGGAAAACGGTCACTTTAATGTATATACAAAACAGCATCATCTGGCGAAACGAGCATGTCAACTTTGACCTGTCTCCGGCCCCATTTTAGGAGTCGCTGCGCGACACACAAGAAGCCTGCACTTGAACAGGCCGAATTCACTTCTTTGCAAACTCTTCAAAAAACAGATTTCCAATCACTTCCTACGCCTAAACTTGTGATCAGTCCTCAAACAACTCGCTTGCTTCGCTAGCGGTTCGACCTGGTTCAACCCAACTCATGCGTTCTCGTTTGTCAAAAGCCGTTAGAAGAGTACCACTTTGACACAGTCCATGCCTGAGAGATCCGACTCTTTGAGTGTGTGGGGGGTGTTGGTTCGCCCGGAGAGGTCGGCCGGCTTTTCCGCGAAGGGTCGAATCCCAACCACCTTTCCGGATGGATGTCGTTCGCTTGAAGACGCATCCCGGATCCGATCGGCTACGAAGTGTTCTCGTTCCCGTTCCGCAGTGTTACAGAAGAACGGGAACCGCGCCCACCCGCACTTCATCTCATCCGTCCTCGCTTTTTCTGATCCTCAAACTATTTGACAAACGGGAACCACATCAGTTGGGACTACTTGAGATGACGAAAGAAAAGGTACGACGTAGGTTTTCCGTTGATGATGGGTGTCCTGTTTGTTGCCGTGGGCGAGGGAGATAGATGAGACCGGGCAAATCAGTAATCTGCCCGGTGCTTTGGATTGAGACTGGGAGGGCAGGGAGTCGTCGTGTACAAGATCTCACGTGTTTGCGCATGAAGAAAGGTGTGTGGTGATGACATGGTGGTGGCGGGAGTGTTGTCAAGACGAAGCAGCTGAACGATCGAGACGAACCATCATCCCTGTCACTTTAGCAAGCGTCCGGAAAAGCGAACTCTGCCCACACCGGACAATGGTGGATCATATCCACTCGGTGAGGGCTTCTATTCGGTCTGGAGATAACGCTCACCGAGAAAACCCCACTCAGAGACTCAAGCCAATGAAATAACCGCAGACGTGCCCTATATGGCCCGTGCGTAGAATAGCGAACCCGCACAACCAGAGCAAAATTTCCCAACCCATCGACCCTCGCGAAAACCCGTTCCCATTCTCCGACCTCATCCCGCACTTTCGACAACCACCAACCCGCCGGCCACCAACTAGATTGCCCATCTGAGTCACCATCAGGTTAGTTGATGATCGTACACACAAGCGGAAAGAACGAGAGAGAAGCGACAGCGACGATATCTCGAAATTTCCCCGGCCTCTTCACATTCAACTTCCCGAGAACGAAAAAAGAGAGCACTGGGCGAAATTTGGCGGTATCTCCCTGGCGAGCATCAATATCTTCTCTCACCCTGTTCTGCCTCTTGTCCCCTTCCCAGCCTCGGCTTCCTTTCTGTCACATTCATCGCTGCAAGAAAACACATCGCTAACCCCTCTTCTTCCGAACAGCATAAGCAATCATGGGTATCTCTAGAGATTCCCGCCACAAGCGTTCCGCTTCCGGTGCCAAGCGCGCCTACTACAGTGCGTCCTACACAATGCCATAAGAAGATTCCGAAAGCCCGTATGCTCTAAACAAGCATGCGTTCTGACCTTTCTGTCCAACAGGGAAGAAGCGCGCTTTCGAGGCCGGCCGCCAGGGCGCCAACACCCGCATCGGCGCCAAGCGAGTCCACACCGTCCGCACCCGCGGCGGCAACACCAAGTACCGCGCCCTCCGCCTCGACTCGGGCAACTTCGCCTGGGCCTCCGAGGGCTGCACCCGCAAGACCCGCGTCATCGGCGTCGCCTACCACCCCTCCAACAACGAGCTCGTCCGCACCAACACCCTGACCAAGTCCGCCGTCGTCCAGATCGACGCCGCCCCCTTCCGCCAGTGGTACGAGGCCCACTACGGCCAGGCCCTCGGCCGCCGCCGCCAGCAGAAGCAGCAGGCCGCCGCCGGCGAGCAGGCCGAGGAGGTCAAGAAGTCAAAGTCCGTCGAGAAGAAGCAGGCTGAGCGCTTCTCCGCCCAGGGCAAGGTCGAGAACGCCATCGAGAAGCAGTTCGAGGCCGGTCGCCTCTACGCCGTCGTCTCCTCCCGCCCCGGCCAGTCCGGCCGCTGCGACGGTTACATCCTCGAGGGCGAGGAGCTCGCCTTCTACCAGCGCAAGCTCCACAAGTAAACCTGACGCGCATCCTCGATCGTGTGTGTGTGTATGGCTTTCCGCTTGAGGGATTCGGATGGAGAATGAAAAGTTTTCGGGTCAAGCTAGACAACGTGGTTTTGACAATATGAAATCACGTTAACGGGAATGAGAAAAAACAACGTTTTTTATCGGGTAACGGGTTGTTTCTTGGTGTTTAAGAGGTTTTTTCCGTCGCACTGGTCTTCAAGCATCCGGGGGGCGTGATCAGCTTACAATGAGTAGGCTCGGGGAATAGCAAACCGGGCCGACGGACGGATCTGGGTTATTAGGAAGGACTCAAAAAGACTATACCACCAAGTTTTTGCCCGCCGCATCAATTGTCCATTATGCCAATCGTGAAGTGTCCATTATGCATCTGTTGTCTGAATCGACTTTCTGAGTCAAGAGGCGTTTGCATCCACATAAATGTCACATCTCAGTTCCGAGTCCCGTTTAAAATTTGGGCCCGGGGGCCGTTCATTCCAATTGTATCACTTCGTCGGGACAGTCATTGACCGACGGATTCCTACTTCTTTCTGTTGTGTCTTTTGGGATATCAAACATGAATAACCGCTGCTTCTAAGCTTCGTGGCTCTTCCCCACCGCCAGCACCCAGCTTGCCGCCCTGCTGTGCGTTGGGCCAGCAAACACACACGAAACCCCATTCTCATGGGAAGCTATCATTAATTTTGTACATTAAGATGTTCAGAGAATTCTGCTTCTGGGGTCGCCAGGGTTGTATATCGGCATCTCTCACTCTAAGTAAACTGTCGCTTGAGGTCCGTCCACTTTCGTGTGAGGGTCTCGTGTTGAGAGTTGATCTGTACAGTCATTAGCAATCGGTTTCTGAGATATGAGCGAGCATAATGATCTTACCTCAGCGTACTGCATCTTCGTCTGCACAAGCTCCTCCTCGAGTTCCGCCAATTCCTTCTCCAACTTTTGGTTCTCATCGTGAACGTTCTGGTTGCGCTGCATGAGATTGTCGCGCTCGGCCTTCCAAGCATTCTCGAGCTCCTCGGGCTGCTTCTCGATGACATTGCGCAACTCGCGAACTTGGCCCTTGAGACTCTCATTCTCGTCCTTGAGTTCCTCGTTCTCGACCTTGGTGTGCACCAGCTCCGTTGCGAGTGCCGCCTGTTCACTATCGTATGCCTCGACACGCTCCTCGAGCTTACGCACTTTAACGGCGAAGTTGATGTTGGCGGTTCGCAACCCCTCGAGCTCGGCCTCGCGCTCCTTCTCCGTCCTTGTCTTCTCCTCCCACTCAAGAGTGTAGGCCTTAAGGATCTCAGGAGTGATCTTGACGTCGCAAGCGTCCCTCACAAGTTGGTCGGCCCGGTAGACTTCCTTGTCCTGGCTCGCACTGGAGCTTCCGAAGAAACCGTTCTCCAAGATGCTGCCTGCACTTGGCGCTGTGTCGATGTAGGCATCGAAGAGCTTGTCCTTAAGGAAGACGGTGAGTTGCTGCATATCTGAAATTGCGAGGAGATTGGCGGCGTTCTTTTGCATCAGCACGATGCCGAATCGTAGAATGGCCGATAGTCCTTCCGAGAAAATCAAGTCGTAGATGCGTAGCACCAATTGCAGGGGGAAGCGGTAGGCGAAGAGCGTCAAGAACCACTGGGTAGCGTAGAGGTGAGGCGAGATGCTGCGACGGCGGAGATGGCAGTACAGAGCGGGCTCAAAGTCCTCGAGAAGACGCTCGAAGATGTATAGGTTCTTATGCAGACCGGGCATGTCCTGTACGAACAGATCCCGCAGTTGGTAGTGATTCATCAACTTGACCAACAGGCAGAAGGCCTCCTCCTCGGTCATGTTGAACAGTAGGGGCATGATCAGGAAGTTCATGCCTTGGGCGTACCCGACTGCCTCGTCGTACAGAGCGTACGCCTTACACACGCCGAATAGACCCTCCTGAAGCCCGGCAGCGGCAGCGTACTTGGAGAAGCTCGTTCTCGCACCCATATCCCGGCGAATAGTCTTTTCCAATTTTTGAATCATGGCCGCATCCTCCTTTTGCTTCTTCTGCCTTGCTGCAGCAGCTGCCTGTTGAGCCTTCTGCACAGCTTCGGCGCTCTTCTCGTTCGGCGAAGTGGTACCGTTGCCGTTGACCGCCGAGTGCTCCGAGTGGATGGACGAAGCAGAAGAGTTGACCGCCTCATGGTGTATGCTGAGGTTGCCGTTGCTACCGGAGCTGAGGGTGCTGTTGCTGTTCCTGTTCTTTTCCTTGTCGGTGCCTCGTGTAATGAGATCTCTGTACATCATCTCCAACTCCTCGCTGTTGCTCTGCGCCAAGACTTGCCAGATAACACCGCGGATAGCGCTGGGAATGCCGGTGGCGATCGCTCTGTTCAGCTCCTCGGCACTGGTACGGGCCACGACCGCCGGACCTTCGTAGACTACGGACTGCCACAAGTCCCAGTCCACTTGGGCATCGGGCATGTCTGATGGACCAGCCGATACACCAGATACCGTCCCTGGTGCTAATGCCGGGTTTGGCGTTGTGGGAAGGGGCGACTTGGGCGGTTCCGCCCCGAGTTCCTTATCTCCATTTTGCTGAGCTGGAGGAGTAGACAGTCCCAGACCCTTGGGCGGCGGGATCGGCGTCTTGTCGTCGTCGAGCGTGATTCCAGCCTCTTCCCTCATCCGAACCATCTTGAAGCGATCCTTCAAGCTGTGTCGAGGCACACCGTGGTCGCCTTCCTTCTCTTCGTCTAGCCTGCTGAGCATCATCTCAGGGTTACTGGTCAATGTGGCGATGGAGCTGGCAGTATTTCGTCGAGGGGAGGATGCAGGCGGTGGAGACGTTTCCTTCTCCTTGCTACCGCTGTTTCGTGACAACCAGGAGAAGGGGCTGGTGAGCTTCCTTGTCGGAGGCCCTGGGTGGGAAACGGGGACGGGAGGAGGAGCTGGGGCAGCTTGCGGCAGGGGTGCTGCAGGTGCGACGGGTGATTTGGCAGGCTCTGCGGGAGGCGACCATGGCAAAGACGGGAGGGCACCAGTGATGCTGCTTATTGATATTTTCTTGGTTGGCACCTTTGGGGGGACAGGGTCGCTGGCTTTCGGCTCTGCATTAAGATTAGCATATTGACACACGTCAATCAGTTCATGCGGCGAAACAAACGTACCTGGGTCTTGTGGGGCGGCTGAGTGGTGATTGTCGTCGAGACTAACATTGTCCAAATTCGAGGTATCAGAAAGTCGGTGCGACACGGGGGATGGCTTTCGCTTGATCTCGTTTTCCTCGTCGTCGGTCTTCTGGTTTTCGGTGACAGCGGGCTCGTCTTTGGGGGGCGTTGGAGGGGCGTCGTCGTCGACATCGCTGTCCTCTTTCGCCTCCTTTTTCGGGGGCTCTGGCTCCGTGGGGGGTTCGGTGGGCGGTGCTTTCGAGACCGAGGGCGTCCTCGTGGTAAGGGAGCGCACCTCAGCAACCTCAGCTACCTCGGCGACATCGACAACGGCGTCTTCGAAGGCATCCTGTTGCTAGTCCAGCCATGTCAGCAAACTGTTTCCTCTTCGATTGCCCCGTCGCGGGTGCAGGAGGCCCAAGGGCTCGCTTGTGTCTCGAGGGAGGGCGAGGGCGGGACGGGGGTCGTTACATTGTCCTTATCCGAGTCGGAGTCGGAGACGGTCGAGAGTCTCCTGTCCTTGGGCACCGCCGTCGTGGGGGACCTGACGGAGTCGTCTGGCTGCGACATGATGTCGTCGAGAATCGGAAGGTCAACTCTCGCAGGCCAGCAGTTGTATGCAGTTTCGTGAAGTTGGTGGGTTTGGATGTCCTCGGAATCAAGGTCGAACTTGAAACTAGGCGGTGGCCATGGAGATAGGGATCCAGCGCTGGGCAATGACAATGTACACTGTGTCGTCTGTGCTGCTGAAGATACTTGTGGTACGGTGCAAGCTGCAGGACACGGTTATTTTTGGTGTACCTGTTCGTGGGATGCAGAGCTGTTATGGTTGTTGGCGTTGCTCCGGTGGTGAGGACGGAGACTCGAGAGAGAATCGAGGGACGGAAGCTCGAGAGTCGAGGGTTTGGCGGCAGTAATTGAAGAACAGTCCAGTCTCTCCCTTTTTTTTTTCGGCTGGGGATGGAAATGGGGAATTCAGGCTGAGCCTCACCGCAGATGGGGACCTGGGAAATGTACCTACAGGCCGCTGTGAGCCCACCGATACCGACCTGGGACCTTCTATCAGACCCTGACAACGAAGAAGTGGATTGCGGTTGCCCTCAATTGTGCCCGTATTCGCTCGAAATCATTCAGTAACTCCCTGGTGAGCTCCACCGGTAGGTAAGACTCGCGCTTGGGGGCCAGGGGATGAGGGGACGGCATGGTCGAAGTGAGAAGTGAGGTGGTGAGGGGGGCAACCTCTCATCGACCGTCAGCCAGTGACAGCCCAAGCTATCGTCTTAGCGCGCCGCTACGGCACGGGATCGTTCTCTGCTTCGGGGGGGCTCTGGCTGTTCTCGATGCCGTGAATTCCTGCCCGGAGTGCAGATGGACACCCCCGTAGCGTTCCATTTCCAACTTGGAACCAAAAATGCCATCAATTACAGGGGCGCCAGCCAAAGGAAATTGCTGGGATCGACGCGGCAGGGAACTGATTGTTTCTTGATAATTGCCCACCACTTACTTGCATGCCCTTTTTGTCCTGCCCTTCGCCTTCTCAGCCCCCTAGAAGCTTCTGTCTCTCCTGTTTACCTAGGTACCTCGGTGTCGGTCCCGGAGATCGGTGCTATCTGTGGTATCTCTCCATCTGCTCAGAGTAGGTATCCTACTGGGATGCTTGAAGTGATGGTCCTCAATGAGCGGTCTGGACCTTCTTCTTGGATTGCCTTTTACCGCGTGGTCATCCTGTCGACACGAGAGCTTAATCCCCTAGGAAACCAATCCGCTCCTTCGGATGACGATCATGTTAGCTCAGCTCCAAGTAAGCACCGTGAGCTAACGCAAGGCAAGTTGGTAAGGCCATCAACCATCGACCTTATCGTCTTTGTTTGTTGTTTTCTGAAGCATGTGTGCGCGTTTCCCGAGACGAGCTTGTCTCCAAACGGACTCGTTCAGCCCAACAGCCGCTGCCCCTGCAGCGCGAGTCTCTTGGACGGCACGATGGCTGGGCTTCTGAAGCACAGCATCGGCATTGGCAGGATACATGTCCGCTACCTGGCCCGTCTGGGCCAAGCCCACGATTCCCGGAGTAGAGTTCGAGTATCTCCAGCCACTGCCCCGGCGGTGCGCGATCTGCATACTCCTGCGCCGTTGCAATCGGCGGTAGATCTCGTCCGCCCCCTTGCCCTTTCCCCTATCCAAAGGCCCCCGCCCGCGGCCCGGCGTGACGCCGCGTTTTGTTCACCGTTGGTCGAGCCGGCTCGGGGGACGACGGCACCGAGCGCGCTTCTGTTGGCGACTTCTGGAGCCGCCGAGCCGGTGGGTTGTCGTTGTATTAGCCTTCGCTTTCGTCTTGTTTCCTCTCGAAGGCACACACCCACGGCGGCTCCCTGACGGTTCTTGGCATCTGGTAGGCAGGCCCCTGTCGATTTACCCTCCTCACTGGCGCTGCCGGTTTCCTAGAAGCATTGGAATGTGTGACTGCTACTCGCAGACTGCCGCATCGAGTCTGTCACGAGACCAGCCACATCCAGAGATTGGATAAGAGCCACGTGAGGCTTCTGTTCGAGTTGCTGTCTCTCGTAGCTGTGGTTCAGCCAGTTTTGGTTACTCTGACTTGGCCGTCTTACATGTTGGTTGGTGGCGCATGTTTGCGACAAGAATTGGTCAAGTATGAGTGTCAGAGCTGGTCCAGCTGCGACTTGGGTTTGGAAGTGCTTGAAGATGTGATATGGTTAAGTAGATTCATCACACAGCCCGGTACGGCTCACCAAAGCACGGAAGCTAGAGGACATCAATTATTCGAACCTATCTTTACCAGGGTGTGTTTTGCAAAAAATGGACGGGATGAACATGGAACACAACAACAATTGCATCGCTTCGAAACCCTATGCCAGTAGAGCGACAAGGAGGAGAGGCCGAGAGTACAATATTGGCCTGTCAGCTCTACAGGAAGCCCCGTGAGTATTATGTTGGCAGGAGAGCCACAAACATGGCTCGTGCGTGACGATGCTATTCAGACGTTGTAATTCCTCTTGATAGGCATCACTATTACCTAAATGAGACGGGCATTTGGTCTTTGAAGTCTTCTTCGTCACCGTGTTTCCTCTTTCGTTTTTGAAGATATTGTCATTCTCATGTCTGACGTTTGCTGTTTAGACGTCGTAGTTGCTGCGATTTATTCTTGTAGAAGTTAAATTTGATGACATGTTACTTTCTTAAATCAACTCATTGGAGGTACTCGTCCCGAAAACTGAAGTCCTCTCAAGTAAGGTGGGTTTCACATGCCTATTCATTGGTAAAGTAGTTGCTATAAACCCAAGATATTCTCTGCACTCAGGTATCAAGTATCATTTGTGTGAAATCTCTGCCTTGCAGCGCAGACTGCCTCGCCAAAGTGAGGAGAACGGGCTTGGCTTAAAAGTGGAAGAATCGGGCCACATACAAGACAGCCCAATGATGACATAGGACTGTGCTGACGGCCTATTGCGACTGTATGTACGCTGTCATCGGAAGTCGACCTACGTAGCTAGTGGGGTTGGCGAGTCTGAGTTCCGATATCCCACTGTTTTTAGGTCTTTATTGTTTGTAATCGATGGGCTCGTTTGGGAGGCACGATTTAGACATTATGTGACACGAGCTCATAAAATACGTAGGAAGGACACAGAAAGTTCAATTATGGCTGTGGATCGATAACCTGAAAGGTGCCTGGTAGGTAGCGGCAGAATGCAGCAAGGACTTCCATAGGTTGTCGAAGCTCAAGGTCTTGCCGGAAGTAGGTACCTCAGGTAAGGTTGGTAGCAAACGGCAGCCCGGGACTTAATTACCTAAGGCACCTGGCTGGCTACTGCCCCGCTTGATGACATGGCCAACACGTGCATGGCGCAAGAAAATTTGCAAAGAGCGGCAGGCGCCTGTTTGTTGTGCGGTCGTATATTATGACCCGTGGAAACATAAAGTCGGAGAAATAAGATCATAAATTCTCGTAAATAAAATGGCGAGGAAGAGTTGGGTGAGGCAAGGTAGTTTGGATAAGGCAAGGCAGTTGCAAACTGCAGGAATAATTGGTGTTTCCCTTTGTTGATCGACTGTCCTCCGGTACGTACCGAGAGAGTGCCTGTCGTGGACCGTGCACGGCACCTCCCCGCTATCCATTTTGGTGAGGTGGTGGTGGTGGTGGTGGTGGTGGTGGTGGTGGTCGTGGTCGTCCTCCTCCGTCGTCCCGCTTTCACTGTGCCCGCCCGGAATTCCTGGCCAGCCTTACCGCCCGGCCCTCTTTCCATTACACAGTGTCCCCGATCGGCTCTTACTGCCCGTCGTCTTCCAGAGAACATCCCGCCTGCCTGATGTACCTTACCTTTATGAAGTGATTGATTACCTGCCTAAGTACCTTAGATATTGACTGAGGTGTCATGGATGGACGCGGAATCTCTGACTGGGGTGACTAACGACTGATTGCTCTGCTCTGCGGTGCGCCACTACCGTCTCCAACAGGCCACACCACATCCAACCAGAAAAGAAAAGGTGAGGGCATCTGAAGGCTTGGGAAGCGGGAAGCTGGAAGCTACCTCTACCTTGCCTTGCTACCTATTACGCAAAGGGCCCACTGTAACCGCACCTACCTTCCATACCGATTTGACATCTGCAACTTCTTTTTCTACCAAACTCTCCAACATCCCATCCCGCCTCCCACCTTTCACCTACCACCGACAACCAACACCGACGCTCGTTGCGACCGACGGCTTGATCTGGCCTCCCGCTACTCGTTCGGAATCCCGATTTTCTTCTCTGCGACCTCTACCACGTTTACGATCCCACGGTCCGCTTGGCGAAGCTGTTTGTACAGTTCACTGCAAGGACGTCCTGCACCCGGACTTGCACTTCTGTACCTTCCTGACCCAAGCTCTCCCATCATCTCCCGGTCGCCTTGAATTGACTTCACACCTGAATAATTTCCCACCTCTTCGACCTCACACCTGTACGCCATCGAGAAAGAGACACTTCTTCCCGCGACGCGTCTGTTTGCGCCAACACCAACGAGATACCCTGTTGCGCGAACAAGATCTCTCTCCCCAGCACCGGCTAGCTAGCAAGGCTGCACATATGAACCTGCGGCTTGGCCGCGCTCGCCCACGATGGGGAAGATAACGAAGCAAATGCAGCCCAAGCATGCTGAGACCCTGGTAAGCCCTTCCTCGCCTCCGTTCAATCTTCTTCTCTTCTGTCGCTCTCCCGGTCCTGGCTAACTCGCTCCAGTCTCCATGGCTCAAGGACTTCGTCACGTCGGCTTGCTCGACACCCTTGCCTCTTCTCCCAGACCATCTATCCAAGTTCCCAACAAGATGGCCCTTCCCCAGAGGTGATCTGTACCACTGGATCCCGCTTCTCAACCGATTCGACGACATCTTGGACTGCTTCTGCACCACCTACGGCATGGACCAGGGTCCTCAGACCCGCGACTTCGCCTACGACCTGCTCCTCAACAAAGGTACCAAGACCGAATCGTACGGCGACGAGGCGTGGGACACGGAGAGGCTCTCCAAGTTGGGCTACAAGGAAGATGGCGACAGGCAGCTCATCGAGGCTGTCCTCGACTTCACCCGTGTTCTCCTGGAGCACTGTGGCAACAGGAGCATTTACTCTAGCAGCATGGTCCTGAACAAGTTGCTTCACACCACGGCTTTGACGGTCCTGCTTGCTACCCTTCACGTCGGCTCCGAGCTGGCTCAGCGATACCAGGCTTCCGTCAAGCGCATAGGCAGCGCCTCCCGCTCCGTCAGCAACGCATTGCTCGCGAACCACTATCAGCTGGATCTCGACCGTGTTCAGACTCTCGTTCTCCCCTTCGCTAAGACCCCCATCGTGAGTCTTTCCGACTCGGTAGCCACTAGTACGCCTACATCCGCTGCCAAGGGCAAGGAGAAGGCCCAAACCTCGAGCCAGAAGAATGCCGCTTCCATGTTCGCCAACGACCTGAGCGCCATTCTCACCACAGACAACAGTCGCTGGAATGGCTGGGGCGACATCAAGGTCTCGTACACTGTGCCATCCTCCACTCGCGAGCAGCCAGTCGCTGCGTCCTCTACCAACGTGTCTTCCAACACGCCTGCCACGCCGACTCCTCTGAGACGCAGTACCACGGCAGGATCGCAGCATAACACGCCCAAATCAGCCCGCCAGCCCGCCGTCGATGACTCTTCGCCTCTGAGTGTTCGGAGTTCCGGTACGTCGAGTGAACATGCCAGTTCGAGCCAAAGGATCTTCGACCTGCCTCAATCAGTTGTGGCTTCTACTCCCATTCACGACCTGCTCACGAGGCTTCCTGCGGACATGCCGGCTTCTTCAAAGTACGAGGTCTTGCACCGCCTGAGAGTTGCAAAGGCCCTCCTGGGCAACGCTGAGTCACGCCAGCAAGCTCTAGCAATCAGGTTAATCGCCATCAACAACCTGGCGTACATCCACCCAGAGACTGTCTTCGTTGAGAAGGTTCTGCGTCACGACAACGACGAGACTAGGCGTTACCAACTTGTCTACCAATTGGCGGAGCTCATCCACCCTCCCGCCGATGGTTCTATCCAGGTGCCGCTGTGGCTTCAGTCCATTGCCCTGGCCTTGCTGGAGGCTCTTTCAAACTATTCAGCCCGATACCAGGATGTTTTGTCGGCCCTCAATGCGAACGTCAACCACGGCATTCTTCTTTACGTTATTCGGAAGGCAGTCGGAGGCATGAAGACGGACGAGCCTGACCGCGGTCTCCAGACTACTGAAGTAGACCAATGGCGGACAAATCTTTTCTCCCTGACCACTCACCTCGCCATGTCTACCAGGATAGGATCCGAGATGGTCACTGCCGGGCTCATGGACATCCTAGTGGAGATTCTAAAGATCAGATCAGATGTCGCACAGCGAAACCAATCCATGATCTTGGCATTCATCGATGGTCTGATATGGTCGTACCAGAACGCATTCCAGAACTTCTTCAGCGGCCCTGGCCTTGATGCGATTTCCGACCTCCTGGTCACAACCGTCAGCGAGTCGAAGAACTTGGTTGAGGCTGGCCAGGGAAACAAGCCCGAGCATCAGAACCAGATAGTCGACTACGAGATCCCCTACAACCAGCAGCAAACCCTGAAATGGGTGCTCAAGTTTGTTCACCACATGATGACCAACTCCTACAGCTATGGTGGTAATACCGACCGGCTCTTGCGCAATCTTGTAGACAAGTCGGAGCTGCTGGGAAGCCTCAGAGACATTATGCAGAACACCAAGCGCTTCGGCTCAGTCCTCTGGACGAACACGGTAACGGTTCTCAGCGACTTCATCAACAACGATCCCACAAGCTTCGCCGCCATCTCCGAGTCTGGCATGATTGTGAGCTACCTGGAGGCCATCACCAGTCAACCTGTCACCAATCAGCCCGCAATTCAGCCTCCGCCGGAATCTGAGGAGCAGGAGCCTGCAAACCAGGGCGGCAATGACGACAGCAGTCCTGACCCGCCTGAGGCTTCCGTTCAGCTTGACTCGGACAATCGTCCTCATCCGCCTCCGGAAGAGGAGCTGGCTTCGTCTCACGAACGTCCTCTGGCACAAGGTGTCTTGCCTACTTCGGACGCCATTAATGTCGTCCCCCAGGTGCTGAACTCGATCTGCCTGAACAACGCAGGTCTGAAGATGGTAGTCTCGTCTCGAGCTTTCGAGTCGTTCTTGGAAATCTTCGAGAGCCCAGCCCATGTCAACACGATGGAAACCGACCCGCATCTCGCCAGCAACGTAGGCGCAAGTTTTGATGAGCTTGCTCGACACCACCCGCACCTTAGACGCCCGATCTCAAACTCGGTCATCGATATGGTTGCGAGGGTGAGATCTCTGGGTATCTACAAGGCTCGCACTGCCAATTGGGGTGCCAAGCTGCTCTTGGCCGACGGAACACAGAAGCCAGTGCCAGTGGACGAAAATTTGAAGAGCCTCCTCGACAACGCGTCTGAACCCAAAGGCAAGGGCAAGGATGACTTGGACGTTGAAATGTCAGACGCCGTTGAGCCGTCGCAGAAGTCGGATAAGGCGTCACCCAGAACCGGCGACTCATCCTCGTCTGCCAGCTCCTACGAAGACATTACGCCTTACGTCTATGCTGTATCCAGCTTCCTCTCCGCCTACTTCAACAACAACACGCTCAAGGCTCACTTCATCAGCTACGGAGGCTTAGAGCTGCTCCTGGATATTGCTGAGCTGCCTAGTCTCCCGCACGACTTTTGTGACTCGCACGCGTCTCGGACCTTGAACCTCGTCATCTCGCAGCTTGTCGAACAGTCCCCGGTTATCGGTCTTCCGTCCCTTTTGAAGCGTGCGCAGGCTGCTGTCGACACCCTCAAACCCCTGGCCGACTGGAAGGAAAACTCCAACGAGAGAACCCCCTATTTCGGTCCATTCCTCAGCCCTGACGACAAATTGACGGTTGAACATGTCCGAAGCCTTGACGCCGAGGCCCAGGAACGAGCGCTTCAAGGCACCAAGATGGTCAAGGCTCTGCTCAATGCGCAGTCTTTGATCAAGACCCTGTACGAGTGCTTCACGTCTTCCCCGCGCTCTAACTCCGTTCAACTGTACCCCATCAATGTTTTCGACTACTATGTGGAGTTGGTGAAGTCGTTGGGACCTCTGTTGAAGGCCGTCCTGGCTGAAGAAGGTGCAGAGCACAACGTCCTTCCCCAGCATTGGTGGGCCAAGCGACCAGCGCCTGGCAGCGATCTCATGGTTTTGCTCGAAGGCCCGAATGGGACGCAGCCCACTGCAGAGACCGACGCCGACAACGTACCTGCGTCTGAAGAGACTGCGGGAGCTGGCTCCAACGCAGCTCCGGCGACAAACTCCAGCCCTCAACACAAGGTTGCTAGTAAGCAAGAGCAAGCTACGCCTCGATACCGTAATTACGATACCCTGCGCATCCTGATTCATTCGATGGTGCCGTCGACGTTCCCCTTCTTCCAGCAATTGGGCAAGGCTCTCTTCCCGCGACGTGAGCGAGACGCTTACTCACGACCAAAGCACGTGGATCTTGCAAGACAACTTGCTGGCACAATTCTCGATCAGCTCAGGCCGTCCGTTGCCATGAACGCACCTACAGCGAAGGAGTACCACTATTGGATCATTATGCTTCACACTCTGTCAGAGATGCTGATGGATTCCACGCGATCGTCTAGCGACCGGTCCTCGGTTCAAATAGTCGTTCCGGTTTTGATTGCTTTCCTGGAGCAGGGCGGCTTCGATGTCCTCACCCAAATGGTTAAGCGCTTTTCGTCACAAATGTGCACAGAGACTGGCGAGTCCGATGCTGGTACCACTGCAAGCGCTCGAGTTGCCTCTTTTGGCCTTGGCAAAATCTTCGAGTTCTTCGCGGCGCTCGTCAACGGGAAAAATATTGCCGACTCAACCACGCAATTTGGCCTTGTCCCCAGAACCTCCGAGAGACGTCCCGAGTCACCGCCCTCCCAACAGATCGTGGTTGAGGTGCGCATGGCTGTTCTTCCCGTTATTCGAGAGACCTGGGAGTCTCCTTTGATCGAAAAGTTGCGGCCCGAGACGGTGGCTAAGATCATCGAGATCCTCAAGATCATTTCTAGTGCTGAGAATGAAGGCTCTTCCCGGGACAAGCCGGTGTCTGAGGTTTTCAAGAAAACTCCGGTTCCCTTCAACTGGCAGAACTACGGCGGCTTGATTGGCCGGCTGGTTGAGGACGGTTCTGATGAGGATCTTGCTCGCGAGGCGGTCTACAGATCTAACGGCAACGAAAATAACGCTATCGAATACAGTCGCCTTCACAAGGCTGGCAAGGCTGGACAACGCAACCCCATTCCGCTCGAGGACGCTTATACTCCGAGCCGTGCAGAGCCATCTCGTTCCCCCAGCCAGCAGGAGGGAGCTGCTCCTCCAGCTCCCGCTGACGCAGATGCAATGGCTGTCGATGTCCCGCCAGAACTTGCCCCCGTAGCTGGTGCTGCGGAGTTTGACCGTCTTCTCGGCGATGTTGTGCTGGGTGATCTGGGCGAGCGAGCGACCCCCGACATGAGCGGCACCGAAAGCCCTGCTGGGCTACCTGAAGCCCAGGGCAGGCCCAGTACTTCCACACCTGCGAGTGCCGCCCCGGTTGATGCAGCAAAGCCCGAGAACCGCTTGATTGCCAAGGAAGACTTGGACAAGGAGCGCGCCAAGTTACGGGAGAACCTCATTGACAGATCCCTCGACGTGGTCAGGGCTCACCCGCACTCCGCTATTGAGCTCTCAGAGCTCATCAACGCCATGGTATTCCGCCAGCAGAATGATGAGGTGCGGGACGAGGTTGGCCTTACCTTAGCGAATGCCTTGACATCTCTGTCATTCGACGATAGCGACTCCAAATCCAACGGAACAAGCATTGCTGCCTACGCTCATCTGCTGGCTCTGCTGATGCAAGAGAAGAGCTTCTTTAAATGCAACATCGACACTCTGAGAGAGAAGGTAGATGAGTACGTCTCGTTCCTCAACCCTAAGGATCTGCCAACTTCGAATGAAGAGCTACCTCCATGGATTCCTTACATTCTTTTGATTGTGGAGCTACTGTTGTCTTACGACGAACAACCTGTCGAGGCCCAATGGACCCCTCCAGCCAACGAAAACGAAACCGTCACTCCCGCTGTTCTGCCTCAGCGCAATCCGATCGTCTCCGACAGTCAGCGCAACGATCTTTTGGAAGCAATCCTTCGCCTGCTCCCTGTTCTCGGAAAAGAAGAGACCCTTGCAACTTCGGTCCTTCGTGTCATCGTCATTCTTACTCGGAAGCCTTCCATTGCCCAAAAGGTCGGCGAGAAGAAGAATCTCCAGCGCTTGTTTGTCATGGCAAAGCAGCTTGCAGGTGCGGGTGCTGCTCGCCTGAAAGAGACAAAGATCACGGGCAGCATCATGGCTATCTTGAGACACATCGTTGAAGACGAAGACACGCTCAGGCAGATCATGCGCGCTGAGGTGCGCGGCCTTTTCGACAACCCTTCGCGCCCCCAGAGGAGCTTGGATCTTACCACCTATCTCCGCAGCATGGCGCCGCTTGCGTTGCGTTCCCCCGATCTTTTCGTCGAAGTCACCAACGACATGACTAAGCTCTCGCGCTGGACACCAGGAAACGATGTCAGTAGTCGAGCTAACCAGTTGGCACTCAAGGAGCCCGAAGCCGAAGGCAATGCCGCTGCCGACAAGGACGCTAGCGTTGAACCTGCGGTGCAAGGCACGGAGGATCTGTCTATCCACGACGTCAAGCAGTCAACCGAAACGGAGATGACAGATGCGCCGAAACCAGGAAACGAGTTGAAGCGTCCCGTTGTCGAGAATCCTCATGGCATTGTCCACTTCCTCCTCTGCGAATTGCTCAACTACCGAGAGGTTGATGACAAAGAAGCCGCGCAGCCTGCAAAGGATGGCAAGAGCACCGCGTCAGCCAGTGCCCAAGCTACAGACGCTGCCCCCAAGGATGTGGCTGCAGAAGCCCAGGATACTGCAGACGGCAAAGAAAAGGACAAGAAATCTTCAAAACCCGTATTCAAAGCGGACGACCACCCGATCTTCATTTACCGATGCTTCCTGCTCAACTGTCTGGCGGAACTCCTCCAGAGCTACAACCAAACCAAGGTTGAGTTCATCAACTTTAAGCGAAGCGCACCTCTCCAGACGAATACGCCTGTCAAGCCTCGGTCGAGTGTTCTTAATTACCTCATCCACGACCTCCTCTGCCAGGGTAGTCTCACCGACAACGGTGACAGTATTTTGTCCAAAAAGAAGGCTGCTACGTCTGCTCAGGCTCAGCAAGTTCTGGCTGCGCTGGTGGCGAAAACCGGAGAAAAGAGCATCGACAAAAACCGTGACCGCTTCGAGTACGACGACGAACCTGATTTGCTGTTTGTTCGCAAATTCGTTCTGGACACCATTCTCAAGGCATATGAGCGGGCCGCCACGCCAGACGAGCCCATCGATACTCGTTACGCCAAGATGCAGTGCCTTGCTGAGTTGATGAACCACATCATCGGAGAAAAGGATAAGGATTCGACCTCCCAACGGGCTCTGGATTCTCCACAAGGCCGATCGCAGGCTCAGCTTCGCAGGATGATGTATGAGAAGGGCTACCTCGACAAGCTTACTTCTTCGATTGCCGAAGTCGACTTGGGTCACGCGGGCGTCAAGCGTGCCATTAAGTACGTGCTTAGAGTGCTGCGCGTGTTGACCGACACTGCAAAAGAGCTGAGCCGTTCCCACGTGATTCCTTCCGCATCCCTCCCTGAGAATGTGGATGATGAGATAATCTCCACTTCTTCCATGTCAGATATGGACGACGATAGAGAAGAGACTCCAGATCTGTACCGCAACTCTGCATTGGGCATGCTCGAGCCTCGAGGAAGCGACGACGAATCAGAGGACGAAGAGGGTAAGATTAACCCCCCCGCTGACTGACGCAAACTAGACTGACACCACTGCAGAAGACGATGATGAAGAGATGTACGACGATGACTACGGTGACGAGCTTGACTACGGCGATGAGGAAGTCTCCGATGACGGCGAAGACGGTGTCAGTGACGAGGATGAAGAGCTCGGCGAGATGGGAGAAATTGAAGGTCTTCACGGTGAGCCGGGCGTCGTCGAAGTCATCATGGACGACGATGAGGACATGGACGAAGACGACGACGAGATGAGCGAAGATGATGAAATGGACTCTGACGACATGGAGGACATGGAAGATCATCTCGATGTCGTTGAAGAAATCGTTGACGAAGACGGCAATCCCATCGACGACGACGGCGCATCAGGCTGGGAAAGTGAAGAGACAGACGAGGAGGAGGAAGATGAGGACGAGGACGTCGACTATGAGGCCGAAATACAGGCAACAGAAGAGGCAGCTCGTATGCACGGCATGGAGCCTGGAGACATCATCGACAACTTAGCCCGGGCTGTCATGGATCCAGAAGACTATCCGGGCGACGACATGGATGATCTCGGAGATCACTACATTGATGATGGACGTGACGAAGATGGTAAGAAAATGCGGCAAATGAGCTTGCCTTGAACCTTGCTGACAACACCTAGATGACGAAGATGATGACGAAGACATGGATGAGGACGACCTCATCTACGAAGAGGAGTACCCTCACGACCATCAACCCCCTGTCCTCCCTGCTGCCCTCGGTTGGGACACTTTGGTTGTTGAGCCCTTCGGAGGCCACCACCACGCGCATCGCCATCGCCATGGGCATCGTAGTCCGTTCCCCCCTGGCTTCATGGTTGGCAGTGGCCGCGATCCGCTTGGAGACTTCAGGAGTTACTTCTCTCCTCGACACCGGCCCAACAACATGCCCAACAACACTGATGACGGAGTGAACCCTCTGTTGCGCCGAAGCGGCCAGGGTCGGGAATCCTCTCCTCGCCCTATGCCGGGGTCTGGTATGATCGGTTTGCGTCTGCCCCCTGAGATTTTCAGCAATGCTGCGCCGTTATCCTCAAGTCCCATCGCCATCTTGAACGACCTCGTCGCAAATCTGCCCAACATGCGCCATGGACATGGCCCAGTTTCGCTTTCCATCACTCATAACGGTCGTGGAGAAGTTCGCGAATACCAGGTCGCGCCTCGCGAGCCCAGAACAGACAATCGTCGCGAGACTACATATCACGAGCCTCAACAGGCCGTGGGCTTCACTCCCGAATCCACGTTTGAGCGCTATCAGGAAGAGGCCAGAATGGTATTCGGGGGCACCCAATTCGGGGACAAGGCCCAGAAGCTTGGTAAAATAATTCTTTCTAAGCTTGTTCCCCCGGCCATGGAATTCGAGAAAAAGATCAAGGCGGAAGAGGAGGAGGTCCGCAAAGCCCGCGAGGAGGAACGCAAAAAGTTCGAAGAGAGCGCAAGACGCGCCAAGGCAGCCAAGGAAGCGGAAGAGAAGGCGGCTCGTGAGAAGAAGGAGGCCGAAGAGCGCGAGGAACAGGAACGCGCTGCTGCTGAAGCTGCCGCTGCTGCAGGTGAACGAGATGCGGCGTCCGCACAAGAGCCTCAGTCGCAAGCTTCGGACCCTCACGCTATGGAAGGTGTCGAAACTCAGGAGCCTTCTGCGCCCTCTGCAGACAACGAAGCGACTGCTGATGTCAGTCGTGTTCTCACAACCATCAGGGGCGAGGAAGTGGATGTGACCGAGCTGGGCATTGATCCCGAATATTTGGCTGCTCTTCCAGAAGAATTCAGAGAGGAAGTCATCGCCCAGACCGTCAGTACTCGTCGGTCACAGGCTCGCGAAGATCACCCTGCTGGTGAGCAGGGCGAGGCTTTCCAGGAGTTCCTCGACGCCCTCCCAGAGGACCTTCGCCTCGAAATCGTTCAGCAGGAGCGTCAAGACGCGCGCCGCAGGGAAAGAGATGAACAGCGTCGTCAAGCAACGGCCGGAACTCAAGATCAGATCGCTGTGGACATGGATCCGGCTAGCATCTTGCTCACGTTCCCTCCGGAACTGCGCCAACAGGTGCTCATGGACCAGGGAGAGGACATTATGGATCACTTGCCACCTGAGATGGCTGCCCAAGCCCGGCTCCTGGCTCAACAGCACGCCGTTCATCCTGCTGTCACAGGCAGAAGCCCCCCTGTTGCTGCACGACGCAACGGTCCCGGACCCCCGCAGGCTGAGTCTGGGGAGAACAACGAGAACAAGGTTCAGCGCAGAACTGTGGTACAAATGCTTGATAAAGCTGGAGTGGCCACTCTGCTGCGTCTGATGTTCATCTCCCAGATTGGCTCTATTCGCAACTATCTCTTCAGCGTGTTGGCCGATGTCTGCGAGAACCGACAAAACCGCCTCGAGGTTATCAGCACCATTCTCTTGATCCTTCAAGAAGGCAGCACAGACATGGACGCCGTTGAACGCAGCTTCAGCCAGCTCTCTCTCAAGGCCAAGAAGCCGAAGGACAAGGACGCGGACCCGAGAACTCCTCAGAACCTTAAGCGGACTCTGACGTCCCTCAGCGTCGCCGCTGGCCAGAACCAGTCCAACTCGGAAATTTCCCCTCTGATGGTCGTGCACCAATGCTTGGACCTGCTGCAGGATCTGTCGACGAAGAACCCGCACATTCCAATGCTCTTCCTTACAGAACACGAGACGGTCGGGTCGTCCCTCAAGCGTACCCTCAGCCGGAAGGGCAAGACCAAGGACTCCAAGGCCCACAAGTACGCGATCAACTCTCTACTCACACTTCTCGATAGAGACTTGGTCATGGAGAGTTCAGTGGTTATGGCCTACCTGGCTGACTTGCTCAACAAAATCACTGTGCCCCTTGCCACCATGGAACGACGACGCAAGGAAGCTCTTGAGAAGGCCGCCCGAGATGCCAAGGAGAAGGCAGCTGAAAACGCGGTTGAGGCGGGCGAGGCCTCGACTTCGGCGGAACAGCCGGCTGACAACGCGGCTGGCGAGAACACTGCCGCAGAGACCGCTACTGCTACCGACGACAAGGAGTCGAAGTCGACCCAAACAACTGCCGAGCCAGAGAAGTCAAAGAGCAACAAGTCAGAGACCAACCAGAAGGGGCCTAAGCAGATGCAGGTGCCGATCATCCCTCCGCATAACCTTACTTTGGTTGTGAAGATCTTCGTGGCCCGCGAATGTAGTTCCAAGACCTTCCAGAACACCATCTCGGCCATTAAGAACTTGTCTGCCATTCCCGAAGCCAAGGCAACTTTCGGTCAGGAGCTGGTTCGTCAAGCTCGTCTTCTCAGCGAGAACATTGTTGCGGATCTCGACGAGCTGCTCCCGCACATTGAGAAGGCCACCTCCGGAACGGAAATTCAGGGAGTAGCTCTCGCCAAGTTCTCTCCGGGTGCATCTGAACAGAACAAACTGCTCCGCGTTCTCACCGCCCTTGACCATCTGTTCGACAGTAAGAAAAAGAGTGACAAGTCCGACGAGGAGGCAGAGGCCAGCAAGAACGAGAAGCAGGATCTCGTCACCTCCTTGTACCACAACTCTACCTTCTCTACCATGTGGGAAAAGCTGAGCGCCTGTCTCAGCGCCATCCGACAACGCGAGAACATGGTTAATGTGGCCACGATCTTGTTGCCTTTGATCGAGTCTCTGATGGTGGTTTGCAAGAACACTGCCATGAACGATGATACGCAGACTCAGAACCAGAACAGCAAGGAAATGTTGCTTTCGAGCCCGCCTCCGGAGAACCGCATGGCTGGTCTATTCTTCACCTTTACGGAAGAACATCGTCGCATTCTGAATGAGCTGGTGCGCAACAGCCCCAAACTCATGTCAGGAACGTTTGCGCTTCTCGTTAAGAACCCGAAGGTGCTTGAATTCGACAACAAGCGGAATTACTTCAACCGCAGTGTTCACAGCCGAGTCAACAACAGCCAGCGATCCTCGTTCCCGGCGCTGCAGCTCTCCGTCCGTCGCGAACACGTTTTCCACGATTCATTCAGGTCGCTGTACTTCAAGTCTGGCGACGAGATGAAATACGGCAAGCTCAATATTCGATTCCACAACGAAGAGGGTGTAGACGCCGGAGGTGTCACTCGCGAGTGGTTCCAGGTTCTCTCCAGGCAAATGTTCGATGCCAACTATGCCCTCTTTACGCCCGTTTCGTCGGATCGCACCACGTTCCACCCCAATTCCTTGAGCGGTATCAACGATGAACATCTTATGTTCTTCAAGTTCATTGGGCGTGTGATTGGTAAAGCGCTGTATGAGGGGCGAGTTCTTGACTGTTACTTCAGCCGAGCGGTGTACAAGCGCATTCTTGGCAAGTCTGTCTCTGTGAAGGACATGGAATCCTTCGACCCCGACTACTACAAGTCGCTGGTGTGGATGCTTGACAATGACATCACCGACATCATTACTGAGACGTTTTCCGTTGAGGACGATGAGTTCGGCGTCACCCGCACCATAGATCTATGCCCTGGCGGCCGCGACATCGCCGTCACCGAGGACAACAAACACGACTACGTACGATTGGTCGTGGAGCACAAGCTTCTTTCTTCTGTTCGGGATCAAATGGAGGAGTTCCTCAAGGGATTCCACGAAATCATTCCTGCGGACCTCATCTCAATCTTCAATGAGCAGGAACTAGAACTGCTCATTTCAGGTCTGCCAGACATCGATGTCGACGACTGGAAGAGCAACACGGAGTACCAGAACTACAACCCATCCTCTCAGCAGATCCAGTGGTTCTGGAGAGCGGTCCGGTCCTTTGACAAGGAAGAGCGAGCCAAGCTGTTGCAATTCGTCACCGGAACCAGTAAGGTGCCCCTCAACGGTTTCAAGGAACTCGAGGGTATGAACGGAATCAACCGTTTCAACATCCACCGCGACTACGGCAACAAAGAGAGGCTTCCCAGCTCTCACACATGCTTCAACCGTAAGTACACCCATGGAGGGATCAAAATGATTGATAACTAACTCAGCGTAACAGAACTTGATCTCCCCGAGTACGAGAGCTACGAGACGCTCCGCGCACAAGTCATGAAGGCCATCACGGCGGGTAGCGACTACTTCGGCTTTGCATAAGGTGGGAGCGCGCAGACATAGACCATGATATTGCGATTCAGCATTTGCATTATGACGGGCGGGCGACACAGGACACGGTAAATGGAGTGGGTGACAAGTGTGTTATTAAGCGAAAGGGCATCACCAATTGAGTCTTAGCCGCATGTACATATTCGAGGGGGTGGTGGCCGAGAGCCATATACTCTCTTCATTTCTTTTTGGTTTGGCCGAGATGCACAAGACACTGGCTGTTTCTTTGCGGAGTGCAGGCCGCATAGACCGCAGGTAGTGGTTCTTGGTTTCAATGGCTTAGTATGTAGAGTACTGAATACGTCTATTAGATGACGACTGCTGCCTGGCAACAGTGATTCACGGTGACATATTGAGCGCCGTAGGGTCCTCCCTCGTAAGGTTTTCCGCTTCTTTGGCTCAAACCCAGGGCTCAAGAGGTCATGTTGCTGACCAGGCGGTTTTTTCCGATGTGGTGTTGAAGCTCTCCACTTGCTGTAAGTAGGTTTTTGGTACTGAACTTATTTCGGTTTATCAACACACACACGGTTTACAATCGAAACGAAACACAGGTACTCTCCTATATTATAATGCGGATGCGTCTGTTTCTGAATCAAATGCTGTGGGATCAACTGAATTATTCAAGGAAGCAGTTCAACACTACATGCGGATTCAAGAGGGTGCACGGTGACTGTCAAAGACTGACTGGGGGACAATGAAGAAAGATTCAAGAGCCGGAGACACGGGGATCCTTGCTTGTTCCCCACAGTACCTTTTTGACCTCTCAGCGACTGCGGAACAATGACGGCAGGGGCTCTAGTTTTTTTTTTTACCTCTTGCAGTTGTCTCCGGTGACAACTGCACTTTTCTCTGTTAACAGGACCAAGATCTTTTAAAGGCTCCAGACCCGATTCTCTTCTGCCCTGCTGTCTCATCTTAGCGCATACTCTGATACATCTCACAACTCTTCCCAACAGAGCTTTGTGTGCGACAATCCACCGACCGATAGCCATACCCCTCCATCGTGACCCCGCGCTGCGTTTCGATTCGCTCAGAAAACCGCCTTAGCCTACTGCAAACATCAGCAGGTGTGCAACCCCTTGGCATATTTCCTCGGCTGATCGCCCGCCTCCGACTACTTTCTTTTTCTTCTTTTTTTTCCCTCGTCGTCAACACAACGACCGGCCTCATGGGGGACATGGCGAACGATATCAAGCTCCTTAAGGGCAGCTCCCACGGGGAGCTGTCCCAGAAAGTCGCTCAGCGGTTTGTCTCCCCTACTCCGACGGACGGATTGATTGGCTCTCTATTCATTCCGTTGCGAAATGACTGCCGCTAACTTGCGATTTTGCGCCGCGATAGGCTTGGAATTCCTCTTGCGAAGACTATGAGGTGAGCGATCCTCCTCCTCCTTCCCGACCCACGATCCCATTTGCGTCGACCGAGAAAACCTACCGCACACAATCGAGAGACGGAGCACTAACCGCGATACTATTTTCTGCAGTCTGAACTACTCCAACCAGGAAACGAGGTTAGCGAGCAATCTCTCGACCGATTGGGCTTGAGTGATTGAGCTGACTTCTTTACCGTGTTACCGTTGGCGAGAGCGTCCGCGACGAGGATGTCTTCATCCTGCAGTCGAGCGAGCCCGGCAACGTCAACGACGGCCTGATGGAGCTTCTGATCATGATCCACGCCTGCAGAACCGCCTCCGCCCGCCGAATCACCGCCGTCATTCGTCAGTCACACCGAGCCACACAGTTGGGGACACAGGAGCGCTGACTTCAGATAGCTTGCTTCCCCTACGCCAGACAGGACAAGAAGGACAAGAGTCGTGCCCCGATCAGTGCCAAGTTGGTCGCGAACATGCTCCAGGTTTCGGGATGCGTAAGTGCCGTCGAGAGGAAGTAGGGGCAGAAAGCGTCGAAGACTGACGCATCGCAATCTCGCAGAACCACGTCATCACGATGGACCTCCACGCCTCCCAGATCCAGGGCTTCTTTAACATCCCTGTCGACAACCTTTACGCCGAGCCCAGTGTCCTCCAGTGGATCAAGTCGAACATGAGCGTCGAGGACGCCGTCATCGTCAGTCCTGACGCCGGCGGTGCCAAGCGAGCCACTGGTATTGCCGATCGCCTTGAGACCGGCTTCGCCCTCATTCACAAGGAGCGTCCCCGCCCCAATGTCGTCGGCCGTATGATTCTCGTCGGTGACGTCAGGGACAAGATTGCTATCCTGGTGGACGACATGGCCGATACTTGCGGCACTCTTGCCAAGTTCGTACACTGTGCTGCACGAGGTTCTTCATATACTAACCGCATCACAGGGCTGCCGAGACTCTCAACAGCGCTGGTGCGCGCGAAGGTATGTTTCACAGGAACGGTACACTGTTGAGCTGCAGTCACTAACTATCATCCAAGTCATCGCCATCGTCACCCACGGCGTCCTCAGTGGCAACGCCGTCGAGACCCTCAACAACAGCTGCCTGTCCCGCATCGTTGTTACCAACACCGTGCCCCTGGGCGACAAGATCGAGCGCTGCCCCAAACTGCGCGTCATCGACATCAGCCAAGTCCTGGGTGAGGCCATCCGCCGCACGCACAACGGTGAGTCGGTTAGCTACCTCTTCAACCACGTTCCCGTGTAGGAGGAGCTGGAATACGCACGGTCTTTTGAGGTTTCTGTGGACGACGAGTATCGCTCAAGTCGAATAACAAAATTATCATGGGTTTATTTTCCAGGGGCGTACGGCACAAAAGGGCAAGGGTTGTGATTTCCAGCAAGGTTACTACTAGATTGGGTTCTCCAATCTCGATAACGCACCGTAAGGTAGAACGAAAAAAAAGTCTTTTTCACTATTAAAGATGCAAGGTGCCCAAGAGCATGTTACGAAAATGCACGAAAGACCTTCCCATCGCGAGAGTCAGAGAGTGAAGTGGGTGTTGTGGGTACGTTAGGCGGTGAGTCTGGGGTAGAAAAATTTCACCGAGACAGAGACCCTTTGGAGATCCGAGTCTAATCGGTGGATCGTCTCAGCGGGACAGAAAGTCTACAGAGGTCCAGCCTTGGGACCTGGTCGAGGAACAGATTGAACCTTCCCGGCTGGGGGAGGTTACAAACCACGGTGGACTACGAGGGGAAGCGTGGGCAAGTTGTTCTTCATAACAATTTAAAACATCAAAACTTTTGTCGCTGTGGTATTTTGTGCGCGTCGAGGATGTAGTTTCCATTTTCGAATGCCCTATTACATTCGTAGTGACCTGGTCGTCATAGCTGTTCCAATCATGTTGCCAGCTCGTACGTTCAATCCCGTCCACGCCCGATGCAAAGAAAAAACCAGAAGGAACCCCCACCGAGTTGGTTCTTTACTTTTGTTGTCGTTCCCAAATGGTGTTTGACCCAACGCCGCCGTGTGCAATTTACTTGCGCATGGAGGAGGCGCGGCGCTTGCGGGCGTCGGCCTTCTCGGCCTTGCGCTCGGCAACGCGCTTGGCGAGGATCTGGGAGTACTCGTTCTGGGGGTGATGTCAGTGTCGGTACGCACGAGAAGCGGGGATGATGTGTCAAAACTTACGGCCTCGTCCTTGACCTTCTCGGCCTGGCGGCGCTTGAGGGCGATGCGGTGGCGCTTGTGCTGGAGACGCTGGGGGGTGACGAGTCTCTGGATCTTGGGGGCCTTGGTGTAAGGCTTCTTGCCCTCGCCCTTGGGCTGGACCTCGCGGCGGATGACGTACTTGCGGACCTGTAGTTGGCAGCAAGATTGCCGTGATTAGCCTCTGCTGAGTCTTGTTTCATATCAAATAAAGCCTGACACGCGGTTTCCCTTCCCTTCTCCTCTTTACCGTCTTGAGAGTCCCTGATCTCCCTCTCTCTTCGAGCCAACACTTCGAGCTCACGTGGGCTTCAAAAAGGTTTTCGGTCGAATGAGAGGCCAGAAACGGGCACAAGGTCGGTATCGACGAAGAAGACGGAAGGAGAAACACGCGGTCCCGTCTCTCACACTCTACCTGGCGCGCGCGAAGACAGCGGCACCGGGTAGGCGATGACGAAGTGGCTGCCCGAGAGGCGCGAAAGGAGCTCACGTACATCGTCATCCTTGGTGAGGCTGAAGAACTTGCGGATCTTGGTGGCGCGCTTGGGGCCGAGACGCTTGGGGTGAACGACGTCGGTGAGGCCGGGGATGTCGGCGTCGCCCTGCTTGACGACGGAGAGGGCGAGGACGGAGAGGTCCATGCCGACGATGCAGCCGCGGACGGACTTGCGCTTGCGCTCGCCGGTGCGGCGGGCGCGGTAGCAGGAGTGGCCGTCGGCGAGGAGGAGGCGGACACGGGTAGGGTGCATGACGCCCTGCTTCATGGGGAAACCCTGCTTGTCGTTGCCGCCGGTGATGCGGAAGATGTAGCCCTTGAACTCGTCGCCGACGGAGTCACCGGGGACCTCGGCGCCCATCTGTTGGTGGTTGTTAGTATTGTTGATCGGTTTCTGAGGTTTGCGCTCTGGCGTCGATGGGGTTCGGCGGGAAGGGAGAACAACGTACGCGCTTCTCCATGAAGACACGGAGCTTGCGCTCATCCTCGATCTCGATGAGCTTCTGGCTGCCATTGGCAGGGTAGGAGATGTTCAACTACGTTCGACATGTCAGTCCAATGTTTTTCCCCTCCAAGGAATTTTGCATTCGAGCGACGGCGACGGTGACGGCGACGATATCGAATCCGGAAAATCGTAAATTATCATAGCCGCAGCTCGTCGTCGTCGTCGTCGTCTTCGTGTGCGATGATGGTGATTCTCTTACCTTCATCTTGCCGGCGTTGGGTGTGCAAGAACTTGTCGCTGGGCGGTTAGTACGTGCGATCGGTCGTGTAAAGTTCGAAAACGAAAAATCGCCCTGAGTAAATTTTGGAGTTGTGTGCCCTAGCGAGTGCGAAAAGAGATCGGCCAATCAGAGTTGGGATCAATTCTGCTGGTCGTCGGGGGCTCAGGTTTGGCCGGGGCCGGATTTTGCGTTGCGGAGCAGACCTAACCCACAACCTCACGTGCTCTTGCAGTCAGAGTCATCGCACTGACCAGCGAGTACGTATCGGGAAGCAGCGTCTCCATCTTATTCCCTGGTATTACCTCAGGTACCTATCTTACATACTCACTCACGACCCATCCGATATCAGACGCAACACCAGCGACTTCTCATCACGAGTTATCACTCACGACGGCCGTGTGAAGATTCGTCATGTCGACGGTCAAGATCTATCCGCCTAAGAGGGGCTCACCGGCCTCGGACAACCCATTACCGCAAACTATCAAGACACCGTCCGGACTGGCGTTGCTTGAGATGCAAGGCATCATCAACTTGCCGCCTTTCAATCCCGACGACAATGACAACGGCGACAAGCCCGAGCCGGAGGTGCCGATCGGCAGGATCATCTTTCCAGACTACCACCCGGAGACCCAAGAGGAGGGCAGCACGGCCTGGATGAAGCGGGTGTTCCTCTACGTGGGCCAGCACCAGAGGCTCAGCGGTGAGGTCAAGAAGCTGCCGAAGGCGATGGCCATCATCCGGCGGAAGGGCGAGGCGAGGACGAACGCCGACGGGGAAGAGGAGGAGGAGCTGGAGGTCGCTGAGATTGTCAAGTACAAGATCATGTTTGGGCAGCGGCCTGAGCCTGTCGGGACGGAGAGCACTTCGTAGGAGAAGTTCGCGTCTGAGACGGCGAAAGGTCGCCGACTTAAGCATTGAGAATGACCCTGACGCGCTGGGTTCCGAAAGGCGATGGACGACTTGCCTCAGAAAGCTGAGCCAGCGGGCACTGGAGTTCGCGTGCATCTCAGAGCACTTTTATCCATGGCCAACATGAAGAACTCTTGTGGGTCTTATTGTGATGCTCCAGGGGCGCTGCACTCTGACCACACCGACAACACCTCTATGTGGTCGCAGAACGGGCATTTGCGACGCGAGAAAGGGACACTCACAATGTCGGACTGGCTTGGTTTGGTGCTTCCTCGGTCTTTGTGAAGCACATCAGCAACCCGACGCATCGGGTGGCTATCTACTTTGGACAGCGCGGGAGAAATCATCGCAGCGTCCAGTGGCTCGGATGCCTGCGACTCCTCCGTTCAGAGTTGAATGACACTCGTCGAATTCACTCATCACCCGAAAATCCTGTACCGACCAGTCCTGAGAAGACTCATTTGCTCCGTCGAACTCTGGTCACAGACGCCAGCAGCGAGAAGTGGGAGCTCAAGGTTGAAGATGGAATCAAAGGGTCGCAGGGAAGAAGAACGCAGTAGATGACGCTTCTCTCTCGATCCAAGAGAGGCATCAAGTGGTCTCAGTCTCAACTCTATCGATTCTGAACCCGGCGATGTACCTGCTCTCCACCTACTCGCTAGATGCCTTGTTGCGAAGGGTCTTGCTCTAGGTCTCTCCGTTATACCAAAACTGGTACACATCTAGGGCGAACGGAAAGACGCAACAGAGGTACAAGGCACCCAATCCAGGATTGGCTGCTGGAAACGTAAACTTGCGAACTTGAAGAGAGACAACCCCGGAAAGCAACGACGGTGATGACAGCAGGCTTTTTGAGTGTCATTTTGCTATAGCTAGGGACCTCTTCGAAGGCAATACAAGAATTTGCCATTTCTATACCATCAGCGTCAGATTGCTCGAGCCATTTCTTTACACCAGAGGGATATCTCAGAAGCTATGGCCCTGATGCTCACGGCTGTTATCCACAATCACGATCATGGAATTCGGGGCTCATGCGACAATACCGACGAGCTCGGAACAGCCGATTCTCGAATGGTTCGTCTCACCGTCTCCCTGATGCGAATCTGGCCAAGGATTCCCCACATTGCCGTGAGGGGAGATTTGGGGAGTACCCGAGCTGGCTAATAGGATAAAATAGCTGGTGCATCTCTCAATTGCAACTCTAATTTAACCGCAGACAGCCTGATTGATCGGTCCCCCTTTCGCCCCATCCAGAGATGAATGTGTTGATGCCAGGGCCGATCCCTGCCGTCCGCTACCCGTAGCAGCACTATTGGTTCTCTTCAACCGGCAATGAGAGATGTTTGGTTCCCACCGGAATGACCTCTTCTTTTCGCACACATCATGGGTGTTTCCTCCGTTCTCCTCATATGTGTTGTCTCGAACAGGCCAAGCGGCCCTTCGCTGATTTTATTTTACCAACAGCATGAGCCTTGCAGGTCTTGGGCCCAAGACGGCGGGCCACCTTGGACCAGGTTCTCCTCACTTAGAGGACGTCACCCGGCCAAGCAAAGCTGCTGGCCTAGCTTCTTCATTTTGCATGATCCGGAGATGGGTCTCGTCCCGTCGGCTGTGAGGTTGGGGTAGACGCGGGGGACGGTGTTGCATCGGACCTTGCATATATGAATTGAGTTGCCTTCTCTGCGAACTCGTACTGTTGATCCTGTTTCTCCTCCACCTCCCCGATCTCGGTCTCTTGAGATAGGTCGTCTAGCTGGGCATTCAAAACTTTGGTCTCGGAGTCAACAGTCACGATGCGTTTCCAATCTCTCACCGTGCCCATGCTGGCGGCTTCGCTGCCTCTGGCTTCCGCTCAGCTCCACCACTACGCAAAGAAGGCCGGTCTGCTGTACTTCGGTGCCGCCACCGACTCCCCCGGACAGCGCGAGCGAGCCGGCTTGGAGGCGTCATACGAGCAGTACGATGCCATCCTGGACGACACCAATGAGTTCGGCCAGACCACGCCGACAAATGGTCAAAAGGTCGGTGGTTTGCAACACTCAAACGCCCTCGAAGTCGACTAACCCCAGACACAGTGGCTCTTCACCGAGCCCGAGCCGGGCGTCTTCAACTTCACGGAAGGCGAGATCGTCTCCTCGATCGCCAAGGAGAACGGCCAGCTCCTCCGCTGCCACGCCCTCGTATGGCACAGCCAGCTGGCGCCCTGGGTCGAGACCACCGAGTGGACCCCCGAGGAGCTCACCGAGATGATTGTCCGACACATCGAGAACGTCGCAGGCCACTGGAAGGGCCGCTGCTACGCCTGGGACGTGGTCAACGAGGCGCTCGAGGAGGACGGGAGCTGGCGGCAGTCCGTCTTCTACAACGTGCTCGGCGAGGACTACATCAAGCTGGCGTTCCGCACGGCGGCCAGGGTCGACCCGGACGCCAAGCTGTACTACAACGACTACAACCTGGAGACGGTCAGCCCCAAGAGCGAGGGCGCCAAGCGCATCGTGAAAATGCTCCAGGACGATGGCATCAGGGTCGACGGTGTCGGCCTGCAGGCTCACCACGTCGCGCACCGCGCCCCGACTCTGGACCAGCAGATCGACGTCATCCGCAGCTACGCCGAGCTCGGCGTCGAGGTTGCGTACACCGAGCTGGACGTCAGGATCGAGCTTCCCGTCAACGAGACCAACTTGGAATGGCAGAGGAAGGCCTACGAGTCTGTGAGTAGACCCGGTCGAGCTAGGTATTGTGTGAAAACGATTGCTAACGTGTGATTGAAACAGGCCGTCGGCGCGTGTGTCCAGGTCGAAGCCTGCATCGGAATCACGATCTGGGACTTTTACGACCCCTTCAGCTGGGTTCCTTACACTTTTGAGGGCGAGGGTGCCGCCCTGCTCTGGTTCGAGGACTTTAGCAAGCACCCGGCGTACGAGGGAGCACTTGGGGCGTTGAAGAACAAGACTGCTCCCCCTTGCAGGAGACGACGGGGTCTTGACTCTGGAAAGAGCAGGAAGCTCTTCTAGAGAAGTCTGTCATGAGGATAACGTGCTATGACAACCTAGCTATGCATGAAAAGACGGGTATTGTAAACCACACTCCAAAAACTGATATGGGCGAGACAGACTTGCAAACAAGGATCCAGTCGACGTATTTCGCCTTAAAAATAGCAAGAGAAATGATGAAGATTCATTGAATTGAGCCTGCACTTCGCGGCGGCGTTGCCCGCGATGCGATGATTGCCCCGATGCGCCGTGAGCCGCATAGGCCTGGGTGCTATGCTGTGTAAACACTCATTTAAAACCCCAACTATTCGTCGTGTTCAGCCATGCCCCGAGCGACATGATGTTGGTTTTGGGTGCGTTCGGTTTGCAGTGAAGTCCAGTGTAGCGACAGACAACCTCTCAGCTTGTCACAGCTTGTCTCAGCTGGTGTCCTAAATTTTGTGACAATCTGCGCATTTCCTACAGGGAAAAAACCATATGTTGGCTAGAAAAGCAGAGGAGTTGTGGAAAGCCGAGTCTGCGGATACCATTAAATCGACGGAGTCGATTTGTTATCGCAATGTGATGCTCTTAGCGTGGCGGTGCGGCATGCAAACTGCGAAACCAAATGAATAGAGCCTTTGGGTAGGTTTAAATTGCAGTGAAAGAACGGGCTCGCAGAGAAAAAGAACCGGCATGCAAACTGCGGAACCAAATGAATAGAGCCTTTAGGTGGGTTTAAATTGCAGTGAACTCTCCAATGATAAGATTGGCATCGTAGGCTTACCTATGGGAGAGTGTCAAGTTAAATCATCATCTGCACCTTTGTCCTCCCAAACCGAACTCAACTATTTCCAATCTAAAAGATCTGATGCAGTTTTGCAGCCGAATCGATGCTCGGCGGCGAAAATCGGATCAGTTGCAAATAGATCGAGGACTGTCCTGGAATGACGAGTCGGGAAGTAAATTGTAATGCACCAACCTACAGCGTTTCACCGAGCTCACCGAGATGCGCTCCTGTGCTCCAAACACAGGCCACTTAGCCAATAGGCAAACCGACATTTGCTCGCCTCAGTACATGCATGAGCCGGTTTAGTCAGCGATCTTATCAGCCCATTGCCCCGCGAAAAATTCAGTTAGCAGAACTTAGAATCGCGGGGCAGTTCAGACGGACTCACTCACTCACTCACCCACTCACAAAATAACTGAGTGAAGATTCGTGAGAGACAGGTTCAAGAAATTCGCGCGCAAGCAAATCCCAAGTCCTGAAGTCTTCTTACTTTTCCCCCACCAAGGACAGAAGAAAGCTCGACAAGTGTCGCAGCCATGGAGGAGGACCGGGCGCAGACTGACCTCGGCATTGCCGCCGACATTGAAGCTTCTCATCGCGAGGAAGAAGCGGCGGCCCAGCCGGCGCTGAAGCAGCCCAAGAAGCGTTTCGTAGGTAGGAGGACGGCGGCCGAGGCCGCAGCAAAGAATGGAGGCTCCAATGGATCCATAGAGGATAGCAAGTCCATCCAAGGTGAGATCTCTTTCCAAGTCACTATCTCGCATCTCCTCCATTCTCACAAACCCGTCTTCACACAGTGGCCAAACCAAGACGGGGCCCGCGGCTCCTGAACCAAGTGCCCCCCGAAATCCTCAACGACCCGGCCCTCAAGTCCGCCATCTCCATCCTCCCCTCCAACTACTCCTTCGAGATCCCCAAGACGATCCACCGCATCCGCACCTCGGGCGCCAAGAAGGTCGCCCTCCAGATGCCCGAGGGCCTTCTCCTCTTCGCCACCACCATCTCCGACATCCTCACCGAGTTCTGCCCGGGCATCGAGACCCTCATCATGGGCGACGTCACCTACGGCGCCTGCTGCATCGACGACTACACCGCCCGCGCCCTCGGCTGCGACCTCCTCGTCCACTACGCCCACAGCTGCCTCATCCCCGTCGACGTCACCAAAATAAAAACCCTCTACGTCTTCGTCGACATCTCCATCGACGCCTCCCACCTCCTCGCCTCCCTCGAGCGCAACTTCGCCTCCGGCAAGACCATCGCCGTCGTCGGCACCATCCAGTTCAACGCCACCATCCACGGGGTCCGCGGCACCCTCGAGAAGGCCGGCTTCAACGTCCTCGTCCCCCAGATCGCGCCCCTCAGCAAGGGCGAGATCCTCGGCTGCACCTCCCCGCGCCTCGCCGACGACGGCGGGGTCGACCTCATCCTCTACCTCGGCGACGGCCGCTTCCACCTCGAGAGCATCATGATCCACAACCCCACGATCCCGGCCTACCGCTACGACCCGTACTCGCGCAAGCTGACGCGTGAGACGTACGGCCACGACGAGATGCAGGGCCTGCGGCGGACGGCCATCAAGACGGCCAAGACGGCGAAGAAGTGGGGTCTGATCCTGGGCTCGCTCGGCCGCCAGGGGAACCCGCACACGATGGGGCTGATCGAGAAGCGGCTGCGGGAGCGGGGGATCCCCTGGGTCAACCTGCTGCTGAGCGAGATCTTCCCGGGGAAGCTGGCGATGATGGCGGACGTCGAGTGCTGGGTGCAGGTGGCGTGCCCGCGGCTGAGCATCGACTGGGGCTACGCGTTCCCGCGGCCGCTGCTGACGCCGTACGAGGCGCTGGTCGCGCTCGAGGTGAGGGACGACTGGGGCAAGGGCGTGTACCCGATGGATTACTACGGCAAGGAGGGCCTGGGTCGGGTGAAGCCTGCGGAGGTGGAGATCAAGGGGTGATGTCTTGGTGTTTGGGAAATGAAAATCATGAGTATATATGGGATGGGAGCACGGAATGATACCTCTTTGGCGTTCAATCGCGGACGATAGCTCCATTGCATTTTGTGCTGTTTTGTTGTGTCATGGCCTATCACACCTCGGCGAGTGAGTCAGAGTGCGATTTAGAGTGTCGCTCGATGAAGGGGCAAAACATCTAGACGGGCGCTGACAGCGTCATAACAGAAACGATCTAACGCCAGACTTTGTCGTAGTCTTCTTTAGACCGGTTTTCTGGACAGTAACTGTCTCCCGCTTAATGAGCTTGACATCGAGAAGCACACAAGCGTAGCCTTTCGGCGTCATCGATTGAACGGATTTGTTTTACGTTTATTCATTAACTTCCTACGTGGACGAGGCATGTAAGAGCCTTCCTCCTGGTATCATTAAAAATATGAGGTTGAAATGTAATTATCCTTGCCCCATCTTCATCCTCTCTACATGACCACACTCAGCACACCGACTCTCTACGCATCAATGGTGGAGTTGATGCTGAAGCGGTAGCTGGCCTGAAGGACGTAGGGGTCATCGCCAGGGCCGTAGATCTGCTTCTTGGTACGGCCCCACGCAGGGTTGTTGATGCCGTCGATCCAGTCCTGGACCTCGAGGACAACGCAGCCATATCTGGGGATGATGCGAGGGAAGTCGGCGTTGTCGAACAGGCCCTGGGACTTCTTGAGGGCCATGGAGCCGTTCTGCTGGCTGCAGCTGTACATCTGGAAAGCTTCCTGGTCGGAGAACACGTCGAGTTGAATACCGGACCAGGCAGACTGCAGACGGGCGACGTAACCCTCATTGCGCCAGTTGTAAGGGCCGAGGTCGTTGCGGTTGACAATCCAGCAGTTGTCTGTGATGATTAGCAATGTGTTTATGAAGAGATGGACAGGTAAGCTTACCATAGCCAGTGCAGTTGTAACCGCAGTTGTTCTCGAGCTCCTTCTTGCCGAAGTCGGCGCCAATCTGCTTGGGGGCGCTCCAGAAGTCGTTGACGGATCCCTTGGGGTTGGCCACAATCTCACCCGTCGGGATCAGAATGTTGTCAACGCCCACTGTCTGGCCGTTGTAGGGCATGTGAAGAGTGTGGTTGAATGCCGTGTTGGTCTCGTTGTTGGCGAAACCGTCCAGGTTCCAGTAGGTGTGACTGCTGAGCATGATGGGGGTCTTCTTGGTGGTGGGAATGGCGATCATCTTGAAGTCCCAGTTCCAGCCGCTCAGGGTGTAGGTGACGAGTGAGACAACCTCGCCGGGGAAGCCCTCCTTTCCGTCGGGGTCGGTAAAGGAGAAGGTGATGCTGTTGTTGGAGTGGGAGACCACAGTGAAGTTGCGGTAGTCCCAGCCATCGGAGCCACCGTGGAGGGTGTTCAGGCCATTGTTGTCGTTGGCGTCAACCTTGAACGTCTCACCGTCGATCTCGAACGTGGAGTTCTTGATACGATTGGCGTAGCGGCCGGGAACACCGCCGAAATGGGGGTGCTGGCGGTCAACTTCGTAGTAGCTGGCGTTGTCGAAGCCACCGACAATGTCGCGGGGGATGCCGTACTTGTCGTTAATGATCAAGTCCGAGATGGAGGCACCGTACGGGATGAAAGAGGCCTTGAGGTGGTCGCTGAAGATCCAGTACTTTCCGTTCTCGTCAGGGCCGGGCTTCACGGTGGTAGTGTTACCACCGGGAGCGCCAACAAACTGGGCGGTTGCGGCCGGGAGGAGCAAAGCAGCTCCGGCGGCAGCGGAGAGGAGAGACGAGCGCATCGTGGCGGTGTTTGCGTTGGTGTTGGACCAGACAAGGTAGCAAAGGACTGCAGCGCAAAACACGGTAGGCCAAAACAAACGATGAGGGCGGGAGGACGGGCGACAAGCTCTGCGTGAGGGGAAGATGGGGTGAAGGCGAAGCTTATATCCCAAATGTCCGTCCGCTCCCCTCTCGCCCATGCGGGAGGTGAGCGGAGAATCGCACATGGCAAGAGAGGTGGGACGACTTGATCATCCGGACCTTGAGAGAGCTACCCTGCCCGTCGTCGCCTCTGGGCAATAGGAACACACAATTGATGCGGAGTGCAGAGAACCAGCTCCACTTGATCCGGTAAGAGTCGTATTGGGGATTGGGAAAGCAAGCAGCGAGAAGCGGCAGTTACAGGGGATGATCAATGAGCCGGTTGTGACGGCATGATGTGACTGGAGCGTCTAGACGAACATGTGGTGAATCCTTTCGCTTGTCTTTCTAGCTCTATGTCCAGGTCCAGGTCCAGCCGGGACAGGCAGGCAATATTGGGAAGAAAGAACAAGGTCGGGCCAGGCAAGCTACGAGCTAAGGTGAGCGTAGCGTGAGAAGCTTTCGTAGCCTGCGATGACAATGTCACCTAACGTTGGCCCGAGATGCAGGAAGCCGGGGTAGGAAGGTTGAGTGCGGAGTAAGAGCAAGCTCTCTGCTGACGTCTGGAAGGGCGAGAAAGCGAATGCGGTCGCGGTTGCGGTCTCGCAGTGCAGGGAGCCAGCTCCGGGGCAAGGCAAGCCAAGGTCGGTGAGGAGGTTGAATGGAGAGGAAAAGCACGAGAGAAAGGCCCGATGACACCCTCTCCAATGCAACGGGGCGGAGAGCAATTGGCGAGGTTGGATGGCTGGTTGGACGACTGCTCAGGAACAGACGGCAGGCCGAAGTCAAAAGGCCCTTGGGGAAGGGACTCCGGTCCAACAATGGCGAGAATTGTTTGGAGAAACAAGTCCGGGGATTGGGCAGACGAGAAGCGATGACGACGTTGTAGAAGCGGAGATGCCGGGGGGGTTCGCGAGTTGGAGAGGAGAATGGAGGAACGACGGGAGGAAAACATGTCGTCAGAAGTAGCGGACTGGTTGGTGCTATTGGTGCGCCTGGGAAGTCACCAACGGATGCGGGGTTTTAGTGCGCCTTCCCCGGATTGTGTGGACGTCTTCCCTGTTCCCCCGCTCTGCGCCACTCGATTTTCGACTCCTCTTCCTCAAGGTCAAGCTTTTTCCCTTGGCCCACGATGTTGCTCTTGTACCAACACCTCGTCAAATGTTACCACCTGCTTGCCCGGTGACCTGATGATGCCTGGACGTACAGTATCACTGCATATTGTTGCGTGAAATACACACATCCCAGAACGTCGAGACGTGGTGCTAGTCAAAGTATGTGGAAGCAAGTGGAAGTCAATTCTTCTGACTACAGAGAGCGAGCAATTTTGAATATCCCATAACCTTCAATCACGGTCCTCCACCAGTCTGACTCAACGTCCCTTCAAAACAACCATCTGAAGACTCAATTCCCCCCTGCAGCCCTGTCCATGCCAGATCCCATGTCTCGATCTGGTGGCTTGAGAGCATCTCGATGCGTGCCAATCAAATATTTTCCCGCGGCATAGCTTCACATGCTTTTGTAGAGCTAGCGATACCCTTGTCCCAAACGCCAGACGCATAATCCATCCCATCTTAGGGTTCATAGACTGAGTTCCGGTGCTTCAAGTTGTTGGCTTTGGTAGGCAGGTTCGTGGGAGGAAAAGGCTTGTCTCGTCCCAACTATCCGTACCTTAGCCGCAGCATACCACTCAAAACGTCGGTTTCCTTACTATGCAGTAACCCCGTCTGCAAATCTGCTTGCTGCTGTCTTCACTCCGTGCCGTCGAACTGGCAAATGTCGTAGATCCACCGAGGAAGAACGCGAAAGAAGTCTGTGGGACTGTTCCTGCGGTACGGACAGATGACATCGTTGCTGCGACGGTGGGTACCATCGCCAAAGACGCGGACCATTCCCTCGGTAACCTGCTTTAGGCTGTCGTTGACGAATGTCGGGGCCATCTCAGCGAGATCCGGCAAGCGTTGCACTCGATCGTGCAGCCGAGTCCACTCGTCCATGCCGGCCCGGATCTGTACCGTGGGGCTGCCACTAATCGTCCATATACGACTGCTCGATAGGGGTTCCGGCAAGGGATTATGGGGGCGAACTTCTATGACCTCGCTGAAGGTGATCTGACGAGAAAAGGAAGACATGGTCTCGGCGATGTTGTTGTAGCCCTCGACCCAGCGATTCTCGTCCTCTCTCAATGTCTGATTCTGGTCCCGGTCTCTCGAACTCAGGTATTCGTAGCCGCTGGCAAGAGTCGCCGTAATTCTCTCGTTCGTCTGCGCCTCGTTCAGCGCGACTTCGGCTCGGTGTTCGCTTGACAGAACTTCTGGGTGTACGATGAAGGGAGACAGCACCCTGCTCCAGCATTCGACTTGGTGGAGAGAGAAGTTGACGAAATCTTTCTCTGGCTCCACAAACTGGATGGACAGGCGACCTCTCTTCTCGCCGCTGGGGCCGCCATTCTCCACGTCGAAGGAGAGGAACACCCAGACCCTGGGACTGACGTTGTCAAGAACGTGGTAAAGCATCCCGGGAGCTTGTCGATGGTATTGCAGGAAAAAGAAACAGTGTGTTTAGATCGATGTTCCTGACGATGTTCTGGAACAATCCATTGTATGATGTTGATGATTGAGGATGGATGATTGAGGACGGATGATTGTCGAAGAAGGAAGGAAGGTTGAAAGGAAGGCACATGCTCTTGTCCTCCTGGTCTTTCCTCTCGAGTTCCCCGCTTTACACTGAGTTCATACCATGAGCGCGACAGCTTGTGGACTTCCTTGATGTCTTTCATCGTGTGTAGCTAAACAGCACCAAGGCGGTCAAATTCTGCACTGTAGTACAACGTGGGGCAAAGAATTTCACTCACACACAATTATTGTTTCAAACTGGCTCAAGACTTGAACAACGGGAGAGCTGAGTCAACTACGAGCCATGAAAGTAGTCGAGAAGATTCATCAGGCGGTAGGAGCAGCCAGTGGCCGTTATGTCCCCTAGGTTCCTATGACTTACAAACCTGTCTGAGCAACAGCAGCAGAAATACCATATGATCATCGAGTCCAATTGCAGTCTCTATGTGCTGTGACAGGTACTCCGAGATATCCAGCAGAGGCGGTTATGTTTTTATATGGGAGAATGGACTGAGTGCGGGCTGAACATCAGGATGTACAGTCAACACTGAACTCCCGGAGTCTTTGGCAACAGATTTAACGACTAGCGAACGTAATATGCTTCCAGTCTAGATGAAATGTGCGCTGTAGTTGACAGGGAGTCAAGGGTAGCAAAGAATTCTGGAAAGACATACACATAGAAATTGAGTTGCTCAGTTGAGAGACTCGTTTTAATGGCCTGGATTGTCCCATGCCTTGAAAGCTTGATGCTATTTCTGCAATTCGAGGTAAACGTGAAGCTTATGGTCGGTCGAAGAGCTTGGGTGCATGGAAGTCTTTGATTCTCCTCCTCATATAATCTTACGGCACGAGAGTCACATTCGTGACAAGCTGTAATGCATCTCCAATATAGATTTGTCTTAGATTTTGATAGTATGAATGTCGTGATGGAGATCATAGGCCTCGTGACAACATCCAACAGTAATGTATACTTGGGCTCTGTTCTACATGCTCTTGTTGTTGGTCTTGGCATTTGGAAAACATAACGCAGAGCAGACTGGACATCGATGTTAAGGAATTCGACTTCTTTATATTGATAACCCGGTGTATCATCACAGTCTATGGGAGCAGTACAACATCTGGCGCTGGGTGAATGGCGACGGCAATGACTGCCTATTTGGAGCTATCTGCTTCAATGCCGGCATATAATTTGTGACAGAAATCGCAGCTTCCATCTTCAATCGTTTCCAACGCTCTTCAATAGCTGCCAACACATTTTCTCCCGACGTCCATTGTCCATGATCGTTCGTTGAGAGACGGGTCTCATCGAAGGCACCGCTCAGTCATGGAAGCCCATCGGAGCCTTCTCCAAAACAGACAACTCTGCGAGACCTGAGTTGAGTGACGTCAAATGACCAATTCCAAAAACCGGGCACCATGTTCTCTCCTGGCACACTCAGTTGGACCTAGGTTCTTTGGTAGAAAAGTTCACCGAAGTGGAGCCCCATCTTACCGACGGCAGGGACGGGAGATTTAGCCGGACGCAACAGTCATCACAGGCCCAGCATCGGATGACCCAAAACTCGTTTCTTCTTCCGTAAGGGTGACGGGAGCTTCCCGAAAAGAAAGGAGTCATCAAGTCGCATGGGCTCACTGGTCATTGCTTCTTGACTCCTGGTCAAGTTGTTGAGAACGCGAGCTAGTGGAGTTCAGCCAGGCAAGGGTCGGTCAAGCCTCGGTGAAAGCGCAACAAACAAAAGGCTGGGAAATGACATTCCCAGCGAAATGTCTCTCCTTAATTCGGTGAGGCAGCACCCGCAAATGTGCACCAAAATGTGGAATTCACGTTCCTGTTGGAGTCCAGTCCAGTCCAGTCCTAGGTGGACGTGGAAGAACGGAAGATGTGGACGGGAAGGAGAAGCAGCAGAGTGGGTTCCCTCCTGCCTCTCGGTGGACCGAAGACAACACCCGAAATGCAGGCAGGCACGGCCCGGGAGCAGCAGCTCAGAAAGGCAGCTACCATCGCGACCTAATGCACCTGCCTCTCCAGAGTCTGGTTTCAAGATTCGAGGCAGGTGCGAAAATAGTGTACGGAGTACGGATAGGTACCTTACATACAGGAAGGAACGGCTACGTAGCCTTCCGTCACTGTGAACCTCTCCTCTCCACCATTTCGTCGTTGTCCTCCTCCTCGACGTCTCCTACATCCTCCCCATCATCGCCGTGCGGATACACGTGCCAACTTCTCCTTTTCCGCCCTCCCACCAAAGCCAACACGGAAATCAGCGAAAATGGCATGTCCAAAACACCCACGGCTCCTCGTTTCCCCCAGACGCGACAATCATTCCCAAACACTTGAGGTCCTCTCTCCGGCCCCGCAAACCACTCTCCTTTCGCCTCGGACACGACAGGGTGACACCGCAGATCCTATTTTCCAGAAGGACAAGCGAACACATGGGGACTTCGACGTTCAGACGTTGTGCTGGACTCTGCCCTGGACGCTGGACTGGGGGTGACGCAAACACCCGGCTCCACAACACCCAGAGCTTTGAGGATTTCCCGGGATATTAACATCGAAAAAGACGAGAAAATTTTTAAAATTGCAAACACCCTTACTGCATAGTACGAAGACGTTACGACACGGACACGGTAAACCAACCTGCCGCCAGCAACGGTCGAATGCCCACCACGGCAAACAACCATCGCACTGCATCACTGCACTGCACCTCAAGCCGTCGCTTGGCACTAGCTACCTACGCGATGGGGACCTATGGACCCTCCAGCACACCCTCAACACTGGGCTATCTTCCCATTCAGCGAGCGGAAGCCCTTCCCCGGTGCCACGAGGTCAATCCCCATCCCTCGTCCCATCTCTTCCCCGAGAAGGTTTCCACGGCACCTCTGTGACAGGTCACAGCACCAGCCCCGAACCTGGCAAGCAAGCAAGCAACGAGCTTGTTGGTCGTTTCTCTGCTACGCCGCCCACCTATTTGCTTCCAACAAGATGATAGTCTTGTCAGGCGGCTGAGATTGGCCCTCTTGTGCCGTCGTCGCCATGGTCTCAAGGATGGCACATTGTCGACGTTCGCAGCCGCTCCCAGTTCTTTCGGCGACACCCATATGCGACCAACATGCTCCCAAAACCTACACAGTCCTGACGCCGACCTAAGTTCTCGTCTTGCAGACAGGCATATCCAAGGTTGTTGGCTGAAGGCCACGCGAGAAAACGTTCGTTCGCTGAATGTTGCGAGAACGCCAATTGCTCGCCCTGACTCGTTTTAGAGTTCACACCCGAACATCTTCATCATTTTGGACCAGTCGCAATCAGCCGGCTTAGACTTCCAAAATGCCGTGTGGCCAGTGCTGCAAATGCAACGCAGACACAACCTAGCAAACTTGCGGATACTAAGGTATATAAGCAAAGCGCATTTATATACTATATAACTAGTATTCTAACCTAATATAGTAATAAAGTTAGTATTATTCCTAATACTATAAATAAGTAGGTTCCCTTTTAGTTTAATTTAAGAGTAAATTATTAAAATCTAAACTTTAAGTATATAGTTTACTTAAAAAGTAGTTATAAATAGCTTTATCTATTTAGGTTTTTATATTATTACTCTATTTAATAGAATTAAGTTTATTATATAATAGAAGTAAGCTAACTTCTTTTTTTATTTCTCTTCTTTAAGCTTTTTTAACTCCTTTAAAATAATATTTATTATTTCTATTTTAATAGCTATTTAAGCCCTCTATCAAAACTTTAAAATAGCTTTTATAACCTTTAAATAACTATTAAATAAAATAAAACCTCTTTTAAACTCTTTTTTAAAAATAAAGGTATTATAATATATTAAAAGCTTAGCTATTTTAAAGGTATATTAATTTAGTTTTTCCTTTATAATATATAGCTCTAAAAGACTATTATTTATAGCGCTATTATTTAGCTAAGTTATAAAACTCTATTAAATATATATTAATCTCTCTTAGTTAGTATTTATTAAAGTAATTACTATTTAGCTAGCTATCTCTTTATATTAGCTTATACTTTATATAGAAATATTATTCTTAATACTATTAGAGAGGCTTAATAAGAAAAAGGAGAAATAACTAATATCTTAAAGGTTATAATAAAATATAGAGGGGGAAATAGTTATATAGTAATAATAATAGGGTAAATAATATATAAAGTAGAGTTTTAGCTTAATTAATATAATAGTAAAGAAGTTTAAATAGTATACTTTTTTATAGGAGCTACCCTAGGCTTTTTTATAGGAGCCACCCTAAACTTATGGATATGGATGCTTGCCTATTATCTATCACCTTACCAGAGCTCTAAACTCAAACGGCAGGGCTGAGTCATGACCTGTCGCTTCGAACTCTCAAATCTTGCATCAGAGCTTCTGGAACATTTCCATACTCTCGCTTCGACTACACGAACATTTTCATGACTCCTGTTGAGACAACGGCAACATGCTCTTGAGCAGCTTTCCCGAGTTGCTACATGCATCTGTGATAGGCTGGAATGACCACCATCACCTGTCATTTGTGACCATCGCAACATGCCAGGCGCAAGTTTGATGGCCTATGATCTTGTCAGCACAAAGCCCGAATCATGGCGGCCAGAATAACGTTTTGCTCCTCGCACAGAAAACACAATACGGATAGACGGTATAACCAAAAGGGAAACAAAAACCATCACTGGAGCATTCACCATGCTCAAGCCGTCTGACCTCTCCACTGTGGCTTCGGTGTCTTTCAACGGTCTTCATCACATGAACTCTTCACCGGCCGACCGAAACGAGCTGTCTAGGTTTTGGCCCATAACAGATGGAGACAAGAGACCCCCAAGACATCTTCGGGCGTTCTAAAGCTCGTTCTGGACTTTCGTCAAACCATCGACAAGATATACTCGGTTCTCC